CGATCAAAGAAGAACCGACTTATTAGCTTTATACTTGAGCGATACACATGAGGTTACACGGCACCATTCGTATAAAATCAAATGCGAAATTCGTCTATATATACGAGCATTCCGGCAAGGGCAGTTACATAAGCCCCTTTTACATTACGCAAACTAACCAGGGTCGAACCCTGGGTTTGTTTGACCCAGGGCGAACCCATCGTCAAAGTAGGGTTCAAACTATCCTGGGTTAACCTGGGTTAAGTATGCTTGTACTTTAAAAAACTAACCCGGGTTCGCGTTAATATATATATACAATGGCTATTATTCATTTGCCAATTGTTCTTCTTGGCATAATAGTTTTATTATAATGCTCAAGGTACCAATATACATACAAAGCTCGAGTTACCAAGTACGGGTATTGGCACGGGTACTCATTTTAGCCATGCTGTGCCGATAAATTGAGTGTAGTGTCAACGAAGCTAACCTCGTCCAAGTCTTTGAAGTTTGAATTAACCATAAATGTAAGTAAATACTATATGGATAAACCATGGGTATATGTTCATACCCAGGTCAGGTGTATATGTCTAAATTTCTATAGCTATCGGTATAAATGAATGATGACACTTAGCGGTGCAGGCATTTCTTGGAGACGAGGGCGGAGAATGGAGACATTGAGTATAATAACTATATATTCACTGTTTAGGATGGCCTAACCTGTAAATTAACAAACCGCGCCATCTCTGTACATTATTATTCTCATTCACGAGCATTATGTTACACTGTTTTTGTCTCACTTGCAGCAGGAGGCCAATATGATATCCACACCTCAAGTACTTGTTTTGTCGTTCATTTGCAATGCATTATTCAAACCTGCCATACTGCCTTTATATCCCACGGGTTGCCCTCATAAAGACTCGTATACGTGCTTGCACGATTTTATATAGAGATATGTGAGAGTGCCGATGTTAATACCACATATTGAGAAAATTAATGCAGTTTGCAAAGTAATTCACCAAACAATTTTTGCAATACATGATCGTGAGAGGTCATTGTCAAATAAATCACTTGGCGCAAAAGATAATATCGTGAAAAATGAAATAAAAATAGATGCAGAACATGCATGATAAATTGATAATTTGCTAACCCAATGTATACAATCATTTTTCAACCAAATTTTGTTACAATAGTCTAATTTCGAGCTGTATATAAGATTGTTTTTCTCACTTGATTTACAAGGTAGTCTATATAAGCTACTGATAAATTATGGGAAAGATGTACCGAAATAAATTTGCAATATACCAATTATGTAATTACATAACAAAGCAGTTAATGCAAGAACCTACCTTCGCAGTTAATTGGTAAGATTTGAAAAACAAAATCGTAACAATACAGCGCAGCAAACATAATATATTGTTTATTAATGACGTCAGCCACGAAGTCGGCGGAACCATGGGCATACAAATATTCAATTAAACAAACAAAAATCTTTATTCCAGTTTTCAATCAAACTTACGTAAAAACCTCGTATCACCAAGTTTTCAATGAGAAACTAGAGCGTCCTGTATACATGATTTACGTCATCTTAAGGCATTTAACGTACGTACTACGTATTTTCCGCAGACAATTTTCCTACCAACTTGCCGAAGAAATCGTCAGTATACATTATTGTATTTGAATCACTTCCTAGATCTTGATAGCGTTAACGCGTCTTTCAAAATCTTTTGTGACAGCATACAATGTATTCGACTTATAATAAAGAATCTTAGATATTTCCCCGGTTAACTGCATTTAATTTTCAGTCGTAAATGCGGAAACTTCTGTTGCCGCGGAGTGGAACTTAGATTGAAACGGCTAATTTTTAGTCCCAATCATTATTTCGTTGCATCAAGTCAACTCTCATGCGTTGAAAGTCAAGCATGAACTCCCAAATTATCACGATTAAACGCTGCATGCACCAGAGTTGCAAAGGTGCGGTGCCTATAATCGGAAGGCAACTCTCACTAAATTTTATACTCATCCTGAGTGCTGGAAATAATTGGGAACGGTTGCTTTTGCGGTTTATAACCACGCAGTTAAAATAATAATGAAAAAACCAGTTATAACAAAAGAATAAAAAGACATTTCGTTAAGATTCACTAATTCACTTCGTCTATATAGCACTGGTCGGCCAGAAAAACCTCGATTTTGTTATTATCAGTATTCCTCTCAGACAGCCAGACTCAGACCTCTATATATATTGTATAGAAAAAAGAAATTCCTCCCGCTACAACTGCTTTTGTCAAGAAAACATTTATAATACGCGCAGGCTGCCAAAAAGTCCGTTTTTAATATCCAAAACAATTGAGTCATGGCCGGGTACAATTATGTAACTATATTGCATAAAGCTATCGGCCCTCGGGAAAAATTGAGAACATTTGTAATTATTGTGTAGGCTTATGTTTTATAAATAAATTTTGGGCTATAATTAAAGTAGGTACAGGCTAGTTATAGCCATATTTTTTTAACTACTGATATCGTGCGGGAAACTGGAAGATATATGCATGGGAAACCGAATTTCGTTTTTCACACAGTCCGGCTCACCCAGCATAGTTATTCCCGGCCCGCAGTCGGCGTCGGTGGAAAACCGCGGTCGGCTGCATCTTCAGAAAAGGAACTATTGAATTTCACTGAGCTAGCCCAATGGTTTTAACAAACTTTGAAACAAACCTCTTTGCCATGTAAACTGCCGATTAAGATGATTGTGGCACAACTATCCCTATAAGTTTCCCGATTATTGTATGTTCACGTATTTTTGATAGTGCATGCATATATGCACTCATATTCATATAGACATATATTGGTATATAGGCTTATAGCTTAGTTTGATCTACACTATAGTTCAGGATATAGATGCAGTCGAATAATATTCTTAGTTATAATTCCTTTACCATGCACTCATGCAGTCCTGTTTATGAAATTAAATTATAAAGAATAATATCGGCTGGCAAGCCAAACACAAAATCCGCGGGTTAACTGCGGCATTAGCATACAGCAACCTCTCAATAAAAATGCTCCATTATAACCAAAGGTTATAGACACAGGCCTTGCAGAAGTTCAGCATGATTTAATAACCACGCCAGATTTCATTCCAATGCTTCGATCTTGCATATAACTATAGCTATGCCGGCAACTTTTGCCACTCGTCAAAATCTCCTATTTAATAAAAAGCTTATGGCAATGCAAAACAAATTTGTTTGGATAAAAAGTCATTGTAGTTATACATGCAAGGAGGTTGTAAACAGAGTCGGAGAGTGACCATGCGTTGTTCTCGGGAGTCGAGACGATCAAGTCGACTACGACTACGCATTCTATATATCCGGCGCGTTGTCATACACAACCGACATTCAGATGTTGTAGATTTCCGGCCACAAACTAAATTAAGAAAGAGACTTTGATATAGGGGTATAATACAGTGAAGGTCGAAAAGGTCTTGACTTTGCGGTCGCGCTATAGCCAACTTCACTAGTACATCATGTCATCAACACAAGGATATAACAGTATGTTGCTATTTGTGAGCAAAATTCAAAATTAGTTCCATGTCATATATCAGAGAGAAATTGTTATTATGAAAAAATGGAACATGTATGTCAGCGTTTTGAGTGTATAAGAGGAATTAAGTTTTTTAAGGTGAAATATTCACGGATTTAGTGCAACTTGTCTGGTTCACATTACGAAATAGATTTAGAAGCGTTAACCAAATTAGCAAGCGAGCACACATGTTCTGGATTCTTCACAAACTTATTGAGATTTCTGTGAATAAGTTGTTACAGCCTGCCCGTATTGTCCTATCATACCGCATTTTATTTGTACCCAAAGGCAACGGTTTCCTTTTTTCGGAAAGATTATGTTTTCTAATCTAAGCTGTATTTATTTGCGGTGATCAATCATTTTGCGGGAGAAATAATAATATCACTGACGTTGCTTTAGGCGACATTAACTAAAGATAGTGGCAGGATTTTACACCACGAGGGAATGTGTTTCACGAAACGTTTGACTTTTCAAGTTCAACAATACGCCTATTATTTTATGATTCACACTAAAACACGTTGAAATTTATTGAGGGAACACCGGACCTTAGCCTCAAACACGCGGGGCCATGTACATAGAAATGGGGTATGCTAAGCCCAAAGTATCAAGGATTGGTTGATTGTTAGCTTGAAGGTCGGATCTAAAAAGAGTGATTATTAATATTATAGCTTATACACTTCTGCTGTTATCGGTATATCTTTCTTTCTATCACACTAAAAAAACTTTTCTTTCAGTTACTTAGTTCAACCTTTTTATAATCTTTGAAATACCATTATTAACAAGAAAACTATCATAACAAAATGAAAAACATTAAAATGTTCTTTATACGCGGAGTTTTACGACATTCGAGAACATACTGGTCATTAGCAAGAACATATTGACCTATGGATCGTGCGTATGCAAAACAACACGAACACTCGCTTGTGTGACGTTCGCTACTTCAGGCCTAATCAAAAATCAACATGTCTTGCCGAGAAAGCGACCGTACGTTTACGCCCAATGACTAAGACCAACGAAAAATATTGCTTCATGGCGCCTTAAAAACAACTCAGGTAGCGTTGTTATAATTGAAATTGTAATGAGTGCCTTTTACGATTGCGGTGTTATTCTTTGGATTCAATTTAGTGTGAGGAATCACAACAGGCGGCAAACGATTGGTGGTTTACAATCAAAATGTCAGTTGAATTACCAGTCACTTGTCGCCTGAGCCAGTGTGGCGACCAATCATATTCCGTAGCACTCTGACGTCATTAGGTGTGTCATGCGTGGGCGCATAGAGATTGTTCTCTTGAAAAGGATATTTTGCTCGTCTGTGATTGGCTGAATGTCACAACTGACAATGGACTGATAGGCACTTAATGTATCTTGTGTCAATCTTAGTTCCGCCCACTTCCGATGAGTAATTATCTTATCCAAGAAGGTCGTATAAATTGTTTCTACAACTATTGCAGCTTTAGTAATTGCCAAAGGAAGTCAGCTTCTCAAATACGGGAAGACACCCGAACCACAACCACGCGATATCCCATCGTCTGACGTAGTATAGGCGAAAACGCTGAAGGAGTAACAAATACCACGAAGTTCGCTACATTCATTTTCCACTTTCTGACCACCGGATTTTGAATTAAACATTAGTCATATTGAGACATTCCATCACTCGCTGTGCCCAAAGGGAGTCATATCAAGTTAACTGTTCATTTCGTGATCGCAAGCTGATAAAACAATCCGTTGGGAGAACTTTAAAATCGCAAATTATTCTACAAACCGCCACATTTTACTTGGTAAGTTTGTTCACTTTCAATTTACCTTTGAATATATCGACAAAATACGAAAGGCTATTTTGCCGCGTTGAGATTTCGCGCACTCACACTCATATGTGCCAAGAACTGACAAAATATACCACTGCACTGACTATAACTAATAATAAATTTATCACTACTTTTTTAGTAAATTAAAAAACAATGTATATGAACGAAGCGCAAAGCGTTCCAGTGGTTCCAGATGCATCGCTCTACCCTCACGTAAGTAAAGGACAATAATACTTTATAATTACCATAGTTAGCCTTGCGCTATCACTGGTTGTGAGGAACTTTTTCAAAGCCCATACAGCGCAATATATTCGGTCTTGTACAATATGCAAAAATATACACTCTAAATACAAGAAGTGTCGAAAGTTTACGGTTCTCAATTACGGGTAGAGAGAAAACAAAATCAAACCCCTTTCGCAATCTGAGTTTATTGACATCATGGTTGACAACTTGGCAGATCTGAAGAAATTTAAGATGGGTTAAGAATTTTAATGAATGATTCAACATATTTTAACTACAACTGTTCGATTACTGGTGTTCCATTTTTATCTATAATATATTGACCGTAATCTTAAATTCGATGTTTGAAGTTTTTTGAACGGCGACAAAAAGTCTCCAAGTTGTGTTGACGAAGGAGTCGCGAAATAAGATACGCATCACTTCATATTTCAATAACCGAAGTCATTGTTTGGTTAGCGTTGACATTCGAGCAAAAGTAAGCGGACAAATGTTCATTCGTGATCCATCCTAGTGTACTTAGGATTACTGCTTTACAAAAGGCGATATTTAAATTTAGAAGCGCTTTCATTAAACCAATATGAGTACGTAATCTGTTGTGTTGATGAACATTGACGGTGAAAGCAAAGTGGCAATTAGTACTTGCTAGTGCATAGGAATGTCTTCATATGTATTCAAATATGTTATCTTCCCACGTCTGTATAGTTTATGTAAAAACACTGCATCTTTACGAGTGGCATCTTTACTCTTACGTGTCAAGCGTTACTTAGAAATAGATATGTAATCTCACACACAATATCCTCAACATGCTCTACTTATTTACCATGCAAGTTAGTATATTACCATAACTGTAGGATAACGTTTGAATAATATATTATGTCGATCGACATGTTTGAAAGGGGAAGATCATTATGATAACTATTTTGGTATGACTATAAAAGATGATGCTAATATGAATACGCCAACTTCACTGGGAAGATTTAGTTGACTCTTCCTATATCTTCCATAAATTCTACCCGTTCAAAATGATGAAGAAGATGATTCAGTGCACAAAGCTTAACGCGCTTCCCTTAACTTTAGGATGCCTTAATATCCGACGAACAATCATTATTTGACTCAAACTATGAGCCATTCAAGCCGACAAAATCACAAAAAGTTGACAGCGGTTCATGGGGAAGTAACAAGCGTTCCTTAGACAGCACCGATCGTGATGCGCCAAGTCCAAAACGCGCATTTACAGCATCAAGCAGCGAATTTCTCGATCGAAGTTCGCCAGCACCGGTCGTACCGAATGGTCAAGATTTTGATAAACGGGTTATCGTTCCCGCAGGTGAGTAAATTCCCCGCTTGCCTCTCCTTGTCAGTCCCACGTAATTTACACAACATTTCGTTTAAGTCCTAACTTCATTCGTATATAAGTATTTTATATTTACAAAAAAGTTTGTTATTTCCTACAGAACTTCCTTTGCTTATTCCGAGTGGAAAGTCGTAAACGTTTTTCTCAAATTTTTACCCAGTGATTTCGAACGTTATTTTACTGTTTCGTGCTGGTCAAATACAAAAGTCAGCATGGCGTCCTTATTCTGACGAAATTAAACCACACAATGGTTAACAAACACCCAACCATGCTACTGTTTTTGGCGAGGATTTTAATTATCTTTTCATTATACTCCAGTGCGAAAACACATCTATGCCAAACCCCCATGTGGAATAACCGTTTATGGTTTGAAAATATTGAAATTGAGTTTTCCTTGCCAAATAACTATCAAATTATTTTTGCCAAAGTCATTTGTTGAACTAGATTTTAGGTCGAGTTCCATGACCATAATTCTTAACATATTATGTGGCGAATCATGATTCTTAAAATATGATCATGAAGTGTTACACATGTGGACACCTATAATTGCTTATTAAAATAGGCATATAGTAAAATCCAATAAATGAAATTCCTTCAACAGTAATTTTAAGCTAGGATATTCCCATTCCCATTACATGCATATAACAACCTCTAGTGAATTAACCGAAAGAAAAGTTTTTTCAGTGTCGATCAATCAATATACGATAAGAATGAGCAAAATAATTTTTCATTTTCAGTTCAATTGAGGATATATATGGATAGCACTATAATATAGTTATTTTTCACAGATCCTATGTGCTGGACTAAAGAGCACGTTAAGCAATGGATTCAATGGGCAATCAAAGAATTCAGTCTACGCGACATCGACGTCGACTGTTTCGACATGATCGGCAAGGAACTTTGCAAGTTGACAAGAGAGGACTTTTTAAAATTAGCACCGGCTTACAACGGAGATATTCTTATGGCTCATCTCTGTGTTTTACGAAGAAGTAAGCTTATTAATATGTTGGCACCTTTGTGTCTTTGACTTTCGGCCGAAACGCTTAGCAGTTTTGCTTCATTAAATATCGCATAAAAAGCCTTTTGATCACAAATGCATTCCCATTTTAATTCGAAATTTTATTTGGGAACACATTTCACACTGTATATGATCAGTGAGTAGGAGTATTTCAAGAGCGCGTTCAAATTAGAGAACTTCTATATTCTACCAAACTTTTCATCGTTTCATTTTGTCTGATAAAATAGAAAACTAGAGAGTTCCCTTCAAACGACAAATCTAATCGTGAAATCTAATAGTGTAATCTTCAATGCATGGTACCATATTCGCTGTTGTTGATGGACTCCTGTTGTGTCTGCCTATGGAGTGGCGACAAGATTAATATAAACACCTGGGCAAAGTCTATTTTAAGATTTTATTATTGAATTCCTATGTTTTTACACACGCAAAATTGAACTTTTCCTTTCCCACCAACCAAACCCTTATTACACTAGGCTCTGACGCCCAAGATGATTAAGCGTTTGTTTTTCAATCTATTTCAGCTCCCTTGCCAAACCTCACATCTGAGGATATTGATCGAGCATTAGCGCCTTCCGTCGCTTCAAGCACGTCTTACGCAGGTATGTCAATTGAATATCATTGTATACATCTGTTATGAATCTCTTTCAAAAACAGCTTCACGATATCAAAGTTCTTTGAAAACAGAAAAATGAATACCTTTTTGCGTTGTATTTTTAATTAGTTCGTATTTATTTGAACAAGTTAAGTCCCCCCAGCTGTTAAAAAGGTCATTGCGGTCATTTGGGTGTGTTTATCTTCACCTATTAGGAGCCAGATCTTTGTCGGCTTTTCCGTAACCCGCAGTGCCAACACAAGAGCTTGTTGTTCAAGCTTTAGAGCTGTTTACCGCCTGCTGATGATTCGTTTGTCATCACGAGATGATTGCCTAAAGTGAATAACCAGATACGAAAATTCCCTTGCCCTTATTTGCATACACACTGTAACACTGTCCAATTTTATATTCGACACATGGTGTTAACGTTTGTTTCTTGCCACCAATCCTGGGTGATAATTAGTAATTGAATTTGGTTAACTGCGCCCCATGGTCAATGCATTTTCTTCTTAAAATAATTTTCCGGAGTAATTTAGTAGAAGCTTTGTAGTTTCAAACCATAATTTTGTGTATTCTATAACCGCCTCATCTTTTCCTATAAGCATGACTTCGTTAATTGTGGTTTCAAAACCCTTACTTCCCCCTCCCTCCCCACTTAATCACCCACCCAAAACCACAACCACCGGGGACAGTTTCTCAGCTCAACTCACAATAGATCGATTTTTCATTAAAACTCTGTATATTTTCTTAGGTTCGCATTACAATGCAACAGCTCATTATGAATCGAGGAATTTAATTCCAGGCAGTGGTAGGTATTCGTTAATTTTCAGTCCCAACTCGCTAGAATTGTCTGAAAACAATAAGAAAAGAGCCTCTTGTGAACGCACTGTGGCTCATATCTGAAGTGGACTATATACATAAGATAAAAGGGAGAAGACAGTAGCGTTCGGTATTGTTCTTACATTCAGTATTGGCTTCAGAAATTCATTTGCGAACTTCAAAAATAGCATTGCTTTGACTTGTTTTTATACTTGCATTTCCTTCATATCACGAGGATCAGAATAATTTAATTAAATCTTGTTTTAAGTTTTGAGCTTTTTTATATTTTAAACCAATGAGCTATAAAGTTTATACTAATCCCCCTTATTTCGTTCCATAAAATATACATATATTTGTAGACAGTATGTTAAAATAAACGCAACTATAACAAATATCTCTATGCCATATTATAGACAACTCTTCTTATGCTGACCGTAGTTCAACATCTTGGCCATCTAGTAGCCAAACTGGTGAACGATCGGCTGGTTCCTGGTCATCGCAAAGCCAAACAAATCGTGAGTATTTGACTATCTTAAATTGACTCAACCGTCTGTTTTTATGGCCACAAATCTTGCTGTAACTAACTTCGGAATTTCTGTTCAGGTCTAACGCATATGAAAGACTCTATGGCGATTGTTCCAAGCAGGAGTATTACTAGTTCACCTCAGTTGCAAGGTAAACTAAGTTTCTTAATCATTGTAAAACCTGTCATCAGGTGTCACTTTATGACATTTCCTTCTGTGTCTTCACAAGTTTCGTAATATGATGCAAACCTAAATATTTGAAGTTCAAGCTATACTCCTAACTTCTTAGAGCGTTAGAGAACCTAAAATATTTACTCGTCTTTTAAATAAAACGGAAGTAAAGGAATGTTGTTGCTCGAAAATTTTGTACTATAAAAAGTTAAAATTCGCTAAATAGAATTTCCCTTGTACAAATGTATACATGTTGTTTTCAATCCAAAGTTACTTAACACCACTTACTTTTTGTAGCGAAAATCTAATTTAGAAGAACCGCATATTTACGATTTCTTGTTTAATATGTTTAATTAAATCGTTTCAGGTGCTTACCCTGGCAACACACTCGCAACTAGAGCTGATACAAACGCGGGTAGTGGTCAAATTCAGCTGTGGCAATTTCTACTCGAACTTCTTTCCGATCCTAAAAACTCTCATTTCATCACGTGGGAAGGAACAAACGGAGAATTCAAGTTAATCGATCCCGACGAAGTAGCGCGCCGCTGGGGGGAAAGAAAGAACAAGCCGAATATGAACTATGATAAACTAAGTCGGGCATTACGATACTACTACGACAAAAATATCATGTCGAAGATTCATGGCAAAAGATACGCATACAAATTCGACTTCCACGGTCTAGCTCAACTCAATCAACCTATCACGTCCGACGCTCAAGCCCACGCCCAAGCTGTGTACAAATTCCCAGGGGCAGACTTCTATCCTGGTTTCGCAGGAGCGCCCTTCTATCCAGGCTCCAGCCCAGGGCAATATTGGTCTAGTCAGTACTGGGCTAGAGGCCCCACGCCGCAAACACAACATATGTACAGTGGACCAATACGAGCTCTACCATACTACGCATAATCATCGCCATAAAATAAACTTTTATCAAATGGTGAACATTGACCATGCTTCATTTTAGGCAATTCCCATCCCCACGACATAGACTATTTATGAACGCTAAGCAAGCGCAAATCAAATGTTATTTTGTATGGAGATCGTTATATTTGTAAATACTTCACCGACATCCATCCACAAAGTAATAGAAATTATATACATTCATCAAGAATGTTTTAACGGCGCCGGCCAAAAACTGGTCACGAGAGCATGAGAGAGGAGGATACAGAGTGTGCGAGTTAAAAGAGCGAGATTTATACGACGAGTTTGTAGATGATTGTATGTATAATATTGAAATAATTAGTAGGAATGCTATTTATTTTTATCAAAATGTATAATGAAAAACAAAGAAATACATATTTTCCTATAATTTTCGTTCTGCCAGACTTTTGATATTTACGTTTTCTCGTTCCAGTTCTTTCTGTTATGATTCACGTATCACGCGCACGTCAAGTGTAAATCCATTTAATTGATACATGTAAAACAAGTGATTATGGTGCTTCAAGAACCCTAAAATTACAGGTTTAGTTTCCCCAATACACACAAAAAAAGAATGAAGATTAATACGAAGTAGCAAACTTCTACAATAAAATGAGATTGCAGCCACGCGAATTGCGCAGTAGTTTGACAGTTACACGCAAAAGCATTTCAATTTCTTGGCGAGGTATACTTTTTTGGATTTCAAGGTTATCCCATACCTTTGCGGTTTTTTAAAAATATTTATAACAGTAGATGGATGATAAGTATGGCGTCCTAGGCTAAAGCTGCATAGTAGATTATAAGGGAGTGACACGTAGGGGGCGGTTCAACAGCCGGTTATCCGTTCAACAAATCAAATTAATTTTTCAACAGCTCGATTTTCAGGTTAAACAGGTTTTTTAGAAACGGGCTAGAACAGGTCAGTTGCTAATATGGCTGCTCGTTCTAATGAACGACCGGCCTAGCCCATAAGTTAATTAATTAACTTAAATAATGCAAAATTACCTGAGATTATCTATCTTCGACTAAATTATTTTTTACAGCCCAAAATCCGAAGATGATGTGAAAGTCAAAATAAAACATATACTATAATGACTGCATAAACAAAGGTTTTTTGTGATACGTCTAGAAGTTTTGTGATTGGTATATTCACAGTTAAAGAGAAATATATTACGGCATTGATAAGTTAGATATCACGCCACGAAAGCGGCTTTGAGAAATGATTTTTCACTTTTCACTTTAAATTTTGCACTTTTCACTTTAAATTAGTGGACAAACCCACCTTTCTTGTAGTTCGAAATTTTGGGAAGGCTATAATGTTGTATCCAGCCCACCGTTCATGCATAAACCGCCAAAGACTTATTACTCTGGTCTCTGCCAAAAACCGCGATATTTTGTTATAATTTTTTAATTAAACACAAATCACATCCTGTCCTTACAAAATTACATTCTTTTGATAAGAACTTCATTTGTCTGTATTATGACTACATTAAATTCCCTGCAGTGATGGTAAAAAAGAACAGTTGGAACACAAAATTCGCTTGCAATTACTTTCACATGTATGATATATATGTTATTCTTTGTGTGCCATCTCTTTATAGTGCCGACTGATTTCTCAGATTGCAATAAGGGCGTCTTCCGTGATTTGCGGATATGAACAAAAACATAACAAAACAACACAGAAAAATACAATGCAATCCGATATATCGCAAAGCTGATTCTACAGAATTATTCTGGAATTATTCTGAGATAAAAATATTGTAACCAATATTATACTTCATTACTCCATTAATAAAATTTACACTTTAATTAATTTCATTGATTGATTTGCAAATACCTTGCTTATTACCAGATTGGGACTTGGGGTTTCGGAAACCGAAAGTGTGAAGAGTTATCGATTTCAATGTCAAGAAATTTTCATTACCAAACTATTTCAAAAAAGCCTTATTCACAGTTTGGCACGGATGAAGTTAATATATTGAGCCAGTCCAAATTTCAATAATCTTAGTTTCATCATGGTGTAAACGGTACGGATGAAATTTAACTAAATATTTAGCAACAAAATTTCATTCGTACCGATTTTCCCTGTAACGTGCCAAACATGCACGTAGTGTAAATGGGGATAAATTAAGACTTTTAGTAAAGTCAAAGAAAGACGCATAGAATACAAATATGCATTTCGAATGTGAAGGATGCTGATGCATTTCTGTCAGTATAATTTTAGTGCATGCATGTGTGCATGATCATGCACATATGATCATGCATTTTTATGCATGATCATGCACACATGCATGCATGAGAATTATACTTACAGGAATACATCAGCATCATTCACATTCGAAATAAAACTACAAGTTAGAAATGTCTTATTCCTCTTTCACGCTTTCACTTACCATTTCCTATTGATCTCTCGCAGTGACATTGAGAGTGTCACATAGATTAAAAACGTACATCACAATTCAGTGAACATCACAATTCAGTGAATGCACTATATAATAGGCTTGTAGGTCGGGAATGGGTTCGTACCCATTAGGTATATAAATGTTCGACATAAATGAATGATTATCAATATAAAGTTATTGGAAGTCTGGCAAGTCTTTGACCGTAAAACAATTATAACTCTTATATGATATTCGAATTGACCACGAATTGACTCATGTCTTCCTCCATAGTGGTCTCAATCATAATTCATAGTCGTCAACATCGGCGAAGACGATAAGGGCTCAAGGATAAGATCCCAACGAATTCTGAAATTTTCACTAGCTTGAATCAGTGTCATAGAGTTTATGTACTTAAAACAATTAAATTTAAAAATTTAATCCAATTTAAAAACTTTTACGTGCGTATACATACGTACAAAAAACACGACAGAGGAAATTGTGGAAGCATAGACATCCAGCAGACAAAAATGTTTTCTGGATTGTCTATGGTGGAAGGCAGCCCTTACGAAATAAAATGAAGTAACTAGTATGTAACCGCTGATCAAATAATGAGCCGGACAAAGTCTTGGCGGGAAAGATTGAAATAATAAGTTGTGTTGTTGAATTTATTTATATATAAATACTAAAATGCTTCCTTCTTCCACAAAGAAATCAGCTAGAAATAAGAAAAATGCCTTTTCACATAATGATAGGGATAAACTCTCGTTGGAACTGCGAAAATGGGCCTTGGAGGAGATGTGCTTTCGTCCTCAAGGACGCCATGTAAACAGTCGCATGCCAAATGTTGAAGAATTTAAAACGCAAGTGAAATTATTTCTTTACTAACTACTCTGCAATACAATATTTTTACAGAGGATAATATCTTCTGGTGCATAAATTCTAGGCACTATTTGATTCAATTATCTGGTGAATGTAACTTGTGCATGGATAAGAGTGACCAGAGCTGCCCATATCTAGTTAGACATCCCCCCCCTGGTCTAAATGTGGTAGTTATCAAGATCAGTTGTGGCTTTTCTGTGTGTATCTGTCTTGATCTGGCAAAAATAATTTACAGCAGTTGGACCTGCTATTGCGCAGGTAGCACAAAGACAATAAGACATTCAATGAATATATGGTGCCATTGAATTTGCCATAAATTATGCCTACACCTGCAAGGGGTGTTTAAAGGGAGAAGCAAATTCTATATGAAAGGGCGTATAATTAATAACTTAATAATTAACAATAATTAACTGTATAATTAATACTTCAACGTCTTCTGCAGATGTTTTTCAAGGTAATAGGTTGGGAAATGGTTGGGAAAGGGTTGGAAATGAGGAAGCTTTATTCCTAGTCAAGCAAGTGCAGAAAACGCAACTAGCTAGCTTTATATATTGTTATGTTTAAGTTCAGAGGTTATTGTTTTGGAATTATTATATAAATTAATATTTTGTTGTTATGTACAGGCTCTGTCGTGGTCCAATGATGGATGTATGGTCACATGTCATCAAACATCTTCGTTCTACTCAGTAAGTAATTCCAAAAAGATGCAAGCTCTATAATTAAGCCCCATATTTATTTTTTTTAAGATTTTGCCTTCATTGCTGGAGCCTTTTGACTTGTTGATTATAAGTTGAATGTTGACTTGAAAGTATCTTTTAAAAAATAAGCATGTCAATTGTAGTTTTAGGAGGCTGATCATGCAGAGTGGGATGTTTGTCCTTTCTATTTAGCCATTTAACTTATTTTTTATTATACATCTTATTTTTTATTATACATTTTTCTTACACTAGAAAAGTGCAAACTGTAAAGGGGAATCTCAAACTGTATCTTTTTTTATGATGTATGTCAGTGATGCAATATTTTGTGACTCACTGAATATTTATCCATGATATATACTTGTTAAACTCTCATCATCTGAACTGCCATCCGACCACAGTAGCATGATCTACAATCACTCCTGAATAATCAAAGTGTAAAAATATGCTTGGAATTTTTTTGTCTTCATCAATGATCAATATATCTGGTAATTGCCTATGCGTTTTTCTGCAAAAATATTGTATTGAACTTTACGAGTCTATTGTGTACGCATTTCTCTTTAGTAAAAAAATAAGATCCCCAAGCATAATTTAAATTAAAATTGGTTTTGAGATGTTTATTTTTACTCCCTTAATTATGTATGCGTCATACAGTTATTCATCACTTCATAACAAGAGTACTTTTGATGAGGTTTCAAAGAAAAAAGACATAGAGCGCATGGATATTTTAAAGAGAATTGCCGAACTACAATCACAAATAGACCAGGTTGAAAAAGACGTCTATCATCCCGAGAAAGAGATTTTGCAGACAGGTCATTCTTGTATCATTGTTCTTTGTAAGCTGGGTTGAATATAGTGATAGAGGTACCGGTAGCTTTTGAAAACCGGCAGATGGCGAAAATATGGAATTTTGTAAATGACCAAACCTATTTGAAATGAAATATCCTCTTTTTGTAGAGCATTCACTGGCAGAAGTTGATTCCAAAAGGCGTGACCTTGAAAAACGATGTGTACTATTATCATCTTATTCTGAACAATTTCGCGAAAAAGCAAAGGTTTTGGACGAGTTTCGTCGTAGAATAGAAGGACGAATTTCACATTTTAGAGATCTGAGGAGGTTAGCACATTCTCTTTTGCCTAAATTAGTAGACATAGCAGTGTTATTTTAAGATGCATGTCTTCTTTATTGTTCTCGTAATTGATTGTATGACGAAAATCATCATTTGACGAAATATGAATATTGTAGTCTTTAGTTATCGAATAGAGAGACCATTTTAGAGTTCAAATTATTGCTGCAGTGTCTTTCATTCTTTAAATTGCTATGACAGGAAGAGAGACGCCCTGAAGTTGTTTGCTTGCCCTTTTGCCGGTGACCGTGCATGCAGGGCCTCTCAAAATACACGACATTCGCATGCATGTATATGTATGTGTTGATAGTATACTAAACCTTAAATACAATATCTATGTGTTTACTAGAAAATCCTCTGGGGAGAATACATATTTTGTGCAAAAATCGTCTTTGACTGGACTTTTAGGAAGTGGGAACGAACAAAATAACTCTGTGGTTGGTTTGGAATCTGCATGTACAGTGAGTATGCAGTTACAGTTAATATATGTTGCATGCGGATAAGAAATGAAGTTGCCTTGTCCAATAAAATTATTACCAATTGTCTGGTATGACAGCGAATTACCAGATGAAATTGTTTGTTTAGTTTATTTTTGACGTCTTTAACCTTGCGTGTGTGCAATGCTTTGTTAAATTTACGCATTTTTTAGTTCGTGTGTTGCACAAGCCGTGTGTATAATACAGCTTATATGATTATTAGCTATAGATAGATAGTAATAGTTGTTTATCCGTTAATTTCATAACGAAATAGCTATCAAACACTTTTCAAGATTTATTTCACAAAAGATATATGTGAAAAGTTTCTAATTTGTAGCGGAATGTAAGAGAAACTTGCGAAGCTATTGGATCATTCTTACATGTCCTTCATAATGATTATGTGGCTGATCAAAATCCATCCAGGTTAGTTCCATATTTATTATCTTCAATCTCGCATCCTGCGTGGCAACAGCAATATAAGGCTGCTTTCCACTTACGCGTTTTTTATACGCACGTACACGTACGGAAAATTTTAAATGCTTTTAACTTTTTATTACTTAACATCTAGGTCAACTAATGCATACTAAGATATGCAGAAAACTAAGTTCCTTCGATTTATTCACTTATTTTATTCAAAGGAAACATGTATAAGGATTTAGACTTTTACGTGCGTGTACGTGCGTATGAAAAACGCGTAAGTGGAAAACAGCCTATACTGTAGGAAAAAAATACTGTATATAATAAAATAATTAAATAACTCAAGGCTTTTTTGGAGTTTGTAGTGTTATTTTATGTATACCTTTGAATTGTCTCTTTTAAAGTAATGTTATAATAATCATGCCTTTATAATCATCTCTATTGTTTTTGCAGAGAGCAGAATGATAAAACAAAAGCGCGTCTGTGGACGTCTGTTGAGGTAGGAAACTGTGCATGGAGTAAGCTTGCTTATTCTTTGTGACTGTGTAGATTACATCATTGATATCCACATGGCATTTAAAGAAAGAATTTTTCTAACTCTGCAGACAATTCTTTCTCAACACCCAGCGGCTGATATTTATGGATCTTTAAAGAGGACTGCCTTGGATTCCGCCAATAATCTTCAAGAACTTACGTCACGAATTGACGTTCGAAAGGATGCTAAGGAGTTAAAGTAAGATTAAGAGTTGATAATACAAAATTCCAAGTTTATTTAGGGTTGTTTGATAAATTTATATCGGTCGCAAATGGTTTTTGTCCTCGAAAATATTCGTATACCTACAGAATTTGCAACTACATTATTTTGTCAAATGACTGCATGTTGACCACCATGCACTGAACGAAGAAGTTGTACTTTCTGTACATATAGATTCAAGTATGAAAACTCGGGCCAATTATCAGATACGTCTTCTCCGCGTCCACTCTTACTTAGTGTGCATCAACTCATTGAGGTGTGTATTTATAGCATGCCTAAAATTTGAGCCTAATTTAACTATCAAGTCATTTAATGCATTGGAGATCAGTAGATAAGCAGCTCAGCCTAAAGAAATAACTTAAAAAATCAATCCAGGTTTATTCGAATTAATGAGCGTTATTAGGCTAAAGTTCTCTAATTAGAACCAAGTCTTCCCATGCTTCATGCTAATTCACGGTCAAGTACGAAATATTCAGCTTCCCCTGCATATATACCGCCAAGTCTATTTGCTCAGCTTTGGCACTGATCTGCAAATGTGTCTTGTATTTGCTAAAATATAATCCTGCGAAAGAATATTGTATGTACGTTTTTCTAATTCTAAACAGTTAGTGGAACCTATTATGAAAACCCTTTACTAAGAAGTTAGTAACTTTAAACGAGTTAGCGAGTTAGAAGTTAGTAACTTTAAAGTATATTAATACCGCATATTTTCTACTTTAGGAGGGTCAAGCGGCACACTTCCAGAAGTTTATAAGTACGATAAAGGCCAGGAACGAATTACACAAAGCACAAAAGTTACTACAAGATTTCCAGCAAAATATGGAGAATATACAGAAGGCCCTGTATGGAAATGATCCAGAGTCGTTGTCACTTGCACAGTAAGATTTGAGATTTTTTTCCAAACTAGGATAAGATTTTAGGTACCATTTAAGATTTTTGTTAAAAATTTCAAACAAAAACGAACCGCAAAATACCCAAATAATGTATTTGACATAGTGTATTTATACCGAAGTCTGAACGTAATGCGTGCTGTAATATCGTGGTTTTAATATCGGGCATGATTTTGTTTGCGGCTCTGGTATGAATTAAACAAGTGTAAAAGCTATAAGCGACTTAAAAGCACACTACAGTCTACAAGATAGAGTGACTGAGGATATTTTGAGTGCATGGATTGATTGAACCTGCTGTGAACAGAAAGTGCGAAATTAGAAGTAAACCAGAGGGTCGACCACGCCCAAAGTGACTAATCCTCGATAATCAAGCAATCACTTTGGGAAGATGCTGCGGATTGTAATTTTCAGAAAGACGTATTTTCAGAGGATTACAATAAACGTGGTACGATTTTCACTAGTGACATTTTTCAGAAATCACAATCTTGAACTCAGTGGCGGATTACCGAAGGGGCAAAGAGGGCATTTGGATTTTTTCCAAGCGAGCCACCTACAACTTATTCATATTATTGTGAGCTGTGACCGGCCCTTAGAACGTTTTGCCGTCGGTCATATACTGTACCTCAAATCGTTTGTTTTTCTCTGTGATTTCCTATAATTTTCAATATTTTTAAGAACCCTTTGCCGCACTGAACTCGAATTCGTGGCATCAAAAGCGACAATGGAATTTATTGAAAATGAAATTAAAGAACTGGAAGTATTAAGGTCAACTAAACAAGACCAACTTGATATATTACATGGAAAATATCGACAAATACAAGATTTTGAAAAATTTGTGGTATGCTTCGAATTACAGATGACACCATGCATTTCTTTTTCTACTGTATTGCGCACTTTCGAGAATAACATTTCTCTGGGTATGCCCTTAAATCTATTATGAATATGTAGCATTTGACATAAGTATAACTTCCACGGGCATTGTTTGAAAACAATAAAAAACAAAAACCTTTCATTTATAACGATTTTATTGTGTGAAAATCCTCCATATACCGTGCTATCAAATTATATTCGTGTACGAAATATATGTACTAATTGTATGTATTCATTGAAAGATTTCTTTTTAAATTACTAGCAAGCGAAACAGAATATGATCCAAATGTTGGTGAAACATAATTCTGATGCAAAAAGTCAACTAGATCAACGACGAACTGAGGTATTTCCTGAACATGTAACTGAATGCATTTATTTAATAGTAACAATTTATACCTATGCACGATTTACTTTAGATATTGAAATACTCTCAAGATACTTTGTGTGCCCACGAATGTCAAATTAAAGCCTTATCAACTGTGTTATGCGACAACGTTTCCAAAGACAAAGAGATCACCAAGTTTGCTTCGCTGTCATTGCATCGACTTATGTTTTCCGAAATGGACGGGTACAACTTTTCAACAACCATGTCAACTTCAGGATTATTTTAGCTTGGATATAATAGCCGCATCCATTTCTTTTATAGCCATGGTCGTATTCCAATATCACAGTTGTCTATTAATCGCCTGAATTTTTGTTATCCTTCAAATGAATTTGGCGTTGTTACGTCGGTTTTGGGAGATCTTGATTTTCCGTCTTACAGGGTAATTATATAGTTATATATGCTGTATTAAGCTTTTGCATGCAATTATGACGAATCGCATAAGTTGCCTATATCTTGTTTGAAGCGATCGCCACAACCCTGCATTGGAACGTCACAAAACTCACAATCCTTTTAATATAACAAAAAATTTTAAGTTACAGTACTGATCTCATATCTATATCAACCTCGTACCCAGGGTCTGATATCTATATATGCATTGGAATAATCTATATATTATATGCATTTGAATTAACGTAAGATTATGTTATTTTATCTGTCATTATTAGGAGGAATTCTCTTGTGTCGCTATATTTCTATATTTTCCCTTTAAATTTGAAGGCAGCAGATGGATTACTACTAAAGGTTTTTGAAACAAAAAGTAAAGGTACAGTAATTTCAGATTTCAGACATTTGCTGTTGGAAAAGGCTCTCTGCATGCATTTTTCTAACTATAATCAATTTATGTCTTTATTTCTATTTTCTACTTGTTATTGTTAATATAACAAAGTTAATAAGTTTGCTCATTTGCTCAGCGAGAGAATGAGAAGTTGTTTTTGTTTGTAGTGATAGAAACACAAGAACGTCTTAAATACAACAAGACTGTGGCCAACTCTCTCGATGATATGGAAGGAATTAGTATAGCATGTGATGATCACGTTGAAGGTATATATATATATATATCTGCATGTTCGATAAAATAGGCAATACTGGTACTGCATGGCGTGATATAATGGACCATAACCCTTATATGCCACTATCTGAAAGCATGCCTTAATTTGCCCCATGCCTTAATTTGTATTTAACCTTTCTTTACCGTGAAAATCGATCGAAAATTTCAAAGTAGCCGACTTCTAACTCGGACCTTTTACTTGCAGATTTGCGAAGCGCTGTGGTACAACACAAAAACAGAGAAAATGAGAAAATATTACCAAAAGTGCAAGAAAGTTTTTCTAATGCGACTAAAGCATTATCTGAGTGCATTGTAGCAATGGAGGCGGTTAATTCATGGTAATGCCGGCGTTTTGCTTTTGAGTTTCATCGGTATTTTACCCAGAGCTAGATAATGTCATTTACATGCAATCACGAAATACGAAAAATGGCTGATGCTTGTTGGAATAATATTTATACACTTGTGTACGGACTGCCTTTTTCTTTAATAACCTTTGTTCAATCTGAAATCGAAATTTTTATGGTACTTATCGCTCATCGAACTTGGAAAACAAAGGTTGATTCTTCGTCAGTAATTTTACTATCGCTTTGTTTTAGGTGGGAGCAACCTGGCCAGTACTTGGTTCCGTGGGATAAAGTGGATGGCATGAACATGAGACAGTGGAAAGATCAATGGACTGTAATGACCACAAGATTGCGACAGTTACAGTCATTACCTCAGTAAATCGATTGGGTGACAAGTATCAAGTCAGTATGTATGCTTAGGAAAATTTTTCTTATGATGCATATATATATGCTGGGAAGTAAATATGACATGATTGCCTCTATTTCTTTTGTCTTTAGAGGGACATGCAATTACTATAGAGAAATCCCCCAAACTACAGACATGCATGTTTAGTTCTAAACGTCCTGGGGACAGGTGGGCGAAGATTCGCAATGAATTGCAATTGCTTTACCTGAGGAATGTGGGAGCATATCAGTTTTCGGCGCATATATTGCATTTTTCCAGTGTTTTTACCTCGTCAATCATTATATAATTATAAACGAAAAACATGTTTTCATGGATAATGGTCCCCTTAAGGGACCTGGCAGGGTTGGGGCTGAGAAGGAAATGTTTTAATTCCCAAAATTTCCCCCACCCCACGTTTTCGTGTTGTGACTATATCTCAATGTCAGTCAAAGATTTATATTTGTGATCTTTACCCCACCTTTCACCTTCTCTTTTTGCATTACCCCATTTTAGTTGCCCCACAATATTATCTTCAGTCCCCACCCTGGCTTTAAACAATGACCCAGACTCCATAGGGCTTTTCAAAGCTACTCCTCAAAACTCCTCAAAAGTACTCCCAAAGCGTTAAGGACATGGAAAATATAATATGACGAGAAAATATATTAACATGTATAATAATTGTGTATAAATATAATTATCTTGAAACTATACGCTTCTTACAAGTACAGTTAAAATAAATAAAGTGAAATATTATCTTCAAACAACTCTTCAGTACAAATATCATACATATATATATCTACAAGTCAGGTTGTTCTATACTCTCCAGCTGTATAACATTCTATATTGGACTTATTTATCATTTATCATATTCCGAAAAGATGCAAACGTTCCACTTACGCACCCGATTAGAGCAAATATTAGAATAAAAATGTTCTTTGCGGCTGCAAGCGTGCTTGTTTCATCCGAAAATATTATCCAGTGGCAAACAGTTGGACATGCAAACGCAAGCCAAGAGGCACCACCGGCTCCAACCAGCGAGACGATGTCATTTAAATGCGGGATTGCTGCTGCCATACCACCTGAAAAAAAAGAAAATTTGCTCTGTGAGGCGTATATTCTCCGACAAAAAATATTCTCCTACTGTATATTCTCCGACAAGAAGTTTTCACTTCTGCATGTTATACATATTTCTGCTCTTCGAATGACATCGTTAAACACACAAGCTGTTAACATCAACTTACACGTAAGACAAACAGTCGTAATACGGAAAAAGATGATGGAATGTTTGTGGTACTTTTCTTTAATTCGTCGCATCATAATCGGCTCCAAGATATGAAAGAAGACGTAGATTTGAATATAGTATGTACAGAATATCGCCACAGATACCAGAAATTTTATCGCAGAATAATATCTGAAAGTAAACAGAATAACTGATAAATGAATGCATTATATTTTGTAATACTCCCAATTAACGTCGAAACCTAAGTAACCCGAAGTCATCTAGGTTTTTCCTTTCATTAATGAGTGGAAGCAAGCTCGTACCAGGACTCTTTAATGAAGGCATAAAAGCTCAACCTTCCCAAGCATCCTCTTAACTAAAGATCTCCATATCAGTACAGTCATAGACAATCCAAAAGACATGCCTTTTGGATTGTCTATGGTACAGTCGAGCTCGTATATGCCTTCAAATGAAGTGACTAAGCCGAAGTGAAACTGTGGTCAGCAGAAGTACAAGCATGTAACCACGTAACTATTTTACTTCATGATCCCATTTTGACCGTTGCTAAAGGGAAAGTCTAAGACTATTATTAGTAAAGGGAAAAATTCAGAACGAGAACCTACTTGGATTTTGGCAGATTAAGCGTAACGCTTCCTTTGCACTCATCTTGAAATGTCATGTATCCGAATATTGCAATATTAAAATATAGTACTATCACTATAGCCAAACCAATGTTTACTATGCGAGGAAAATGACTTGCATTCTTTGTTTGATTTTCTAAAGGCAGAATCTATAATATATAAAATAACATTCCAGGGTTTAAAAGAAGGGACAATATCGTTACAGCACAATTTACTTAGTTTTTCTGAGTCAAACGATAATTGGCATACTATAGATCTCCCTAAAATAGTTTATTTTGAAGCTGAAATACCTACAATCGCTATTGCCTCGAAGGCGTATGTCGAAGTGCCAAAGAAGAGTGGCAAATCTCCCCAGTTTGAAAATTTCTCTAATTCCGAAGGACTCTGCAGGTGACCGTATAAATACTGATAAATTGATATTAGAACAATAACCATAATGATGTTCGCTAACCAAGACAACCAAGTTAGTGATTCCAAATCTCTGATTAAACAAAATATGATAAGAAAAGGCAAGATGATTGGAATGTATAACTTTGTCTTTATGTCGACTGCATCAAACTCGACCATACCCTAAGTGAAGAAAAAAGTATGCGTGATAATATTATGTGTAACATTATTAGCAAAACGAAGATTTTATTGCCCTGCGAAGAAGTTTCCTGCGAGAACGTTAGTTCGTCATTAAGACGAACGCTTCAATTCTTTAGTTGTCTCATAGTAGCCTTTTGACGCCCTAATCTTATAACATCGAATGGCTTAGTCTCCAGACTTGAAAATGGCTGAACTATTCCTTTCAGCTGACAAAAGTGTTTCTCACTGTTCAAACGTTCAAGTAGGTCAGGTCTTCACTTTGAGACCCATCTCAAGCACCAACTATAATCAAACCTAAAAATCCTGATCGTGCTTCCTCATCATTGCTATACTATATAGACATACTCACATCGTGTAGATTTTCAGCGATGAAGAGAACATATGCAGTACAAGCTCCTAACTGTGTCGCACATATCAGCGTGTTCACGAAAGCACTAAAAATATTACTGGATAGTTCAGAATTTGAACCCCGTGGTAGTATATTCATTTAATTAACCAGTTATCATCATAGTAATTAGTAAGGTAAGAGAGGTAACCCCCTTCCACGACAGTCAATACCAGTCCCCTATTGCCAAATTAATGGCTAGTAATAGTAAATCACCGAATGTATTACCTTCCATGATAAGGATATTCAGGAAAGAATTTCTTCACGCACTCATCTGCAATCTCTCCGTAGTTAAATGCTGATTTGCCTGTCCTGTATAGAATGTATATCATGCAGTAATTAGTTACAAAGTTACCGCGGTAACTTACTTTAAATACAAGCAACATATAAAAATACATAATATGATTTATCGAAAATCGAAAATTTTATCTGTCATATAATATAGAGAACTTGCTACATGGGCGTGTAGGTCTGCATTCGACTTATGATATATATTAAATGAACATAATACATCTTCGCTTTTGGTGATATTCCCCGATAATCACAGAGCCTAAGGCGACTATAACACCTGAAGGTGAATATAACAGCATAATACGTCAAATTTGACCAATCAGAATGTAAATTTGTTATATTCACTTGTGCAAAAATACTAAAAATCATTAGGCAAATTTCTGCTCGGGAAACTGTACGGAAGTCCAAGCCCCCGTTCATCCCCTTCATCCCCTGGTTCATCCCGATTCCTGATATACCATTATTATCCTATAGTTGACCCATGCAGTGTTGGAAGTTGAAAGTAATTTTATACCTACTTGACACAAAGACGTTTCGAACAACTTAGAAGCATATGTATACAATGAACAGTAACAAGAGCAATGAGAGCCAGTAGCAAGGGTCCAACCTTAAAATTTATGGTGTCCGTTATCAATACATGCGTGCACACTTGTTATTCTGTATTGTTTGAATTTGTTATGGGTTTTGGGGGGGGTTACGAGGATGCTATAATGCGCATGCGCAGTCACAAAACAAGTTTTAAATTAGTGCACAGCTGCCTGCTTTACATGCACTGTTGTGTGGAGCGCAGTTTGCGTGAATGAAAGCGCTGAGAATGCGTTTCAGTTCAAATCATAAATTGAACGATTTCAGTAAAATAGAAAAGCGTGTATTTCTCACGCGTCATGAGCTAAAAGAACCTCTTACCAAAATTCCTGCATTCATCAGAGCTTTAGGGAGTCCTAGGATGCCAATTCCAACACTTGCTTTCAGAAGATGCATCAGTGATTGTGTATCTCTTGAGAGTAAAATGTACATGAAAAAAAAATCGCATTATTTAAATTACTCATATATTACTATACATTTAAATTACTTATTTCCATCATTTACTTTCTTACGATGACGAATATTCACAGCTTATAGTCACCGACATTTTTTGGGGGGGTTCTTACAAAGTGGTAACATTAGTAAATTACTAGAATGAACTTATTGTTTTTAATGCTTTGTTCAGGGTAAAAAACTCCCTAAATCTGATTTTCTTACGTTAGGTATTTTTCTTTTACTCTCCCTTGCTTGCATATGATATCATCGCTTTCTTCACTTCCATGACGTTGATATGATCCATCTGAAAGTCTTTTGGATACTAAAAGAGGCGTGCTCTCATGGCTAATCTCCATCTAAAAAAGCATGTATATATGATCTATGATGTGGTCCACTTCATCAAAGAAAATCTATGATGTGGTCCATTCATCAAAGAAACCGAAAGTGCCAAACGTGCTCGCTTTTGGACAGGGAAATTTTTTTGACAAATTTACTGAGACAAATGCATTTAGACAAAAGATCGAATCCTCTTTTCGAAAATTCCACGATGAGTCTATCAAACCTCAAAGGAATCGTTTCCAGTCAGCAGTCGCCGGTTGTAAGAAAGCTGGATAACACCATCCACCATCACCGAATAGTGAACCGCTTAAAGACTAGTTTCCACTCAGGAAAATTCTCCTTTGGATCGGACAGGACAGGAAAGTTTCCTTTGTATAAACGCCGCCTGACAACTCACCGACAAAGGAAATTTTCCTGTCCGTTCCGATCCAAAGGAGATTTTTCCTGAGTGGAAACAAGCCTTAAAATGTATTCGTCCGAAGAGGCTCTAACCATAGTTAATTCGAAGTATACCAAACTACAGGCAATTTAGAGTTATTTTTTAAAAAAATCTGGTGAATAGCGCTATTCAGATTATTAATATCATGTGAGAATACGGCAGGCTGCTTCCGCCAGATGCTGCTGATACGCTATTGGCTGCAAGTGGCTCACACCATGTTTTAAAATCATGCCTGATCAGTTAACTGTAACCAAATATCAAAGGTTATTTTATGTTGAGTATAAAGCTCAATGGTCAAAAGCAAAGCATGTATATGAGGTGGGAGATAATTCCTTACCGCATCTCATTCCCGGGTATATTAAAACTGGATAGTGAGTAAATCTCGAATATAATCCGACATAAATATTTCTACTTTAAATGTAAACGCAGCCGTTCCCATTCAGGTCTTATATTTATACAGTCCAGTTTTCTACAATTTAAACATACCTCCTACTTGATTAAAAAACCTAACTATACGTTACACCTTGTCCTTGTCCCTGGGCAGGCAGTGGCCAGTGCTGTTCGTGAGAAAGTATAGACTTACATTATTATTAAAGTATAGACTTATATTATTATGCTGTGTAGCCTGTGTAGCAGCATCACTGGATCTGTTTATATATTTGTGAAATTATAGTAGAAAATTTATATTGTCTGGTGCTGGAAACAAGTGTAACATTCGGCGTTTGAGTACTGATAAAGTCACACAGTCCTGTGATGAGTAGGATCGATGGTCTGATGGTCATATTGGAAATTATTCAGGAACAACAAATCACACAAAAGCCAACATGGTCAATTCTATTTACATATTTTTTGTTTACTATTTTACCTGGGCTGAGGACTTCAAGTTTAATACTTTAATCTGGACTGCATTTCACAATGAAGACGAGTAGAGTACGTTTGATATTTAGTAGTGGAGTGACAGCAGGTATAGATGATCGATCTCGTTTGTTTATAGTTTTCAGTATTGGCCGCGGGGCCTACTAATGTTGCGTGCCGGTCTGTCAACGTAGTCGAATTATTTCGTCTGGCTTTGTGGCTATTCGGAAATGTTTAATTTAATATTCAATGACTGTATAATGACTATAATGTCATGAATGGCAAGAGACAGAGTGACAGGGGCATGTTGTAGGGGCATGCCGCGGGGTCAACCTGCATTGTAACTTGTACGCCATAATCAGCCGTTTTTTAAAATTGCACCCGTATGAAAATTTTATTTATTTCATTTTGACGAGTATCATAACCGTCTTCAGTCAATCTCCTGACTATCCCCTTGCCCCTCATGATGAAAACCCTGGGTTGCGAGAGAGGTTAAAAATACATTTTGACTTAACTCTTAAGGGACTGTTTTTGGGACGTAAATTAAAACTCGCCCTCCAATATTGGATGCAGTTCGTAAATCTCGTCATTACCTACATTCAACAACTACGACTTCAAAATGAAAAATCGGTTAGATTAACTTTTGACTTTTGTTGTGATCTTTATGCATTTTTAAAATTTTTATTACATGAAATTTCTCAGATTTCTTGTATCCGCTGATAAAGATGATGTCTATAATTCTGTGGGCTCATCAAAAAACTACAGAAAAGATTTTAAAATTATAACAATCGTACCTGTAGTGATGGTACTGTTTTATTTACAAATCGATCGAGTACTAGCAAAATTACCGAAATGACTACTGATCTGAGTGCTGAGGATGTGAAAAATAAGTTGTTTCACTCTCTAAAGACCCGCGGTGTTTTGGATTCTCTTAAGGTAATAATAAAGGTATATAAATATCCTCGCTCATTCCTCAATAAAAATCGTTCACGTGACAGGAGAGGCTTAGTCATATATATATATATATATATATATTTTTTTTTTTGTGGCGCGAAATTTGAATCTAATTTGAATCTATTCTCACCTTTGCACAAATTTCAACAATATATTAATTCCACCAATCAAACTGCTCTAAACTATAATTTAGTCTCAATTAAGAAAACAACTAATAGAAGAACTTCAAGATACCACAGGGATACCAGTGCTTCACCCTAAAATAAAAACATCACCTGAGGTGGAAAGTGGTGAAGCTCCATTATTTCAAAGAGCAGCTAATAGCATTGTTGCAGAATACTTAAAGAAATGTCATTTTGAGTACACATTGTCAACATTTCTACCGGAAAGTGGAACATCTGTGGATAAGGTTTATATATGTATAAAATTTATATTATGAAATATTTAAAATTATTTACAATTTATATGAAATATTTATCTAAATCTATTTAAGAATGATTGAAATGCTATGCTTAAAATGCTAGACATGTGACAGTCTGAGTGTGCATGTGAATATACATGATCATGATTTATGGTGCAGTGACAAGTGATTGTGCCATGAGAACAAATCTGCCTCTTCGTGCACTTGTTTATTGTTCTGTTTATTATATTGATGTAGGCCTGGGCCTTACTCTTGCTAAAAAATACAATTTAAGAAATTTTGGTTAAAAATGTTCAAACAACATCACCAGCGATACTGTATGTTCAAATACTCATGGTAAATTGTTGTAGAAAAATCAAATGCTCATTCATGGTAGATTGTTGTAGAAAAATCCTTGTCTAAGTTTAAAAATTTAAAAATTAAAAAAATGAAAATCAACCACAGCTAGGGAAGCCATTTGCAAATTGCAACATGAATTTACCTGCCATATTTTGGTATGTTATCCCTAAGTGTGTAATGCAAAGATATATCATACAAGCATACAATATCTCCAATTTAGTTGTATATAATTTTCACAATTGTTCTAATTTTTAACAAAACACTATATATTTTAGATGTTTTCAAGCAAAGAAATTTTGCAGCTGCTTAACATTGATCATAATTCAAAGCTACATCATGATCTGGTAAGTTGCTTTATACCAAGATCTGGTATGTGTACGTAACTTTCTTTTTTTTTATAAGTCCTCAAGTTTTAAATTTCTCTTCAAGGAACAATCTCTTAGTTCAAGAGAGAATTCAAAAGGTCAGCTCTTGAAATATTTTTCAAATTTGCTACTGCACACTAACAGTGTATTCATGCCATTAAATTACAGATTAATTAATTAATTTTAAACTTTTCCTAGGATTTTTATGGCACTTCTTAGGGGAAATAGCAGCTTCCCAAAATAGACTAAAATGCGATGTTGATATTCAAACTGAAGACATTTTATCTACGCAAATTTCAAGTTCCTTAGGTATGTTACTATATATTGTTATTAACGATTTTAATTTTTTTTTTTTTTTTTTTTTTTTTTTTGTTATTTTATTTGTTGTTTGTCACTAATGAATCCCACATCCCATGTGTTGTTGCTGGAAACATATCCTAATCATATCATAAAAAACCTTTATATCTATCTATATATATATCAAAGATAGTTGATAGTTCTATTTATGGAAAGTGTCTTTGTTTTTATTTTTATTATCGCATTTCACATTTGTAGAAGAGAGGTTAAGCAGCGTTGAAAAGGAGTACTTCGAAAAGCAAAAGTTAGTTCAATTAGATAAAAACCAAGGATTGGAGGAAAGATTGCTGGCCATGCAAAAGAAATATGAAGAGCAAAAAAAGAATGAACTAGAGCAGGAGGTACAGTGTTTCAGTCTGTCTGCTACCGCTCTGCGTGTTTGAATGCCAAAGTAAACCAGGGAATAGTTTTTCACTGTTTCAAATCAAGTATTGGATGGGCTGTAAATCTCTTATTGAGAAGGGCAAAATATTTCCCACATTAAAAAAAGGAAATTTGTCTGTAAAAAAGGTCTTTGTGATAATTGTAACCTTTAATAAAAAATCCTCACTTTTTCAAACTTCTTTCAAGGTAAAGGCATTTCGAGCCGGTGAGTTATCCAGACTGAGAATGGAGGAGAGACAAAAATATGAAGCGAAAATTAGTGCAATTCGCCTAGAGGTGAGAATTTTTGAGTGCTGTAGATGACGTCCTATAAAAACGCATCATGGAGTAGAGATTTTGGTGTGTGAGTGTGTGGATATAATCCTAAAAGGCGAGACAGGCAAATTGTATAGTTAGTATAAAAAGTACCGCAGAGAAAATCCTTCTTTACATGCACGTGGTTTTTTGCAGTATGTTGAAGAATTTAACGCAAAGAATCAAGCTTTGAGAGCATTAGAGAAAGAGATGTTGGAGAGGATAAGAAAACTACAAGAGGTATACCTACAAAAACTACAAGAAGTATACTCTCCTTTACATGGCTGGAAGCTTATAGAGCCGTTTTGGAACGTCGAAACTTTTCATGAGGAGAATCGAACGCAAGTGAACTCAAACAAAGACTTTAGCTTATTACATTAGGTTCGGCGCATGAAAATTTCGTTTGCTGGAAACAGGTCTTATCGATGATGGTTAAGAACTATGTTATACACACCATACATACTCTAATCGAGTAATGTAGAAAGCGAACATACAGTACAGAATGACATTCCAATCATCAAATATTTTTCAGGTCCATCAATCTGAAGCTTACGGGGAAAGACAAAAGTTCTTGGATGAAATACGAACTTTTAAAGAGCGTGAAGCTGATTTAAAAAACAGAACTTTGATGCAGGAAAGGTAACACATAAGCTTTCCGCATGCAGTTGCGTATTAAACATATTTGGGTCGTTTTTTCCAATCAGATTGCAGAATGATATCTAGGTAGTGCATGCGAGGTGGGTACCTAAAAATTTAGAGCATGATACACCGATATGGAGTTCATTCTCATATAAGCGCGGCAGCGTCTTGTTGAAGTCGTCCCGAAGAAAAATAGTGCACAAAGTCAAAATTTGAATGAAACTAATATTTATTCATTTAAAGCAAGAATAATGTAATCAACTAAGGCTTAAGAAAACATAAAGACGTATATCTTGTAAATATCATCCAGAACCTCAACTTCGATCCATATTATCCTCATGACGAATTTGTCTCACAGCGCCAGGAGCTGTCATTCCTTTTTGGGATGCTCCCTTGTTTGAACCCATTTGCAGCCCAATTATACCTTGACCAGCTTTCATTTGCTCATCAGTAAAATCTCGAACATTTGGCGTGGATTCGCCTCCCGTTACCTGGAAACATGATAGTATACATTTACAGAAATCTGCTCGTGCATGGCGCGTTGTATTTGACCCCGAATTCGTGCTGTTCAAATGTTCACTTATGAAATTTGACCGGTTCTACGTGTTCATGCGTTTAACGAATTAACGTTGCTAATTGCAAACTAGGTTTAAGGTGAAAACTGGGATTAGAGTTTGGGTGAATAATAATGAGCAAGTGACGTCTATTTTTTGTGACAGAAATTCAGTGGTTATTTCATTCCAGCTACACATAAAAAGAGTGGATAAAACAAAATACATTAATTTTGTATATACCTTTCTTTTGACTGCTAAAATGCCATCAATAACCTGAGAATTAATAAAAAGATAAATTAGAGAAAAATAGTACAGAAATGGCTTAGGACTAAAACGTTTTGCAAGGCTGGACGAATATACATCAATGTGCTAGCAATTAATAATGTAGGCGAGAAATTTAAAGCAATGCAGAATTTTTTCAAGTGAGAGTCAAATCAGGGGTGGTTTGCGGGCATTTGTGAGGATTACTGTAATGTAGTTCATAAGTTACCCCAGGTATATTAGTAGCCTCATATAAGTCAACTGTTTGGAATAAGTCGATCTTGTTAACCCCAATTGACTGGCAAAATTGCAGGAAATTTCCAATATTTTCCATCTAGATGAAATTGAAATTATATATTACTCACAAGTCACAACACTTATATAATTGAACTGAAGTTTTGATGTCTATTTGATGCACACTTAACGTGAAAAGAAATTCTGGGATTAACCTGTTACAACCTAAGGAGAGCTTAGACACTGCTTAATTTATAGATTGCAAAATGCATACCATTTTGAAAGCCATCTTCGACTCATTGATTTTCTTTACAGATCCAGGCTGAAGTGCATTTGCTAAGCTAAGTAATTTAAATAGATTTAATTTAATTACAAATAAGCAAACACTCATCTGCACACTATCAATGGCAGTGGCAAAACTTTGAAATATAGCTACTTACTCGCATAAAATAACACCATCCTTCAAAGACTCATGGAAACCTCCAGGGAAGGATTTTCCTGTCGTACTTTCAATAAACTCTTTAGCTTCCTTTTCCAATTCTGGGTCATATTTTCCAGCTTTCTAAAATTTTTCAAAACGTACTTTTTGGTTCGGGGGGTAGCTATATTCTCATTTCTGTTAAAATTGACATCCGATATTAACATTAATAGGAGATTTTTCGTAGTCTTTACTCTTTCACTTTCAACAAATGTGAATGCTAAGATGGCGTGTCTGCCTATCCACGGTGTAGTGAAAGAAAGGGGTGGAGCTCTTGAGGCTTAATTCCTTGTTAAAATTGTTATGTATGTTGACGAGTTATTAGTTCATACTAGAGGTATGCGGCACGTTACTGTTTTGAAAAACGTATTCAAATGCTATATAGCTCTGGCATAAATAAAATCTATACTGACAGAAGACGAAGAAGAAAACAACTGTAGAAATTGCATGCATAGCTATTTTAAGACTGACCTCCTACGGGTAGCCGATCGAGTAAACTAAATAATCTAGCTTAACTGAAGTTCGCGTAAACAATATAAGTACGTATGTGTGCTTGCTGTAAACATTGTAATTCTTTAATGGACTTCAATATTTATAATTATTATATGATACGTGTTAAATAGGAAGTGTTTGGTCACGATATATCAAATTAAATGCATACTCATGCAGGACAAATTTCCAAAGCATACATGGAAATCAGATGAAACATGCATCGATTACTCGCTTCTCCAGCGATATTTTTTCTGTCTTTTCAATGTGACAGCCATATAACATTTAAAATTTACCATACGAAGGAACAGAAACGGTTACAGCTATTAAAGATTCATATTACAAACTGTATTTATTTTAGCGCTTTTTGCAAAATATGTTTTATCACCTTTCTTGCTATATCAGCAGTCATTCCATAGCCTCTTGGTCGTTCTGCCATTTTTACTGCAGCTAATACTTTTTACTACTTTAGTACGACGATCCCTCTCCACTGACTGCAAGACACAGATGTATTGCCTGTTTAAATAGCTGGACAATTTAAGTAATTTATCCACGCCCCAACGTTATTACCATATGACGCAATCAAACCCGAAACCTTGTAAAAGAATGTGCGGAGTTTGGAATTATTATTAAAAGGGTTTTATCTATCCACTGGTATCTGGCAAATAAAATGTGTTTAACTTCAGGGGATTTTAGTTTAGGAAAAAATAATGTTTGAGTAACATAGCAAGAAAAGACGTTTCTGGCAAATCTCAGCCGGAAATAATATAGCTAAGGAAATTTGAGCATTTTAGAGCTGAGCATTTGTAGCATTCTGACAGACCCGAGTTATGACCATATGTGGTTAAAAGGTCATATATGGGTCATTAATATTTCATTTTGTAAAAAAATGGTTCCGAGTCTGTCTGATATGTTTGATTGTCTGCAAATCACAAAGTATATGTCACTAAGCATTGGTACGCATTTATATCAGCGTTCAAACAACAATTTCAAAATGTGCCGTATTTTTGAAATGAATTTCTTATACACAAGTGGATGTAATATAAAAAGACCCTAGATCGAATCAGTAGAATGTCATGACTCTGTCCACGGTAGTATATCAGCAGGTTATCGTTAGACAAAACCAATAAAACAAATGTTTAAGTAGTGTTTTGGATAAAACAATGTATATCAGCGGGAAATGTTTAAAAATGCAAATTAGACCAGCTTTGGTACCAGCATGAGTTCATTAAATTTCCAAGTGTATTTTTCACAGACAGACGAGCCAAATTACAATGCACAGCTAGTCTGCCATCGATAGCCGATTAAACGTTTAAAGATTTGCAAAACATTGAAGCATTCAACGGCAAACATTACATCATGCATAGTTTGACATTTATAAAGTAAATTTGCGTGGTTACGTGCTCGTAAAATAGCATTCGGCATGACAGAACATACCACTTAAAACATTCTTTCACCATGGTTACCTTCCCTCATGCACAAAGATATAAAATTACATCCAGAGCACTGGCAACTTTTTACAAGAAATAAGCTTTTCCATGCATTATTGAGTGTGTCATTTCCGTTATACTAAGTTACTAACATTCCAAAATCCCTTTTTCTATGATTCTAATATAAAAGAAGGAAGCCTATTCACCCTGCCAAGGAATCTGGTAAATTTTAGGTCATATTTCACATCGTTTGAATATTTTAATTTCTTGACAAAACCCTTCCCAGACCCACAAAACATGCAAGTAGTCTTTGTTTTATATATAACATGCATGTTTGGATCGGTACAGACGGTACTACGTGGCATGGTTATATAGACTGGAAATCTAATTTTGTATTTGACTTTAGTTGCTTAGTGAATTTTAGTTATTTTACTTATAGTCACATATCATTCATTGCTCCTCTTTTCTATTTCGCGTTGAAACAGAGTTTTTGGTATTTTAAGATTTTTGGCATTCATTCCTTTGCTCGAATGGAAGGGAAGCCATTAATGGACGGCCCAGTGCAAACGGCCAATTGAATATGAGACGATCGAATATTTCAACAACATTCACGTTGACAAAATTTTAATGTCGTATAGACTTTTGGTGCTTAAAAACCTAAACATATTTTTCCTAAAGTTCATTCAAATAAAGTTAGTTGCCGCCGTTTTAATGTGAAATTTCAAAGTTTCCAATATTAAATGCATTCGTCTAAAAAAATTAGGCAAACGTTCATTCGTGTTATGTTAAATATATATATATATATATATATATATATATATATATATATATATATATATATATATATATATATATATACACCCATTTGCAAAAACGTTGGCCGCAGATAGATAGATAGATAGATACTCGAAGTCTAATTAGAATTGCATATGATTACATTTGCATGGAATTCAATCATATTACACAACATATGCAATTCTAATTAGATTTCGGGTATCTATCTATATATCTATCTGCGGCCAACGTTTTTGCAAACGGGTGTATATATATATATATATATATATATATATATATATATATATATATATATATATATAATTAAATAAATAAATGTTTAATCTAAAAATATTGTCATGGCTACACGGTGTTTCACGCTCAAGGCGATCATCAGGCGAATATATATATATATGTATATATATATATATATATATATATTTGTGGTAGGATATGACACCGAGTGGCAGCCCGCCATGGCGAGCAGAAAATTTTACTTGACCACGGCAGGATTTGAACCCGCGGCCTTCGGTATACTAGTCCGATGCTCTGCCAACTGAGCTACATGGCCAACACGGTCAATTAGAATTTTCTGCTTGCCATGGCGGGCTGCCACTCGGTGTCATACCCTACCACAAATCATCCCTATTCCCGAGTACCATCTTCATGCATATATATATATATATATATATATATATATATATATATATATATATATATATATATATATAGAAAAAGGTTGCTTGTCAACTAGAGAGATATTATTCGAACATAACCACTGCTTTGTATTTTTTAATATCACTTTATTCACAAACGTTTTCGCTCTCTTAGCTCTTCAGGTGATAAATGATGACAGTGGTTATTTTGTTTACTTACATATAGTGTAATATGATACATCCTATTTAGTGTGACTATGTTAAAGTTGTGTTATTTACAAAGATAAAATTAGCATGCATTAAGATTAGGTTCTAGTGTTCTAATTATTTGTTTCTCTTTGGTCTCTCTTATTAGTCTATTAGCGTTGATACACTTATAGATCGGCATAATGTTAAAGTTGCCTTTGCTACATTTAGATAGGTGTTCACTGACGGTTAAATGTCGATATTCTTTGTGTCTAATATGCTGCTTATGCAAAGTTACTCTGTTTCTGAGGTTTTCAGTCGTTCCCACGTAGAAACTGTTGCAATTTGGGCATATTATGATGTAAATAACTCCTTTAGATTTACAGTTCATGTCATATTTTACCGTCCACGTTTTTCCATTCTTCAGTTCAATTTTGTCCCCGGTGATTATATGAGGGCATGTGCCGCAACGAGGTTCATTGCACTTTGTCACAGTTGGCGTGGCGTTGGACGTTGAAAATTCCGCTTTCGTTAAAATTCCTTTTAAGTTTTTCGGTTGACGTCTGGTTACAATAAGATTTGTTTTCTCCATTGTACTCCTTAATTCGTCTGACAAATTTAAAACTTTCACTGTTTCCCTTACTTTCCCAATAATGCTAGGGTTATTTGGATTGTGTGTTAACACTAGAGGTAATATTCTGCCTTCGGGTTCCTTCGCCTTTGGTGTTCTTAATTCCTCGATACTTTGGCCTTTCGCTTTTTCGAAGCTTGAGTTAATTAGCGTTGTTGGATAGTTTCGACGTACGAGAAATATTCTAAGTTCTTCCAAGCGTTGTTCACGAATTTCATGGTTGGCGATAATCGTGCAAATTCGTCTAGCTAATGTGTAGGGGATGTTGGTCTTACAGTGTTTGGGATGGCAGGAGTTGAAGTCGAGGTACTGGTGGGAGTCTGTTCCCTTGTAGTAGATGTCTGTGTAGATTGTTCTTCCGTCTTTACATAGTAAGATATCTAGAAAAGGTAGTTGTGACTCATGTACTTCCATTGTAAATCTGAGTTTCGGATGAAAGTCGTTCAAAAGTGTGTGTAGTTCATCAAGTTCCTCCCGTGTTTCGTCCCAAAATAGGAAGCAGTCGTCCAAGTATCTTTTAAATATGGCGATGAATTGTTCTCGTTGTTCCGTGCCATAACGGATCTCGAATCGTTCATATAGTTTTCTTTCTAGGAAACCCATCACCAATGTTGCATATGTTGGGGCCATTTTTGTGCCCATGGCGGTTCCTTGAATCTGTCGATAATGTTGGTCATCGAATTTGAACGTATTTTCTTTTAGCACGATGGATACGGCATTTTGAATAAATCCTTTCGAAAATGGGCGGGCAAGATGTGCCGTGTAATTATCTAGCCAGTATTCCATAGCTTCTAGACCTAGTTCGTGTGGGATATTTGTGTAAAGATTAACGACGTCAAATGACACTAGTAATGTTTCATCGGTTACTTCATTTGGTACGTAATTGAGAAAATCTAGGTCATCGCGGATGTAACTAGGGACTTTTGCGCAGAGTGGCTTTAGCACGATGTCAATAAAATTGCTTAAACGGTGCGTTGGCGAGCTTGGTCCGGCTACAATGGGTCTCATTTTCAAGTCCGATGGAGGGTTTAATTTCACGTACTCGGCATTTTGTTCTTTTATTGCGGCTTTGATACTAGCGGATTTGTGTATCTTTGGGAGTCCGTAAAAGTTAGAAGTTTTGTAGGTAAAATTATTGATATAGTTGATCTCGTCATTGGTCAGCTGTTGTTTGTGTTCTCTGGTTAGTTTGTTGATTTTCTTCATAGTGTTGCTGTCCTCGTTGCCGTTAGGTAGTTCTGTGTAGTTTTCCGTGTCATTTAATAGTTCAAGTATTTTCCCTTTGTAAAAGTTTCGGTCCATTATTACTGTCGCGCCTCCCTTGTCAGCTTCCTTTATTATAATTGTGTTGTCTGCCTTTAAGTTCTGCAAGGCTTTTCTTTCCGCCGCGGAAATATTACTTGTGATCGTCTTTCTGTCGCTTTGATCGTGGTTCAGTTCATTCAATTGTGTGATGTTTTCGATGACCATATTAAGCTCTCGGTTGTTGGATCTTGGTGGCACGAAGTTGGATTTATTCTTTACCAGAGACTTGTTTGTTGTTTCATTTTGGTTGTCATTAGTGCTGAAATGTTCTAACAGGCGTAGTTTGCGTGAAAATTCTTGCAGGTCAGCTTCCAACTCTTTCCGATTTTCTTTTGGTGTAGGTGTAAACTTTAATCCGCGCTTTAATAAGTTTATTTCAATGTCACTCAGGTTTTTCGACGAAATGTTTATGATTTTCGGCTGTATTAGAATTGGCTTCTCTGTATTTGGTAGTGTGCCGGCCGGCTGAATGGGTTGTTGAATTGGTGTCGCGGAATGTGATTGTGGCCGGGGATTGACGCTAAAAAATGGTTTCTTTCTCGGTTATTAATCTCGGTATTTCTTGGTTGAAATTGGTCATGATTTTGGTTTGAAATTGGTCACAATTTCAACCAAGAAATACCGAGATTAATAACCGAGAAAGAAACCATTTTTTAGCGTCAATCCCCGGCCACAATCACATTCCGCGACACCAATTCAACAACCCATTCAGCCGGCCGGCACACTACCAAATACAGAGAAGCCAATTCTAATACAGCCGAAAATCATAAACATTTCGTCGAAAAACCTGAGTGACATTGAAATAAACTTATTAAAGCGCGGATTAAAGTTTACACCTACACCAAAAGAAAATCGGAAAGAGTTGGAAGCTGACCTGCAAGAATTTTCACGCAAACTACGCCTGTTAGAACATTTCAGCACTAATGACAACCAAAATGAAACAACAAACAAGTCTCTGGTAAAGAATAAATCCAACTTCGTGCCACCAAGATCCAACAACCGAGAGCTTAATATGGTCATCGAAAACATCACACAATTGAATGAACTGAACCACGATCAAAGCGACAGAAAGACGATCACAAGTAATATTTCCGCGGCGGAAAGAAAAGCCTTGCAGAACTTAAAGGCAGACAACACAATTATAATAAAGGAAGCTGACAAGGGAGGCGCGACAGTAATAATGGACCGAAACTTTTACAAAGGGAAAATACTTGAACTATTAAATGACACGGAAAACTACACAGAACTACCTAACGGCAACGAGGACAGCAACACTATGAAGAAAATCAACAAACTAACCAGAGAACACAAACAACAGCTGACCAATGACGAGATCAACTATATCAATAATTTTACCTACAAAACTTCTAACTTTTACGGACTCCCAAAGATACACAAATCCGCTAGTATCAAAGCCGCAATAAAAGAACAAAATGCCGAGTACGTGAAATTAAACCCTCCATCGGACTTGAAAATGAGACCCATTGTAGCCGGACCAAGCTCGCCAACGCACCGTTTAAGCAATTTTATTGACATCGTGCTAAAGCCACTCTGCGCAAAAGTCCCTAGTTACATCCGCGATGACCTAGATTTTCTCAATTACGTACCAAATGAAGTAACCGATGAAACATTACTAGTGTCATTTGACGTCGTTAATCTTTACACAAATATCCCACACGAACTAGGTCTAGAAGCTATGGAATACTGGCTAGATAATTACACGGCACATCTTGCCCGCCCATTTTCGAAAGGATTTATTCAAAATGCCGTATCCATCGTGCTAAAAGAAAATACGTTCAAATTCGATGACCAACATTATCGACAGATTCAAGGAACCGCCATGGGCACAAAAATGGCCCCAACATATGCAACATTGGTGATGGGTTTCCTAGAAAGAAAACTATATGAACGATTCGAGATCCGTTATGGCACGGAACAACGAGAACAATTCATCGCCATATTTAAAAGATACTTGGACGACTGCTTCCTATTTTGGGACGAAACACGGGAGGAACTTGATGAACTACACACACTTTTGAACGACTTTCATCCGAAACTCAGATTTACAATGGAAGTACATGAGTCACAACTACCTTTTCTAGATATCTTACTATGTAAAGACGGAAGAACAATCTACACAGACATCTACTACAAGGGAACAGACTCCCACCAGTACCTCGACTTCAACTCCTGCCATCCCAAACACTGTAAGACCAACATCCCCTACACATTAGCTAGACGAATTTGCACGATTATCGCCAACCATGAAATTCGTGAACAACGCTTGGAAGAACTTAGAATATTTCTCGTACGTCGAAACTATCCAACAACGCTAATTAACTCAAGCTTCGAAAAAGCGAAAGGCCAAAGTATCGAGGAATTAAGAACACCAAAGGCGAAGGAACCCGAAGGCAGAATATTACCTCTAGTGTTAACACACAATCCAAATAACCCTAGCATTATTGGGAAAGTAAGGGAAACAGTGAAAGTTTTAAATTTGTCAGACGAATTAAGGAGTACAATGGAGAAAACAAATCTTATTGTAACCAGACGTCAACCGAAAAACTTAAAAGGAATTTTAACGAAAGCGGAATTTTCAACGTCCAACGCCACGCCAACTGTGACAAAGTGCAATGAACCTCGTTGCGGCACATGCCCTCATATAATCACCGGGGACAAAATTGAACTGAAGAATGGAAAAACGTGGACGGTAAAATATGACATGAACTGTAAATCTAAAGGAGTTATTTACATCATAATATGCCCAAATTGCAACAGTTTCTACGTGGGAACGACTGAAAACCTCAGAAACAGAGTAACTTTGCATAAGCAGCATATTAGACACAAAGAATATCGACATTTAACCGTCAGTGAACACCTATCTAAATGTAGCAAAGGCAACTTTAACATTATGCCGATCTATAAGTGTATCAACGCTAATAGACTAATAAGAGAGACCAAAGAGAAACAAATAATTAGAACACTAGAACCTAATCTTAATGCATGCTAATTTTATCTTTGTAAATAACACAACTTTAACATAGTCACACTAAATAGGATGTATCATATTACACTATATGTAAGTAAACAAAATAACCACTGTCATCATTTATCACCTGAAGAGCTAAGAGAGCGAAAACGTTTGTGAATAAAGTGATATTAAAAAATACAAAGCAGTGGTTATGTTCGAATAATATCTCTCTAGTTGACAAGCAACCTTTTTCTATATCTACACTTGTATTTGGCACAACGCAACTTTTATATATATATATATATATATATATATATATATATATATATATATATATATATATATATATATATATATATATATATATATATATATATATATATATTTGTGCATTTTTTGCTCTTAATTGAGCCATGTGTTCACTTGTGGATATATATGTGTAAGGTGTATTTGTTCTTCTACACAAGCATGACCAACCGCGTAAGCAGAAAACTCTACTTGACCGCGGTGGGAATCGAATATATATATATATATAAATAAATAAATAAAAATGCAATTTTGTTGTTAATATGAAGAGTGCTCGATGATAACAAAGTAACAGAGCAGAAATATTTATTTATTGCTTAATAATATTTACAAATCGCTACTCAGAGTTTCACGCTAAGCGTTTTAGAGAGTAGTATCTCAATCGCTTGAAAATCGCATTAGCGTTGCGTGCAATTTTGTTGTTAATATGAAGAGTGCTCGATGATAACAAAGTAACAGAGCAGAAATATTTATTTATTGCTTAATAATATTTACAAATCGCTATATACTCAGAGTTTCACGCTAAGCGTTTTATAGAGAGTAGTATCTCAATCGCTTGAAAATCGCATTAGCGTTGCGTGCAATTTTGTTGTTAATATGAAGAGTGCTCGATGATAACAAAGTAACAGAGCAGAAATATTTATTTATTGCTTAATAATATTTACAAATCGCTATATACTCAGAGTTTCACGCTAAGCGTTTTAGAGAGTAGTATCTCAATCGCTTGAAAATCGCATTAGCGTGAAACTCTGAGTAGCGATTTGTAAATATTATTAAGCAATAAATAAATATATATATATATATATATATATATATATATATATATATATATATATTATATATATATATATATATATTATATAATATATATATATATATATATATATATATATATATAGCTACGCATATTCTTGAGAATCTTTCAGGAGTGTGTGTTTGTGCATTACTAGAATTTTAAGCCAGCTTGCATGGTGCTCTTTCCCTGTAAAGTTAAAACATTTGAATCGCCTGGTTATTTTAATTATAGTTACAAGCGATTTTACGGCAAGACCAACTCTCTTAGGGCCGGTTGTTCGAAAGGCTTTAGCATTAAATTTGTATCTTATGAATTAAATATGAACTTCCATTGACAATTAAGCTATTTACATCGATACATCTCAGCCCAGTTGTTCAATAAATATATAGTTTTGTTTTCCATTTTGAACTTATTCAGGTGGATAAGTTAAAAATGGAAAACAAAATGATCTATTTATTATCCAACTACATCAAAATATTTCAGCTCAGTTGTTCAATAAATAGATATTAAAGCTAAAGCTAAACGCTTTTTGAACAACCGGCCCCAGGTCTCTTGCTTGACCCTCATATGTATGGAACGTTATGGTATTTGATGGTTTGATTCCGTTCGCATATGTAATCGTGGAGTGGGTGGCATGCAACATTATTCCATTTACCAGTTTCGCTGTAAGGAACGACACAGAATTCCGAGTTAAGGTAATTTGGCTCATACAAGGCCCAATTTGTATAGGATGTTGGTACGCCATTGACAGTATAGAAAACCTTTGTATTGGGTTGGGGCAATCTTACGCCGATCCACGGAAAATACAAAGGTGGTGTTCTTGCTTGAGATAATCTCCAAATTTCGTGTTGTTCTGTGCTATCATCAGGAATGAATAAATCACCTTTGAGTGATTGACAAGCGGATCTAGCGTCGTCCCAGTTTAAGCGCGTGCTTTGAAAATAATAGCATGATGAGAAAAGTTTGAACCAACCATCTGGGCATGTAGTTTGGTTGACTACGCGAGTCTGAAATATTAAAAATATTATATTTACGGAAGTAATGCAGAACATGATGAAATAGTGTTATATAATCTAAAGGTGTGTTGACACGATCAGTTTTTTCAGGTCCAATTCACTGATGAATGTTTTATATTCTGTTGAAATGCAATGTATATATGGGAGCAAATCAATTAAAGCCAAACCTGTACTGCTTTATCTCAATAACATACTACATTACATACGTCGGAAGTGAATTAGATCTGAGAAAATTCGATCGTGCGAACGGACCTTGATTAATGCTTTTACAAGGCTAATCTGGGGGCGAAATGTTAGCCGAAAACTGATGACCACACCCAGTTGCCGCTTTTCTTTCAATTGTAACCATACGAGTCTTCTAATCGATCGCACCCACAGTTTTGCTGCCATGTTTATAATTATACACCGTATGTCATAATCAAGGAGGGTAGTGCATGCAACGTTGTGTAACTGCGTAGACAGCAAATAACTACCAAAAATATCATGCGTACTGAGTAATTGTAATATTAAGATAACTATTATAAGGTTATAAATTTAACAGTTTTTAAGTTTTTGTTTAGCTGGAACGGTTGATGGAAAAATGAGTAAACTATCGGTTCTCCGGCAGAAATCGAATTAACCTGCGCTTTTGTGATGCCGCTGCAATGCTCTTGCCACTGAGCTACAGAGGTAGCTGACAAGAGCAAGCGTGGTTTATGTGTATATGATGGTAATGCTGGGAATAGGTGAGGGTAAATCAATAATGATTCTTGGCACTTCACTCGATGTAGGTAAATTCTAGAGGTTGAAAGGGTCTTAATTTCAAGTGGAAATAACTGAAATTTTACCCTTAGAGCTTTGTACAAAGTCCATTTCCCTGTATCAATACTGGTTTGTTGAATATTTCCCATGTCTCCAACAAGAAGTTGACAATTTTTTTCGATTCTCGTTTCTGCCGACTTGTGGTTGAAACCTGTACAATTTTTCACGCGGAGACAACGGTGACTGCATTCCAGCATGGACGACACTGTTTCACTGGATAGGACATTAAGCACCAGATTACTACCGCCTATATATAATTGATAAACGTTTAATGCCATCTGAAAAAAGAAACTATATAATGGTGTAGGCATTTTTATCTGTAAGACGATTTAAATTTCACAGGTTTTCCGGCGCGCTTATATATAGAAAATGCCTTACTGGGAAATCCACGGAATTAAAATATACGTAGATAGATAAAATTTTTTGATGTATTAGATATTCAAGTGTTCAATAAAGCAAGCAAACGAAGACACGTATATTACATACATCAACTATTGCTGCATGGCCGAATTATGGGCAAACATCGGTTATTTTATTCTTACCAGTTTTTACTTTTCGAAAAAACGATTCCTGACTACTGTCACACAATTGAGTTAAAATAAACGCGCAAGATATCAAAGAGATTATCTTCATTATCATGCCAGGCGGCTTCGTTATCTCGCCAGACATCTTTAGCAAATGAGAAAATAAAAATGAGATGGCATGCCCTATAATTCCGTTCCCTGAATAAAATAGACAATGCGTCATAGCTGCTATGGCAACAAAAACATTCTGAATTTTAATAATATTCTTGTATGTTTGGATACACCACGTAAGTATTTAACACTGCAAAGCTTTCGGTCCCTTAACCCGGGCCTTCATCAGTGCAATTACCTGACGTGTAGATGTGTATTCAGGCATAATTGCACTGATGAAGGCCCAGGCTAACGGACCGGAATCTGTCCAGTATTAAATACTTACGTGGTGATATACCTTAATTATAATTTATATGCGAGGAAGAGAGTTGCCTTTTATTGTTCTGTCACTTATTCCTCCTACAGCGCAGTAAAAGAAAGAGAAAACAGTATGAATACAGTAGTATAAATATACGTGGTATTCCACAATTTGATTATTTAAATTGAAATTAATGAATTTTGTTCACGACGGAGTGTACTTGACGGAGTGTAAAATAATATTGATTTGTTATATTTATGATTTAGTACTCTAATTATAAATATTGATGAACTTCCATATCGGGCCCACCCGTTTAATTGGTCCTGTATTTTTTTCATAAATTAACCTGCATCTTTTCGCCATCGCTTCTGCGTGTGCGTGTGGTTAAGAGATGTGCATGGATAAAGGAAAAACACGGAAACAAATTTCTCTTAGCCATTGAGATTTTTCAATTTTATTTTTCGAAGATCGCAAAAGCTGGAAAAAGAGCGACTTATCAATGAAGCTGAAAAGATAAAAGCAAGAGAGGACTCATTGAAAGAGAAGGAAAAGCTACAGTCACAACGATTTGACGCCGAAATTGAAAGGTAATGCAGCATTTATAGGTTGTTGTTAGTTACTGGAGAACAATATAAAGTTGCTTTTGACCTAGAACGAAGTCAACGAACCCATCTTGGAATAAATCCAGTTAAGAGTGTTTACACTTAAATGCAATGCTGCGGGTACCACCCGGATTCGCTTGCGGCGAAGACCAGTTAGTGTAGACAAGCCTTTTAACACCATGGGAATCCTTATAGACGCTAAACAATTGAAAAACGAAGCGTCTTAATTTTCTAACATCCATGTGATTTTCATAAAATAGCTTCAAAAGTAACTATGAAAAAAATTATTTGGCCAAGAGTCGGGAGTTTTTACGACAGGAAACTCGATTGGAAGGTAAACTCAAATTCATAAGATCCCTGTAGCACTGCAGGGGGTGTTTCATGAATTTATTTAGAAACTCCCATTTAGATAAGTTGTCATGCAAATTGCTCGTGAGTTATTCTTCCCGCCCCCTTATGTCAGAAACCGATAGGCCCCTATAACAAAGTGTTGGCCTATTAAGTGTATGTAGAAATTATAATAATATAGTATTAAGAAATAGAATATATAGTATTAGAAAAAGAAACTTAGAGGCAAGGACTCGTTAAGTAGGCAGTAAGACAGATGAATTATTGTGAAGGAAAAGACTTGGTGGTTATATATAGACTAATATAGTAAGGATGATAATTATATATTATACCCATCATGCCTCATTCAAAACCTCATTCAAAACACTTATTATATTAAGATCGGTAAACATGCATGACCTTATGGGCAAAATGATAAAGTGTTTTGGGAAATTTCAGCGGAGAGATCAAAGCTGGACGGAGAGAGAGAAGAACACTTGAAATGCAAAGATGAACTTTCCATTTTTAAAGAAAAATGTTTACAGCTACAGGTATTTTATCTCATTTAGCTAGTGCATTCGCGTTTTACGTAGAATTCAAAACAAGATATCTTAATTGCTATAGTCTACAGTTGATGCATCACATTTGTTATTGGAGGATTTGAAACTACAAAAAGAGAATTTGGAAAAAAAGCTTACCGAGGTTAGTGTTACCATGCACCAGTAGTTGCCTCTGACCCTCTCGATCATAACGAGAATATACAACTTGCTGTTGGTTGATCGCAAAATACTTCCATCATTGTCGAAGCTTCGTTTCTATATTAACAGATGAAAGACTATCAAACACTGAAGAAGAAAGAAATTATTTTGACGAAGGATATTGAGCACTTAACTCAGTATGTTCCATCGTTATAAAGCCGTTTAAACCTGTGGGTTAATTTTTTTATGATTATGTTATTTTTCTACTCCCAATCTATAGACGTTTAACAGAATCTAATATACACTGCAAAGAACAGGAGAAAAGTGAGAAAATATATCTTTCTTTTGTTTCTTAACTTTTTTTGGTTATCATTTCCGTTGTTTCCAAACAAACAAAGAATTCTGCTAATTGGGTTTAACGGATATAATATTGGATGATTATAATTTTTGCTCTTTATCTTCATTTTCATTGGTTTTTACTTTTTATCTTTTCATTACTTTATTAGGGCACCATAAATTGGTTAAAGATCTGACTGAAAAAACTGGTAGACCTTCCAAAGAAATTGTAAGCATATACACCTGCATGGGATCATCTTCTGAAAAGCAATTTTGGTATTAAATTAATCCGCGTAGAAAGCAATTTAATTCTTATGTCCTTATAGCCATCTTATATGTTTAGATAGAAACAGTGAAAAGGAAACAATCCTTCACGATTCTCTCCACTTCACACCATTTGGTCAGTTCAAACGAATTTGTTTATTTCTTCTTTTCTTCAAGATGCTGTTACAGCAAGAGCTGGAAGAGGCTAAGAACAAATTTCATGAAAAAGAGAAAACTTCGTATAAAGAACGAAAATCTTTGGAAATACAATTGGAGTCTCAAGTAATCTTAAACGTTGTATTTAAAAATTTACTAAAGATGTATAGAAATTTTATATACATATTTGTAAGGAAACCAATTTTTTTGAAGTAGCCTTGGGAGAAATCTAGTTGGAACCAGCAAAGAATATAAAATAGGATAAGAATGGTATAAGGTTCCATCCAAGTTCAACATATTTTCATTGCATTTGATTAATGATTATATACTTTGAAACCTTCTATTCGATAGATCCAACGAGCAAATCATTTTCAAAAGACATGCGAAGAACAATTAAACACCCAGCGGTTTTTGGAAACGGAAATAGAAAATTTGAAAATGATGCAAGAACAAACAGAACGACGTAAGATGTGGTTTGTTTTGTACCAGACGTGATGTTGATCTTTTTTACTTATGCATATTAATTTCTTAGTTCTGAATATGGAGTTGCGTCATCATGCTGCTAATAATTCAAATATGTAAGTATCGTTTGATACGCCGAGTTATCCTTGAACACCTCTGAAATTTAATCGATTCACTGAGTGATAGAAACTGAATGATACGATATGTTTTCGTTCTGGTTACGCAGTGACATCAAAGTGGTCATGTTAAGTAGAGTTCACGCTCCAATTTAATGATAATTTAATGTCATTTGGAAGGAGTTATTAGCTTACAAACGAGGAGGTGAAAATAGAATAAGTGCAACATGCACTATACTAACAACGTATATATTCATAACTCTCCCCACTTTTTCCTGTGGCAACCTCCAGCTTGCTACATTCAGCGCAATTGCACTTAGTGAATACAACAGATACTCATATGACGTCAACACCTGTCTTGCATCCGCAATTTTTAGGTCGTCGTCACGAAGAAACCAAAGCGGGCAGAAAGCGTCACGACGTAAAATCTTACATGAGCAGGATGTTTCTTTGCCTCAGCGTCCATTATCCACAAGAATACCCGAGAGGGGACATGTGACAGAAGAAAGTTCGACCATGGACGAAAGTAGCCTTGCCAGTCTTATTGAAGATAAAAAGAGTTTTGAAAAATTTGAAAGAGAAGCTGCGGTAATTTGCTATTCAGAAATTGATCAGACGACTGGATACGGGTGTTGACTATAGGGTCCCAATACATCATCATAAAGGAGCGTTTGAATAAATATATCTTGAATCACACTTCTTCACACTCACTTCAATCCTTCCATTAACTTCGGGACAACTAAATGAAAGTATACTACAGAGTTCTTACGCCACCAGCTAAGACCCGTGGGAAAAGCGTAAAACAAAGGATACATTATTTTAGGCATTTTAGATCTGCCTCCATTTCACTTCATAGTATTGACAGCTAAAAATATATTGTCTATTTTCACTAAATTACTAATCCACATTTCAGGCTCTTGATGCGTCTTACAGAGACTTTCAAAGCCGTATGACTGTTCATCCAAAATACTCAGTGACAAGTATCCCCAACTCTATGACCTTTCGACGCCTAGCTAGCTATCATTCCCTTCATTCACCACCACCAATGGGCACAAATTTTGGATCTGAAGGTTTTAGTTTGGCTTCCCAAAGTAAGTCAGTTCCTAAACACGAATTTCTGGATTCCAAATTTCAAATTTGGGGTGTATATCCCCGAACCCCGAAAGTGCACGAAGCCTGTGTTGAATTGAAGTCGTGTGAAATTTGAATTAAATAACGTTACCTTCCAGGGAGTAAAGATGAGTTTCGTCCACTGAAACAGGTTTATGATGAGAGCGATGTCTCTGGTCTTGTCAGACATCCCTCTTCTGCAGAAATGGAAAATAGCGAGAAATCAACACGTGAGAATAACAACTCGGATAATCAGCGTGCCATTTCACACGAAAAATCATTTGAGCACTCCGATTCAGATGCGTAAGTACCTACTACTTTGTATGTAGATTGATGTGCGTGTTTATGTGTGTACTGATGAATCGAAAACTTCACCAGCTACTGAAAGGGATAAAGCGTTATCAGTGAAAATGTTTTATGCATGCATATTATGTGTGTAGTCACAACGAACATGATGTACTACAGTCGATACTACAGACACGACTGACATAGGTATATTTATACCTAAATTTTGAGGAAGATTGTAACTTTTTGGTTTAGAGAATCAGGAGTGATGAATGAAGATCATAATGATCTATTATCAATGAACGATCTTAATCCCGTTGATCTACCCGCGGGTAGCTTCAATTCCAAAGAAAGAATTGATGTCTCGAAGGATAAGGGTGCCATGGAAAACATAAAATTGAGAGGTAAAACCTCATCAACCAGGTTAGACAATGAAAGTGACGACCTTTTGAAGGCTCAGAGTATTTCACAAGCGTCGTTTCATAACAATGATGGGTTCTTGGATCAGACGGAAGATTGCAAGGCAGAAAAGGAAGTTAACCTTCTTAATATCAATCAACTCAACAAAGGCTTATCTCCAACAGATAAAAAAATTAACACAGCGGAAGGATTTGATGGTTGCAATGTAAGACAGCATTTTAAGGAGGGTAAACTAGATAACGTGGGCGAAGGAAAGGAAAAACATGTCACGGATGAAGATGTACGTTCTTGTGAGACAAGCCAATCATCAGAAAAATCATTAAGTCATGGCCCCTTGCATGTTGACCAACACACATCTTCATATTCTGTGGAACGACACCAGGATAGCTCAAGTACAACGAAAAAACATATGAATACAGGAGTCAAGATTTATGACGATAAACGTCCGAGCACTGAACTTGATATGGAAGAGATAGAGGAGAGAAGGTTAAGAGAGACGGAGAATCTTCGAGACGAGGGGCAAAATGGCAAGAACGACACTATCTCTAGAGAATCATCACCTAATGTCGGTGGTAAAAGGTATATAAGTTTGCTACTTATAAAAGTCTTAAGATCCTATCTGAAACTATAAGGTCTCAACTAATCTACTCAATTTTTATTCGAGCCTTTTCTTTCAAATTACAGTGAGGACATTTCTTCAAACGGTTACCGAAGCTCCCACGAAGCATCAGTTGTTGAAGAGAACGTCGAAAATAACGAAAACGATCCACCTATAGATCCTGTTATGTTACAATATATGGAAATGATTAAACAGCAACGTGAATCGGAGAAAAAGGTATACAAATGCACATGTTTTAAAGATAATTATAGTTTGAAGTAATCAAATGTCATTGATTCTACACTCTACTTTATCGTCAGTGTGGTTTAGAATTTCCGTTGCTTGACCTGAAATAATACTTTAGAAGAATGTGTTTTCTGAATGTTTGAGGCAGATATAGTAACTCACAGGTTTCCTGTTTTGAAAAAACTCATTCCTGCATGTCAACTTGCAAATCTCGGGTTTTTTTCCCTTATTGTATAACAGGGTGCAACGGTATATAAATCGTGGTTCAAACTGTATGGTTTGATAATAATTTATGACTAAGATGCTTTGCATTTTTAGACGTCTGAAAAAATATCCGTCGATGTTAGTGCAGACGAGTTGCATGTAAGTACGTCTTCTTTATTCTGAGAAACATTCCCATCGTTTTCCCTAATTCCAACTATACAGTTATGTCTTATGATCTCATGCATGTTACTCAAAAAGAAAGTGCGGACAAATGGCAGGATACAAACGCCAATGTTGCTATGTTTTCGAATTCCAATATAGGATTTTAGTGATAAAGGAAGTCATGTTTCCATTGGCAAGGATGAAGATTTGAGGTAAGATAATGTTGATGGATATTATATGAATTAACTTAATTTTTTTATTTTCGTCACACTGGACAAAGAATTAGTTTCTATTAATATGGCAACTCTTTGAGATATGATTGGAAATTATAAAAATGATCGGCAAAAGATCAGAAGATTGAAAGTATTGCCGCTAGACCGCAATTAGCACGAATTTAATATATTACAATACATTTTAACACCAGTACAATTTGAACAATTGTAAACTTTCCGTGCAGGTTTGTCTCATACTGCACGCCTATATACGAACCAATCAAAATTATCAAATTGCATGTTTCATTGAAGTTATTATATAGAATCCTTTACTAGCTAGCGTACCTAGCGCCGCATTAATGCAGCGTGTATTTTTTAGTATAGGGAAATTGTCTGACGATGATTTCAATTGGTAGCGCGTCTTCATTCAAGAAACATTTTTGAAATATGTGTAAATATATGTACATTTTTTCATCAATATCCGTAATTAGTCAATCTATGTTCGTTGTTTTCGTCGCTTCGTTCGCCAATAATCTATTCTTTTCGACTTATAATTTTGTAATAGTTGTTAAATCGTCACTATCGAAGCAGTTGTTATTCTCCCGACAATGTAGAAATAAAACTAGTTGACAACCAGTTTTAGCTGTAGATGTACACGAATTCCTGTCTTGTAGCTACGGACCCAGATCTCCAGAACTGGCAGAAGGAAATCCCATTTCCGGGCCTGAGGCTATATTCCTCAGGAGAAAGGAAATTTTCCTGTTTTGAAACCATTACTTCTGGTCAACAACACACAGACGAATGAAACTTTCCAGTCTAGTCTTGATTTAGAGGATAATTTTTTGAGTGGAAACAAAGCACCAAAATACACCGGGAGGTTTCTTTTCTCTTTGAATTCTAAACTAGCAGAACTTATAGGAGTTGAGCACAAAGAAGACTTTTCTGTCTATTCCGGTCCGAGGTGAATTTACCTCCTGTCATGAGATGTGGGAGGTCTTCCAAACGACGTCGGTGTCAATGATACATTTTCACAATACACAACAATTCATCAACAACAATGCCTGTGCTTTGTCTAATCCTAATCACCTGATAATGGCTTTTTGAACAATCACACACGGGTGGATATATTTCTCATGACGTATTTCTATTATCGCGCAAGTTTAACGAGTTTGAGCAACTATATTTTCGGTATTGAGAGAAATTTTGCTCATGCAAGGAGTAAAACGAGAGCAACTGAGTAGCTATATGAAAACAGGATATGAAACTTACATGTGATATGAAACTTACCTATTTTCATAATATGAATATTGAATGAGGATTGCCACAAAGTGTTTATTCCCTTGTCACGATAACACATTAACAGAGCTGCGTTGGATTCTTAACTTCGAGCATGTTTAAATACCTGCGAGAAAAAGGTAAAACTTGATATCATAAGAATTAAAGTAATACAGGTCAGAAATAATTACATTAATGATTGCATAAGGGTATATGGAAGGAGGCATTGGGACATGTATATAGTCCCACGCAAACGGCTAATAGGCCATGCAGTATACCTTGAATCAAGAGACTGGGATAAAATAAGATCCCGTATATATACATATATGAAAAAGAAACATCTGCATGGCAAATCACTTTGTATGATAAATAAAGTGCGTCGTGGATGGTCTACAATGTCTATATGTAATGTGTACACGCATGTGACGTACTCTCTTAATTCAAAAGATTGAAAATTTCAATCTTTCAAAAGTCTGAAAAAAAATTCAATCGATTAGATTGAAATTAGATTTAAAAAATGCGTTCTCAATTTGTCATTCGATTGAAATGACAGCCTTTTAGAGCATCTGATTGCTATTTCAATCTTTTAAAGGATTGATATTTTTAGCCAATCATAACTCTCAAAAATCGCGCGTGGCTATCATGCCACTCATGCTATGCCAATTTGAGGAAAAAGAGTTTTGCTTTTTCTGAGATAGTCATGCAGGGCGAAGGAAATACTTCGAATCTTCGTGTAACATTGGAAAAGCAAGGATTCACTTCGGAGGTAATTTCAAAACTGGAAGGTAAGCGATTCACCTTTAAATATAATACTGTTTTCTTGCCCGTACTAGAATAGTTTTTAACCTGCTTTCAGTGTTTTGGTTCATAGTTTAAATTTTAATGCATGCATCTTGTGGGAAGGCCATTGGCGAAATATACGTACAAAAAGTTTCATAACTTACGAAACCATTTCAAGGCATATGAAAAACTTCCGAAGAAAACCTCAACCTACAATATTGTATCTCCATTCAACGTTTAAAAATGCAAAACGGCGCCATTCGTTAAAAAAGGCTAAATGTTGTTTTAAATTATAGTTTTCAGTGGAAAAATGGCGTCGCCATTTTCTTTGCAGCACAACTATACTGTAGATATACAACACATTTTGAAGCCCTACTACTTTACATGAACTGTATAAAACGCGATTTGACCACATTTACATCGTTGCCATTATTTCACGTCAAAATATTCTGCTTTCATATTTTGTCATTTGTGAATTTGTTGCGTTTTCTGGCTCAAAAATGTTTGTAATTTAAGAGAGGGCAAAAAGAAGGCAAACTCCCTCTGACAAGAAAAAAATTCTGCTGTTTGGAAATTAATTTAAAACTTGTTTAGTCGATTAAATATTAAAAGAAAATAACTTATTAATTATTGTAAAAACAAGTTAGCTGAAGCACTCGAGACTTCCTCGAGCTAGATAACGCTTGAGCGTATATTATAGTTTCAAGTAATATATATATATATATTATGTTATAGCTATATATATCTATAATTTTATTTGTTTATATAATTAAAACTTTGGGCTCGGATGTCGAGCAATTTAAGCCTCGAGTAAAACGATAGGATAATATAAACTTTCCTCATAAACTCTACAAATTGTGAACTTGCTCGCTTGCAAAGGTGCAAAATAGCTGCAATGGCGTGCCAAGTTGTGTTTCAAACTAATTTGCATGGATCAAAGCTAAACAGGCCATTATTGAACTTTACCCCGTCTCATGTACTGCACTATGCTGATGCATGCTTTGCTCATTCAGTTATATTTTTAATATGAAGAGGTCCAACTTTTATATGTATAAAGTCAATGAGCAATTTAAAATAGTTAGATGTTTTGGCAGAGTTGATAAAAGCAAGTTGGCTGCACTCAGCAGACCATATTCAATATATATGTGGCATTTCACTGCCATTTCATTGTATGTGTTATAAATGTTATTTAGGCATGAACTTAATTACTTATTAGTATTATGATATTGATATAAGACTAGGGCATTAATTTATTCAAAGTCACTTAGCCTAATGACTGAATGCCTGAATTATAGGTTGGAAAGCATGTCTCTTGCCTGCATATTGTAGTTAGTTTAACGTGCATGGAACAAGTAGTGCTGTTTCATATGTGAGCTGCTTTGAATTTCAAAGTGTAGCTGTATGCACTTAATTATATAATGCACATTCTCCAATGCCATGGCTCCTTTAAATTAACTTGGAAATAGAATGTGAGGGACAACTGTCATATAATAATTTTTTAACCCATTAACTTCCAGTCCTCTACTGAGTAACATTTGAATACATTCCTTTTCAATGATAGGTAAAATCATGTGGCCTTACCTAGATTATAGGGATCATGCACATAGGTTACATTGGTGCTTATTGGCTTAACAAGTCTAGCTAAGATGGATTTCTTTATGTATAACTATTATGCTGCCATACTATGTACTGTATACATATGGTCCCCTTGTCTAACAGGTAAAATCGTCTGAGTAAATGGATAAACTAGTTCTGCCACATTTGGGTAGATTGCTAGCTTCTCGATGACCATGGGATATAATGAGAGAAACTTGCTCTTGCATTTTTATTGGCATGGTGGTCAGGATTTAATCCATTTTCTTGAAACTTTGGTCATGCATGTACCTATTTATTCCTCAGTGGACCTTCCCAAGGATTGTTTTTATTCCAGATGACTCCCCTTCCATTAAACATTATGCAGCATTAAAGAAACTTGTTTTTATATAAAAGATGGGTGATTGTTTGGTGACATTCTGCACTTATAATATTGTATCAAACTAAACCAAGTTCAATATAGAGAACACTAAACACTGAACAAAATTTCAAAAAAATTGCCTTAGTTTAAACATTTTAATTCCAGGGGACCCTCTACCACTAATTCATAAACTTGAGCAGTAGGAACTCAGACATGGACAGAAAATAGCTCACACTTTTTATCTAGGAATGCACACATTCAACTTAACTACAGACTTGAGAAATTTAAATCATAGCTTTATTGGAACTATAGAACTTGATGAAGGAAATGGCATTTTTACACCCATGTTGAAATGATCTTGCATTAATTAGCAACAGCAGATTAGTATGCGTAAGCATTTAATTAAGAATAGGTAGTTTAATTTACTTTTCACTATGGGCCGGGTTGGTCAGGGCTGGGCACAATGTTGACATTGACAAAAATTAAGGTGGCAAGGTCTAAATTAAGATGGATGTGGTATATATATATTCAAAACTTGTCACCAGTACAATTATCCATTACAGTTTTCTAATATAGTCTATATCATGAGTAAAGTGGGATCAAGTATCATATTTTATTGGTAGTGAACTTACTGACAGCGTACGTTGGCAGATTGACAAGTTAACCCCATTAAAATAAAGACCAGTAACGTACCCCTTGTTGGCACACCAGTCCAGTTTAGTGGGTTTACTAAAGGAGTTTTAAAAGAACTTGAGGAGAAACTGAAGAATAAGGGGCTGTTTACTATGAGGAGTCATCACCGCCAAAATCCTGCTTTAAATTCCATTATGTTGTCATGAATTCTGTTGTTCAACATTATCGTTCTGCTTTAAATTCTTTAAATTTCATTTACATCCTGATGTGGTCATCTTAACAATACCATTTGCAAGCATGTGCTTGTTCAGTTTCAGAAAGACTAATTTTAATACGTACTTCACGCTTCGGTGGATCTCGGCTAACTGGGGCTCATGTAAACAGCCCCTAATTTACCCTTCAGAGAAAGTACCAAACGTTTATTAATTTAATCAAACGTTTATTAACGATTCTTTTTAATGGGATCAACTATTTATCAAATCGTCTCAAAACTAGAAAGTGCAACTGTGTAACGTTACCAAACAATTACTTTAAATTAGGGATGACAGCAAACAAACAAGCTTCTAGTCGAACTGTGAATCAACATGGAAGTTGTTTGTTTTAAATGTGATAAAGGAATCCATGCGCCTGATGCAACAAGGGCAACGAGGAAGCTGGCTCTCCATTTACGTTCATGCCATACAACAACTGGGCCCAATGAACAACTTGTCTGCGGGCAAAATGGATGTCAAAGAACTTTTAATATAATGAACTCATTTTTAAGTCATATTAGAAATAAGCATTTAAACCAAAAGTTGCATGAAGAGCAAAGCCGTGGCTTTGAACAACATCTACCTGACCACACTGATCCCATGGAAACGGAAAGCGAAAACAGCTCGGATGATGACCCTATCGATGAAGATGAATCCAATTATATGGAGACATTTAGTGTTGATAATTTGAAAAATCTGGCTTTTTCTATGATCATGAAACTAAAGTCTTCAGCAGCAGTTCCTTTTTCGGCTATTGAAAATGTTATGCGCGCTACCAAAGTAATGTTCCAAGATACTCTTGGAGCACTAAAGCACAATATGTTGCATGTTTTTCAAACACACGGTGTTGATACAACTTCCGAAGATGTTCAAGAACTCTGCACTAAATTATTTAGCTTTGAAAATCCCTTTTTTGGTATCGAAACACCTACACAGCAATTTAAGTACATGGTTGATAATTTAATGCTCGTTACTCCTTCAGAAGTAGCATTAGGAACAAGAATCGATCAGATAGTTGATAGGGTAACTGGTCAAATCGTTCCGAAAGTTGTGACAGAAACTTTCCAGTACATACCTATTCTTGAGGTGCTTAAGCTTGTTTTGAAGCCACGTACCCAAATTCTCATTGAAAGTGAAACACTATCGCCACCAGGCTTCCTTAGAGGTTATCAAGATGGACAACAATACCAGCAACATGGTATTTTTAAAACTCATCCTCATGCATTGCGACTTCAGCTGTACTATGATGATGTAGAAGTTACAAATCCCATTGGTAGTAAGGCAGGAGTTCATAAGCTTGGTCTTTTCTACTATACTATCCAAAATCTTCCTTTTACGATAAATTCTTCCATGAACAGCGTGTTTCTTCTAGCAGTTTGTTACACTTCTGACATAAAAAAGTATGGATTTCAACCAATCCTTGACCCTTTTATCAAGGAAGTGAAGCAGCTAGAAAGTGATTGTGGTGTAGAACTCCATTGGGATGGCAGAGTTAGTGAAGTGCATGGAACTTTGGTCTCATTTAGTGCAGATACATTAGCGGCACATGAACTTTTAGGCTTCTTAGGCCCATCAGCTACTCTGCTTTGTAGATTATGAGATGCCACTCGGGAATTAATTCAAATCTTTTTCAATGAAGAAGATTTTAATATGCGCGGAATAGATTCCCATGACGATGCAGTAGATGTTGCCTCACTAAGACGTAATGGAGACCGTGACACAGGTGTTCGAACTTCATGCCCCTTGAATACCTTACAAAACTTCCACTGCGTCACAAATTATAACTTGGATGTGATGCATGACATGTTAGAGGGAGTATGCCCATATGAGGTAAAGTTATTACTAAACCATTTCATATTCTCTGATAAGTTTATTAGATTACCAGAAGTAAACCAACGGATTAAATCTTTCCACTACTCATTTACTGACAAGAAAAATAAACCAAGTATTTTAGCATATGACCGATTGCGAAATGCTGCGGACCATAAATTAGGGCAAAAAGCTGCCCAGATGTGGTGTCTTGTTCGCATGCTACCATTTTTGATCGGGGATCGCATTCCACATGGAAATGCCCACTATGACTTATTGCTCTTGCTTCTTCAATGTATGGATATCATATATGCTCCATGCGTCACAAACGGTCAAACCGTTTACTTGAAGCACTTGATTAGTGAACACCATGCACACTTTAAGATGATTTTCCCTGAAAGCAATATGATTAATAAACATCATCACATGATCCATTACCCAACGTGTATCAGAATGTCAGGACCTTTGATTACGATGCAGTGCATGAAGTACGAGCTGAAACATGGCTTTAGCAAACGAGTGGCATATGTTAATTGCAACTTTAAGAATATTTGCAAGTCAGTTGCATGCAAACATCAAGTTTTGCAATGCACTGCTTGGTGCACAGAGGAAATGAGAGTAGAAATTGAATGCTTAGGCGGATATATGACTCCTGTTGAGTCTTTGGAGGGTAGTGAAGTAATTAAGACCCGCTTACACCTTGCGAATGACAGTCAGATCTTTGTAGCAAGTCAGGTTTCCGTGTTTGGAACCAAATACAAAGAAAATCTGTTTGTCGTTACTGCTGTGGTGAATGACGTCCCACAATTTGCCTTAATACGAAGTATTTTAATGTGTGGTCACACCTCAGGTGAAGTCTATTTTGTACTTGAGAAATATAACACAAATGTTTTGTGGCACATTTTCACTCTTACGAGATAGAGCAACTTGACGTTCCTGAATTCATTCTCTTGACTCCCAGCGATCTTGTGGACCATCTTCCTTTATCTGGGCTAAGATCGTATCTGCCCAGCTCGCCCTTGTATTTATCTCCCCGTTACTCTCTTGTTCAAACGCTAAAATAATTGCATATACTATTAAGAGGAGATACTTTTCTATATATGTCGCATAATTTGTGCTCAAAACCTCGGTTATATCATCAACATTAAAAACGTTTTCTAATCCTCAACTGCACGTTTACTGTATTCTAAATATAATCTAAAAATTCAGAGATTTCTCGGGTACGCCAAGAAGAAAATGACACTTTATATTAGTCAATGCAACTTTAGTATTTTTTTCAGTGATACTGAAGGCGTTGACATTGAAGATAGTCTTAAATCAAAAACTCTTGAATGAACTTTGAGTATAGTACACCAAAAAGATTTGATGTTTTGAATATTTCGCGCCAAAATACGCGACATATATACAAACCCTCTCGTAATAATATTATATAATATATATTATATATATTATATATATATATATTATATATATTATATATATATATATATACACCCATTTGCAAAACGTTGGCCGCAGATAGATAGATAGATAGATACTCGAAGTCTAATTAGAATTGCATATGATTACATTTGCATGGGATTTCTATAATATTACACAACATATACAATTCTAATTAGATTTCGAGTATCTATCTATCTATCTATCTGCGGCCAACGTTTTTGCAAATGGGTGTATATATATATATATATATATATATATATATATATATATTATATATATATATTATATAAGGTACAGGAGAAAAACTTTTTTTGTTGTGTGCTCCATCTTTCTCCATGTTTTTGTCCTCTCTTGTTGTTGTATATGAGTTCTAAGATCCTTACACGCGCGCGCCATAACATTTTCATAGCCAAGAAAAAGTTAAATTCGGCAAATTTCAACACTTCCTATGCAGGTATATTTATTATAGTTATTCAATATGATAAACTACTAAAATTATGATGCACTAACAAATTTTATATATTCATATATTTAGAAAATGAAATAGACATGGTTGTTTTCCAAACACTATCAGAGAATGACCTGAAAGACATAGGAGTTGAGTCGTTTGGTGCCCGACGGAAGTTGAGTTTGTTGGTCCAAAGAATGAAGTCACCACCGCCGATTGAGGCACTTACACCTTGTGACATTACAATGCCAGAAATAACTCAGAATACGGTACGCTATTTATAGTCATAGTGCAATGAAAATCTGCCTTGTATATTGTCAGACGAACTAAACTATTAAATGTTAAATGCAGAATAACCCAAGTATAAAGCCTACAAAATCGATCACAAACCCATCTTCAGAGAACACCTACACAGTAAAAGAACCATTTATACCAACGTCACGAAAAATAGTAAGCTATAATTATTTTGTGCTGTAGATTAATTACTAGCCCATTCTGGAAGATTAACAAAGTGAAGTGCATTGCATGATAAAAATATACAATCTCAATGATTAATCATTAAATTAATTTGATTAAAAAAAGGCACGTAGATCGAGGAAACGGACATAAAAATGGCAAATGATTGTGCCATGCCATTTTCACGTCGTCTTTGACGTCCGCGTCCTTGATCTACGTCTGTCTTCTAATTTCTGAACTACCACCGGGCCTGTAGATAATTATATGTTTCTATACAGATCAATTTTAACATCAAAGAAGCAATAGAGAACCACTCTGAAGGTCGGGAATTAGATAACTACTTAGAAAAAGGTGGCATTTTATCAAGCAAGCAACGGCGATTGTTGATCAAAATCTGCGTGTCAGCGTTGGTGGAAAAATGTGGCCTGTAAATATTACTGACCTTTAAGGCGGATTTCCATTCAGTGCAGAATGTCACGCGATCGATTTTTTGCGATCGCTTTCTTGCGATAGCTTTCTTTTGAAATACATGCAACAGTCAAGCGGAACTAATCCCATTAGAAGAGCTTGACTGAACACATTTCAAAAGAAAGCGAGCGCAAAAAATCGATCGCGCGACATTTTGCACTGAGTGGAAATCCGCCTTAAGAGAGGTCTTACTCAACTGTTGCTTACTCTGTCTGTAATGTGCATATGAATTCAGAAAATTTCCTGTATCAAAGGTATCCTACTTCGGAGCAAAAAACTTTGCTTGGAATGGAAATTATTAAAACCTATCCAACAATCAAAGACAACACACCTGGAATGAAAGGATATGTACGTTGAATCCAAAAATTATAAAAATTGACGTTAAACTTGGTGCTATTTATAACGGTATAATTGTATTAAGGTTTGACATTTGGCATGAATGTAGGAACATCTTTATGACAATGGACATGGATTCATCGAGTATCGCTTGAAAAATATGAGGACAGCCAGACCAGACGAGAGACGTGGACGAAAAAGAAAGATGGAAGCAAAGACCACTGTTGAAAGAGACGTTGAAAAAGTATCTGAAGATGAAGAAGAGAATTTGGAATTGACTCAAAACATGAACGAAAAGGTAAGAAGTACTAACTGTATATATAGCATGGATACGAGTAACAAGGTCAGCAGAGGAGCTAGGGTTTATATGCAATCATGCATGAAAATATAGATGAATAAACGTTGCAGTACGCACAGAAGGTTGGTCTTCTTCCAGTTTAGCCTGATGTTTAAATAAACGTCTGTTGACTCTAGGTTTCATGGATGAAGTACAATGCACCCAGTAATGACAAAATGGGAAGACACCTTCAGTACTTTAAGGAAACATTTAAGCACAGACGAAATGCCATTAAATGTTTAGAGCTCACAACTATAACAAGCATCATTGAAAAATACCCACGATTTAAAGATGTACCTGATATGGTAAAGTCTTATTTGAATTGTATTATTGTAACTGATTTTTATGTACCCCAAAACATCGATCTAATATTGTCTTATATGTAGGAGGGAAGTAGTTTATTTTTCGTGAGTATTGCTGATATTTCTGTAAAGAATATATTATATTATAATTAGAATTTATTTTATATCTGTATAGATTAATGTTGAGTTTCAACTGTTGTATCCTGAAGAATGCGATAATTTCCTTACCAAATGGGGGACTTACTTTCAAGAAAGAATTATTGTGTTGGGTAGAAATGAATACCCTGCTGTTCAACAAATTATCAGTGATTCGAAGAATAGTAAGTTATCTTTGATTTAATTCCAAATACAATTATATCAGCAGTTGTATTAAGCGAGGCGTGCTTGGTAATAGAACGGTTCATTTATGTATAATTTTCCCGCAGTATACTGTATAATTAAGTTAAAAATACATGTCGAACTGAAAACCACGGAGTGACCGACAGTACAAATTTGGCCTTTTGCAATAGATTTTAGTTACATATCGTGTTCTTATATATAGGTGACCTTTGCGCATTGTATGTATTGGCCTATATTTTACACAAGTCAACAAACAGAAAGAAAGGAAAAACTAGTACGGTTACAAGAGATGGGGCCATCACATACTTATTGCAAAATGTCCCAGTACGTATATACTTTTATATTTTCATTATATATTTATGTTTATTTTCCATTATATTTATTTTTTCATTCAATAAAACGTATATATGTTTTACCTTTCTAGAGCGGGAGTGATGTGGAAGAAGCGGCTAAATCAAAGGATGAAAGATTTACGCAACCATTTTTATTGTCCACAGGAAATGCGCAGAATCCTGAGGATTATTTTATTGTTCTGGATCGAATTGTCATTCCTTGTGGACAAGATGTCGTAAAGGCGGTGGATATGCTTTTTAAAAGCCACTACGTGTTTAATGTGGAGTATGCATCTCCGCTGCATAATTTTTGGGAGTTCATAGCAGCGATGATCTATGGAGTGATCAAGCCTTCTGCGACAGGTCCAACTGTCCGAGCTCTTGGCTCTTCATGCAGAGACCTAAAATTGTAACTATGCAGCATATACGTTTAAAAACCTGTTATTTCTTACTTTAAATCAGTAAAAAAATAGCTGCATGCACAAAAAGCTATACTTGCATAGGTTAGTTCTTATGTTAGTCATTTGTATGGTTATTATCGCTGCGTGCCTGTTATATAATTTATTATTTATTACATATTTTTAAAAAAAACATGAGATGTTTCTTTATTTTTGGTGTTTTTCAAGAGAATCGGATCTATGATTGAAAACCCAATCTACAAGATTGAAAATTCTAATCTAATAGATTGAACGTTTGAGAGTCTTCAATCTAAAAGAAGATTGATTTTCAATCCGGGTCGTTTGGTCCTGCATACCAAACTTGCAAAGATTGAAAAAAGATTGAAAACCTTAACCGATTGAAAATTATTCACTCGTTTAGATTGAAAATATTCCAATCTAAATGTAGAGTGAAAGTAAATTTTCAATCGCAAAGTATTGAAGTTGGATTGAAAAGTAACTCTTTTTCGATTGATTTTGTTCTCAATCAAGTGTACGATTGATTTTCAATCGAAAACGTTTGGTCACGCAAAACAATCTCAAAAAGATTGAAAATTCAATCTAATAGATTGAATTTTCAATCGTTTGAATTAAGAGAGTAGTATAGCTAGGTTTTATATCTATATCAGTTTAGTAAATCGACGCGTATACGTAGGATTGTATATAGCCGTATGGGAGGAACCAGAAGCCAGCTTTCCGACATTTATTGAATGAATATACGCATTAAATGATTCAGAAAACTAAATTCTGTCATTTTATGCTATTATATATAGGTATCGAAATAACGCTTTTAAGTGGAAATGAGTCCTTTGATCGTAGTCATGCATGCATGCAATTGAATTGTCCTTAACTACTGCACGCTATAGGGAGAAGTTTGTTAAAAATGAAACCACAGTTATGCCATAACTCCAACATTCTCTAAACTAGTTTACATCGTATCTTTCTTAATATCTATATCTACAACATCAGAATCTCGACTCAAAGTCAAGATACGAAGAATTGAAAATGCGCTGGATGCAGATCCCGTTGACATTGTTACACTGAGCCATTTGGCAATAATTAGAGAAGGTTTAGTTAACAATTACATACGTGTGAAAGTTTGGCCGAAGCTTCTGCTGGTTAATGTATATGACATCTTTAAGCCTTCTGCGAACGTAAAGAAACGAAATCGACAATGTAAGTTGTTAATCATGCACGATCATTGACCATATGGGGCCGGCCGGTTGTTCAAAAGCCGATTAGCTTACGCCGCGGTGTTAAAGCATTTCTTTAGACTTTACTATTATTTTTTTTAATCGCCTGTTTACAAATTTGAATATCTCAGTTTTTTTCAGTCTTAAAACGAACAGTTGTTCAGAACCACATGGACTAAAACATTGGGTAAACCTAGCTTTGAACAACTGCCTCCATAAGAACGGGGGGTTTGGGGAAATTAATTAATATCCAAAAGTAGAACAATCAATTATTTTTATTGTGTAACATCGTGCACATATCTATAATTTATTTTTACATCAATCCAATATACATAAATCCAAATTCTCCCCTATAAATTTACAAAAGGTAAAACGTTTTTATTTAGCCCTTAAGGAAAAAGAAATTTTTCGTCAGAACAAATACTGGTCCCAAGTCTGCGCGGATGTCAATCGTTCCCAACCAAGATTTCCTCAAAGTAAGGTCACATATTAAAAAAAATGCTTGTGTGTTACCCTTTTACGTAAATTGGAGAGTTATTATAATATATATATATATATATATATATATATATATAATTATATATATATATATATATATATATATATATATATATATATATATATATAATTTTTATAATAATTTTTATGCCATGCAACTATAGATATGCGTGTTTCAAAACGAATAGCATTACAACGTCAAGTGATTAATGTGATCATGAGACTGCTGTGTAGAAATCCGGAATTACATTACTATCAGGTGAGTCCGCTGATTAAACTTGGTATAATAACTCGATTATATGTGTTTATTGCCTTTTTTCCTAAAGAATAGCCTTAACTAAAGAATGCATGGTTGATATCCTCCGGCAACTAAATACTGAATGGTAGTTATTTTATATATGCATGGAAATATTTTTTTCCTTCGTAATTATCGCTACTCTGGTTTTAATAAATGAAAGCATGCAATCACCACACAAAGTTTCACTTTCACGACCTAACGTTTCGACACTCCGGTCTAGTCTCTTTATTAGGGGTGATCTGATGTTGAAACTCAGTTCCTTATATACTCTCAAAATAACGTCATCTATCAATCAGATGTAACCAACTAATATAGAAAGTAGGATATTTTTTATCTTGTGCAAATATCTTGCCTTGGTTTCTTGTAATTGTACCTGATTGTATAGATTAAGTTTTGAATTGAGACCTGACGCACTTACGTTACCCTCGTTAGTAAAATTATCTGCATGCAGTCTCCTACACATATTTAAAGCTTTTTTTATTTTTCTAAACAAGTTTATAGTCGTTCAAATAACTCTGAAATGATAACTTCACACGTTTTTATAAACTTTTTGCAAATCATTCTTAAAGTTAGAAGTTCTTCCGAAAATTTGTATACACTGGCTATCTTTAGTCAATATTTGTATGCAATTCTATCTTTAAGTAGAATTGTTATTGAAGAGATGGACCTTTTTAGGGTTTTCATGACGTTGCAGTGACTTTAGTGTTGGTCACTGGAGAAGATCTAGCTTTTGCACTGTTAGAACAGATATCCTTACACCAAATGAGGTATATATCCTATATTCATTTTGATTTTTTTAAATAAAAATTGAAAGCAATTTGCAACCAAATTTTTTAATTTTAGAGATTTTATGGAACAAGATTTCGAAAAAACAGGTCAGATGCTTGGATTAATTCATGCCATTATGGAGGTTGACGATCCAGAATTGGAGGAATTTTTGAAAAGGTACATAGTCGAACATTATTTTGAGACAAACGATTTCACGAAAGTAAAATTCATTGTAATGAAGGCCCACTGTCACCATAATCATTATAGTCATATGTCCCCTACACCTGCAAATGTCTCGAAACTGGACGACACCAGACTACCAGGGAGAGCCTATAGATAATAAAGTATAACAATACCAAGTCATTTTACAAAGTTGATCGTTCAGTTAGCCGGCTAGTTTCAGACATCGACATTATTTTGCACCGAATACATGACAATTTATTTTTTTACATCAAATGCATTGAGAATACTCATCCTTGGTACCGTGGAAGTTCTATTTTTTTAACATAGTTCGATAGCACAACGACGTGAAGGCTAACAACTTCGGTAAAGGCTAATCGCGAGCTCTCGGCATCCTGCCCCTAAATGATAAAATTCCTTGACTAGCTATGCTATATAAAGTCCATAATAACGAAACTAATTTTAGGATGTGTCTCTGCCATTATATCATATTTTAGAAGTGGTGCTGGTGACATATTTGCTTTGAGTTGGGTAATCACGTGGTTTTCACATGTTATCAATGATCCTGATTCGATATTTCGTATTTTTGACTTTTTTCTTGGGACTCATCCTTTGATGCCTGTATACTTTGGAACTGCAGTAAGTATACAAACCTTTACAAGTTAACATGTTGTCGGGGCGCGGGGCACAGTGAAAAAAATTAAGAGCGATAAGGAAAATATATTTTATAGCCTAATGTTGACAATGCATGGCTATATATGTGCTATATATGTCTGTGTCTATGCAACGATAAGGTTTCATACAGGGCCTTTTGTACTAAGGATATCATAGGCGACTAACATTTCGTCCGGACCTATTGATGTGGCAGTCTCTAAAGCCTGAAGACATGACATGCTCAAGTACAGTTTTTCAACGACGAAGGCCCTCAGGTCGAAACGTCGAGAAGTGTTTTGTCTATTTAAGGCAGTTGTCATACCACATTTGATGCCCAGTTTTTAAACGTTTTATTATTATCAGAACTTATATTTATAACACTATAACGAGCTTATCTCTGATGAAGACATTTGTGGTAATTTATTTTCACTTTGCGAAATGGTTTCTTTCATTACCTACTCACGACAATATAACAAATAAAGTCCTAAATTTCTCAAAATGTGGTGTTTATGATCATTTATATATTGCTTGTCTTTCCAGCTTGTGATCGCACATCGTAACGAGCTATTGTCTAATGTCGAGTGCGAATGCGGTGCAGTACATAATTTTTTGTGTTTATTACCTCTCAATATTCCAAATTTGGAACAACTGATTAAAGAAGCGCATGATCTTTTCATGAAGTATCCACCTAACACTCTCGAGCTTGATGGCAGGAAATACCACAAAGAAAGGTAAGCTGAAGTTGCGAAACATATTTCAAGCTTTTTGTGCATAAGGAGATAACTGATCTGACCTATACTATATACGAGATGGACTGAGTGCTTGAGATAAAAAACTATCCTCGCTGTTGCTCATATCATACTCACGTCCTCACAAGTTCTTACGTCAGATTAAAATTATTTTGATTATTTTAATTGTTGATCAATGATATAAGATCTGAAGATTTGATGAAGGAAATGAAAGATTTTGCACAATCCATTCGGCATATATAGGTCTGTAATACACATGATTTCCTCGAAGTGAGAATTATCATTACCTTGAAGATCATTACCCCCATTCGCAAGCTCTGTTGGCCACTTAAGAAACTGACATTCAGTAGCCTTGAATGTATGTAACTGTGCTAACTATATGTCATTGTATTTCCAGTTCTGTAGTGATAAGCCATGATGAATTCATGGAAAATTTAGCAAAACAGCGTCCTGACGATGTTCTTCGACAACGCTCACAGTCCGCTCTGATAGCGGCAAATGTAAAAAATCGTCATCATTTGCAACACGAAGACCACTCGTCATACCAAGGGATGTTTTTTAGGCTCACACGCTGGGCTGTAACTGCGAGCGTTGGCACTATGGCTTTGCTTCTCGCCTCAACTGCAAAGAAGTGGATGTAAATATACTCTTTAGACTTTAAAGTCAATTCTGAGTTTTTTAAAATGTTTATCATTATGGCTTCATGCAATAATGAAATGAATTATTATACTTGTAGTAGCTGGGCTCTAGTAATTATTTCATTCGTAATGGTTAGTTTTAGGCATTTGTGATTGATTTGGTTCGCTAGAATTATTTCTTTCCCAAAGAGGATGTCCCTAGTGAGGATTGCAATTACTCCCTTGCTTTTTCTCGCCGAGTTCTTTGTCTCCGGCAGAGGAGGTCTTTGTGCGTCGAACGCTTTGTGATTAGGCGAGTTTGCTCAAATCGAGAAGGACCCACTTTCGTCTTTTGCAGTGGCACAAACTACTACTGCTCCTATCTTACGTATTTTCATGTGTGCACAAACTAGAGACTGGTCGTTTTATAATTTTCATAATCCATCTTCATGTACAAACTGAAGTCAGACACCACATGCAGGAAAGCTGAATTTATTACTGAGAAAGAAAAACTAAATGTTAAAAGGGTAGGCCAAAATACTGTCTACAATAAGTACTATTTATAATAAATTATTGTCTACACACGTTCTTAAATATACAGAAATAAATCATAACTATAATCTCCAGGTGAACATCATAGCAACATAAATTGTATTAATTTATCATCACAACGACGTATAGGTCAATATTGACAGTATAACTGTACATTGTTTACATTGGTGGATTACTGCATGTAGTTTGGGATTACCAGCTGTACCAAACAGCAAGAAAGATTGCAACGATTAAAACAACCACCGGAAGAAATCTAAGGAATATTTTGAATCTAATTTCTCTGTCGCATTCTTGTTTTATCTTCTCAGCATGCTTTACCCAAAAATGGGTTGGAGGAAGAATGCCTGACTTCCATCGAGTGAGAACTTCTTGGATAACATCTCTGGCTTCCTGGTATTTTTCTTGATGCAAATAGACATCGGCTAACAGAAATCTAGCACGGCCACAGTTTTCTATCTCGATGCTTTTCTTAATAGCTTTTTCGGCCTCGTTAGCTTCACCAAGAGCCAGTAATACCTCGGTCTTATAGCGAAGAGCAGAACTCAATTGAACATGTTCAACATCCCGATAGATTTCCTCCGCTCGTTTGACAAATTCAAGCGCATGCGTATAATCATTCAGCTCCTTGTACACAGTACCATACGTCATACATACTCCTGCCACAAAAATATGATCCTCTCCTAAAACATTTTCGTATATGGCCAATGCATCCGCGTGTAGTTTTAGTGAATCATACAGCAGGCTTTTCTTCTGCTCAAGGCTGTCAATCATTTCCGCATAACGTAAGTAAATTTTTGCAGAATAATTGGCTGCCTGTGCTCTCGTTAGATGCAAATTGCCTGTGGTGATCTTAGCCATTTGACGTGCTTGGTCTGCCATTTCTTTAGCTTTCGCGATATCTACCTTTTCGCGATATATGATTGCAAAATCGCAAAGCCTTTCTACAATCACTTGATGATTCGCCCCGAACGATTTTTTTGCCAGATCGATCGACTTCTTCATCGCCTCCTCTGCCTGATCGAATTTCGTCTGCATTTTAAACGTCCACGATAGAACGCTGAGCAGAGCGGATTTCAAAACCACCCATTCGTTGCTTTCTTTATTTTCAGTCAAGCGAAGACCTTCTTTAAGAATAACCACAGCTTTATCGAGGTAATTTGCTTCTCGGTAGTAGAAACCAAGCGATTTCAGTAGATGGCAGTACCGGATGCTTTTCATGGGTTTCGAGAGACGTAGAGCAATTTCATTGGCAAGTTCGCAATACGAGATGCGTTCAGACTCCGTGACACCAGGAACGTTGTAAAGACAATTTGCAAGAATGGTGACAATATCAACAAATTCGGAACAGTCAGTCCAGTTTTTGGCTTTACCATAATCTATAACCACCTTCAGATGAGGACTAGCTAACATCTTCAGTGCGACACTATCGCGATCGTTACCTGGAATAACCTTTTCCAAACTCTCTTGTAAGGAATGTAACAGAGACACATATTCCATTCTTCTCTGTTCAGCGTCCAAGTTCTGCGAAGAAGCTCGTTCCTCCCTCGCGTATTCAAAAGCTTTTCCCATTACCTGGTGGAATTTAACAGTTTCCACTGTTGAAAAAGAGGATGAATCATCTGGCAGCGACAGTAAGGAGCAACGAGAAATTTCAGCTAAGATTTCATCACTTATTCTACCAGATGGAATTGATTCTTGAACATAGCTTGAAACGAAGATTAAAGGTACTGGGCTTGTAGTGCAATATGATAAAAAGTCAAAAGCATTACGAAGAACGTCGCTATATTCAGCTAGGCGGCTTGTGGCTAGTCGTGCAGCTACAACCATTGAATCGCGATATACGTTATATGTCTCAAATGTCCGAGATCTCATCATACCTCTGTGCTCACGATAGAGATTAAGATATTGCTCCCAGGAGAATTTTTTAGAAGGACGATCCTTCTTCATTTCACTGACATAGGTCGCTGCGCAGGCAAGAGATAGAGGGAGAAACTCTAATTCTTTGACCAAATTTACAGCAAATTCATCCACTTTAACTCCACTTATTTCCTGGAGTAAGTTGACTGCATCGTTCTCGTCCAATCCACACTTCAAGGAGAGATCTTTAGCGTATTGGTGACATACAGGAGCAAGGTCACTATTTTGAGTCGTTACGATCATTTTCCCATTGCCCCAGTTTTCACAACCTGGTTGTGGTAATATTTCGTGGAAATCCTTATTTCCAAACATATTATCCAAAATGAGAAGCCACTTTCCTGGGTATCCCCTCAGCACCTTTCGTAATTCTTCCATATACAGCTGCACGACCTTGATCTCGCCATCTTCCTCAGTTTCAGTTACAGTGTCTGATTTTGCCAAATGAAGATGATCTAACAACTCTTTTATCGATTTAAACAATGTTTTCATTGACTCGACAATTAATGTCATCACAACTGGACGCTCTGTACCATTATTTGTTACGTCTCCTTGAAATTGTTCCCCGAATTGACGTGCTAGTTGCGTCTTCCCAGAACCGGGGGGCCCTGTGATATAAATAGCTGTCAAATGCGCCTGTTGTTCATCTTCCATGCCTTTGAAAATGGACTTCATTTTATCGACATCGCGAACTCGCGTCGAACACTTGTGGAAAGGCTTTGCTGGAAGTTTTGACACGGTTTGTAATATCTGTAAAATATCAAGATGAACGAGCATGTACATGCATCATCATACTGCCAAAAAACGATCGTTATTCTTGCAGCCACAGTTTTCATGTAGCTGCATGCATGGGGTCAGAAATAATAGACGTAGATTGCGTGACCCCATCTCGCTTTAGATAAGATATCGTCTCCACAAAATGCACGCACATTAAAAATATGCACGCAGGTGAAAAGGTGAAGACATTATTTGTATATGGACTATATTTTATGCCGCGTGGCTGACTACATTATTATTATTTCAAATAATAATATATGATTATGGTGTAATTATGATTATTATCGTACATATGATAATATCGATGATAAATATCTTAATTTCATAATTTAATTTTTATACGTACATTCGGAGCTTCTTTCTTGTCATCAATGTTTTCTAAAAAAAATTTCGTTGAGTTACAATACTAGCGTACCGGATCTAAATTCATGCCGCAGTATCTAGTTCATATTCATTTGGAAGCATAGGAAAGCAAAACGAACCTTTTTGTTGCCCAATGTTGATCATATGTCCTTCGCCCATAATCACGATGGAACTATCTGCATTCACGTTGTACACGTTTGAATCTGCCATAGTACTTTTGAAAACGTTCACTTATATAGCTATCAAACGTTTAACATCTTCGTCTTTAAGAAGTTCAAACACTCAGGAGGAATGCAATCTATGAAGTCGATGAAAATGAACTTTAGAGCATGTGCAGCAAATTGATTCACTGCGACCAGTTAGACTGAGAAAGTATATGAACTGAAATGTTCCCTAAAGTGACAGTAAAAGTATTGCTTGAGAAACCTATAATAAAGGGCGTTCTCTCTGTTACATATAAATATGTGTTTCCTGTCGGTTACCATGCTTTCGAATTCAGAATATGATTGCTCTGTTGACAAAAGTATATTTTGTATTAAAAAATCTTATTTCTTAAATCTTAAGAAACGTCAATATGATTGATCGTTTAAGACATGCAAGCCATTGAAGGCGTGAAGGCTAAACGAGTCTACTTTCACTACCTCAACATTGGCTAAAATTAAAAAAAAAACTGTTTTAAACTGAAACATTGTGCAATGACCGGTTTTCAATACCAATTATTTTATATTTGAAGCGTACAGAATCCAATAACTTACTCATCTCTGTAATATATATATATATATATATATATATATATATATATATATATATATATATATATATATATATATATATATATATATATATATATATATATATATATATATATATATATATATATATATATATATTACTGAGATAAGCAATGCTTGCCACATTCACCTGATGAGTGTGGTAAGCACTGCTTATTATACGAAACAAATTTGTATATAACGATATATATATATACCTACATATATATTTATGTCGTTAAAAATATCGTTCACTACAACCATTCACCTCTGGTCTAAAAAACCGTGGGTACGAGGTTGCCTCTGACTCACACGGCCACTCATCCTGTGATGACGACCTCGACAACGACTTAATATAAAAATCATTATGACCTTAGTCATAATACGACACCAATATCAGTACTGAAATATATAGCTGTTGTATATTGTATTGTATACTTCTTATACAAATCTATTAGATGTTGCCCTATACGGACCTCCTCTTGTTCTGTGTGTGCACATCCATCTTCCAATATTCTTATCGAATTTTCGATAACATGGCCGATTTTTGATCTTGATTATCTGCAACTGCAAATAAGAAAATAACTACAAATATACAAAGATTGGGAGACTAGGCAAAGCCAAAGAGGAATGAAACGTACTCGTACCGACTATGTACCGGCTTTGTCCTTTAGCTTTCCGATGAAGTGATTCCGTGAAAAAAGCAATTAAAGTAGTTACGTAAAAGCCAACATAATACTAGGAATTATAAACGAACACTCGAACAGACACACACTTAATTGAAATGCAAACTACATACAACGAAATTGAAACTCCCACGCACTTCACAGGAAGTTGGCATGGAGACCCGGCGGGGAGCTTTCATGCAATTCAAAGTGGCAACTATTATCATTAATTCAAAATATAAACCGTAGCGTTCGGTTCTCACCAACAATCATTGACCGACATTATACTCTTTAGCTCAGCTTTAACTGTGGTGAAGACTAAGGCGGCTGAGAAAGTTGCAGTGGAAATAAACTGAGTATACTGATTTTGTTCTAGGTTTCAGGTTTATGTTTCGTTTGGTTGAGACTGAAAACTCGTAGTTGCGTTTATAAACATGAAGAAGTTCAGTCGCCGAGAACCAACCGAGATAAACGAGACCAGATTGAAGTCGAAACTACGCCATGGTTTAATGAGTGTCGTTATTTTTGATCATCAGAATGTGTGCAATAAAGCGACGTCGTTCGTTAACTCGATAGCAAATGGTAAGTAATACTAAGTAAGCGTTTCTGTTTAATTTCCTGAGCCCGGCGGAAGTGGTTTTAGAGTTCTTAAACCAAACAAGGAGTCGTTGTGTTGTAATGTTATTTATGCATGTAGTTGGTGTGTATGCATTTAACGTTTGTAGAGACTGAGAGGATGTTTAAACTACGATATAGACAGATCTGAAACTGAGCTTGGTATTTCTTAACTTAATTCAGTTTAATACCCAGTCTTCATAGTCTTCCTGACTCCAGAGTGTGATAATTGATATAATTAAAAAAATTATTTCGGAATGATATGAAAATGTTTGTATGCTGCCCGCCCTGGTGCCCTGCTGGTTATCAGGGACGGAATTTGCCGCTGACCAAAAAGTTAAATCAAATTATTTTTATTCAATTACCTTCACTTCTGTTGAGGATTTTAACGAAGATGAACAATATCTCACTTTAGTCACTTATTATATATTCGGTAATCTATAGCTCGCAGGATTAAAAGCAGGCCAAAGATGGTAGCAACTTAAACAAGAATCCGAACATTTTATTTCAGTCGCATTAATTTAGTTAATGAACCTCCTATCTTACCCAGTTGTACCTCACAACTGTAGGGGCTGAGGGCTAAAATTTTTTTGTCTCCCGCCGAAATTCTCAAAATGAATCTTTTCTCAGATTGTATAGCGTTTTGCCATCGTTTATAAGGCTGATGAAAGGTTATTTTTCAATCCCATCGGCGATACTGAAAACTAAGGCATGGAGATTGCCTATGCATGACGACTGCATGGTGTCCGCAGAACATGGAATCGAGCGATTTCCCCGGACAATTCTATGTATGACTTAGCCCTGCCCCCCCCCTCCCTATTCACTTTATAAGTTTCGCGGACCTTGTATTTTCAAATAGGTGTTCCTCGTTTAATTTTCAGCTGCTATTTCTCTTGCGAACTGGTCAACAAATGAAGAAAACGCAGCAATTCAAGACACTTGTACAAAGATGTATGAAATTTCTATGCTTCTTTCCAGCGTGATCGACTTGTTTTCGAAGGAGGTGAGTGAGTCACCCACACGTTTCTTTTCCTGGGTTGTTGACCTTTGGTCTTAGACAAGTCTTCAAATCCTATGTCTTCAAAAATTATGATTCCAATTCCTGAATAATTTAACGGTGATACCATACTTGCACTTGCAGTGCATGTTGTGGAACGTTAGAGTGGACTGCACTCCGCTTTAGCAAATAACAATTGATTATCCGATTATTTCCGATAATCCCATGCTATTAGATTTTACTCGTTGTCTAGTATTTGGCAATGGGGAATTCACTGAAAGAGTTGCTACGTCAAGAAATGAACTTGAGTGATTTAAACAAAAAGGTTTACCAGGCACAAGTTAAAGCTTCCAAGTTAAAAAAACAAGTTAGTAAACAAATCGTGAATTGTTGTTAATGGAAATATTGGGCGATAAACTGCTTTGGTCGTAATTTGTTAATTTTGCTTTTATACTGATCCAGAACACTGAAAAGGAGAAGAAATTGGAAAATCTTGGGAATGTAAGGTTTATAAATTTGACTTATCAAAATACGTCATTAAAATCAGTTTGGCGTTTTCATTCACTATTCACCATCACAACTTTGCTGCATCAGCAAATAGCCTACCTCCACAATTCTTCAATGATATAAAGAAGAAACGTGTTTTATTTGTTTTGTACAAAATAAGTTCATTAATTAGATTGCTTCTCAGCAGTTAAGATCAACGAAAAATATTTTCACACATGCAGGAACATGATGATATATGGCGATTGCTATCAATGACTATATTGCTAAAGTAATTACCTATATGTATTATACATGCATTAAGGAATATTTTACTCAGGCTGGAATATTATGTGCAAAAGTCATTCTAATTTACTCGGTTATAGAGTTACGTATATATTTATCGTTATGTAGGCTGAATTGGAATATGAAGAACTCAAAGCATCATTTGATGCGCAGAACACAAAGCATGAAATTTTGAAAGTAGGAGAACAAACAGGATTAAACTATCAACTCCACAATCATTCATCGTCTTTAATTATTACTTTGTATAATAAAGGCAGCGCCAGTTATGTCACTGAAAATTCATTGATAATGCTTATATATTCTGTCACAGGCTCAGTGTCTCCGGGAAAGTATTATTCGTCTGGCTGATGGAACAACAACATTTGCTAAACGCGTATCAACAATTGCCGAAGCAGAGAAGGAAATAGCCAGCTGCATTCCTGTTGTTCCTACTCAAATAGGTCGCAAAAAAGAATATCAAGGTTACTTAAATTCACGACTACATGCAATGTTCTTCTACACATTGGCTGGTAATTCCTTGTCCAGAATCCACGAATCTTAATTTTAACGTTAATCAAAATTAACATTAATCTAAAACCTGTCCCTAGCCTTAACAAACTACTAACCTTAAAGGATTAAATTTCGTGGATTCTGGACATGGAATTTAGGGTTTGTATAAGATTGAAATATTTTACTTATGGCAACACTAGGCGAGAAAGCTACCGAGGCAGTGGTTGAAAGAACAGCCGATACTCTAAATATTGCTCGGCCAATATCGTTCTGTGATCTACTAGCCAGGAAAAATGCCTGGTCTCGAAAACTGAAAGCAAAATCCTGCTTCTTAGCCGATACAACTGGAGAAAACTCACCTGAAGTAATGGATTGGGTCACGGTTGAACGATCAATGTTAGCTTCGCTTGTAGACCCAAACAGAGATTTAGAATCGACAAGTAATGATAGACGACTAAGCACAGAGATGTTCTCTTGTCTAAAAGACCAGCTTAACATTGTCGGCCCAAGTGGTAGATCATATATTTCCAATCCTGGAATTGAACAACGACTCGCCTTCAAGGCAAGAGGGCTCAGTGCGTCAACCGAAAACCTCTCGCCACCACGCCCCCCGCCACCTGGTCGCCATAGAAGAAAAGGTTAGAACTTAGAAACAAATGCATAAAATTCAAACAATGCAAACTTTATTCCTTATAGTGCAATGAACCTTTCAGCTTGTATGCAAATTAACCCATTTCAAATCACATGGTCTGAAATGGTGAAATGGTTAAGTTTTATTGGCTATTCCATGGTCACAACATCTGAAATGGGTTAATTTGCATGCAAGCTGAAATGGTCTATGACGAGCATGTATGTCAAACATTTTCAGTTCTTTAGCGTACTTTATTACATGCATGATATTGAAAATTTAACATTACCTAAAATTACCATACAATTGCCTAACATGAGGTGTGTCGATCGCGTTTTTAGCGTCAGAACCTTTAATGGACCTACCAAGAGTCGAACCGTACGCTGTTGGTCGTTGGACACCGAATGAAGCAGGCCTTTACGCTCGTGCAAACTTGTTTCATCCAGGTAAGTGTTAAAAGCGGAGCACCTTGAAATATAGTTTCAATGCATTTTCAAACCATTATATGAGCTCACATTTCATCGTCCATATAATGGAAAAAGATTGAGTTCTTAGGTTTATATATCTCTCTCTAATATCTTTATATTCTATAGGTAAGCCCTATATACTTGTAGTGAAATTTATATATTTGCAATTCATATTTTCTGTAATCAGCTGTTACAAAACCTCGTCACAGCAGTCCAGATGGAGGTGCTGAGCCCACCATAGGATCAACAAGCGATTCTGGTGAATATACAATGCCAAGAGTGTTTCCGAATGAAAACGAAGTCGTGTATGCGGTACTGGAGCAAGAAGGAACAGACGACACAACGGATAAAAAATACATTGATGTAGTGCAGTAATTTTTGAATAAGGTGTCTCTGGCTACCAGGAACTGACTACATCAAACAGTGAAAATAAACCATATTATGAATGTGGGCATTCAAGAGTTCTTTAAATGAGCATTATTGTAATGATTATGATTATGATAATGGCAGTTCATTAGCTGTAGGTTTTTAGCCCAATTTCCCTCCAGCCTAATATCTCTCGTATGGGCTTGGAACTTAGAAATTATCTTCAAACAGATGGAAGTCAAATTTAGTTGAAAAAATATAATGGGAGAGATTTGTTACAGTACAATGCTAAAAAATCTATTTTGACTGGTCTGACCATTTATAAAAAGCCCCGTGATTACTGATTTACGCCCTGTAACGAAAGAGTGTACGTATCCTCTGTCCAACATGTTAAATTACCGATATATATGCAGGGGTGGCTGTAAGAGGTTTTCCTTTTTCTAGCTAGTTGAATATCAATTTCTCGTGTCTTGCTCATGACCGGTTTCGGCCTAATTAAACAAAGATTATGAAAAAATTCATTTTGCAATCCAAGTTTCATTTTGCAACTAAAAAGTAAAAGATTTACTCTAAACCCTGGGCGTATAACGTGAGAAAGTCCTGTAGCGTGCTCAGGAGTCCAATTAAATATTACATTATTACATTAGATGTAAACGAAGTTGCTATTTACAACTGAATTATATCAGCACCCAAGTTACCCGACTCGAATATGGGTAGTTTTTATAATACGTGTTATATATATAACAGGAGATTAAGCCAGGAGATTTTGACATGGCGGAGTGCCAGGAGATTTAGCTATAAGCCAGGAGATTTTGACATGGCGGAGTGCCAGGAGATTTTGCGCTCTTCGATTAACTCGAATGCCAACAGTAATTCCCAACTATCGGATGGAGATATCGATTCTACACAATCAAACAACGATAACAACGACATTTGTGGTGAACTAAACTCCCACTTGAAACTCTCCTGGTCAGGAGATTTCGAATCTCTCAAACGATTTGTAGATTTGAATATTGATCTTAACGGTACTTGGAAATCACCGGGAGACGAGCGAAAATCCTACAGCAATGGCCAAACGACAATAATGTGGTGGAGAAAACAGAAGAAGCTCCAACTCAGTGGCAGAGAAGCCAATAGAATCAAAAAGCAGTTTTGTAACATCCTAATGGGCGAAGCAACGCTTGGCCTTGGCCTACCACGCTTGAATGACGAGAGCGGAGCAAGTAGCGAGCCACCCAAAAAACTTTCTGATCAGTGTTCATGCACTCAAATCACAACTGATCTCGACGGTATTAGACTCGATATCGAGATATTACAATCAAAAACCGATGCCCTACAATCTTTAGCAAACGTACAAGAAGGTCGTTCATTCCCTGGCCACAACATTAACAAATTTGAATTGCAAATGCAAGAATTCTCAAAGGAAACAGGAAAAATAAAACAGATGGAAAGAGACCTAATTGAAATCAAACGTATGGTCAATAAAGGAACAGGCGAACGACAGCTAAATCCGGATAAAGATCAAATTCCTAACATCATATTACTCGAAGATACGATACCCTCAACTTGCAAGCCTAACGAGGCCGAGGAAAATCCGGCAATTACCGCCCCCACAAATCCAAATGTCAAACAGGCTAATGATAACGACCATATGCACAAAGAACCCACCCCTCTTTCATACAAAAACAAAGGCAATACTCGAGCGATTAAAGATCAAAAGATGCAAATCAGGTCATATAGACAACAACAAAGCAAAGAATACACCCACTACCATCTGAACGAACAGCTACGTTCATATAAAGCGAAACACAGAGATATACATAAGAACACATATTCCAAAAGAAACCAAAGTATCCAGTAACTACACTCAAACCAATCGGCCCCACATTTCTACAAAAAACCCAAAATCCCAAAAGTCCTCCTTTGGCTCGAGTAGACAGGACAACCGGCGGACTTTCCCACCAAAAGCCAACACTAATAACAGCGCTAACCGCCGGAAATCTGATCGCAGAAACAGGCCTCCTTTTCACCGGAGATTGACAAACCATACACCGGCCAAATATCGGACACGTGTAAACAGCCCACCACCATATCAGGTAAAACACCTAAGGAAGTTACCATCGTACCAATCACATTGCCTAAACAAACCACTTACCTACCAGTCATTGGGCCAGAATCAATTCCCGCCTTTCCATGTACACCACCCAGCAGTCAACTCTGAGCCAACGTCCCCAATCACCCATTTACAAACAATACTTCCGCCAAGCCTACCAACCCATCAATCGTACTGTAGACCAGAATGGAACATGGGTCTAGATAACGATGCATGCCACGTCGATCCCTCACGAAATCTGATAAAGTCTATCCGATACCTGTGAGGATTACGAATCACAATGTAAATTAATTAACAAACGAAATACCAAGCAAAACAAGCTTTTACGAAATCCCAATATGATCGACATTCCTACCACTGAAGGCAGGCCTTGGAATGAACACTCGACCCTGAAAGACCTTAGTATAGAACGGGACACTCCGCAAAATTATAACATTCCAAAGTCCCCCCATTTCCGTCTGGTACACTTAAATATAAGGTCTCTACGAAATACCTCCATTGGATCCAATTCGCCGAATTTGTTTCAAAGACAAGGATTGAGGCAATAACATTATCAGAGACTTGGTTAAACACAACCATACCAAATGCCGAGATCAACTTGGAGGGCTATAAAATTTACCGCCAAGACCGCCTTCACAAAAGAGGAGGAGGGGTAGCTGCGTACATTCGGAGTGATATTAAGGTCACCGTACTGAAGGAAATATCATCAGTTTCCACCGATTACTTCCAGCAGCTTTGGCTCAAACTTCAGACTAAAAAGTTAAGATCTATCCTGCTCTGTGTATCATATAGACCACCAGACTGCCCGCCGTCCTGCCTAGAAAACAACCTAAAAGCAAGTTATATGCAAGCCGCCATGCAGGACAAACCCATATTTATTTTGGGAGACCTCAATTGCAACACCATGAAGGTCACCGCTGAGACCACAGCATTGGAAAACTTCATGTACGAGATGAACTAAAGCAATTGATCACTTCACCAACCAGGATCACAAACACTTGTGAATCACTAATCGACGTAATCATAACTTCATCACCCAACCTTGTCCATCAAAGTGGTGTTATGGACACACTCATAAGCGACCACCTACCAGTATACACCGCGTTAAACATGAAACTTCCTAAGCCATCAGTACAGAGCATCCTGACGCGAAGCTATAAAAGCTATGATAGTTCAAAGTTCATTACCCATCTTGGTACAAGATCACAAGAACTCATTTCTATCTTTTTCGATTCCAATGTCAATTCAAAACTCAGAAAACTTAATGATGTCCTCTCTACTACTTTGGCTGTCCATGCTCCAATTAAAGAGGTCAAGATTCGACGTCGCTCCTGTCCATTTGTTACTGCTGACATCAAAAAACAAATGATCTACAGAGACCAGCTACATCGTCGATACAAACAGACACGAGAAATGGAGGACTGGAAGAACTTTAAAACAGTCCAAAAATCAATCAAATCCACCTTAAAAGTCGCAGAGAAAGACTACGTCCGCACTGAAGTTAATACACATAAAGACAAACCTGGGTCACTTTGGAAAGTAATTCATAGCCGCATTCCGTCTAGAGACAAAACAACCCCAATATACAGCAAAAACCAGGAAGAGGTTGCCAACGATTTTAACAGTTTTTTCCAGTCAGTAGGGATAACAGCCGCCGAAACAGCTACGCAACTGGCCTTAGATAATAACATCAATATATCTTCCATGTCTGCCTGTGAAATCAAGAACCTACAATGTCCGATCGAAGAGTCATTCCACTTCATACCTGTTACCTGTGCGGAAATTGAATGCATACTAACATCTATGCCATCAAATAAATCACCAGGTCCCGACAAAATCAGTATGAGAACTATTAAAGACTGCCTCCAAGTAATCTTAGGCCCCCTGACGGATATCATCAACAGTTCATTTACAACTAATACGTTTCCAGAAGCCTGGAAAATAGCAGAAATCATACCAATATTAAAAGAAGGGGATCACGAAATAGCCTCCAACAACCGTCCCCTCTCAATGCTCAATGTAATCTCGAAGGTATGTGAGAAAGCGGCCTTAAATCAATTCACGAGTTTTTTAAATCGGACCGGCCACCTTACGGCACACCAGAGTGGAAACAGAAAGTACCATTCAACGGAAACCCTCAATATATTAGTAAACGATTTTTTCCTGAACGCAATGGATAACAAAGAGCTATCTGCCCTTATTCTGTTAGATCTGTCCAAAGCCTTCGATAGCATCGACCACACAATATTGCTTCAAAAACTAAGCAATATTGGAGTATCTCGTAAGGCTCTAAATTGGTTTAGAAGCTACCTTTCAGACAGAAAGCAATACGTACGCATTGGCTCTTCAGTATCAGAAACTCTTTCAATCACTCATGGCGTCCCACAAGGGGCAATTTTGTCACCTCTGTTATTTTGCATCTATATAAACGACCTTCCAACAGCACCAAAAACAGCTAAGTTAGAATCATTTGTGGATGATTCGAAAATATTCATGTCCTTTCCAATCACGAATATAATCGATGCAAAAAGTAACATAGAAGAGGATCTTAAGAGGATTGCAACATGGTGTTTCACAAATAAGCTGTTAATTAACCCTGAGAAGACAAAATTAATGCTAATAGGCACTCGACAGTTAATCGGAAACCTTACTGAAGGATTGGTTATCTCGTTCCTAGGAAAAGAGATCACACCTTCCTCTTACGCCAAAGACCTAGGGCTATTCATGGACATTTATTTAAGTTATGATCATCATATACGACACGTCATATCATCTTCAATGGCAAAACTGTACCAAATAAATAGAGTAAAGGACAGCTTCGATAGCGAAACCCTCCACACGATTGTCAATGCCCTAGTGATGAGCAGATTGTATTACTGCTCTACGGTGTGGTCGAATACATCGGCAACAAACATAAAAAAACTCGAAAAAGTACAAAATTTTGCTTGTAGGATTATAACAAATACAAGGAAATACGACCACATAACACCAGTACTACAGGCGATCGGTTGGCTCCCAGTCAAGGAACATTTACAGTACAGAGATACACTAATGGCTTATAAATGCATGAACGAACTTGCACCGCCGTACTTATGCGACCAGTTTTCAAAACGAAATGCAGTTCACAACAAGAACACCCGGAATAAAGACGACCTTGACATTCCCCCATGCAAAACAACATCAGGTCAAAGAAGTTTTCGCTATAGAGCAATAAAAATCTGGAACATTCTAGATAAAGATTTTAAAAAACTACCTTTTAAAACATTTAAGAAGCACTTAAAGAAAAATATGTTAACAAATAACGTTAACGGAAACCTATCTTAGTTAAAGTATTAAAATCTTAGTATAACTATACAACTAGGATTTCTCTTAATTGTAAACATATTTTATAAATATAGCATAGTCAATAACGTAATTGTAGATAGAAATATACCTATTTTTAGCCTTGTTAGTACATACTGAAAAGCCCTATTGGGAGTATGTTTTATGTATAATAATAATAATAATAATAATAATAATAATAATAATATAAAGCGTTACTCTGGTGCATATTTATCTGTATTTTTATCTAGTTTCGAGGTAATGAAAATAAACTTCATGTCCCAAAATATCATTTCGAGGTATTGTAGAACTTTTTATTCTCGGTATAGCTATATTATGAAAGTTTTTAGCAGTGCAATGCTACTTGTTTTAAAGTATAGCCTATAGTAACCCTAATAAATAAAAAGAAATATGGCGCATGCAGATTCTGCTTGGGTTTTTCTGAGCAAGGTTTTCGCAATTATCAAGTCACCTTTACTGTTTACTGTTAATATAGTATAGCCGGTTATAACCGGTTATGATTCTATGTGTTCATACATGGAAATGGATGGAACTATTCATAATTTTGTTGTTTCTGTCGTCTTTATTGAACCACGTATGGAGCTTATTGCTACTCGTAATGGCTGTGATGGCGGACGCTTCTTGCAATTGAAGTTGAAGAGGGCGAGTAAACTGCGGCGATAATCTTGTAAACGTAGAGAATATAGCAGTGGATTTGTGACAAAATTGAGAAGTGCAATAGGCTCGTAGTAATAAGAAAAATTGATGAACATTGGGTCAGTACCAAGGCGAAGTCTGGTCACATACGCAATCTGTTTTGCCACGAAATAAGGGAACGCGGTCACGATTAGTATCAGGTTTAGTATGATGACAGTTTTTGCAACATCCTTTTCTTTTTTATTCGGAATTTTGGCGTTCTTCAACTGTCTTCGGCTTTTTAAAATCTCTATAGCAATAAGTATCTTTAAAACCACTTGAAACGCTGTAGCGATCTCCAAAATAGCAATGGCGACAATATAAAGACAAAACACTCTCATGCTTAAGTCGTCGTTTATCATCCAAATGTAACTTATTTGGCTCAGACCCATGCAGATGGCGAGTATCCAGATGATCGTGCCAGTCACCGCGATTTTACATTTTGTAATCATCAAACGACTTTTCACGGGATATTTTATGATCATATACACTTGCACGGTTAAGAGTGCAAGCAACATAAATGATGCACTCACACTAAACATCCATAGGAAGTTTAGAGTGATTTCCAACCATTTGGGAGGCGTCTCGCCCTCTATTTGATGGAAACACAATTTGGAAAAGAGGGAGCCAGAAGCCAAACAATCGGCAATTGAAAGGTTCAGAATGGTCACCCACGCTCCACGATGTAAAACTTTTAAAGGATTGATTAACATGACAAGTATTAATAGTAAATTGCATAACATTCCGATTGAACTGACCGACATACTAGCAATGTTTATAAAGTTGAAGTGGTCCGCGCTGTTCTTTGTTGGCTATAAAGAGAAATGCATAGCTTTTATATAATTAATTGCTTAAATGTAACCAACAACAGCAAGGTTGCATCTCGGTATTGACTTGTGAGAGTGTGTCAAACATTTGGGAAATTTAAAGTATAAGTGGTCGTACAGCTCAATCCAGTGTCACACATTTGGACTGATTTTCTCGAGTACAACAAACTTTGGCATTCCGAACAGAGACATTTATCTACCAATCCCTACCAATCCCTTCCTGAGCTCAACGACTGACTAAAAACATGCAATACAATACAAGTTGACTTAGACCATAATAAAGAATCGCATTTGGATTATTATTATTTTCATTAGCTGAAAAAAAACAATTACTGGCTAGCCGCTGTTCATCGATTGGGCAAATACTGCGTTTTTGCAACAAAACCCACTCAAGTCACAGTAAATCAGCTATAAAGATCACAGTTAAAACGGATTGAAATTAGTGTGGCACTTCTAACTTGTGTGTGTTTCTTCTTCTGAACGTAAGCTTCTCGCGTGTTCTATTCCATTGCTAGTATGAGCATTTATAATGATTGCGTGCGACATGGATATTGCATTATCTCAGATCAGGGCTTTTAGGAATAGACAACCAGTATTCTTATCCGCACAATCTTTTTGAATCCGTTAATTGAATCTCACAGGCCACAGAGAAGGTGTCAGTACTCGGCAATGATTTTATCAAAGATTTATTAAACAATGATTCAAGGATATTGTTTGTTTGAAGTGTCATAAAAATAGTTGTGAAAAAGCTTTTCCAGAAAAAGCTTTTCTGTGATCTGAAAGCTAAAAAACTCTCGAAGCCTAAACCTGATGACTCGACCAATTCACTGATGACTGATGATGCAAAATAAATAAATATATATATATATATATATATATATATATATATATATATATATATATATATATATATATACTGTACATCTTATTAATGTAGGCCTTATTAATGCCAAGTTTTACTCGGTGAATGCCAAGGTTTAGAACGACTTTAATAAGCACAGTACACTGCCTTATTCTGACTAAGATCGGACTAAGGAAAGGTTTTAGATTGCGAGTCGCGTGGGTTAATTCAGTTAGAGGTTAAACCTATTATTGTTGCAGTTGTCATACTAATAGGAATAATATTTTTTAAAAGCTTCTCGCAAAAAATGTACTGGTGCAGCAACGGGTCGTCGGTGAATTATGTGGCCATTCACCACCTACAAAGGTTTTTGTTAGTTGACATGATAGATGAGCCCGCACTATCCATCTATTCAGTCGGACCATAACTGTACATTTCATGTACATGGCATCTACTTTATTATCACAATAACATAAATGTTGCTATTGATCTGTACTGATTTATGCAACATGCAATTTTAATGCATATAAAGTAAATGAACATTGCAAAGAAAAAATTGTTTAAAATGGTATACTATTGATCTATATATATATATATATATATACAACACGCACTGAAAGTAAAAATATTGCAAAGAAAAAAATGCACTGTTAACAGCTGATGAGCTATTTATTTATTTCTATAAAAACACAAAAGTGAGAATAAGATGACTTACTGTCCTATTTGTTTGGTTTTTGGTCAAGTTGGCTGATGTTTCAGTGAAGTTAGCAGCAAGTCCATTCCTCGTGATAAACGGATCATCCTTTTGAAGTTCACTACTACAGAAGAGACACACGAGCATCATTATTCGAAAAATAGCACGATTTCTGTTTAAAAACATTGTAAATCCAGTCTTGTACAGATGTATGATAAAATTTTTTAATCGTTTATTCGTTATATAGTGAACTGAATATTATGATCACTAGGCTGTCAAATATATTTGTGGCCTTTTGATGTGTCTGAGAAGTTTTAAACATGCAAACACATCTTTAATCCGCAAATTAGACCGCGCCTAATTGGAATTTCAAGTGATGACGTTGACAAATCTCCAGTGGATATAAAGCTGTGATGTGATTGGTTTGCGAAAACGTTTTATCACGGTTTGCGCGAATTAGTTCGTATGCTGGGAAACGTGTTTGAGCAGGGTTTCACTTGAATTTCTTGAGCAGGGTTTCACTTAAACGTCATGATCGCAGTAATCCTTTGGTAATCTGTTGCAGCGATATTCATAAAAAGATTCTCATTTTTACATTAGATATAGCTGCATTTGTGCCGTATAAACACTTTCCGAATTTGCACACAAAACGATAGCTTAGAAACGAGGCAGGCAACCGATGTAATCATGCTATATTATGCATATGGGTATAACTGACTGTGATTTGACTCATGTAAAGCATGCACATCCGTTCCATTCTGTTCGGTATAAACTTTGTCGGAAAGACTATACTAAAAGACACGTCATTTCTTGTGTTCTAATAAACAATTTCCGAATTTGTTCTCAGGCAATGAAAACCATCCCATAAACAGTAGATTACAATCATTACATGCTTATCGTCTCCAACGATAGTTACTAATTTTAGACTAATACTATTCAGTTTAATACGCACTTGTATTTTATGAAAAAAGCTCGCCTGAAATAGCAAAAGCTAAAAATAAATTACTAATAAAGGCCAGCACATTTTTTCAAGGTTTTGGCACGTTTGGCAGGTTTAGCAGGTTTGGCATGATAGCGAGAGAAGTTTTTTCTACTGTCTGGCCTGGGGCCATGAAATGTTTGACTCGCAAAAAAATTCACAGCTGCACAGCATGTGCATGCGTGTGCAAATTCCAAGTAAAAATATATAGTGGTGGAAAATCATTTTACGTTTTTGTTCATTTTCGTCTGGTTGGAAAACATTTCGAGATTTATATTCTGACTGTTATGATGATAAAAACTTGCGTCGCTCCATATTTGTTCTCATCTTAGGTGATTGCATGCCCTTTGAAAAGAATTCCGTCGGATAAAATTGTGTATGCCTGATATGCACCTTCCGTAATTATACATGCATGAGATCATGAGAGGAAATGATGCATAGAAAAATATTCAAAACTTGTACTGACAATGTGTATACGCATTGAAGCGGGTCACACGAAGACGTTATACTAGTAAAAACGTCGAATTCGTCGATTGAATTTCAACGTATATCAGTTACCACAAAATAATAAGTTGTGCTCAGCTCTTTTTGATTCCAGTCTCATTGTCTCAACAATCGCATCGTTGGCGTAGCACTAGCACACTAGTTTGAATGATTATATAAACGTCTATAGTCATGCATATGATTCTTATATTGTCAACGCATGACATGGTTGTAAGGCTGGGCTAGCAATCCAACGAGATAGCTATATGGACTGATGAGGTGAGAAATAACACTTGTATTTGATTAGTTACTTTATTTATAAGTTTCATTTACTGCCTGGTTTATAGATAATGTCCTCCTTTGCAAGAGGACAACAGAAATCTATTTCAAAGTCAACCACACGGAGAAATATGCATGTATGCTGATTATAAATGCATATAACACTTCATTTTGATTTTTGAGGGTGTTTTTTCTATATCCAGCAATAAAAATGAGAAACGTACTATTAGTAACTTAACTTTAAGTGATTTGTCGATACATTTATGTATGATCGTATATCTTAACATCAAATGTGGTATAACAACTGCCTAAAATAGACAAAACACTTCTTGGCGTTTCGACCTGGGGGCCTGCTTCGTCAGGTTGAAACGCCGAGAGGTGTTTTGTCTATTTTAGGCAGTTGCTATTCCACATTTGATGCTAAGTTGTTTGAAGACGCTGCCACACTACTCCCTGGTTATATTGGATATGATCATATGTAATAAATAGCTATATACTGAGTTCTGGGGCCATCAGAACATGTGTTAGGCCATATTAGGCCTAGGTTAAGCCCTAATTCCACGGGTTAATTTTTCAAGCGAAATGCGAAATATTTCGCCTGCTTTTTTTATACGTCGCATTTTCGTCGCGTCGAATGCAATTCAAACAATTTATGAGATGATAAACCTGATTAAGCTTCATTGCCATCTATAACCTAGGCCTTTGTAAAACATTAATGGGGTTATGGTCGTTGCGTTTACATTTTTTTATCCATGAATGATTCACATATCATAAAGAAGTAAAGGATTTCAAGAGTCATCATTTCAAGGCCTATTTTAGCATGCAGTATTGCAAACGTTGTGCAGTATTTATAGCTCGAGTGATATTTGGAAATGATCGTCTTCACAACCCGACGTCAGGCGACGTGACGATATAAGTATAGAAGTCAAGATGAATAGTTTTTATACCACCCAAAATATTAGAATTTGGTTATTTGGAAACTTTGCGGCAAAATATATTCGGAATATAGCTAAATTAATCTTCGTGAGTGAGAGATGAATACCGTAAATGTAAGCGCAACGCTTATTACAAACAATTCCGAGTTGAAGACGCGGCGTTTATTCAGGTGCGGCGCTTATTCGACAGCGGCCCTTATTTCAAAATCAGTGAAAAGACCAGCACGTCCAGAAAGAAAACGCGAAGTTGGACTGTTGGTTGACTTGGTTCCTGCTCAATTTAAAGTATATATATATATATATATATATATATATATATATATATATATATATATATATATATATATATATATATATATATACAGTGAATTAACAGCATGCACAGATGTTAGACCACAGTTATACGCGGAATTACTATAGAAAGAGAAATTTAAACTACAGAGTACAGTGCATGCATGTGTATAAAAAAATTTGAATCCAAACTTGGCGTGTATTTATGCGCGCAGAATATAAGAGACAAGATTGGTGGATTTTTACACAATTGTTAAGTTGATTTATTACTCGTGCTCTAGGAGGGCACGAGTCTAGGTTTCGTCGTGTGTCGGTCGCGTTTTGGACCTCGATGACCCAGAATGCATTGCGCACTTGACCCAGTAATGTATGACGAAATGTAATTATTCGACAATACAAGCCACTTTTACAAACAATACGGCAAAATATATTGCACAGAAGACATTACTACGGTGCAACATTTAACGCATATTCCTTGGTGCGATGTATATTTTTAAATTCCTACATGAAAGCAAGATATATGATCGATGTTTTCGCAGTTTTAGACCTACAAATGCTTATAAATCACACTTATTAATACCTAAATGTTTGAACCGTCGACTGACATTACGAACAATGCGAATCAATACTATTACAACTAGATTTTTGAAAGCTTTCGTCGGAACTAAAACACTGCAGTCTGCAGTCAATATATAATAGAAGCATTGACACAGTAATATGTCACGCCGTGCGGATTGTCTATAGGCTACCTATAATCGGCATTTGTGAATTGTGATAATAATGTAAATGTATTATTTTATACTTGTGTGATACATTTTTGTCGTGTAAGTCCTCCCAGGCCAGGGTAACCATAAAGCCTTAACTTACGCTATAGGTTCCCACAACACGCCATGATTGTGTCCCTCAAGTAATGCTATTAAGTCCCTAGAACACAATCCCTAGAGCACGAGTGTACGCCTAAGCCGGCGTCTTGTTTGCCTTTCAAATGACATCCCTGTACGCGCCATTCTGGTAAAAAATGAACGAACACTCGGTCGACAAAAAAGTCGATAAAAATGACATTCTTCCGCCGATGGGAATTGGACATTTTTCTTTTCCATTTTTAGCAGACGATAACTTGCCGGTTATTTCTGGAAATTGACTTTTAAAATTTATTAACAGAAGCGCCATAAATACCGCAAGTAACACTGTATATTATGTCATATGAAATCCATTTGATGTCATATGATATCCAAACTTGAAAGCTGTATGACATACAAACCACATTCAATCGACAATCGTTATTAATAATTTCCAACATAATTGCTACTGCAAGACAAGTTTTGATAATTTGATAACTGCCCTATGGCTATGGACCATATAGGTTCTTTCGCTTCCTCAATGACTCTCAAGAGTCAAGACAACGTTGTCTATGTCGATATATAAAGACTAAAGTGTAAGTGCTGATTTATGTAAAATAATACGATACATTTGATTCGACGAAGGTGCGCAAGGTCGCAATAATAGGACAATACGTGCGATAAAATTATTCCCTCCTGCGTCTCATCAATATAAAGGTTGAAGAAAATCGTGCGTTTATTCGAATGTGTACGGCTTATTATAGATATTTTGTTTTGTGAAAAGCCCGATCGCAAGTCGCAACATTCTCCCGTTACTCAAGCCACATATTCCACTGACAGAAAACGTTTTATCGTTTGAAATATGCACAACATATATTCTTCTAAATATCACTGCACTTTGGTGGACATGGCGTGTAGGAAGGGGGAGAGCAATCTCGAAACCAGAGCACAGACCCCGATGAATCGCTGGCTTTGGTTTCGAGATTGGGAAGAGTTCCTCACACTGATTATGCCACAGCTACCTTCTCCACCAGGCGCTAGGGGGCATTCGGGTTAGGGAGCATTTTGGACGATTGCTCGAAACACTAATCTCGTTGATGGTCGTCCGAACTTTGCATCAAGATAATTCTATCAACGAGATGAATTAGCATTGCACTGGAACAAGAAAACCTTACAGCAATAGTATAATTATTTTAGTCCGTATATAATGTAAACAAACGCTTTGATTGCATTTTAAATCGCTATACTAGCTGTGATAATATATTTGAACTTCTTCTAGTTCAGAAAGAGTTTTGTCTAAAGGCTATAGTTTCCACTCAGGAGGAATCTCCTTTGGATCGGAACGGACAGGAAAATTTCCTTTGTCGGTGAGTTCACAGGCGGCGTTTATACAAAGGAAACTTTCCTGTCCTGTCCGATCCAAAGCAGAATTTTCCTGAGTGAAAACTAGCCTTAAATATAAAGTTTAGAAATATGCGAAATGTAGGCAATCTTTGTAGGTAACACGGTTCCTTCATCCAACGAGAAAGGTTCTACGTGTCTGTGATAAGTTTATAACGACATGCAATTCTTTACAATTACCGTGGCTAATCATACAATCTTCATTTACATTTTCTCAGCTTTTATCTAGTTCAACATTCTCAAGTATGCCAGTGTAAAAAGAGATTATTATGTCTAGAAGGGCGGAACTTTCTAGTGAAGAGTTTCAGGAACTGTTTGGAAAAAACGAATGCGATTCAAACACGAGTGAAACAGATGAAGAGATCATTGAAAAACAAGAAGGTCCACATTTTATATCGTAAGTAATATGTATTGCAATGCAAGCTGCAGTAAAACCTCATAGGCCCCAGCTAATTTGGACACAATGGCCAACTTAATGCATTTGAGATGCTTTTTTAAATAATATAGGGTCGTTTTTAGGAAATTGTTTGTTCACAGGCCCCAAAGAAAATATGTCGGGCAGATAGTAATTAGGAGATAAGTAATTACATGTGGCTTAGTTCCCTGCATTTTTGACACATTTCTTGATTTATCCTATCAAAACTGCGCGAAACTTGTTTGGGAAACCAAATATTTGTGAAGGGAGGTAATGACTGAATGAAAGGAGGTAGGACTGAGAGGCAATGCGCCCCGGCATAATACTCAGCAATTTATCAAGAAGAAAATCCTCGTGCTACATTTCGTTTCGTTCTGTTTTTTTAGGACCTTTCAAGGCACCATGATGCTCGCGAGATTTTGTGTTGGGTCAGGGTTATTCTCTATTCCAGCAGCTTTTAAATATTCAGGAATAATGGTATGCATCAAGGATGAAAACATTCGAGTTTTATGTTAGTTTCATTGTATATAGTATATGCCATCGAAATATTATCGCCTTATATAGATTAAGAGTTTTTATCCATATTTATCGCAAGCATAGCGAGGCAGAACAATGTTATACTTATAGTTAGAAATTTTAATAATAATTACATCCAGTATTTAGACGTGATTATCCATGTTTGGTGTTTTCCATTGCAGGGCGGGATTATTTGGGTATTCATTAATGGTTTCCTCACGGCCTATGGAATGAGAAAATTGACCAAACTCTCTTCTGAAATTACAAGAAGGTATAAATCTTAAATATACAGGTCGAAACGTTTTCATAATGAAACAAAATTACCTATATTGACGAGAAAATTTTCGGAGAATTCTAGCAACCCAACGTGAATGATTTGGTTAAGAACTACAATTTTAAAAATACTCTTTAGGGAATTGAGGATGTTTCCCTAGGAAATCCCCCCCCCCGACAATCTTGAAAAGAAAAAGGCCCTGTTGTTTTTCAATGAACAACAACTCTTAGAAACAATTCATGTACCTTGAGAATATGCTAATTTTGCAAATATTGTAAGGTCGAAAGACCTTATTAACCGGCCCGGCATGGGGAGACGTTTTGCTCGATTCGCTTGATTTTGAAATTCTGTTCCACGTTTCTTCTATGCAGGTCTGGTTCTATTTCTGTTTATTATGGTGATCTTGGTGAAGAGTGTGCCAAGGAAATTTCCAGCGAAAACGGTGGAAAAGTTGGAAGGTAAAAGTAGGAAAGTATTTTGCCATGTATGCATGCAGTCATCGTCTTGTACTTGTAGTGTATTCTACCATAACAGCTAATATACATATAGATAGTATAATCATTTTTTCACCTTTTGTCTGTTTTTAGAGTAGTGGTAAACATTGCAATTGTCATCTCGTGTTTTTGTCTCGTGTGTACACAATTTATATATATAGCAGCTATTTGGCAACAGGTAATGTAATGCATGGCGGGAAGTTTACTTATGGATTTAAAAAAAAGGGGAATAATATAGAATCGCTACATATTTTTACAATATCTTAAGGGATTTGAAAAGATTGGGATACCTCAAATGAATATCAGCAGTTGGATATTAGTAGTGTACTGTGTATTGTTTCCGCTGTTTCAAATACGACGACCTGATACTCTCGCCACATGTTCATTGCTTGCTAATGTCCTCACTGTTGTTGGAACGGTGACCGTATTCGTGCATATCTTTTCCGCGAGGACATTTCAAACGTACCGCCAAGAAAATAAAGTTTTCTGGACAAAATTACCTTTAACTATTGGAATTACGTCATACGCGTATCAATTAATGGCCCCACTTGTAAGTATAATACGGAGTTTATACAATTTACTGTAGGTATACGGCGCAAAATGTTCCCGTAGCCGTACGTATTGTTTAGTTAAAGTTCTAATGCCTGAAACGCAAGGCAAATATTTTCGTGCATGCTGACATTTTCTTCTTGATGTTTTACCAAGCCATAATTTATAACAGGGAGTGTTTCACCGGAAAGGGCACGCCTCGATCAACTAGCTCACTTTTCATAGTATACATTTTCATAATCCGTGGCATTTTGACGCAACTTCTGGCAGAATCCCCAATCTGTCAGACGAGCCTGGAAATCAATGTCCTTGTCGCGGGTACCGGCCGAAAACTGAATGAACTGTAGTGCTATATGTAGCTTTTTCACATTCTAAACGTTTCATAAAGAATATGTTCCCTCGTTTAGATTGTCACAATGAGAAGTTCAATGAAAGAACCCTCCAAAGTACATTTTGTAATAAATATTGTTTTGGCATGTGTTACGGTGCTATATGCTGTAATGGGCGCTGCCGGGTATGCGTCTTGTCATCCGGACTGTGCAGACAGCATACTACTCAATCTGCCAGGATCGAGGTAAGGATATTGTTATAGATATATAGTCATAGCAAGTTCTCATTCATTCATCGCATAACCTTAAATGCAAGGTCTTGAGTGACCGCACTTCTTTTAAGATCAAAATCAATATTTTCACGCTAGATCTATAATTTATGTTTTAGATATGCCTCAATTGTGAAAATATTTCTTGGTCTGGCGTCATGTATTGGCACTGTACTCGGGATGTTTGTATGTTTTAACGTCGTGGAACCTATTCTTGGGCACTATTTTCCAGAAAGTTGTATGCTGTTTACTTCCACTACGACAAGAATATTTTTCTTAACCTTTGCAGGTATTACTATGTTTCGTTATAGGATGCAAATGCACTGTAGAGATGCATTCGCCGCATGCTGTCAATGATTAATGGTAACTCAGACTTTCTCGTCAAATTTTTCCTGTTTTTTTCCATCTCAGTTTCCGTCTTTCAACCGACGTCAGTTGAAGAAACTAAGGCTTTGTTTTTCCTCCACTGACTTAATTTTGTAGCCACGCACGGGAGGGATTCCGCTAATCTTTTCTCACACCCATGTGACGAGAAGACGGAAAATACTCTTCCATTGTTACCCAGAATCATGTAGACCTTTCTCATCATGACGCCAAAAACTGAGAGTCTGATGTTACACGAAGTTTGATTTGAACCTTGTTATTATTGCATGCGGAGCCAATTAAACTTCGTATAAAATCAGGCTCCCGCGTTTATGACGTCATTTTAGGTCCATTGTATTTATTTTCATTATTACAATGTATACTGAACTTACAAAGTTTCTTTTCTTTCTTGATGTTCCCAGCTGGTATCACTGCCGCAGTTCCTGAACTTACAAATGTCATGTCATTGGCTGGTAGTTTCACAAATCCAGTTTTCGGGTTTATTTTTCCTGCTTTTGGACACATTGCATTGTTTCGCAGGACACTTTCACGCGTCGATCTCGCTAAGGATATTGCGCTCTTGTTTTGCGGGTTATTTATCTTGTTTATTGGTTTTTATACTTCCCTTTATATGATAGTTCTCGACCTCGAGTATCCTAGCTATCCTAGCTAAATGGTTTCATACCGTTTTAATAAAAACCAAAGATTAAATGGTATTAACTTTACCATCGAATCTGTGATAACTGATAGGTTAAAATAACCAAAAAAATAGGTTGTTTGGATGAATCAGAGAGAACCGGTTTAAAATAGGTCGTTATTCTTACGTATACCATGGAAACTAGTTAACTAGTAGTTTTAAATTTTAACCTATTAATAACTGGTTTTAACCGAAGATAATAGGTTATAGCAACCTATTACAAAACAAACATGACAAAAATGTTGGCTTGCATGCATGATTTACTATATTTCAACAATTTATTGTATGAAGTATACAAATAACAATTTTCATAGCACACATGTAATTTACAGGCAAACATGTTCAAGCAATAATAACGCTACAATATATAAACTATATAAATATAACCTAAAATAGGAAAAAGATTCTCCACGTTTGGACCTCTTCGTCAGAAGAGTTAGTTAAAATGACGAAGGTCCAAAAGTCAAAACGTCGAGACAATTTTCTGTCTATTATAGATACACGCTACTCTTTGGTTATCGGAAGATTTTAAATTTTGCTAAACAATACTGTAATTTGAAAAAAGTATTTTTTCTTTCAGACCGATCGCATACATGCACCACATCTATTTTCTACTTTATGAATTTTTTTGTACAGAGCAGATATTTTTCGTTGCCTTATTACTTCGTTAAAACCACTGAAATATCTAGCAGAATTTGCGTGCAAAGAAAGCCACAAGATAAAGGCGCAGGGGCCAGGCAAAAACAAAACTACGTGCATGGCGCAAAGTAACTCGATGTATAGCTACGTGGTGAGAGAGAACACGTTTCTGATCTAGCTTCGTCAACTCACTGGATAATGCAGGTTTAAAAGCTATACAAACCTTGGAAGAAGACGTACCGCAGATAGACATCTCCATCGCCCCAATAAACGTTGCGTGAGGTGGTTGAAATGCGAATATCAAGTAAGCTTAAACACAGCAGAAAGAAATATATTTTATAATTTTCATTAATATATTTCATACAAATCAGTACTATCATGTACTATCACGGTTTACTGTCGCTCAATTCAATTGCAGATTTAAGTATTTTTGGATACATGCAACGGTAAATCAACAAACAAAAGAATTGTATATAAGATGAATGAAGACATGCAGGCGTGAATCATCAACCCATGCAGAGATCTTACAGCTCATGTAGAACCACGGAGGGGTCTTCTTCTGTACTTCGAGGAAGTTTAGGGAAACATTACTTGTGTTAACGACTGAGTAGACCATGCAAGACTTAAATTTATCATCTTCCATAATGGCATTAATGCATAGTAATGGCACCTACTCCTAGTCCACCAAGGATTTTCGGAGTTCACACTTCGGATGGAATATTTTACGTCTCACATAAATATTAATGTAAGTATGATATTAATTATTAAGTAAATATTAATTATTTGAAATGCAGTAAATATAGGTTTACGGAAAACAATTTCAATAATATTCTTTCGCAATTGTTCTCGTATTAATATAACGAATATAACGGCATATATGCATGTGCTTAAGAACCGCTGGCAAGATTTTCGTGGAGCACTGTCAAGAAAGACAACCAGGTTAACAACACATGCAGCGTACAAAAGAAGAAGGAAAAGATGTACCTGTGCACTTTGAAGAAAGTGACGCAGTTTAAAAAAAGGGAAGGTCATCTTTCATCACACCTGGTTATTTATGGTGTCCACTTCCTTCAATGCAGTATTTTTAACAAGATGATTCAAGAAGTATATCATATAGATATGTGCTGTTACAATTTTCTCAAAAATTCTTTATTTGCGCTCGGGGCAAAAATGACTATACTAGGTAAAACCTCCTGCGAATGACCTTTTTGGCATTCGTAGTCGTAGCGTCACGTCAAATGCGGGTTTTTTGTGGGACATGTGTGGCCGCGCAGTCTTCAATCGTGCAAACAATCAATTTCAGATAGATGCTTTAGTTCGCGTTTCACGCTTGGCCAAAGTTCTAACAACATGCCGTACGCATGTATGCGAGGATCACGCTGACAGCATCGGACATCATAAATGCACCGTGCATGATAACATTGCATGGGCGTTGGTTCAGCCAGTCACAATAAATATCACAGAAAAACTACTTCACCTATATGAAAACTACTGAAAATTTATTTCTTCCAATTCTCTACAAACTTATAACTTCAACACTGACGCACTGCAAGCAAACCTTTCCTTCTAATATATGATTACATCATGGCAAGGAGTCAGTACGTGCAGACGAGCACACATTTCCTTATTACTGGTTTCGTTGATCATGTGTTCATATACAGTACCTATAGTTTTAGATTCACCAGCGACTAGCTTTATACCGCTCTATGTATTAACAACGTAATGAATAGCTAGCTATAAGGAAATGAAATATATAATTTAGCTATGTTTTGGACAGTCTCCTTTTCAAGGATAGTTTTTGCCGTGTATACAGGAGACATATTGACGGAAACTTAATTGCTGGTCTGTGCTGAACGCTACCTAAATATTCTGCACTTAACATTTAATATGAATTCTCTAAGAATTTTCACTTTCACACAATATAGGTTTGTTTGCGATTACGAGGGATAGCATTGCACGCGTTCACCATCTTCTTCCGAACTTGATTCGTCTTCACCATCTTCATCTTCTGGATCTCCCTGTGCTCTACGAAAGCGCTGAAATGAAAAAGAACAATAGTTTGAGATGTCCTAAATATACGCTTTCAAAGGTTTACAGGTATTTGGGAACGTTTACTAAATTCATCCGCGCGATCCTTCAGACACTTTTTGACCGACGTTAGCTTCTGCTAATGACTTGAATAGTTGCATAACACCGGCAGTTGATGAAGTCAGCATTCTGCATTACGTTTGCCATTAATAACATGCAATGATGGCTTTACCATTCGTTCACCTGCGAGAGTACCAGTCTACCAGATTCCAAAACCAACAACTTTCAGGCACCGCGCGCGGTTGGCCATGCAGTACTATATACAAGAATATCAGCTTACCCGCCTAGCAATGTGGTTGACCATAAACATGAGTAGATCACCATTCAATGGATAATCTGTCTGCCTTCTTTCCTCGTCCCTTTCTTTATCATTCGCGAGAACAACCTTTCAGTTTATTAGAAAACATGGAATTTTAAACTTATGCATAGGCTTGTACTAAACGATGGGCCAACTAAAAGGATGACAAACGTGTAATAATTCTATTATATAGCTAGCTTTTGGGTGATAGAAGTTTCCAAAAGTATACTAAACTATTTCCACAAAGATAGAGAAGATGAACCTATAGATCTTGTTTACAACGGCGACTTGTTTATGACTTTAAGGAACAATTTGGATTTATGAATTAGGATACGGCAGATAATATATGAGACGCGTGAATAATAGAAGAATTGGCGCAGTATATTTCTAGAGATCTAAAGACTTCCATGGTATAAAAATTTATCATCTATTATGACTGAGGGATACTGCTAGAAGTAAAAGCGTTATTTTTTCCATTCCTTTTGGGTTTTTTTATGTGCATTATTAATTATTTACTTATTAAATGTATTCACCGCGAACGCATTAGGAAATTTTGGCATTAGGAAAGAATAAGGCAATATTACCGATTCAATTTTGCTAAAATCGACTGGTTCATTTGACGTGGGGGCCCAGATTTTGACGTCATGATCAAGACCGCTTGTGGCTAATAAGGGATAGTAAGGATGTGGTTCCAAACAGTTCACCTATATAAAGTATAGTAAATGATAACTATCTTTTGTTTCGTTATAAATGCGTGACCATGCAGCATGTACAAAGTGATAGAAAAGATGTGCTTAAAATTGTCGATTGCTTCTCTTGAGATACGAGACATTTATCGTAATATTGTTATCAACTTCACTAACCACTCCAGCCACGTCTCCCTCAAGTAACTGAACTATGCTTTCTGTTTCTTTATCCCATATGAAAACATGGCCACAGTCGCTCCCACTAACAACGAACTCACTTCGTGGACCATAAAAGTTCACTCCTTTCACTAGGAATACGAAAATTCATATAAAATATGTAGCATTATATGGGCACCGTAGTTGACAGATCCTATAACGCATACAGCTGCATATATTACGCATGGCCTGTCAAAAAGACCTACAGTATTTTCAAAGCTATATAGACACTATGTACTGAACATCTCCACGATGTTTACATTGTTACTACTAACCTGTCATATTATTTCTATGCCCCTTGTATTTGTGAGTATATTCAGCATTAGAACTGTAACGAAACATGTATTCATTCATATCAAATCGTGATGCAAATTTTTTGAGGACGCAAATATTTCCCTAAGTATAAATATTATCGTATTCATGTCTAAATCTTATAATATAAGTAGTCGTGAACGAACTCGAGATGTGGTTAAAAACATCACAATTAGTATATCTTAATTTTCGTTGCCAAAAAATAGAGGGACTATAGCCCCTAGCCTCCGTTTCTGCGGATATGCAACAGAAAAAAGTATACATATGCACCTGGTATTTACATTGAACAAGTAGATATCTTCGTCGTTGTAGCTCACTAGCAGTTCTAAGTATAGAATTTTTAGACCATTGAGAAGACATGACTAGTCAAAGGCGTATTTTACATTCATGTACTGTACGAGTGCATACATATTTATAGCGTAATTTATCAGTACACGCACGCACGATTTTATCCACTAACCTGAACCGTCGTGAGAGTATACCAGGCAAGTGATATTGATAAAGACATCTTTGTTCTCCTGTGCGTAAACGACAATAATTCTCATGTTACTTTGAAACTGCAGTTATTAGCTGAGTTGAGTGACCGGAAAATTTTCCCAGTATAACATTATGGGCTTCAATACTGTTGCCAGAGACGTGCCGGGCGGGAAGCGTATTCGAAGTATAAATATTAAAGCCCAACATAGTGCTTTCAGTAAAGCCATAAGAGACAATCAAACCATTTGAGAATAATAAGAATATATTTGGTAGTAACGTTTCGTTATTATGGGCTTGTTAAGGAAAATCGGGACCTCGTATCAAATGCAATAACAAGGTAGCAAAACTGACTTAACATTTAGTTGCTAAAAAATGGGGAATCATTATACATAATACATATTTCCCCTCTGACGAGAGTTTCAACTAAAGAAAAGTTTCAACTTCTGAGGAATGAAAAAAGGGAATGTTTAGCTGAATTCTGAGTATTGGTGTTGCGTAGGTTATAAGGTCTCATGCAGTTAGGTTGGATAGCGCTCCCCAACGGATAGCGAGTTTTTCAATTGTTGTGAGAATAGAGTAAAAAGCAACTAAACTGCAGATTTGGGGTTAACAGTCAGCAAAGAAAAAATATTAAGGTTTAATCCAGATTGTACCGAGCAACGGGATATTTTAGAGTAAGCATGAGCTCTGTACGTTCAGCAGCAAAATAACCTTGGAAATACATGTACATGCAGAGTTAGATAAGGATGAAGGAAATAGTGTAAGTTCAGATACTAACAAATTCACTTGGATAGTATTCTTTTACAGTTTTTATCTTTTCCTTGATATCCTAAAGTAAGAAGATAAGGCATATGCGAATGTTTTGAAAAGGAAGTAAATAATTAGGCCCCGCAAGTCCTGAAACGCTCTTTTTACACAGAAACGTGTACATGCATTGAATTCTACAACACCCTTATCATGCAATGAGCTATTTCTGCATGAGTCACTGTTAGAAAATAAGAATTTATTTTTATATGATACACAATTTGTCATTTCAAGAAAAGCACATTAGGATGCAAATTGCATATTTCCTACATATTCTATACCTGCTTCATGTGCCTTCGATCATACACTCTATAAAAAATACTTTCAATTAAACTCAAAGTCCAGGAAACCTGGTAGTAAAGTATAATAGAAATATCATGTATTGTTAATGCTACCACAAACATGATAGTGTTAAGATGATTTTTTTTTAAAAAGTGCAGTGAAGATATTACACTGTTTGTAGGGTTTTTACCTTATCTGACCGACAAATTAATTTGGTGTTACCACAGATTACTACCCGTACCTACATCGGTGATCTCTCCCACCAACAGCAAATTCTTCGTGTTTAATTGGGTTAATGAATATCGAATAAAGAGGAATCTTCGCCTCTTTATCACTGCGACAAAGAAGCCGCCTGTAGAGCAAAAATTGTCCAGTTACAGTTCACATAAAGTGTACAAACTATGCGACATGCAGTATCAACACACACTGAGCATACTGACGACATAGCAAGATGCCCGAGTAGACGTCTCAGGAATATTGATACAATATGATATATTAAGAATAATCCACTTGTAACAAGCTATTTCCTACATGTGTTATCATACCTATATCCACTGTCAATTCTTAAATCTATCTCAATCACTTGTCCATCTTCTCCACATGTCAATAAAACATTTGGTGAACCAGGTTCAATACTTAGCTGGCATACAACAAAAAGATACAGTATACACGGTGATATAACTAGCTATACACAATGCTTAAACAAAATTGTTTTGGCAGTAGGTACAGTACAGGTTAATAATTACACAGTTACATGTACAATATTGTATTCAACATGTATATACAACAAATATATATAATTGCCTTGCCTATATAATTCATCTTAAAATTTCAGATATGCACTTCCGGACAAAGTCTGGTAAGCTACATACCTTGTGCGCTCCATCTCTGTGTTGAGCAAGACGCTTTGTTCTACTGCAGGAACCAATAGAAGATAAGTATCCCACACGGACCTACAGTACAAAACAAGTTCAAGACTATTATTGCATTTAAAGCCTTTTTTGCCGCTGGAAACGTTAGACAATAATGGTAATTTGAGCTGACAGTCCAGTACCTGACCATCCCTTGCACATGTTACTACAGTGCTGTTGTTTGTGTTGGGCATAAATTTAGCCTAAAAGGGAAATTCAAAACACAAAAGTTTTTATACCTATATCTAAATTCTGTATTAAGGCAGATTATCGAGTTTCAGCTCTCATAAATTGTTATGCATAGAATAGCCCTCGTTTATTGTTATGTAAATGACTGAATTAAACATTCATCATTTCAAGACAAATAGCATATATGAAGTTCAAAAACTTGTCAACCTTCATCCGAAATCTTCTATATTAATTAGCCGAGGTCATAGCCTAAATTAATTCACAAAGTGGACAGGTTGCAATTTGCAATAGCTGTAGTAATTGCTTACAGGACTGAAACTTTAGTCTTTAGAACTTCTTAGAATACCCTCATAAGAAAGTTAAATACCAGGTAGTTACTGTTGTTACTTATACATGCAATCATACACAACAATGTTTGCCCATATATATTGTCTCCCCAAAAGTCATTCCTCGGGGTGTTGCATTGAGTAGTCTTAAACACACCTGGAACACATTTCCTGTGTGACCACTTTCATAGTGAAATTTCTTCTTTCCACTGGCCCAGTCCCATAGCACAACATTTAAGTCATCGCTTCCTGACACTAACACATCTCCTGTTTCATTAAAATTCAGGGTATTCACACATCCACCATGATATTCAAGTTTTCTCTCCAACTTAAATTTCTGAATCATGTTTAATGAACCTGCTACATTCCTTGTAAACAAATATGGTTTACTCAAACCCAGCTCTCTAGTACGTAAACTGTTATGGCTTTTCCATGTACATTTACTTTTATTCAATGAAATCCCTAAACTTTCAAATGTTTTAGCTTCAAAAGTGGTATGCTGCTCATCATCAGAGTCACTTTCAGCAGAATGCAAAAGGTCAGGCTCCTCATCTGAATCACTGTCGTCTGATTCATCATTATCATCACCGTCCTTTTGGGAAGAAGACCTCCCTTCTTTTGACCTTGCTCTTTCTTTCCTTTTTCTCCCCAACCTTGATGTTTTCAACTCATCCTTTGCAGTCCCCTCTTCCATGGAGACGTCAGCATGATCGACGTTGTGAACATTTTCGTTTGAGAGTTTTGAATCTTTGCTCAAAAAATCATTCTCATCTTCAATATCGGTTTCCTCTTCCGACTCTAAATCAACCTCGTTGTTTCCAGCCGTATGCTCGTTTAGTTCAATTTCTTCTGGGGTTGCATATACACGATCCTCTTGCTCTGAATTTGGCTCCTTTTCTTCACGTTCCTTTGGACCAGAGGACATATTTTTCAACAAGGTCTTTAAATGGAGAAGGCTGCGCGAAAACGCAGAAGCAATTTATGTGTCCAACATGTCAAAACCTACAGTACTCTAAGGAGCAAAGCTATATATAAATCATAACTCGTTCGTTAAAAACTTATCTCTATTCGCAGGACTTGTATTTACTAGAGAAATTTGGGATGAACTTTACTGTCTGTGGCTGATAAAAATAGAAATGTTGTTGTTTTTCTGTGTTTTCGAGCCTGCGAATCAAGGCCAGCGTACAAAGTACAAGATGGCGGACGAAGTGGCTGAAAAAATGAAAAGAGTTCAAAATTTGATCGAGAAAAAGAATGCGATTGAGGGGGAAATAAAAGAATTGCACGAAGTTCTTGAATCAGTAAGTCATATATCTTGATTAATATTTTTCAGAATCAATTTAAAGACCACATAAATTGTGATTATTGTATCTTGTTTCACGATTTTGAATCTTCCACACAGCAAGGTGGCGTAGGTATGAAAGGCAATTTAGTTGACAATGAAGATTATCCTCGACAAGATATTGATGTGTATGCTGTTCGCTTTGCAAGAAATCGTATAATATGTAAGTGTAAAATTTTCTTTGGCTCAATTATCTTGGGCTGAAGTGGGGAGTAGTCCGAGTAGAAAAGCACCTGGGACGCGGTGTCACCAAGATTTGTAAAATATTAATTCTGTTAATCAAAACACATTGGGATACATTAAGTTGCCAAGGAGAAGCCTGATTGCAGACTAAAAATAGCTAGCAATTGAGGAAATGATTTTAGGAAGTTGTTATACTCCATTTGAAGCAAAGTTGTTGGAAGATGCTGCCACACTGCTCCCTGGTTATATGGAGACACACATACAGTATAACTCTAGAATTTGTCATATTTTAAAAAAGATATTTAGACCGGTTATCATTTGGCATTATAGGCTTACAAAATGACCACAAAGCTCTTATGAGTGAGATTGAGGAGGGACTTCATAATGTTCATGCTGCGGCAAGAGAAAAAAAGTTACAGGACAGTCATTCACAATTGGCTAATGCTGGTAAAGTCATGTGCATAAGCTTGTTGATAGACTTTTTGTTCAATGCTTTCACTGGATTACACAAACCTAAGCAATTTTTAAAAGTATCTAATGTGAAATTTTAGCTTTGATGACAACAACATAATAATGTTGTGTAACACAGCTTTTTTCAAAAAGTGAATGTTTATACCTTTTAGCACCAGGTGAAGAATCAGTAACACCTTTTCTCTATGTTGATCAGATATCACCAAGGTCACCAGCTGAACAAGCAGTAAGTGAACATTCTTGGCAGTTTTAAATGTACTTCACACTGAATAGATTGAAAACTTTGAAGTAATATAGTATACTGTATTCCAACAAACAAATAGTTATAATGTATATTTTTTAGGGTCTTTGTGTTGGTGATCAAGTTATTAAATTTGGTTCCATAAATTCTGAAAATTTTCAAAATATGCAAGCCATTGGAAGTGTTGTTCAGCATTCTAAAGGAGTAGGTGGTTATCAAATCCATTTATTCACTACTCTTCTTATCACACTTGAGTATTATAATTACATTATATTATTATGACGGCCATGTTTCTGGTGTTGAATCTTTTCTGGGCATATATTCAAAAGTTAGATCATGTTAATGAATCAACAATTTCAATCATTTTATAGCAATCAATTTCTGTTGTCGTTAAACGAGTTGAAAATATCCAACGCCTGAATTTGATTCCTAATGAATGGTCTGGTAGAGGATTATTGGGGTAAATATTCAATTGATTATTTAGCATAATCTTTTAACATGATTTTTTAATATATATATATAATATTGATACAAAGTTACTTGTTAATGCAAAATGTTGCTTTGCAAAACAATGGATCCAACAAGGTTTTTAAGGGTGTTTCTGGTGATCGCCATGTGCGAACCTGTAAAATCTATCACTGCTTGGAACATGTCAATAAAATCAAGACTTTTATTGTATGTTTCAGATGCAATATCATCACACTAGATAATAGCAGGCCAAGATAGTTCGCCCAAACCGAATGCCAGTTTACAGATTATAAACAGGAAGGACACAAAATTGCATCCCACTGACGATTCTGTCGGTCAGTATAATTCTACAACAAAACAGCATATGGCGAACGAAATAACTTGCAGTTGTCAATCGGTGCCAGCTTATTTTACACAGGAGAATCAAGTCGCGTCCTGTCCACAAATGTTTTCGAAACTCGCTCGACGAGGCTGCGGTAAACTTTCCGGTGCAGGTTACTGTAGTTGTTTCAACTTGAAACATTTGGTGTTTTCACCAAAAATGCTAATAAATGTCTACATGGAATGCAAAACGTTCAACTTTAATTAACACGCTGTTGTCCCAAATCGCGCAGGTCTTCCTGGCACATCCAAGCTATATTGTGACACGTTATGATTTTGTTCTACTGCAAAATTTCTTTTCACATACAGCCTAAGAAAGGTTTTGCGATAGTTTGGCAAACGCATGACGTAGATTAGAGGATTAACAGCGAAATTAATGTAGTACAGTGAATTGAAAACGATTAAAATGATCTTTTCTTCGAGGCTTCTGAATAGAAGTAGTTGGTGAAATATCGAGGCGGGTATCATGCAGACTGCAACAACACATGCCACGAGAATAATTGTATTGAGAAATCGTTTTTCCTGTAGGATCCGTATTTCTTGAGCTCGATTCTCAATGCCAATGGCAGCGGAGTTTTGGAGGCGAATGTTGCGTGATTGCCTCTTTAGATTGTAACCAGTGAAAGCGCATACAGCAATTGTAAAAAAATTGAGTATAAAGCCTACGACACTTGCAGCGATGAGATCATATTTTTTGTTTCCAAAAATTAAAAACTTCGACGGTAAAACAGCTGATATTAACCAAATGCACGCTAGCCACAGTGATGTCACTTTACCGGTCATGAAATTACGATGTCGTATGGGATATGTTATCATGAAATAGCGGTCGATTGACACAGATACGATGGTCACAGCTGACGAACCTAATGCAAGAGATAATAGTATCTCTGCTAACAATCGATGTGATCTCAGTGCCCCAAACCGATAGCAAAAAGCTATCAAGCACACAGAAAGATCCGCTACTTCTAGGTTAGCCATAAGATACGTTTTTGAATTTTTGAAACATTTTAAGGGATCTTTGATGAATCCATTCAAAAGAAATATGTGTGAAATCGCTCCAAAAAAACAGATGATGAGATAGGGTATGTTGGTATATTCAAATTCAACAAAAAAATCCTCTCCCATTGTCACTTGCACTATGAAAGTTATAAACTCCAACTGATATCGTCTAAGCCAGATGCCTTTTTTGAGAATATATAACGAATTTTAATTAGATTTAAATGTACGGTGTAATAGTGTACTTTGATGTGCGTTATGACTATATATAATAATATACATTATTAATGTAATATATTTTTGACAGTTATTGCGATAAACATGCAGATGAAAATTAATGTGACAGAAAAATGGTTTATGCATGTGCAAACAATTATATATATATATATATATATATATATATAATATATATAATATATATATATTATATATATATATAGTATTAAGAGAAAGTATTAAGATTAAAGTTGCTTACTGATATAATATCGAAGGAACCCCTAATTTTTGGAACCGACTTGACCCGACTCGATTTACTCCTCTAAAGTTTTTAAATATAACATATATAAAGATTTAAACTTTTATGTGGGTATGCAAAAAGCGTATAAGGGCCGCTTTTCACTGTCGCGTTTTTTGCACACACGTAAAAGTCTAAATGCTGAATAAATTGAAAGAACTTATTTTAGTACGCATTTCAGGGTTGACCCATAGATGTTAGAATAATAAAAATTTAAAAGCGTTCAAACTTTTACGTGCGTATATATAATATACGTCCAAAAAAACGCGATAGTGGAAAGCAGCCCGAAGTGAAGATATTCCCAATATTCTACGCAAAAGGTTGGGCAATTGTCTGATATGTCGTCGCATTTAATTCCTATTAACTTATATTTCGCCCTGGAAAATTGTTTATATTTCTTTATATATGAAATAATGAATGATTGTTCTAAGAAATTCTCTAGCTTCCAGGAAATGACTACGTTGGTTATGCATGGCGACACTTTTGCTCTGGTGTAATCGTCAAGGCTTTAACTATTTACTACAGAGTACAGTATCACAAATGTACTATTTTGACCGCGGGTGCAGCAAATTGGTAATATGTATTTTGCTCCATGTTTGCGATATGTCCGCACTATCTCATTTTCTGATTTCTATTTGACGAAGTGCGAAGTACTTGCTTTTGCTTTCCTATTTACCAATGCAAACACACTCACTTACGCTGCTGGTAAGTGTATATCATTTCCGATATAGCTTTTCTTTACATCCAAATACGAGTATTTAATACCCATTCCTTTACCTATGTTATATATTTGGACTGAAATTTGTTAAATTCTAACGTTTCGATCTCGTATAACCAACAATGTACTGCAAAAAAATCGAAAGTCGGGGTAAACTGGTAAAGTGCACAACTGATAATATATTTACATTATCAATTAGTGTACTGACTGTTTATAGATTGAAGGTGGGTTTGTCGAGTGCTTGAATTGCGCATAACTTCATTCAAGTACTCGTGAACTCGTGATTACTTTCACAATATACAGGCATGCAATATAACTGGGTCATGGTTAGCGTTGGTATAGTGCATGAGTACGCTGTACGCGTCGTGCTCTGTTGTGATATTAAACAACCGGCCATTGTCTTGAAATTTTGTATAGTCTCCCATTGCTGTCGCGTATACAGCCTTTCTCCCGCTATAGTATAGTTTCGCTTTAATACTCATCAAGGTTCAGCGTGGCTTAACGTGGTGGCGTAATTAAACCACGGAAGTCCGCAATTCCAGGAAGACCCGAAAAGCATCGCTATTTTTTATCCGTCTGCAAGCAATGCAATTGAAAAACCGCTAATCTCTTGTTTTCGAAGCAAACACTGTGTTATAGTGCTAGACACGTCGCATAGCACCGTCGCTCAAATACTGATTTTCGCAAGATAATAACATGGTAAGTTCGAGTGGCTTGTCCGCCATTGTTTTCAGTAGCCACCTGATTTCCGCAGAATAAAAGCGGCTGGGAGACTGAGTATGCAGTGTTTATTATTATTATGTAATGTTACGGAAAAGTTGCAATCAGTTGCAATTAACCAATTATAGCCCCTGTTTGGGCTTTTAGATTATTTGGACGGTATTCATACCGGCCTTAGGGACCTACTTACTATAGGAACATTACTCAATAGAGAATTTTGACTTAATTGGTTTCAATGTGAATTTGGATTTATTGATGTTGGACCTAATGGACGTCGGACTCCCCAAAATGATATTTCTTTTAGTACTATATTCTCTATCTAATTTTAGGGATATTTTGGTTTCCGAAAATACGATAATTTTTATTATTCACATTAGTTATAAAAGATTTTTTATCTGTAATATTGATGGATGCTGCAGTACCACAGAATATACCTATCAGCAGGGGCGAGTTGTTCAAAGCTAGGTTAGCGCTAGCCCTCGGTTAAATTTTAATCCAGTTTTTTTAGTTTGTGTGCTTCTGAACCACTGTTCGTTTCGAAACTTTAAAAAATATTACTTCTCTCGGTCCAGAAAATATTTATGAAAAAAGATATTCAACTTTGTAAAGATTTGCTTTAACCCAGGGTTAAGCTAACCGGCTTTTGAACAACCGGCCAAGGACAACTCCATCGTTCTTTGCGTGACTCAGCAAGTATGTAAATGGAAGCCACTGCATTATTAAAAACGGGGCTGTTGGCAGGGGGGTGATTCGTCCCATGATTCATCACTCAGCAAGTACCGTTTAATAATGGAAGCAATCACTCCCCTGCCCATATTGAAAATGGCGCTGTTGGCAGGGGGTAATTGCCTCCATTTACGGTACTTGCTGAGTGACGAACCATTTACGCAAAAACAATGGAGTTGTCTCTCTGACTGATAGGTATTATGTGGCCGTAATATCCATACTGATGTACAAAATATTCATACATTAGGCGGATGTGATGGAATTGCAAAAAACTCAGTGAATAAAAAGGCCCCACCCAAGGACTATCAGGTAGTCGAAGGTTCTCGTGCTACCCTCGAATGGGAATACTGCAAGAAACAAATTGATTCGGTATCAGGAATTATTATATCTCGAAAGAATCAAATAAAACCGTATTTGTTAGCCATGGATGTGACGGGAAAAATATATTATTACAAAGCGAACCGCAGTCGTCATAACGTATCCTGGAGCAAAGAAAACGGATCGATAGTGTTTTCAATAATGAATATCTCGATGGCCGATGGGGGGCATTACACTTTGGAAATAAGAAGAGTTGGATACGCTGATTTTCAAAACACAGTAAACGTGATTGTCCATAGAGCAGGTTCACTTCCACTATTATACTATGCTATATGGATTGTTTAGAGTTCGTTCGAATTTATTCTTTACAGATATTTCGTACCTGGATTCCGTATACACACAATGATGACAGGAATTGTAATGTCTGCAATTGAGTGCATTAACTGCATTGTTGTTGATCAGAGCCAGATTTGAAATCTTGTGTTTATTATTCACATTTTAATTGCTATATTGGCATATAGTATATATAGTGCAGGAATTAAACTTCATTTTTTTGCGAATAGAGAAACCAAATTGGTATCCGTCAAAGTCAACAAGCATATTAAAGGATATCACAAAAACGAGCGTGTTTCTTAACTTATATATAACACCAACATCTATGAACGTTTCATATCGTACAAGCGGATCAAAAGGTAAATAGAAATCTTCTTAATATAAAGTCTATGATATAAAGTAGTCATGAGTCGATCGTTTAGTGAAGTATATATTAATTGTCATCCATGCACTGCAGCGGTTGACACAAATCTGTCAACGGCGATCATAAGCCATCATCAACGCTCATGCACTAATAGTTGAATATAGATATACCTATGGACAGACGTGGTATGTCAAAAAGGCATAAATAATTCCATTTTTTTTCGTTTACAGAAACTTCATTTACGCATTATCCCTCAACTGTTGCAACGACAATAACACACAAGGTTTTAAGAAACATTGTGTCAACTACAAAACGTCAAGAAAATGGCTCGTCAGAAAACAGGCATCATATAACAATTTCAAGGAAAAGTTCAGTTAAAGGTGTAGTAATTTAATCACCGATTTAAAGACCTATAACACCATCTAGAAAGCGCATGCATGCATGCACAGTATACTGTCGGAGAAAGACTGATTAAAAACGGTGTAAGAGCATGCATCCTAGAATGAGTAAAACTGCGGTGGTTAGGAAATTTCATGAAGACCTCTCTTTCAAAGGTAGCTCAATAACACGTGATGCATGCAGTGAGCTTGCTTAAATTCTAAATTCTGAAGTAACGTCTAGTACGAGAGTCGAGACCATTAGTGAATCAGTTATTCTTATGTATATGTACACGTCTTTATATGCTAGATAAAGAAGAGTATGATGACATCGTGCTTATAGTGATATATATACTGGCTGGAATCGCGACAATGATGTTGTTTTCAGTAATGATCGCACTTCGTATTAAGCTGCAAAAACGTGAGTTTTGAGTTTTGCAAAAAAACGCGTCTTACATGCGATCGTCTCTCCGTGCAATATAAAATTTTATTTATTTTCAATTGCTGTAGGTCGAAAAGAAAGGTAACTTATAATATAATTAGATGTTTGCATTTTACGATAGCCGCGGTGGTTAATTTTCAATTGTATGCAGGTATATAACAATGTTATTAATAGCTAATTATACATCTTTATATATCTCTGAATAGAAGCAATGCAAGGCGGGAATTTCTTACAGATATTAATGCAAATATTCAAGTAAGTTCATAGTATGATAAAACCAGCTCTCCTCTCCATCGAGTCATCATGACCAGCGATACAGATACTGGTACTGGGCAACTTGTAAAACAGCCCATGCAGACTTCCCATGCAGGCACAGTATCGCACTCGCTCGTTACTGAGGCGGTTAGGCCTCAGACAGTGATGTATATAGATAAAACGTATAAATCCGTGATAGACATGTTAACACATGTAGTGTACTTATACCAGCTGTAGTGACAGTATATAGTTGACAACAAAAGTATTTTTAAATTTTACAGTCACCAAGTGCAAATATCACGAATCACCGAGAGAGAGATGAGGCGAGAATTGAGCTGGATGATAGCTTCAGTGTCTCGAGCATGAGTGGCTTTTCTTACAGAGATTCACTGGGACTTAACGACGCCAGTGAAGAAGAACCCTTTTCTGCTATAACATTTGGCATTAGGCAACCAGGGGCATCTCTAGTGTGTCACGATTTTCCAACAACGCCCACACACGAGATTATAGAACAAGATGCAAGTTGTCCTCTTCTCCCCAAGCGGAAGAACTACGAGGTACAACGAGAATTCATTTCAGATTTGAAAATAATCGGACAAGGAGCTTTTGGTCTTGTTGCAAGGGCAAATATGCTGCTTAAAAATGAATTGTGCGTCGTCGCTGTCAAAATGTTGAAAGGTGTGCGATATATACTTTATTACTTATAATAATGACCATTTTTCGTTGTTATCACCAACACCGGGTAACTATTTGGCACGAAAAAAATCGTTTCAGTGGTACAAAATGCCGTATGCTAGCCAGTGCATAAGCGGCAGAACAATAGCGGTCGGAAGTCCACAAAATAATGCATTTGGTTTATAGCGTCTGTGTAAATATATCATTCTCTGACAATACACACGCACACCAGTATAGAATATAGTGCTCCAGTGTTGTCGAAGAAAACGGCTGAATGAGAATGGTGTAATTTCCCAATTTCAACAGAGTTTGCGTCGAACGAGGACAGAAGAGATTTGATCTCAGAATGTCAGTTGATGAGAAGTTTGGAGTATCACAAAAATGTTGTGCAACTTTTGGGATTTGTGCTACAATCAGGTACAGTAAAATGCTTTGTGAGTCTCAAGGAAAAAATTGAACATGCCTTTCAGTATTAGATTCACTCTCTGCTGATTGGCTAAAAAAGGTAGTAATTTAGAATCTTTCAAACGATTTTCGAGTATAAGTAAGAAATCGTATACGAGATACAACTTAAAGAATCTGCCTGAAAATTTATGTTAATGATTGGTACATTCATGATGAAACCTTCATTTTCGCAGAACCAATATGGGTTGTAACTGAATACGCCGCTCATGGTGACCTACTCGGATTTCTAAGAAAGTGTCGCGGAATCCAGGACTCGGTTTATCATGGTGTAGATACCTATTGCGGCTCCAGTCTCACACAAAAGCAGTTACTCAATATGGCGAAGGATATAGCTTGTGGAATGGCACATTTGTCACGAAACGACGTGAGTGAACCAAGCACTTCGCATTGGTTTTATATGGTTGTTACAAGCGTCGAAGCTAGCGCGATAATTGCGGGGGGGGGGGCATATATATTTATATATTCTGTTACTACACCAAGATGGCGCGTGATGGCATTTTGATGACCGAGGTCAATGTCAAAAGTGAAATTGTCTACCTCAAATCGTCTCACATCTCACGTCAGTCAGGAATGCATCTATTTGTTAAGGCAGTTTGCATGCTATTCACTTTTACTACAGTATTAGCTTGTTTTTCTTATTGAATTAAATGTCAGTGAGGCTGGATTTCCACTTGCAGAGAAATAGTTCGCTAGCGAAATATTTGCATATTTTCTTTTGAAATAAAAGGAGTCAAGTTTAACTAATTTATTTATTCTGTCAAAATTCACTTCGCTAAAATACTTCGCTAACTATTTCTCTGCAAGTGGAAATCCACACTAATGTACTCATGCAGAACATTGCACTAGACTTTCCCTTACTGTTTAGATAATTCATCGGGACCTGGCTGCAAGGAATGTTCTTGTGGATGAAAATATTAGCTGCAAGATAACAGATTTTGGAATGGCGAGAGACATAAAAACCACAAGTTATTACAGAGTGAAGAACAGGGTAAAATACCTGTAATTTTCTGTCGACCATGGTTGATAAAATATGAATAAAACGCAGATATAAATATATGCAGGCACGTGGGGATATGGGATTATATTCGGATCAGTTATTATTTCTTCTGTTGGGCAAAAGACCATACCTGACTTGGATGGGAAGTTACGAAATAGTATATCTATGTCCCTAGTTGTCATACAAACAACTGTAGTCTGTATGGAGTATCGACTACATATTCCAAAAAATTCAATCATGTTTTTAAATTTCAGGGACGAATTCCCTTAAAATGGACTGCCATTGAAGCTATTCTTGATGAAAGATATACTACGATGAGTGATGTGTGAGCCATTGTGTTTTACAATTTTCATTTAACAAGACTGATTGTACACCATCAATAACAGTAATTAAAGGAAACAATATCTTTATTAAAGGTGGAGTTATGGAGTTGTTCTTTATGAAATTGTGACAATTGGTGAGTCTGATATTGTGATAAGTTCGAGAATAACGAGAGAAACTAACAGAAAAAATTCTATATATATAGATATATAGATATTTTCTGATTAGAAATATTTAATACATAATATTTAGGAATAATTAGTATTTAAACGTGTATTTTAGAACTCAACAGTACATAGGGTACGTAGATTTTTTACACTCCTTATTTAGAGTCATGACCAATAGTTTGCATGTAATTTAATGACCACTCGTAAAATTGGAAAATACTATAGCTATATCTCTAGCTATAATATATTACCAGTATATACTTACAAACATCATTTTTACATGGACATACATTTTGATTGACAAGGACGATCACCTTACCCTCGTCTGGGACCAGGGGAAATTTTGCGAAGATTAAAGAGAGGCTGGAGGATGGAAAGACCAGAGCATGTTAATATTGATTTGTGAGTTCTTAAGACTTTATTTTCCTTACTGAGTTACTGTGCATGATTATAAAATTGTATGGCAAATGAGCATCTACCAGTGCTTGGTCCATATTAAGAAGCCACGGTCTGATAGTTTCCGGCACATGCAGTACAAACCTCACGCTCGGTCAATAAAATTAACCAGTTAATACTGATATACAGATATAGTATATTCCGAAGGCAACTTGCACTATAACAGATATGAGATATCGTTATCATTTATTATAAAGATATTAAGTATCGACTTTTGTAACTATATATTTAGATACAATGTGATGCTTACCTGTTGGGCAGCGAATTCTGAAGAACGTCCGTCATTCCTTAGCCTTTCAGCGATCTTTAGCTCTTTACTTGGGAATGAAAGTGTAAGAAACGACAATACTCTACCAGTGCATAAGACATGTTTCTTAATAAATTAGCTTACGGTGCATGGCGGTGGTTTGCTTGACAAAATTATTTAACTTATATTAGTTATATAGTGATCTTGAAGGACTGAAGTTAAGGAACGTAAAGTTGCCTTCGAAGTAATTTATCTCATTTTGTCCGACACCGCCCGTCGCTAACGCGTCGTACTTCCCAAAGAACCCAAATAAATTATTTTACCAAAACGGCGAAAAACCCTAACTATATTATTAGTTAACGCCAACTACACGATTAAATTTTAGGCAATTCGAGCTGTCACTATAGTTAAACTGTAGTCTGTAGATAAAATACTCATGCTATGGACTCAGGTATATGGTTGTCTTTTCGTTGCAGGAATACATCAACATGAAAGGATGCAGATATCAAATGTTCGAGACACTAGAAAGTAGCTCTGAGTCTGAGGCAAGCACTGGGTCTCTGAGCAATGAACTTTCAACATAATGAAGTACGTTTTATCACAGCTTAATTTCTGATTTGGAGAGCAACTTGCAAATGCTGTCCAGATCTTGATTCTATAGACCTAGAACATTTTGCCAACAGCATAAATGCATAATGCGATGCATTAGTGGCGACAGTGTAGTTATAGCCTGACGATTTAGTCCTGTCTGCCAGACGTTTGTTCAGCCGAAATCTAAACTGATAAAGATAATTTTGAGCATATTACGCATTTCCGAAAGCAATATATCAATTATGAGTGTATATGTATACGGTTATTTGATATCCGGTGCATGTCGAATTGTCTGATTCGTTTTTCTATTAGTACATACACCGCATTTATTGTTTTGCTTAAGCTTTGCTTGGAATCCTTCATCTCGACGTGACACTTATGTTACAATGACAATGACATATTTGCACCGAGAATCCGCCTTCCAGGAATCAAATTATATTCAAATATTTTAAAATGAAGTCTAGGCCGGATGTTGAACTACATAGACTTCCGAATGTTGGAAGTGTGGAATTTCGTTTTATATTTTCCAGCGCAATTTTTGATAGAATTTGTGTTACGGCATTTTTTCTATATATATACATATATGCAACGTGTCTTTATACGGTGGTCGCTAATGATGTTTAGGCCATCCAATTGGCTTATAGCCGAAGATGCAAATCATGCAATGTGCATGGACCGTATTAATAAAATTTTGTTTTAAAATATCGAAATAATTGAAACTGAGATTGTGTTTTTTCACATTAGTGATATACGAGCTAGTACTAATGTTAGAAAAAACATAATTATGACCATAGGCATACCTTTTATATACATAATACATGATAGGCAAATTCCCAGAATTTGGCGCTGAATTAGTTTTAAATTTGCTTGTAGAAACAGATTTTGATTTCAAGCAGTTGCAAGTTTTTAGATTAAAAGACTCAGAGTAATGTTTCCCAAAAATCTGTGGCTGTTTAATTTCCTTTGTCTTGTTTCGTCTGTTTGTCATGCCGGTAAGTATACTCTTATGTATAGAATATCAGAATGGCTTGCATTTTAATAAATACGTTGTTATTAATCTGGATTTGCGAAGGAGACCTGTTCAAGCTGATAATGTAACTCTATGTAATGCTTAATTTGGAAACCTTTACAGGGAATAAAACATTCTTCAAAAGCTGATTAGAGCAGGCTTTTTGTGCCTGTTTCATTTTTATATCACGGTCGTTAATATATTACGATCATCCCATGCTCTGCTATATATATAGTGCTAAAGTGATCAGTTCGACTACGTCTACACTCGCTAACTATGATTCGTTTTAGTGTCGGCATTCGTAAATATTTGGAAAATGAACACTGACAAAATGCGAGGATTTCTTATTTCAATTTTTGGTTTACATACTTTACAACTGCCTTATTTCACATGGATCCTTCATTTCGAGGTTCAACTGATTGTAGTAGTAATCGCGAAGGTCAATAATAAACATTTCCAAGTATTAGAGATTGATGTTTACGTCGATAGCAAATATACTTTGGGGGAGGGGGAGGGGAGTGTTGAAATTTTGGTATTCAGCTTCCCAGGTATGTATTATTTTCAAAACAGTTTTTTTGGTAATTTGTAGTGGAATTATTGATTTTTTCTCTATGTTTGACTCTTAGGAGTATTATCAAGCAATTTAAATTGATGTGTTAATTTAGGAGATTGTAACGGAACAAAAGAAAGTGAAAAGATCACGGAAACACAATCCAGATATCTCCATGTTGTGCCCGGTAGTCGGGTAGTTATCACATGGAAATGGTGTGTTGCGATAAATAGCTCAATTACAGGCGTAGTCATTTACAGAGTAACTCGTGTTAACTCACGAGTAGTTACGAATCAAGTGGTATTGTCAATGGATCTGTTAAAGAAAATATATTATCTCAAAGACAATTCAAGGCATGAACTCTCCAGCATAGTGAATCAGACAAGTTTTCAAGAAATAGCAGTTTTTATTATCCACAACGTAAGCAAAGTGGATAGTGGTGAATACAGTTTACATGTTCGAAGACTGGGATACAGTGATCTACACAATGAAATCAAAATAATTGTAATTACTGGCGGTAGGTTAAAATTTTCATTCCTGGCAAATCAACAAAGTTTCTGTTTAAAGTTTATGAAAGAAATAAAATGCTATCAGACTATGGAGTAATTGATCACATTATGTATGCCAAAATATCAGATTGGCATGGGCATGTGAATTTTCGATTTGAAAACAAAAATCTTTTTTCTAATCTAGACCCAACAAATGGAATTCCTTCCACTGCATTCGGAAAACACACAACGAAATTGGTGTCAACTAATGATAGAAAAGAAGATCTTCAGTCCAGCGTGCGAAAGGATAAAGCCAAAGGCATTGGTATCGTACCAATGGTTATAGTAATATTTGCAGTGCTCCTCGTCTGTTTAGCGGTACTGGCCGTGCTTCTAAAATTGAGGATGAGTGGAGGTCAAGCATGCAGAGGCTGTTTTCGATCAAATGAGAGACGATTTAACGGCGTATCCGATGATCCATCTTATGCCACCCTTGTAAAAGCAGAGTTTTAATTTTACCTCGCATCTTAGCACGTAAAAATAAACCGTAAAGATTAAGGTATATGGGTAGCTGGTAACACGTCGCGTGGCTATATTAGAGCTAAAACTACGCCTGCATGGGTCGTATAACGTAAGTTTATCAATGATACAGCCAACTTAACAAATGCTGTCCGGTTTCAGTACAAAAACAAAGATTTATTGTAAAAAAAATTGTAGTATATATAAATGGTACAAAACAATACAATATCAAAAGTTCTATAAATGCGAGTTCTCGATACCTTACTTGAGGTTTTATGTTAAGGCTATAAGTATATTTGTGTAAAAGTAAGCTAAATCGTCAGTGACCCTCTTTCACCCTCCAGAGATCATATTTCTTATATAAATACCGGAAATTCTAATATCCCACACCCAATGACGATATGTGGATGACTGCCACGGAATAATCGGAATTGACGAAATTATTTGCCTGATTTGTTGTTTTAGTTTCATTTGTCTCATCAGTATATATAGGTAAGAATATTTAATCTAAATTGAGCCATTTGGCACGTCATATATGTATGCCTGAATTTTAATATAGATACAGAATTTGCACTGTCAGCAAGATGATGTTAAACGTTTCCGCTTAACGTCGTTGCTACCGCTGACTGGATTAAGACAGCATATTATAGCTAGCTTATAATATTATATACCAAAGCTAGGAATGAATGGTATGTATATATTCACTCTCGTATAGGTATAGACCCAGCCATAAAATAATTCATTCTTAACATTTTGAATTACAGCGTATTGATTTTATAGGTTGATTAGTCATCATATGGCTATGGATTTGCTACGGAGCATTTAACGATATCTCTAGAGACAGAGTGACGAAGCATTTTGCGACTAGAGACAGAGTGTTAGGTAGAATAAAATATATTGAAGGTATGTTTACGCAGCAATAGAGTAGTAGTCATTTTCGCAACTTATATACCATTGAGAGTTTTGTAATTCGATTTTTATTCATTTTACTTCAGAATCATACGCAAACGGAGTTTCATATTACCGCGCAATTAATTATTATTCGAATGAGAATGCATGCAGTCGACTCTCAGAATGAAAACCTTCACTTTTTCTATAAATAAAAGTACCATATTCGAAACATACGAAATATATATGTTCACATCAAAAACTATTCTTTCCACACTATTTCGGCTTTTGTGGTTTTCCAACTTTTCAAGTAATCTTTACTCTTTATATATTCATTACGATACAGATTATTTGCCTTATACTTATAGTTTTTTTTAATGTTTGCTTTGCTAAAATTGCGGCGGTGAGCTCTATAAAAGATCGCGTCTCATTTTGCTTTCAATACGATGCAGATTATTTGCCTTATACTTATAGTTTTTTTTTAAAGTTGCTTTGCTAAAATTGCGTGAGCTCTAGTCTAGAACATCCCGTCTCATTTTGTTTGTCCACAAGTCGTGCAAATTTTCGAAAGTTATCAAAATATTGATTTAGATATTTCGCTATACTCTGGAAATAGCTTATTGCCGGAGTCAGAAAACTATAAATGATGCTCGTTCTACCTTTATAGGACGGAGTGCAAAATGGCCGAAAAAGTAATACTAGGCGTACTTGGTTTATACATACTGACGGGATGTGTCAGTGGAGTAACAAATAAAGGTAAATGTGGTGATAAAATTACGATAGCAAAATCGATTTTGTGAGGTTATACTACAGGGTGTCCCAAAAAAACGAAAACTATTGAAATCACCCATAACAATGTAATTGTTAGAGTTTGAATGCCTAAGCACTCTGTTGGGACCCACAAGTGTGTAAATGTTTGCCATAAGCATTTTTATGCATGCATATGATGCAGTAAAATTTGCTCGTACGCGAAAATGATATTTATTAAGCCTGGTTCACACTTGTCGTAAGAATCTGGGATTCCCTTTGTCTGAGGTCACTGATGCGCAAGATCCTTTGTCTATCGGAAAATAACACAATGGATCCACGATTCTTATATAGGAGCTAGTGTGAATCAGGCTTTAACAATATTTAAATGTGCATCTCAATCACCATGACCTTCGACATGTCCCCTTTCTGTAGCAACACAAAGCATTTAACATTTTACTGAGTTGCATTAAATCCCCATGGGCTAAAGTTCGTGCACACGGCATTCAAATTTTAACAATGAGTGATTTCAATAGTTTTCAGTTTTTTTGGGACACCCTGTATAGGTTAAGCACTAGACAGGCTCGTGCCGAAGTAGGGGGGGGGACCTCAAGTTCGTTGCAGTGTTCTGAAAAAGTCAAGCTGACTCGAAGTAAAAAAAACTCGCTCGGCTCCCTCCTCGAACCCGTGAGAGTCAATTGCATGAAATTAGAAATTTTTAAATTCTAAATACTGAAATCTTTCTAAACATACCATGCTATTTTCTTAATATCTACACAAATAACACAACAAATCCAAATACAGGATCATGCGTTGCACAGTAAATGCACACACTTCAATTTATTCATATACATGCACTAAAACGTCTCTTCTTAGCCTTTGCCCTTTGACGCCATTCTTCGTCATTCTTCAAAGTGCAAACTCTTCTTTCTATTTTGTAAGCTCCTGTTGCATGATAATTAACAGCCATGCATGGCCCATGTGACAGCCAACTATGCACGACTAATATGTATTGCACACACATTCTTAACTTATGTTAATATTTCCCGAATCCCATGTGCCTAAAAACTATTTCATACACTGTACCCATGCATTTAGCTATCTTTTGTTTTGAGTCATGAACTGGAACGTAAATAGTGTTGCTCAAAGGCAAGAACTGAAAATAAATCCGCTTGTAGTCGAACTCGCTTGTGCAGACGAAAATGGTCACTTGTAGAATGAGAAAACTTGACAAGTTTCATATGGAATTGAAATATAGTTTTATGGCACATACATGAACTTAGGAATTCGAATGTGATTCAGTCAAGAAGAAGACCACCCTGGATATATTTCCGTACAACAGATTGGGTGTGTTTCATAATATTTCAGTGTGAGATTTGCGCGCATGGAGTATAAATGGACTTGCTGTGCAGGTAAATACGATATAGCAGCGAGTTTCACTTACAATTTTGATTTTTAACCTACATTTCTTATATTTTGAGATTCAATTTGGACTCTAGTTATATATCGCATCACTGCATGCTTGTGTTTTGCCCATTGATATAGAACAAAAATTACCTAAATATAAACAACCGGTTAGTGATAGTGATTATGTGTTCCACCTCAATTAAACTTTATTGGTCATATTCTTGTGAAATCTAACAATGCATGATTAGTATTGGCGTATCCTTGCTATCTTAAGAGTCTTTCAAACTACTTCAGTCGTTACGTTGACCATAGAGTATAGTAAAAAAATGGGAGACTTAAACTAGTAAAACCTCAGCTGTCCGAGAGGTTGCAATCATCCCGGCAATTACCATCATTCCGATGCTAAATTTCGTGACCAAGACGCTAGTTGTTCTGCTGCTGTCGGAACATGTTTCTTTCGAGTCGGAGCAAGACTTCTTGCCAGGTTTAGATTTCGTGACCGGGACATTGGTGGGAATGAGCTTCGTTCTAGGTTTAGATTTCGTGACCGGGACATTGGTGGGAATGAGCTTCGTTCCAGGTTTAAATTTCGTGACCGGAACATTAGTTGGTATGAGCTTCGTTCCAGGTTTAAGTTTTGTGACCGGGACATTGGTGGGAATGAATTTTGTTGCAGGATTAAATTTCGTGACCGGGACACTAATTGTACTGTTGGGGGTGTAATTGTTACATTTATCAGTATTGCAACATGCTCCAGTGCAGGTTTTTACCCCTTGCAATCTAGCTGCGACACATGCTTTTTTGATATCGGGACACGGATTAATCCCACGAATAGGATTGGCACAGTCTCTTTCAGTAACAATCACGTCATTCGGCGGTTGAGTGTAGATGGAAGTGTAACAGTAACCTGCTTTACAATCTATTGTGTCATTCAGGTTGCACACTTGTTCTGATTTTGGCTGTTCCGAAGTGTATCTACATACATTGCATATCAGAGAACGCCCTAAAGAATAAGAAGTTATCAGTTCACGTGTCATGCATGAATTTATTTACTGATTGCGTAGATTGTTGATTTGTTTCCGCAAATTTGAAACGTTTCTCACCTAAAGCTGAGATAGAGATCACAACTCCCAGAGAGATCAAAATTTTGTTTAACATGCTGTAGTTGTTTCTTCCGTCAAAAGTAATCTAAAGTCAAACGATTAAACACTGTTTGAATAGTGCATGTTCAAATTTAAAACTTTGGCCGCAAGCTAAAAATTATTGAAAGTTCAATAAAGTCGAGAGAAATTAAATATCGTATCGCACAGTGAAGGTAACAACGTACTTGATCTCAGTAATTCAGTAGGCGACTTGTATAGGGCAATATGCTAGATAACTGCCACGCTTTGAAAAAGTATAATGTATGTTTCTAAAAAAATTAAATTTTACCTGATAGTTTTACCAAACTTGGTAGTTATGTTCCTTTATTGAACAGGTGCCAGTAATAAATGATAAGTCTTCAGTTGTTCTATCTCATTTATGTTAAATTTTGTGCTTCGAAACATGATTTCCTATTGGGTAAAGAGGAATCATACGACTGCTTACTTCAATATTATTGACACTCGCATGCTAATTTCTTCGAATGGTGACGTTATGAATACAAAGATAGTAATATCACACCACCTAGTACAGTACTGAAAGAATTTTTGCATCATACAGAAAGGTGTTCTTATTTGATGGTTAAAAACCGGAAAAAAATAGAGCTGTTGTAGACTTACACGGGTGATTTGCATACTTAAAATACTCACTTGAGTACTTAATGCACCGCTTATGGATACAAAGATGATTCAGAACACAAGCCCGTGGGATAAAACTTACACACATTACTTCTCAGGTGACATTATGCCTCAAATAACTAAATTTATTTCCATGATTGAAATCAACAACTCGCCTGCATGACATATAATACTATTGGCTAAAAAATAGGGAGAAGCTGTTCATGACACTTACAAAGAGCACGTCTTTAAAAGGTGCACATTCAGCAAACGCGAGGCACAGAACGACAAACGACATATAACTTCCTATCTCTTTTGAGGGTAATTAAGTTCTACAAATCCAGCAGCTATAACTACCACACAATTTGTGTAACTTTCGTTGTTTATGGAGGGTTGGGGTGCATGTGATGTGCATGGTATATAGACCAACTCAACATAATGAAGCATGAGAAACGCCTACGTAGGCCTTTTCATACGCCTACTGCTACGACCACGTTTTCAGTAAAAATGTGAATACAATATATATAGCAAGGCCCCAGTGGCATAACGATAACAATAGGGAAGGGATGTTTTGTTGCATATTTGGTGTTTACTGAAAATTGATGTGTTTTTTTTACCATTAACAAAGCATTTTACCAAAATTATAATCATTGTGAATTATTTTTTTTTTGGGGGGGGGGTGCGTCACCTAAACGCCCCCCCAGTTGCCACACCCCTGTCTACAGCCAGATTAAGAGTTTGCCATCACAATATATTAGAATTTTTTTAAAGACGTAACCATGCACGCTACTCTTGGTTATATCGATTATAGCCTAACGCTGTCAAAATTCAGACCACTTACACACAGGTTTTTCAGTAAATTTATTGTAATATACATGGTTTTTAAAGAAGCTATAGTGTTATATAATTATTGAGCATTACAAAAGTATCGCACATTATACGAGTGGATTATGAATAATATTAGTGTATTCTTGCATTCTTGCCGTATGTTATAAGTTTAATTAAGCTACTTATTTTCGACTCCAGTCAAAATACAGAAAGTCTTATTTTCAGAAAGTTATGCAAATATCAGTCCAACAATCAACATCATACAGAGGCTAAATTTTGTGGTCGGGACGCTGGTTGCACTGCTATCTGGCTGGTTACATTTATCGGTCTTGCAACACGTCCCAGCGCAGGCTTTTACGCCTTGCATTTTAGCTGCGTCACATGCTTTTTTGATATCGGGACACGGATTAATTCCACGAACAGGATTGGCACAGTTTCGATCAGTAACAATCACGTCATTCGGTTGAGTGTAGATGGTAGTGTAACAGTAACCTGCTTTACAATCTATTGTGTTATTCAGGTTGCACACTTGTTCTGATTTTGGCTGTTCCGAAGTGTATTTACATACATTGCATATCAGAGAACGTCCTAAAAAATAAGAAGTTGCCAATTCTTAAATTTACTAATTTCCTGCATGATTGCGTAAAATTTGAAACGTCTCTCACCTAAAGCTGACATAGCGACCACAACTCCCAGAGTGATCACAATTTTGTTCAACATTCTTTAGTTGTTCTTTCTTTCAAAACTAGATTTAATTTGAAAAAATATGAAACAATTAAACCCCAAGTGATGCCAACCTCGCGTACCTAGGATCGGTGATGCTTAAATCTGAAGGTTTCCTAGTTTTCTAATTTAACCGTGAAAGTGCGTAAGTCAAAAATACGGTTTAGTACCATTTTAGCCTTTTGGTTTTGCTGTTGCTGATAACGCAGGTGGAATATTCGTTTGATGCTTTTCTGTTGTCACCGCGCACTAGCTATTTTAGACCATAACGACCGCATTTCCAACAACTCAGATATGATATATTCTGCATGTAATACATGCAGTGTTAAGGTGACAGTGTTATGAAAGTATATTGAACATTTGAACTTACCTGGCTATTTTCTAATAAGCAACTTTAAACCGTAATTGAAAGAATGCAGTAATAACTGATAAATCATCGGCTGTAATGCATAACTTATATATCTCCGTATCCGAGAACCTGTTGTTATTGGACAATTGCAAGAATCATACCACTAGTCCACTATAGCATAATTGGCACTTGAAGTACTTTAACTAATGCAATGTATATCGATTTCCGTTCTCTGAATCTCGATATCACGCCACCTAGTAAAGAAAGAAAGAGGATAATTAGCCTTTCTCACGATCACGAATATCCGCCATTTTTGGGGTACCTTCAATTTTCTTAAATACGTTTAAATAATAATAGCAATGTAAGAAGCATTTTTTAGAGTCCATAGACCATTTGAACAATAAATTAAGTCTAAAATTAAAGACAGCCTTGACAAGGTCTTGCGCTCACAATTAAAAAAAAGTACCCCAAAGATTGCGGCGCATTCTCATCATGAGAAAGGCTAATTATAACAGCATTAACTTACATGATACTTATATAAAAAGTGCTGATTGCTTCAACAAATGCATTCCATTTCAACAAAATATCGGCGAAATATCTTAACATATTAATATCTTTTTTTAGAGTCAGCTAACAGCACATACATCAGTGTGCCAAGTACATGCTTTAGTCGTTTTAGAGCTTTCTAGAGAGTTTTAGAGTTTTTTAGTTTTATGGTAGAATAAAAATTAACTTCGGTACTAATAATTCTTTGTTTTCGGACGTGCATGTATCGAAACCACTGCTCAAGTGAACTTAGCACGTGAATGTCTATGCTGTGAACTAGTATTAGAACAATCATATATTTCTACTTCAACACATTTCAATATTTCTAATTTTATGAATATGCAAATGATTTTTTTGTGGTACTACCTTAACCATGACCGTAATTTGCAGTTCTTTATCATTTATACAGTCGGTGATTTGCTGCTTTCAATTCTACTGCTGGTTATCAAGCAATTTTCAAATGAGGCCATTTTATTTTTTGAGGGAAGGAGGTGGGGAGGAAGTAAACAAGAATCATAGTTATCATACCACTGGTTTCACTTACTTCAACATAATTGACACTTGAGGTTCTTAAATCAATTCTAGTTTTTGTTCTCTAAATCGTTATGGTTACCAAGATAGCCAATAATGTCACGCAACCTATAGTGAAGTAATAATGCAAAAAATAACTTTTTCGATACATCATTATTATCAGGTGGTCGTTTCTAGGTGTAACGTCAAGTGGCGGATACGTGCAGAAAAAATTGAAACTACCTTAATCAAATAAAAATATATCAATGCAATGGCAAATTAAAGTTGTAGTGTCTTACCCTGCAGTTCCCCCACTCATGGTTTCCGCCAAACAGCTAATTACGAACAACAAACTCAAACTTAAAGCTTGGCATTTATGTTCTTCAACTCCAACATTAATAATTCATAATATTTATAATTCAACTATGACTATTCATATGTATAGTATATAACTCAGTAGGGTGAGCCCTGGAACAATATTTCGGTCAAGGCCGGTTTAACATTTGAGATTCAGCTGCATGATAGCGAAATGCATGGGGTGTATCTTAACTCATTTTATTTTGGAGTTAAAAAAAGTTACACTATTATTATATAGCTGGCTAAAAATTGCTTTAACTATATGAAAGAACGTTTGACATAAATAAAAAGTAGGGGTCATGGTTCCTTTTCTTTAGGTTAAAATAGTTTGAAGCAAAGGAGATTATTAAAGACGCTATACCATATTAGCATATATAGTAACGGAATTAACAATATAATTAATAATATTTTCTTTTTCTATTGCAGATAAACACCACGTTTTCTACAACCTCAATTTAACAAGTACAGTAACCCTGACAACAATAAATTACAATAATTGTAGCCACCCGGCAGTAAAATTGAATTTCCATCCACAAAATTCAACAAACCCTGTCGGCGAATTACTCTACAATGGACTAATAAACCCTGACAGGCTTGTAAGAAGAATTGATACAACTAAGTACGGATTTGAAAATTTTACGATCGTGCGAAATGCTACGCACATGCGCCTTCGCTTCATTGAAATGAATATATTGGCAAATGAACAGGAATTTTCCGTCGAAGAAATATGTGGAGTTGAAAATTTGAAAAAAGAATTTAAACATTTCATTAAATTTGAATTAGGTAAGAAACATTGTTCGCCTACAATATTCAACCATCGATTTTAGCTTAATGGTAATGAAAAATATTTCATAATGTATGGTTCTCATTATTATTCGCTGACAGTCGGCGATGTGTTTTTGGTTGCGGCTGATGAAGAAGGTTTATAGGCCACAAAACAACAGCATTTTATTGATTTATTCTTTAGTGATAATCAAAAATATGCATCGCCAACTGTCGGTGCGTAAGAAGTTAGGCTTAAAGAAGTTAGGAAGTTGTTGACTTTTAATTGTTTACCATGCATTCTTCGTTTAATTAACTAATAGCTTACCCTAATAGCTTACCTTAATTTAATGCATGCAATATTCATTATGTTCAAATATTCACAAGCAGTTTCAGTTTATTTCAGTCATATAGTGTCATAGTGTGCATACTTTTTAAAAGGCCATTTAGGGTTTAAAAGCGTCATACCATGCAGAGCCAAACGTTTGGAAACAGATGATACACGGCACATGAGAAAATTAAAAACGCATTTGACTCCGAGTGACGTTTGACTCACAAAAGAACCATTGCAGCTGGAAAAATACTTTAATCTGCGTTGCTTTCTTTCGTTTAGTTTCGTCTACTCAATCGCCGCCAACGACAACTACGTATTCCAACTCAGGTAAGTCCAGGACCGCTCAGCGAATTTTGTGGGCCCGGGGCAAAATTCTCTTTCAGGGCCCAAATTCTCGCGCAAAAAAAAACGTCACAAAAATACCACGCGGGCAAATACAACCTCTTACTCAGGATGCATTAAGGAATTCTTTGCATAGAAATGACCTGAATGAACTCGTCTAATGATTTTAATGTTTTATATTTAGTTACGACATCAAAACCGACCGGTACGATTTCATTTTATAGTTTTATCACCGGCTTAACGCATGATTTTTTATTCTAATGATTTTTATGTTTTATATTTAGTTACGACATCAAAACCGACTGGTAAGAATTCATTTTATAGTTTTTATCACTGGCTTAACATATAGAAAATTTAATAACTTACCGACATTAAAACAAACTATATGCTAAAAGACCCACCTTACGATTTCAGTTACGGTTACAAAAAGTCATGTACATGCATTAGCCTTAGCTTCTCCTATCCACACGCGAATTATGCAAAGTTCTGTCTATATAAATACTATAAACAAACTTGTACAATTTTTACAGTCAAGGATTTTTAAGCAATAAACTGTAAGTTTTCAAGAAGCCAAATTTCCGGTACACGGGGGCCAACTAGCCCGGATCTGGGACCGAATTTTATTTGCATGCACACCTGTCGTACTGAATGACCACTGAGTGACCACTGAGTGACATTCACAACTGTTATAAAAATAAGTAAAACAATATAAATGTTGCAAGTAAATATAAATGTTGTTAACAATTGCAAGCAATTTTAAAGGGACATAAAAATTATATCCGGTAGACAACGCTATCCAGGCTTCGTATAAGGATAATATATATATAGTTCTATAATATATGTCATGCATTTTTCACTTAAGAAAACAATCGGAAAGAGGATGGATTGTCTGCTGGTGCTATTGCTGGCATTATCGTGGCGAGTATAACATTCGTCGTCATTATTGTCATTATCATAATTAAATCGTTCTTCTAATCGTTCTCTAGTATAAATGTCAAATTCAATTAATGCTCATGTAAAATTATGCTCGTATAAAGTTAATGTACGTTCAACGAAGTCAACGCAAATGCACAGGTCAATGTTGCATATGACAAGACTTCCTTTTTTCAAGTTATCTTTTTTATGGTTTGGATGACTTCGACCTTGGCCAAAACGTGCGGGACGATGTTGGCCGCCGGGGGTGGAACCATACACAAAAGCTGTGCGTCTTCCCGAAGGCGCAACAATTATTTGTGAAAATAATTAGAGATCAACTTTAATAAGGATGAAGGGTCAAGGGGGGAGGGGAGCGTGGGGACGGTTGGCGCAATAGTTAGTAAATTGTGAAAAGATGTACTAAATCCACCGTCTCACTAACGTTTGGTCAAGATTGTAGTTCTTATGTGCTCGTTGGAAAGTGTGACCAGATCTAGTAATTTTTATTACAAAATGCGACGCGTCATATTACATAATATGTAGATAGAAAACTAAGTGACAACAAAAATATTTCTTGAGAAAGAAGACAATCCAAAATGGAGGTAACAAGAGTGCAAGCAAAGATTGTTATATTTATATACATATTTTCTGCAAAATATCTTTAATTGGAATTGGCTTTTCCTTGAATATATTGTAATAACTTTTTTACTTTGCTTTTGAAGAAAAATTGTTTCACGACGAGTGGCAGGGGCGAGGGGAATTTTGGAAATGGGGGGAGGAAGGCTATATCTATGTAACCCCACGGAAGTATAATGTATAAAAAAGATTGGATTGCATTCGTAATTCAGGTTGGCATGGTTAACAAGACCTAATTACCAAGCTGGATATAATAAACTAGGTCGATCGTTTAGAAATTATACACTAACACGTGCAAGGACAATAAATTAAATTTTACATATAGTCAGCGTGTATTAGCGCGTCATATCTAGTAAAAATACGTGAAAATGGCTATATTTTGTTTTTAGATTTTTGTATGAGTATACATACCATAATTCTCCCACTTATACAGTATGTCATAATTTTCTTTAAGATTGACACAACTGAGCTGACTTTAATCAGTTTAGACTTTAGATCATAAAATAGATTATAGTTAATTACACATGCATGCAGTTGTTTGTCGCATAACTCGCATTACCAAGACTCCAACAAATAGCTATACGTCCGAGCACGCTTATAGAACAACTCTTATAATTTATAAAGCAATCACAAGGAAACACACACAAGGAGAAAAATCATTGAAAATGACATTGGGATATACATTATAGGATACATGCACTTATAATACACAGTGAAAAATCACTGATGCAATTCATATGCAGCGACGAACAATAAAACAACTCAATACACCAACAACAAGCAAAAGAAATAAAAAATTTCACAGTGTCAATATAACTATTTAAATCCTGCATGACTTAAAAAAACCGTTTCACTGAGTTTCATGTCTGCCTTGAAACAAATTAATTATAAATTTGATTTCCATTTGGTGGCAATAAAATTTGTCAATCGAGATAAGACAACCGTATATAAAAGACCTACAATAATCCACTAGCAAATTTTTCACCTTAGTCATTGTCCTAGTGTTCGGTTTAAAACAGTTTAAAGTCAAAAAACGAGCAAGTAACCAGTCACACAAACAATTTACTTGCAATTCATGCGGGAGGTGGAAGTATTCGAATGCGATCCAGGTTTGTTGTAGGATAACTTTGATATAGTGATCGAGGGAAATTCATAAGGTAAGTTTTTTACACAGTCATATAGTATTGTTTGAAAGCATGATGTTGCTTCTGATAAATTCCCACACAAGTTAAATTAATATCTTTATCAAAGTCTATATATAGACTATATAATTTTATGCTGAAATTTGAATAATATCGCTGAGGGTTTTTTAGTCTGAAGAGTTATTCAAGGCGTCGTTTCAAGTAACAAACTGATATTACTTTCCGTTTACAGTGATATGTTGGTGATATTTTACGTGGCACTGCTGCCTTTGTTTGCTTTATACTCTTCATGTTATCCGGTAACAGACACGGATTCCAGCGAAGAGACGCTGAATACATCTCAGCCCGCGTTAGATTGCAATCAAGCAACTTTGCAGAAGCTAGAGACGCTATGGAAAGAAAAACTTGAACAATATTATACATGGCTTGACAGTGACAGGTAGCTAATATATATAGATTACATTTTGAAAGCTAGCGCATTCTGAGACACCCCATATATATCGAATTCACTCTATTCAGTGATTTGTAATGCCTTCAAATTTAATTTAGGTTAGAGTCGGTTGACGGTTAGAATATGAAGCAAATATCTTTTCCATTGTGGTGTATAGCTAGCATGACGATTTGGTCCCTCTATGTAAATTTTATATATAGTTCATTTTTTCTTTAGTTAATAAGAAATTGACAGTTTCGCATGCAGTCAATGAACACCAAACTACTAGCATAGCGAGACAATTACTGTAAAACTGTCAGTGGCTACGTCATTGTTCCCATAATCATAGATTCATGAATCTTGAACATTTAGAACAGTTCAAAAACTAATAGTTTTAGATTGCGATAAATTATGTTATTATCCAGTTTAAATCAAGTATGAAGAACACCCATCCAATCTTGATCGATATGCGACCATCATTAATTATTATGATGGCGCAATCAGTGTTACTGGTGACCAATGCTGACTATATAATTTACGGTTTCATTTAGCGCAACGAATTACGGGGCAATAGAATCTTTGTTGTAGTCTGAAATCAACTTAAATGAAATGAAATATATTGAATCTAACGTTAATTGAGGGGACCATAAGCAACTATAATTTAGCCTCAATATTTTTTATTTTTAGCAACGCGTTTCGTCAATTCGGACCATCTATTTTCGAGGCGTCACGCGAAACAGAGAACGGTTGCGAACGCTACGAGGAAAACAAAAACGCTGAGACATACGGATGTTTTTCCAAAGATTTCTTTTGTAGCGCCAAAAAGGTTGTTTTGAACATAGACGCTGCGTACCGGCATGTGAAAAATTACATAAAAAAGAACCAACCGTGGAGACATCATTTCCAAGTCCCGCCAGGTTATCAACAAGGAGTGTGGGCATCACCTTTAACAGATGATCTCAGATGGGCAGTGAAGATGAGATGGCATGACCCCAAACTTGCGTTCCTGACAAAAACCGATAATCATGAGCAACTGACTAATCAAACTCTTGATCGGATGTACTTCTATTTGAAAACTAATAACGTCGACGAAGTTGCAAGTTTATTCCAACGGTATCAAGAATACGGAGTCGAAGAAATCATGGATGAGCAGTGTGCAGATAAAAATGGAAATCCGCTACCTTTACCATGTAAGATAGCAATAGTTTTTGATAGTATATCAGGGCTTGTGCGTGATAACAAAGCAATTGGATGGGACGGGAGGAGTAGCCCACCTAGAACCCGTGAGGAACTAGCCATACTTTATCTTTTACAACCCCAGATATACAAAATCATGTCAATGTCAGACACCAACAGGCAAGAAGTTATCAAATTTCGCTTGACAACAATGTTTCGAAGTTTTTATGATAATGCACTAGAGAAAAAAACCGAAAAATTTAAAAATCATTTTGGAAAATTCGATAACATTCAACCAATCATGAAACGCGACTGTAACGAAACGTACAACAACAACTTGGACGAACTAACTTGTTACCTTTCTGAAACTTTCAAACGCCTAAACGAACTGAAAATTGCTCTAGGAACAAATTATGACAAGTGGGAAGAACCTAAGGCGAAAACTAGAAACGTGGTTGTTATACTTTGGTTACTTTTAACCCCCAAGGCGTGCGAATACATTGAGCCAAATGAAACGGATCTGATCATTGCTCTTAAGAAACTTTTGGAAATTTTCTATCGTAAAATTCAAGAAAAAGGCCTTACTAGTGTTAGGTATATCTTAAGCATGCTGCCACCAGAAAACGAGATCGGGCTGGACAGTAGCGTTGTTTGCCGGCCAACATTTGAAGAGTTTGCTACAAATGTTAAGTGCGCGTACACCATAATGATGGAAAATATTATTATGTTTCTTGACGATTTCCAAAGCAAAGATGGGAAAAAGGTAAACAAGTTGGACATGAGCATTGACTATAGGTACCGCTTAGAGCAATTTAAGATTTCCAGTATACACGGCGCTGTTATAAACACCAAGCTGGAGCTACAGAGCTCCTTACACGAATTCTCGCGACAGATAAGAGGTTATTTTGAAGCGTCTATAGATAATCGTTTTAAACACCTACGCGATTACTTTACAAACGTAGCAAGCTTTGATGAAGAAATTACTCAGGCGGACACAATATTCATAACATCAAAGTTAGACGAGTTCGAGGCTACTGCTGCTCATATTGAGAAGCAACTATTCTTCGATGCGAAATATTTACAACAAGATGCCTTGATTGGCACAGCAATTGACGCAACCTTCATGTGGTTCAAGGCTGCTGCGCGCGCTGCTAGTGCCATTTTTGACGCGATATCTGGTGATTTTGGGGGAATTGTTGATGCAATGGACGCAATGGATGAGGCAATGCAAAGCACGCTACAAGCAGTTAAAGCTGCCGCAGTCATTGAGCAAATTAAGATAGCCACAAGCACTTTTCAAGATATTCGCACAAAACTAACAATAAACAGAGAGCAGCTAGAAAACACAAGGCGTATAATCAATAAACTAAGTCTCAAGGACTATGACAACGTAGAATTTAAGAGACTTAGGGATGATTTCATTAAGAGCTATAACGACTATACGCCGATGGTAAATGAAGCGGAAATCGCAAAGTTAGACACAGCGTGGAACACAATTATAGACAATTTAGATGATCAACTCAGTTCGTTGCAAACCGTAGCCGGAATATCAGCAACCATGCACAATCACGTGGAAAATCATGTTTTTAAAATCCAAATACTTGTCCCACAATTGGAAGCGACGCTCAGCGCTCGTTTTGAATATCAATTTGATTTGATGGATAGTTTGGCTGGTACAATGCGTGCTCATAACTCCATGCAAGCCGCAAAAAGTTTGAGTGAAGGCTTCGAAGATCCTGAGAAACAAACTGAAACGTCCCTAGGAATCGAATTTGCGCTAGACAACATTGCTTTAACCACGTACATAATTTCTCAGTTTCACCTGCTGCTCACACTAAAGCAATATTGCCATTATATCACTTACGTCAACGTCGGTATCCAGCCTGAAGCTTGCAAGAAAGCCTTAGCTACTTTAAATAACGCGCATATCGATGAAGCTCTGAGCTACCAGCCGCCCTCTTGCGACATGATCAATGTTAATTTAAAAATCCCTACATCTGAAACTGGCGAAACCGAAAACATCAATGTACGTCATTTAAATTCCGGTGATAAAGTTCAATTTCAAATTCCCGATTTTAATTGGTTAAAAGAAAACGCAGACATCTCCCCTGAGGACGAAAACAGCGGTCTTTATGTTAAAATGTTTGAAATTTATGTGATGAAAAATTCGAGCTATAAATTGAATCGAACTTTACGTGTGGACATTTCCGCTTCAGGCCCCGCCCGCATTTCAAATACCTCCGACGAGTTAAAGTACGAGTTGCGCCCTCGCTCGCGGGCAAAATACATTTTTGAATACAAAGAAAACTATGGGACTTGCAAAGGAGAGATGAACCCATACCATGTATGCACGCCTGGGCCTAAGCAACTTTGCGTTCAAAGCAGGGGTGCCATTGAAAATAAAATTGGTCTCTATCCCTCGATCTATAGTCCTTGGACCATACAGCTTAATAGAGCGATAGGCCACGCTCCAAAACCCGAGGACACCAGGAAATTGTTTCTTCAAGCTAAGCTAAAGTTGTGCAGAAAAATAATTGATTCAGACACTATTAATATCGATGCTTCGGGTGACGTTGCTTCAGGATCCGGATGGAACAATAAGTATAAAAAACATCGTCGAATTATTCGCTCACTTCTCGAACCGGAAACCCCATCTTGTCCCCCCCAAAAATATTTTGATCAGAGGTCAGGCCAGTTTGAGAATTGTGCAGACGGGACACCGCAGCACTTTGGGTATTATTGCGGATCCGTGTAGTATAATCACGTGTGGGTCTCCTTCAATTAATGCAATGTTTGCTATTTTGATGTATATATATTATATCAGTTTGTATGAAACCAAATTATGAAACCACTTTTTGCGTTTACGTGCTTCTTCCTATTACTAGTATTAGGCTATAAGAGTGTGTATTCATTTTGATCTTATTTCGATTAACTGTGTTTTTGTTGATATATACTTGGGCCTGGCTGTATAATCTTCAAAATAAAGTGATTGCTAACAGCGTAACTAATTAGGGGCTATGCCTATGGGTTAGAAAAAACTGATAAACTAAAGTTATAAACCCACTGTTTCGGTTTACTTTCTTCTTTCTTCGTTTCGATACGAATTTACTAAAATGTTATATAAACTCGATTTAACAGGCCGTTTGCTTGCCAGCATGGTTTGAGAACTTTGACAACCCTATGATTATAATTATATAGGGTGAGCAAAATTTTGTCGCTTCAATTAAGGTGGTTCGATAGGAATGAATAATATAAAGCATATTTTTCCCTTTTAAAACGTTTGACAATGTAGAAATGTTCTTCATCGTAGGTCATTGTACAGCTCTAGCGCTAACTCATGAGTGCTGAAAAGCTTATTCACCACAGTTTACCAGTGGGGAGGAATCTGTGCTCAAATAGGTTCCTAAAACAGACTTTGCGTTAAATATGCATCTTCTGACGAAATTCTACATTGTCAAACTCATTAGAGGGAAAAAATAAGTTGAGCTGAAATAAGTTGAGCTTATGGCCGGAACAGACAAATATTTTCTTTGACTTATTCAGACACAGTGTCCACTATTTCTAGCCGGTCCTGGGCCTAGACTAAGTTTGTCCATTAAGGATAATTAAGTATATCATTAAGATTTAGAGTATGAAAAATGTTTTAAAGAAATATTGGAGATAGTGAACTCTGAATAAGTCTTATGGCAGCTCAGCGATACAATTGTAGCGTAAAAAAGAAATTAGCAATTGTTTTAAAGTCATATTATCGAACAATGTTGGACTCACATCGCAGGCCAAATGAAGACTTTTATTAATGTTACAATAATCATGTTATTTACAACAGGACTATCTTTTGATTGAAAGTGCTTTTGTATTTGCATTGTTCAGTGTTTCACTATTGCCATGATTCATAATTGTATCGAATAATTATTAAATAATGGTCCTGAACGCTGTAGTTCTTTCTTTATACGCGAGTAAACTAAAATATAAATAGTAGCTAAACTTCCCTGTCAGGGTGACGGTTAAAAACAGACTTGCATTTGTTCATTTATCAAGAAGGGAACCAGAACGCACCATATTAAAATTACACTACTAGAGTAAAATGTCAGGAGCTACTTATTCTCAATTTAATATTTAAGTTCTACCATCTCGCTCTTTGGCTTCATCTTCGAGAAAATGGGCTGGTTTGTATTGACCATTCTCCATTTTCAGGGCAGGATTCGGCTTCGTATCATGACGACCGCCAATCGAAGTATATCCGTGGTCATACAACGATAAATAAGGTATCTTACACTCCTGCAATACGGACCACACATCCGCATAATGCCAATTAAGGATCGGGTTAATCCTCATGTACTTAGGCCAATTGGGATCAGTGGGAGAAAATAGTTTCAATCTTTCACCATAAGGATCTTGCTTTCGTGTGCCCATAAGTATTCCACGGATGCGTGGATGCGACACCTGTAAGCACTCCAATGCTTCTTTGATGCTGCGATTAATTTTGATTACGTTTAAATTGTAAATTTCTGTGCATTCTGAAATAAACTCCTCAGCTTCAGCAAATGGATGTTTCCCCTGGACATATAAAGCATTTAATTTTCCTCTGAAATAGGGGTACTTTTTAAGGACATTTGCATGGTAGATGGCAAGCAATGCAGTACAGTCTTTCCCACCATTGAAGCTAATGCATAGCTCATCCAATGCATACTGTGCCAATGTTTCCTGTAGTATAGCCCATGCACCTTTCACAGAAGCACTTAAATTTGAAATTTCCTTGTTGGACACAAGAGAATAGATCTTTTCCAACGTCGGGCTACTGGGATCTTTCTTGATGACATCTATACAGGAAAAAAACCTAAGGTGTTGGAAGTTTGATAGTGTTTTAAAATGTGCAATTAAAAGCCTTCACATACTATGAAAACTTTTATTCCATTTCTACTTGACCTTTACCATGATAACTTACCCTCTGTGTACCTCACAAGATTACCCAATGACCTGTTTTCATGTTAATTTATTTTACTATGTCAAGAGCAGATGAAAATTATGATCATTTTTGGATCAAAAAACAAAGTACAGTAATTTTCTGCCAAAACAAAACATGCATATGTATTGGATATAAAAATTTCAAGACATTGGGTAAGGTCTACTACCTTATTGAATGGGCAAAGTGTAGAGTATTATAATATGATTGTTTTCTATTTATACTTATGGGAATTGGGTCAACCCCCTCAGCCTTTAACCCTGCCTTTCTACTATTTAGCAACCATACCATTTCTTTGTGAATTTCCTGACGAATAAGATTCTATTCTGATGATAGCATTGTCTGGTAATAAGTCAGTTAGGTAATCTAAGGCTTCTGCCAGAATATTTGGTTTCAATGACTCAAGGGTCAATTTTGTTTTAAATTCATTGCAATCAACTTCTGGGTAAGACCCCAGATGAACCTTGTGTCCATATCTATCATGAACATCCTGCAACTCGGCAGCAATTTCTGTCTCATCCACAGACAAATACACCTTTTCAAGATAAAACATGTTTTCAGGGTTGCAAAATACATGGGAAAAGGTATTAAATAATGACTCTAAGAGATTTGGTATCCCTGGAAAAATATAGACATTGTGCACTGAGACCAAAGGAAATGAGTTGCCAGATTTCCCACAAGCATCTTGATTATATAAAACTTTGCCAGATGAAGGAATTTGAGCCATCTTTAAAACGAAACTACTGAGCTGGGAAACCTCCTTGACATCATATACTTTTCTCAAAGTATCTGCCAAGAACCGATTCTGAACTAGTGGCTCGTCAAATGCCTTGGAAATTGCCATCATAGTTACATCATCATGAGTTGGTCCAATGCCACCAGAGGTTAGGACATACGTGTACCGTGAAGACAAATCACCCACATGGGAGGCGATTTCCTCAATGTCATCAGCAATTACCCTAACAGCTTTTACTTTTACGCCAAGTGACCACAATCTGGTCAGCAAGAAGTGGGAATTTGTATCCTTGGTATGACCTTTTAGAATTTCGTCTCCAATAATAAGAATTCCCGCCGAAGGTGGTTCAACTGTGCTACTTTGCCTTCTAATTAACACTTCCTTTTTGGCTGCCATGTTGGAACGTGAAATCACGACCCTGAGAGAGAATTTAATCATACGAGTAAATTAGTTGTTTGACTTTTTTTTTCAACATTTTTCCCTTCGTGTTGTATTGGGGTTTTAAATATCTCATTACAATAAAAAGTTCATGTACCTTCAGAAATATATATACCCCAGTGAGAAATATACCCCATATAGCTTCATCCAATGATCTCATTCTCATCACATGGGTTCACGAATTACGACTCGCGTGTACCACGTGACTACCGGTAGAGTTGAAAGTTGAAACACGATAGCAACAACAACAGCTTGACAACAAGGTAGTTTACTTTCACGTTTTCAAAATTTTTGGCTCTTTGCTTTTATCAATTTGATGCGCAGTAAAGGCCACATGGATATCAGTGTCTATACAAAAGTCCGCGTTGTAATGCCTAGTCATAAATTTGAAGGTAAGGGTAAAGATCTTCCCCGTTGGACCAACGTTTGCGGCTTGCATAAATTATCGTGATATATCGGTTTTACTATCGATGTCAACTTTTGGGGGTTTTGTATTTGGCGCGTGTTTTAAGTCTACACGAATTTGATCATCCTTTATAACTGACTATTTTTTGAGTAGGTTAAGTACATTTAAGGTCGATTTTCAGCAGCCATTATTCTGCCTGTTCAGTGTTTATTTAACTGTCAAGCTCAGAATAGTGTATTGCAAAGAGTTTCACAAGCATTACAGTCAATTTCGTAGAGAATTTCCAATATTTCTACTGATAAAGTTGGTTGTAAAGTTTGCAAATTCAATATGAAGTAATTATTCACGTAATTCAGTGAAAAAAATTTCCAAATTATTTCAAAAATTGATGCAATTACAAAAAGATGATTACATATTCAAGTCAGACTCAGAGAACTGAGAATAACTCTTAAGGATAGTGTGTAAAAAGGTTCTGTAGTAGGGACATGTTACTAATGATAGAATTTTGACAGCTGAATACAAGGTCATTTGAGTGATTTAGGAGAAAAATGTAAGTTGACAATTATAATTGCCTGAGGCATGTTGATTGGCAATTATGTGATGACCTGTTTCCACATATATATAGCCAGATACAAGCCATGTAATCCAATTTGGTCCAATCTAAATAATGTTTATTAAATCCAATCTGATCCGGCCAACTCTAGGATTTGCAATTTGGACCAGTGTACAGTGTATATATAGCAATTGAAAAATTAATACAGATTAGACTGCTGGTTCTGGTGAGAGAAAAGACTGGAAGTGTCATAGAACATAAACTTGCCTATAAGGCTGCCATTTTGACTATTTTTTATGTTTACTGTCAGCTCTTTTTTAAACTTTGCAAAGTAAAAGATTTTGGGCAGCACTATGGTCGACCACCAGGCTTTTAAACATTGCAACACTTATTTTTGCATTGAAAAATGCTCTATTTCAGAAGATGACATAGGGGTTAAGCATAGGTTGCCATGTTACTATTTTGTAATCAATGTTAATGGACAATGTATGTGTTTGTTTCTTTCAGATGAATATGAATTTTGGAAACATTTGAGTAGCACAAATTAAATTTTAACACAATGGAACTGGATGAAAGGCTTCGCTGGATTGAGATCAGGGTGGCCTCCTCATTAAAGCCAAGAGCAGAAGAACTCAAGCGGCTTTTTTCAAGTAAAGAAAACAGGTAAAGAATAGTTCTATAACATTAGGTTTTTCTACCAGTATGGCCCAAGTGCTGCAACTTGGTTTAAAAAAAGTTGTTACAAAAGCAGCAAGTGTTGAGAAGGGTAAACAAAGCAATTGGACATTTGCTTAAAGGTACATGGGTTACAGTCAGTAATGAAAACAAATGCTTTGTTTATATATTGAATCGCTATATCTCTTAAAATATCCTGTTCTGTTGGAATATTTATTACCAATTTAGTTTTCTATATTCCTAAATTATAAGAGAAAATCAAAGAAATTCAAAGCAAAATTGCAAAATTTGGGCAATTTCTAAGTCATGGAGTCCCCCAATGATATGAGCAGAACCGTTGTGCAGGAGTTGCATGTATGGTATGTAACCTCTCTTTGAATATTCTTTCACAGGGAAATCATGTTTGAGTTTTGCAATAACCAAGAGCGTCGTTACTTGATGATATATTCCTCCAATGTTCCTGGAGAAGGTTTGATTGCCTCTTTCAAAGCACCCCATCACCTTGCCGAAAAATCGATGTTTTTTTGTAAAACAAACCAAGCGAACAAACTATTGAGGGATAATATTGCAGACGATGTTGGATTTTGTGACTGTTCGCAAAAACCGTTGAAACACGTAAAGCGCCTTGTGAAGGATGTGTATTTGCCTGTGTTGAGTATCGAACATGGTGGAAGCGTCAGTGCAGATAAACTAATGGATCTTCTGCATCGTGTTGTGGCAAATCTTCATGTCTTTGATGGTAATAATGAGGTACAGAAAAGGTTGATATTTCTTCATTTGTACTACACTGTGGCATCCGCTAATACAGGCTCTGTCAACGTTTATGCAACAATTTAAATACTGCAAGTGCGCAAAATTCGGCAAGTCTTTTATACTAAAATTGCCAACATATCATCATGCACTAGCTAATGTGCAATTTGAGCCAGTTGTATAAAACTCTTAACTAAATAGCAGTTGACTTACGAAATACATTAATACATTAATACAAGATTCTTATTAACAAAGTCGGGACGAGGGACCAACGGGGGACCAAATTAGGAAAAACTTGTATATAATTTAGCTGACTATATGTATAGTTAAAAATTAAATATACTTCTTTATACCTCTTTCGTGACAATGCTCTACAGAGGTGCCCAGGCTGTCACCGCTCGGCCTTTTAGTGATGCAATTCGATTTATCACTTATTTCAAATTTAGGGTTAGGGTTTATTCTGCATGAAGTCCTCATTGTCCCCAATCCCATTAGACCATAATGAAGGAATAGACACTTATGTTTTGCCATTTCTTCTACTATAGAACAAGATTGCCCTCTCTCTTCCGTCTATCGAGGTACTTTCAGAAGCGGCAGCGTTCAGTGGTCGTCGACCTGCGGTTATTCATGTTCTGGAAACCACAGTCGTTAATTGGATCAAGCAAATCAAGGTGTGAAAATTTCTGTGCTTATTATACATTAGAGACGCGTTCGCTAAGACTTTTCTTGTTGTTGTTTAATCTTTGAACGGTCTCAAAACCATGTGACGTACAGCCAGCCAAAACAGGCGTCTAAGAATACTACCCGAGAATACTACCCGAGAATACTAATTTCAGAGTGGTCAACTTTGAAAATACCCAAACAAAGAATGCATGGGTCAAATGTGAACTACAAGCCGTTCTTTTGTGGCGTGAAAATCAAGCGAACTTGCATTGCAAACAAGCCTGTCACTTTGTGAATGAATGGTTACTTTTCAGGTTGCGTTAAAACTAGATCCCGAAGTGGAAAAGTCAAAATATGGAGGAACCTCGCCTGGGCCACTGACCGAAATCGAGGTAACAGAAAAATGTTGCTTTGACAGGGTCCTGCTGAAAGCGTTATGTTCAATTGATTGAAAATGTTTTTTTTTGTCGTCGTTGTTGAATATGTTTGCACGTATATTTCCGAAATTGAATTCATGTATTATAATAATTTTTTGGCTATCATATATACATATAGTTAAATGAAATAATATATTATATGTTGTAATGTTTTTAATACATGAATTTTAACTTACTACTTTCTGCAGATGTGGTCTGGACATTTAAGCCGATTAAATTTCATTAATGAACAACTACGTTCACCTATTGCTGTTAATATTGTCATGAACCTGGAAGACGCCAACAGTACATATGGGCAGAGTTTTCATTTAGTTAAAAAAGAGTTAACCAAGGTTTGTAAGGTTTTTTGCATGGTTATTATAAGCTATACGGTCGTGGTCAAGGCCCACTTGAGAAACGTTTGTCAAGGTCGATGGTACCTCTTCGCTAACTCCATGGACCTTCTGGTCTGATCCCTTATTTCAGAAAATTTTCACATAGATCGTACAAAATTCCCCAGTATCTCTCTTTTCATACTTTATAGAGGGGATTGAGGCATGCTGCTTTAGATGAATTGAAATATATGAAATTTTTTAAGTCGGCAGATATTGGCGTAACAATATTTATCCAAACTACCTATCTTTATGTATACTGGATGAATTTTTTCCCGATGATAGATGCCAGTCTAAAAAAATACGATTGTTAAATATACTGTATAGTGTGGAAGGATTTTTCATAGAATCAATTATTAATTATATATAGAGCCCGAGTCAATACACCATAGTTGAGGTAAGGGATGTCTGACAGTGACAGTTCTTGTGTTTTCTATATATCTAGGCCGAATCTGAGTGCAACGAAAATCTTGAATATTTGGGAACGTTACTTCCTTGGTTTAAAACTCTTCATAATGCTGACTCGCCTTCAGTAATGCTGTCAACATTTCCTCCATTGATGCACACCCTTTATCTTGTTTGGGTTTACTCTAGGTACTGTTATAATTATTCGAATTGTCTAACTAAGCTTCATGAGGCATTCATTTCATATTATCATGTTTTTCAAATTATAAAAACTGTTTTTAAAAAGTGTTTTTGTTGCAGATACTACCACGAAAAGAGTCATTTCTATCGTTTGATGTGCATGTTATCCAATGAAGTTGTGGCAAGAGCGAAATCGCTTGTGAGTCACAACGTTCTGGACAAATTGGACGAGGTTTGTGAATGGAAAAGTAGAAATGTAATCATTACAACTTTTAACCTCCCTTACTTAAGTCGAGTTATACCGGGTAGGGGAAACGTAGCGGGTGTTTCCTTCCCCTGGTTGAACTTAGGACATTCTATCAGGGAAAAAAGGTTTAAAATCGACGAAAAGTGTGTATATTTAATGCAAGGTTTTATCCTGATAACTGACGTTAAAGATCAACCTGATATTTTTACCGGCAATCTATGCGCTTAAATACTTTCAGAGCATGTCAAATGCAACATGAATCTGTCAAAAGAATATCAAGACATCAAAAACAATGCATGTCTATCTGTTGAACAACGCTCGACATACCGTCTTATAGCTGGATTTGACGAAGGCCCAATTCAACCCATTTTTCTGATACATTAATTTACCGCAGTAATATAGTAAATGCAAGACATCTGTTTTACGATTTTAGTCGTTTCAAAGTTTAAAGGATGCTTTACGTGTCTGTGCATCATTTCGTGGATGTTATTTGGACAAAAAGGATAAAGCGGATGCTTTAAACCAAAAGAAACTTCTGCAAATCCCTGGATCGAGGTAGGGTGCAATTTTTTACGTATTAGCGATTAAGCATTCTCGTATTTAGGTTTATTTACCCAACGATGGTTTTGACGTGGTGTATATCTGCAGTCGACCGATTTCTATTATCAGTGTTAACTGGATAATAAACTGCTTGGCTATTTTGAATTAAATTTCCTTTGTTACCGGCCACGTCGGGGTGGTTTCATAATTACTTATTCCATTACACCTTAAAATCATCTCACGCTTTGTGAGGTATAAGCCTATTAGTTTATACGTCGCCTTTTGGTCGCGTCGAATGCAATTCAAACAATAGATAATTAGATGATAATGAGGTTTACATCTTTCATATCTTTTGTTTGAGGTTTACATTTTAACCTTCCTAGCACAAGCGTATTGCAGATGCAATCATCTTTCTTTGTTCATTTTTGTTTATCAATTCAAAATCTCTGCAACAATTTGCACAAGACCGGAGTTTTCAATCACAAAATTCCTCTCCCCCATGCACTGATCACCGAAGTACATGCATGTTTAACTATGCTCCATATAGTAATGCATAACTATGCTCTTTACACTAAAAGTTTAGAGCAATCTGAGTTGCATAAACAGAAGCGTGAAAGAGTTGGCAGATCCAGCATTATACGCAAACAATCTGCAGCTCAGCAGCTTGCCGAACAAAAGATTGACATGTGGACAGATTCGCCATGGCCAGCGAGGAATCACCAGGTATTCGGCGCATTGAACACTTTCATGGAGCGATGTAACGATGTCTTGGAGCTCGTACAAACCACAACACATTTCAAGAAGTTACGACTTGCTTCAGAGATTGGGGGAGCTGGAGGGACTAACTTGAATAGCTTGGTGGAAGAAATCTATGGCCATTTTCAAGAAGCTATTGTGAAAATACGTGAATATAACCTGGTAAGAAAAAATCATATATTGTATAACATATCTTGTATTGTACAAAAGATTTATTGTTAGCCAACGCGGTTTGTAGCAGCATGCGAGGAAGGGAACTTTATAATTATTTTTAATAATTTTGTAGGATGTTTTGGAAGTAGACGAAGCTAACCAGTTCGAGAAAGCTTTCTTTGCATTCCGGTCTGTTATGAGGGTGAGATGAAATACCGTTATAATCGTTTGCATTACTGATGCTGTGTATAATTGCATGCTATGATATTTTGCTTTGGTATGGGAGGTTTAATATGTATTATGGAGGTTTAATATGTACTTTGTGTCATCCCAGTAAGTGTACTCATTGCGTGATAATAATTAATTTATTTTGTATCACTTCTCATCGTTTCAGAGCCTCGAATGTCGTCTTGCTGATGTTCTTCGTCAAAGCTTCAAGCAGTGTCCTGACACGGCGGCAAAGTTACGATTACTGGAGGTGTTTGAAGGCACGAGTGGCAGAGAACTTGTACAGGTAAATTAATCATATGTTATAGCCTACAAACTCCTATAGGGGTATAGTTTACGTTTTCTCGTGATTTGAGAATTACAAGGCTATTAATACACTACAGGAGAATCTGTTCAATATTTGTGACGAAATGTTGATGAATTTCACTAAAATTCTGATCGATGTAAAAGAACACTTCGAGCAACGTGTAAACGATCCTCCTCTTCATGTTCATCTACCTCCTATTGCAAGCAAATTGATGTGGTTGAAAGGATTGAAAGCCAGAGTTGATGTAAGTGTACATACTTTACACCTGCTGTTCGAAGACCTTGCCACTCCCTTACCTTCAGAAGCAATTATTCTAGTTCAATGATATTCTAGTGGAATTAGCACTTTTGTTTGTTTCGAATTACCCGATTAACGTAGATACGTTTACGATGTGTTACAACATTCGAAATATTACTATGTAATATAGATTGATTTATTGTTGACTTCTACTCATGATAGGAACCCATGTCAAAGTTTCGAAAGCTATCTGTTTCCTCATTCAAAGGAGACAAAGGCTGGAAATTACGTGATACATATAACGATTTAATAAAAGAGATCGAACGGTATATTCTTGATTTCTCGTATATGTATGACTTTTTCAACATAACAACTGAAAGAGCTTTATTTAACATCACTTTAATGCAGAGCCGAATTACAAACAGTATTGGCGTGGCAAAATTCCATTCAAGACGATTTAAGAACCAAGTTGAAAGCACCGTTACTGGTATGTTTTCTATCTATCGTGATATTGTTGTTCACGATTTTTTGGAAATGCGGAAGTATATAAAACTGTGCCGGGCATAATGGTGTATGAATAGAAATTACAGAATAATTTTTGTAAACACTTTTCATTTCTATACACAGGTTCAAGTAACAGATCCTGAGGAGGGCTATACGACCATTCAAGTGAACTTAGATTTAGACTTGCTGTCTTTATTAAAAGAAGTTTACTATTTAGCGGATCCTCCATTCCTCGTGAGACTTCCTGATCCAGCACGCCTTCTTTTACGTAATATAGACGATAATCTTTTGCGAACAACCGCTGCTAGATTGGAGACCATTGTTTCGCGATACAATGCAATAAACCAGAATATTCAACTTATCGAAGTACCTTTGTTTGAAAGAAAACTCGCGAAAATTAACGAGGTTTGTAATGATCGTGATAGATGTAATAATTCGCTTGTATACATGCGTACAGGGTGTCCCAATAGAAGTACCCTCTATTGATATCATTCTTTTGTTGATAAGGGTACTTTTTGTGGGACACACTGTAGAATACCCTCTATTGATATCATTCTTTTGTTGATAAGGGTACTTTTTGTGGGACACCCTGTAGAATACCCTCTATTGATATCATTCTTTTGTTGATAAGGGTACTTTTCTGGGACACACTGTAGAATTCAGTCAACGACTCCTCCCTTTTTTTCTATATCATAGCTGCTAGAACAAGGCATTCATCAATACACATGGAAAACAGTGGAATCAGCTGATTTTGTTGAACACTTGTGCTCACTTGTCTGTGAAGATGTTCATAAGAATCTCTGTGTGGTACAAAACAACTACAGAGAGATCGGTAACGTTGTGGCATCCTGGTCTCAAGATACCTGCCTTGATGCTTTCTCGTCTCGCGATAAACATCGCTCATATTCTATTGATGATCTAAACGCTTTGCACAGGTATGGTATGGTGGTACTGTATAGTGCACTGGATTCATGGGATGACATTAACAAGATGAGAATAGTTTGCTTCTTTCAGGCTTTTCGACGCGGCATTACACGAATACTGCAGGGCCTTGTTTTAACCCATTTTTTTCTTCTGGGTGACCCCAACCTCGTACCCAGTGTATTTGGAGTAACCCCTCTCAGACAGTAAGGCTTTGCTCTTGGGTAAAGGGTAAAGGCGGGATTGCAGTTTCTGCCCGAAAGTGTAGTGTTAGTATTTATAGGCAAACATAATTATGCTTCGACTCAAGGGACATGACAACAGTGATATCGACTTGTAATTTTTTTTAAGGGAAACGTACAATGTTACTGAGCATTCCATTGTTATGGGAGGTCATCGCATTCATGCTTTACTCTTGTCCACGTTTGAGGTAGGTTTCATATTTTTCAATGTCAGAAAATATATCATTGCACGTGCACGAATGACTTGTGAAAGATCTTGTCTTAGTAAATGAATTTTATTTGACGCATCTTCGTTTTTAAATAAATGATAAGTGATGTTCGTAGAATCTTGTATCAAAAAAAATTATTGCATTGGTGAAATTTCACGCACCAACGTCAGCAACGTTCTCTATAGCTTGGTGGCGAGGGCACTGCTTTAGAGTAGTCAAGAGGCTCGTGCTGGATGACCTGGTTGCACCCTCACTAAAAAACCTCGAGTTCGTTTTTCTAACAAACCACTTACGTAGATGTTAGGAGAACCGTACTGTAAAATCTGTCCTATACGTCAATGTATTTCACCAGCATAAATTTGCTATGCATAACTGTATGGAACTTAAATTGTTACAGGCTGTTCAAATAAGTCGTGCCTCGCCAGCCTGGCAGGATTACATTCAGTGTGTTAGTGAACTGGTGTTGGAAGGTCTTAAAAAGTCGGTTTTAGTATCGCTCGAGGGAATGATGGATGAAGTTAACTGTACCACAAAGGTGTGTAGCTATATTATATTCTCTCCATCACCTTTTTGTTACGTCCCCACCAGCGTGCATATCTACATTGTTAACGATTTATGGTGCGTAATGTGTAGGAAAACGATGGCGTTACACCAGTTCTTACAATCAGACTGGTGTTATCTGGCTCGCAAGTTGTGTTTATTCCAAAACTTGACGAAGATGATGCCACAACTAGTGTACAAGAGTATGTCGAGAGTTGGATTGAGGAGTTCTTGAAGCGTGCAGACATGGTTAAACCCTTTGAACCAGGACTCAAGGTTTGAGCCAATTTTCAGTTAAATCAATGCTATCTTTCTTTCTTTGGGAGTAAAGTCTTTTGTTTTGTAAATAAATGTATTGTTTTAAATCAGTATAATGATCGAATTATAATATCCTAAAGAAAACTAAACGTAATGGAAAACGTCCCAATACAGCCAGGGAGCAGCGTGGCAGCGTCTTTAAAATATTTCGTACAATTGTGGTGAACAACTGCCTATAATAGACAAAAAACTTCTTGACATTTTGACCAAAGGACCTTCGTCAGGAGAGTTGGTATGGAGAGTTTCATACGAAGAGTCTTTGTATATGGTCGAAACGTCGAGAAATGTTTTTGTCTGTTTTAGACAGTTGTTATACCACTAATTATATAGAGACCATAGAGGCTGATGGGAAACAGTAAAGTGGAGATTTTGATTTTTAAAACCTTTTTTATTTTTTGTTTAGACATACCACAGTCTTATAACTAATCTTCATGAAGTGCGGGAGTTGATGTCTTCGATAAACGACATTGTTAAAAACAATGGTATCCAGTGCCAGGTTAGTTCTCAGTTCTGCATTGGTGTTCACCTAAGTTAAGGTTGTCTTACAAAAATTCACTTTATGAGCATAAAAGCTAATGGGCTATTTCAGCCCTTCAGTTTCTTAGTTAGTATCATAAGCTTCACATTAGATTTGTATGCCCGAATACGTGGAACAAACAGAAAAAATACCTTTACTTCCCTCAAAGGATATTACAATGACATACGCTTCCTTTTTTCATTGGGCTGTGGTTGTAAAACATTGTAACGTATTGTAACGATCAACATTTCAATAAAACATTCTGTTATGTAATATTGTTATGAATTAAATCTGACTGTATAAACTTTCCTCGCTGTTTTGGCGTATCGTATTTTCTATACCGTACTCACAATCACCTTATGTTTGTTCTCAAAGAACTTACTTGGAACATTCCGTCAGTATGCTTTTCTTTGGATGCAAGATGTCGAAAGAACATTTAAAGAATTCCTCGCTGGAAATATCGTTGCACATCCTCGTGATGACATGTCAGGAGCCGAGGCATTACGAACAGGGGCGTCACTAACTTCTCAGAGGGCAAAGAGAGACAAAGGAACTAAAACGTAAGTCATTTTTTTACTATATCAATGCACTGTGCTAAAAAATATCAGCTGCCTAATTCTGATTTCGTTATCATTAATTATTTCTTATAAAAGTAGTAAAAAAGTGTAACAGTATAAAATCCTTCAAAATCAATGACAATCCTATATACCTACAGTTAAACTAACCAATTCCCATGCGCGAGACATACTGTATTTCAATTCGATAATAAATGTAGAACTCTATAATAACGAAAATCTTGTTGGAAATTTTTACTATATTTTCATTTTCTTTCAGGCCTATACACACTCCAGGTGCTTATTCTCTCGATGTTAGTGGAGCTTTAGGTTTGTCAGAAAAAACCTTCCTAAACGCAAATAAACACAGCACAGAGAGCAGCGAGGCAGAAACTGCAACCATTCCATCATTGGATGACTTTGACAAAGAATTGGAAATATTTAGAGTAAGTGGTTTGACTTTTTTTCTGCTTGATCTGTGACAGTGCGATGTATACAAATTTTATAAAAGTTTGCTGAGTGGATAAACGTATATGATTACATACACAGGATATTTATATTCTTAATGGGAAGGTCCTCTGTGAAGTCGTTTGTTTTTCATCCTTCATCTTGTAATTAACAAATGAAATCTGTTGTTGCGAGGACATATGTTGTTGAGAAAAAATTTGTTTTATTCCATACATATATACATTGGGTTGGTCAAATAATTTCTATGTACATGCAGGCCAGTCGCGATGAAATTCGTGCCCTCCAGGATTGGTGTGATATTGGTTTCACACGAGTCAACATGCGTCCAATCAAACAAGTCTTGCAAACGTATGCCAGCAAGTGGATGTTTACTTATACAAAGTATTTGTCTGACCAGGTAATACATATAGGATATTATGTACGTGGTGTATTGAGTTGTATATGATGGTTTTGCGCGGTCTTAAGAAAACAAGAATGCTTCATAAACACATAAATATATTGCTAGGACTATATTTTGGACATACAGTCTTGTGGATTACACACACTATATTTAGGGTATAGATGAAACTGTACATAGGGGAAATAAAAAAAAACAAAAAAAACAAACAAAAAAAACTATATTTAATTCCTGTTTACTTCTCATATTTTATCTTGCAGGTGTCCAACATTTTAAATGATCTGGACTCGTTTCTTAAACGCATTGAACCGGGCGTGGAAGCGATTACTGGAGAGGAACGAGATATAACTTCTTTTATGCGATTAATGGGAATATTTAACGAGGTAATGCATGTTCAACGTTTAACAATACTTTATACTGAGCGATGAAATGTACTACCTCTAGCGGTCGACATACATAAGGGCGGGATCGTGCATGCTAGTCTAATTTTGGCCATGCAGTATTTGCTTGCTTGCATTTAGGGTGTGCATTACCATAGAAAGTATTCTTGAACTTGTCTAAAATGCCAAATGTTTAATTAGATTAATACTCAGCAAGGAGAGATGGACAGCAAGTTTGTTGCAATGAAGAGATCGATCATGCTGCTGGAAAAATACGATCAGAAGCTCCCTGACACAACACAGAAATTTTATGCAGCGGCACCACAAAAGTAACTAAAGTCTTTTGTATCTGTACTGCATTTCTTAGTGATTGACAGATTAAAGGACAACAAGGAAATGCTGTTTTTCTTGTTTTTGTTAAGGTGGAACAATCTGAAAATGAAAGTTGCACAGGCCAAACAACGACTGGGACCTCGAATACAGTCTGAAGAAAGAAGTGTAACTGCCGTGAGTAATCACTACATATTACTAGCTAATTGAGTAATGTCTGTTATTCCATGAAGCTGTTTATTTATGATGCGCAATATGCCGTGCAGTAACACGTTATTGGCCATTTCATTCAATGGCAATTTATAGTTAACTTACTGCAAAGTTTTTGAACCTTGCAATCTCATGCGGTTTTCAAAGGGTTTTCTTATAGCGAATACCTTGATAAAAGCTAATGGCAGTTGTAAACATGTTTCTCCAGGAGCTTGAAGCGTTTGGAAAACGATGCGATCTTCTTGTTCGTGAGTTTATGGCGTCCGAAGCATTCAAACGAAATTGCTTGATCTATACCGCTTTTAATATAATGGATATGTACGAGAAGAGAATGAAGATACTTGAAAACGAGGCCCAGGTAGAACTTGCTTCATGAAATTTGTCATAAAAAAGCTAAAAGTCTAGTTTGGTTTTACACGTACAGGTTTTGTTAACATGGCTGAATCAGTAAATGTATAGTATATTGAACCTGATCCTTATGTTTTTCCTAGGATTTGATTGAGCTACAAGAACTTCTTGAGAAGAATATTGTCAATTTTTCTGTTTTACCACAGTAAGACTTTTACCTTTTTACAATTAGCACTTGCATGGCCATTGCACCAAACTGCATGTACTCATTACTATATATATGGGGCCTTTTGGAATATTTTGCATTGATCGCGCGAGGACCATGCATGAAGATGCTACGAAAGGGGCCACGCGGCTACAAATCACAAACCTGTTAGGGGTATTTAAAAAAGGATCTTTTTAATGGTATAATATATTTTCAATTAGGTAAATTACGGTGCAGTATATAGGTATGTTAATTGCAACCTTTTGTTCTTTAGAGTTGAATCTGATTTAGAATGCCTACGCGAGGTGTGGAATATGTTTCGGTGAGTTCAAACTTTAGGACAAAGTATGGAGTGTGTGAATATATGTTAGCGCTCAGTAGTCCGATCAAATGGAGGGGCTTTCCTTTTCGTGCGCTATATTGTATTTACCTTCGTTATCCCCCCCCCCTCTATAAGCCTATAGGGGCAGTGCAAATGGTCACCTCTAATTATATTTGGATAAAGCTCACAAACCTCGCAGCTATCACTTATCGTGTGTGTTTTATGCTTGCAATATAAAGGTCTGTTCAAGAGCAGCAAAATGATTGCAAACGGCAACGATGGCTCAAATTAGATGCGAAGCTACTTCAGAAAGTTTTAGATGGACATATAGAACAAGTAAACTCGCTGTCATCTCGCAGTCATACATGGGATGTTCATGTTGGAATGTTGGATTCAATCATTGATATGCAAGTACGTCAAACGAACTTTTCAGTTCAATTGTTTGTAAAAGTGATGGCGAATTTCATGATTTGCAACGCATTGTACCGAGGTACCTCAACTATTTTCGGAGAATCTACTTCATGGTACATTATATAGAACTTTTTTCTTGTTGTGTAGGCGTGCCTACCAATTGTGGAGGATTTGCAAAAGGCCGCATTGCGTCCTCGTCACTGGAAACAGCTGCTGCGATTAGCTGGTGAAAACGTCCACATTGTTGCAAATGATGGCCTGGTTAAGATGTCCTTCGGACAACTCATTGAGTTCGGCCTTCATCGTAAGTGATGTAGCGTGTTGACTGACGTTTCCTAAAACCTCCACGATATTTTTGTTGGGCGCTAGGCCTTGGAAACGAGTGCAGGCACTCGTGGTGTACACAATTAATCCTCTTTCATCCCTTAATCACATGTATAGATCACACTGATGAAGTACGCACAATCATCCAAAAAGCAACAAAAGACGTGGCCATTGAAAGTTCACTGAAAACGTATGAAGAAGTGTGGTTGAGTAAAGTCTTTGAACTGAAACGCTACAAGAAAGCCAGGGTGTCCTCTGCAGCAATGGTTACAGGAAATCAAGAGGTATTTTTTTTTCTCATTAGTGTTACTACTGTACATTATTGTTTGGCACAAATACATTGTTTGGCACGCGAACCTTTCACAGTCCTACAGTATACATAAATAGTACTGTGTACTGTGTCAGGCAATCCTGCACGGAAAACATATGGTATTCGTTAATGCAGCGAAATATTTTAGGCGAATGCAAGTGAGGTGGACTCTGAAGCTCAAGGCCATGGTGGACACCGTGGTATATCTGGTAGATACTCAGTGGCGAGTTATGGCAGTGGTGGACTTAGTCATAAAGAAAGCAAGACCCGTAGAACAACCCCTTCGCTTGCATCCGGGGCATTCTCCCAGTCGCTAATGAACTTGACGCAAGTAAGTTTAGTTCCTACATAGCGAAATCATACAAGAACATTGTTTTACTGTATGGCCTTGCATAATCCAATGCTTTTCTTTAAAATTGACACGTTTTCTACTTCTTAATTCTTTTTCAATTGATTACCCTGTCATTTAGGATTCTGGACCACTTTGTTTGCTGACAAACTGTGATCCCATTTTTGAGGAACTTGAATCCCACCAGGTTGGTCTTTCATTGGAATTAATCTCTTTAAATGACCATATATATTGAGTCTTGTCCTTTATGTTTATATCGTAAATATAAAACAAAAGAAACCACATCTTTGTGACTTGTCTAAATAATCCATTCAAAATAATGTATTTTCGAGTTTCGCTTCTCTCACCCACTGAAAGCTCTTACTAGTCTTAGATACACTGTATGAAAGTACTTGTCGCACCAGCACAACAGTCTATTTATTGGTATATTAATTCATTGTTTTTATATTTCACGCAGGTTTCTCTTCAGAGTATGTTATGCGGAAGTGCGGCCAGTTCGTTTACTGATGAAATTCAAAAATGGCAAAAACAACTTCAGACTATCGAAGCAGTTCTCACGGTATGGCTTGAAGTTCAGGACAAGTGGGTTGAACTGGAGGATGTAAGTATTGTACAAATTATTAACAAAAGAAATCAAACAAGCGAGCAATGTTGAAAGGTTGCTGTGTTGGGATATAAGCGTTATTGCCATTGAAATTGCAGTGACTCAAAGTCTCAAAACTATATGCTGTTATCCATACTAACATTTCAGTGTATGGTGTAAGGTTAGGTTTTATCTAAGAAACAGATTTGACTAGAATAAACCTATAGTCTCTCTTTACCCAACGGTCTCGTTTTCGTGTCAGCGATTACGGTGCGTGTAAAGAAACATTTTTTGTAGAAATAAACTTGGCTCTTTGGTCAAACCTACAACTATTTTATATTTTAGATTTATGCGAGTTTTGAAGTTCGTATCGCCTTACCTCACGAGGCTAATCTTTTTGCCGCTGTCAACCGTGATTTTCGTGTGTTAATGAAGGCGACAGAAAGGAATACAAATGTCCTTCAAAGTTGCGCGAGAACTAGTAAGTGACTTAAACCATGTAGAAATAACGACTGTTTCAAGTTCCATATGGTACAACTTTCAACACAATTCGAAAATGAGGTTTCAAACCAATAATTTTTTATAGAACTTAATTTATCTCCAAAATTGTTGTTCGTAGTTGTACCATGTACTATATGGGCTAAAACGCCCATAAAAATATTTACAATTTTAAGCATCCGGGGGACGCGTCCTCTCTTTGTACACAAACAGCAAATGCTGCGTCAGAGCAACACTAAATGCACGCTTATGTCTCTCTTTCACCTCTTTTTCACTTCTGATCTTCTACCGAATAAATGCGCCCGGAAAGAATTTTTGTATTCAGTTTTTCATCACAATTTAGACATACAAGCAAAACTGGAGAAAATGCAAAGCAACTTACAGCAGTGCTGGAAATCGCTGCTTGCTCTTCTAGAAAGAAGACAACAAAAATTCCCAAGGTTTTATTTCCTCTCCACTGAAGATGTTCTTCATGTAGTTTGTAATGGTACGTCTTAATAGTGTTGACCTTAATCAGTCTATATATGTGCTATGTTGACGACTCATGCAGTGGCGTAGCTAGCCTGCCGATTTTTCCTGCTAAGCAAATTTCAAGTCATTAGAATTGTAAAATTCTTTAGAAATTCATTGGTTTTACATGCAGTCAATGAACACCAAAATATTAGCATAGGATGACTAAATTGTCCGGCTGGTTACGCCAGTGATTGACGTAATTTATTTTCACTTGACCTGCTGTGTAACGGCTGGAGCTTCACCTTTGTCATACATGACATGAGACACATTCCAGTCTAAATCGTCAGGTAAATGAGGCCGTAACCAAACAATGTAGGAGGTTTTTTGTGAGCTATGATCTGTCCAAGGATTTTTCAGTGCTATATATAGGCATGAATTGTCGATAGTACTTATGTGCATCCATTTTTGCTATCTGACCAACCTGTAGGTCATCATCCAGCCCTTGTGAATCCATATCTATCCAAAGTTTACGAAAACATCGTTGGACTTCAGTATAAGACTGTTGTTGTTGATAACCAGTCAGCCTATCATGTCTCTGGCGTGGTTAGCAAAATGGAAGAATCTCTTGAACTTCCTGAGGTAAGGAAATAAGTTAGCAGATTAGATTAGTTTGGTCTGATAGTGGCGAGGCCGGTGAGACAACAACACCTACCCCCCCCCCACCAGGGACTGTTTATGGTCAATTCTTTATTCAGTTACGATACCACTGATGAATGGTAGCATTGGTTTCTACCGGTAAACTTCCTCTAAATGCGGTGTCGATATTTCTCTCGAAATTTAATTGTTTTTTGATTCTTCAGGTCATTGTATGCGACAGTACTATCGAAAACTGGTTGCAAGAAGTCGAGAGGTCCCTTAAAAACGTTTTAAATGGACAAATGGCGTGTGTTATTGACAAATTTGGTGAAACGTATTGGCAGTCGTTAAACAGCGCTGACGGTGACATTGAAAAAACCTGGATGCTTGAAAATGCTGCGGAAATCGTCTTGCTCGTTACCAATATTGACCTGAACTCAAGCATTGAACGTTGTTTAAAAGAAACTGGTCGGGAACAATGGAACTCTCTAAAAGAACTATCAAAAAAATTAAAAGCAACAATTGCAACGACCAGCCGTATGTTGAAGACAGGCGACGTTACTTCAATCGACAAAAGTAGTTTAGGCACACGAGGTCGCGGCAGTCGTCCATCTACAAAAAGTGATATTCGATCTTTGCATTCAAGGGACGGTAGTCAGAGACCGTTAACCCAGGAAACTACTCCATCTCACAACAGCGGTACACAATATTATCCCTATCAATATCAAAAATTAGTTAATCTTATAACTTTACTCTTTCACAAACGAGATATTATTCGTAAACTGTTGGGTCTATTGTCCGCGGGTTCTACCGAACTTCTACGGTCCTTCGAGTGGTCTTCTCAAGTGAAGTATGAATATTCAAAGGAAGATGGTTCCCTGAATGTGAAGATCCTTAATACTAGTTTTTCATACGGTATGGAATATCAAGGTGCTTGCCCCAGACTTGTTCTCACACCCATGACAGAAAAGTGCTTCGTCAGTTTGGCCCAAGCAGTCATGTGTCATGCCGTCGGGATGTGTGTAGGACCATCGGTACGTTAAAGTTTCAACTTCTATAACTGATTATGCATACGCTTTAGACGTTGGGTGGTCTTCTCAAGCATTGTTTGCAATAGTCATGAGCAAAACAGTTTATACTTCACAATCAAATCCGGAGCGTGATTATTATCATATGATCAACATCAAATAGCGGTGATAGGATAGGAGAACTAAGGAACGGAAACATGCTTAAAACGTAAAACCCAGGCCACTGACAGAAAACGCCTCTGTAATTCTGTTCCTTTACTCTAACAAATTCTCATAACGTTTTTAAAATAAATATGTACGTTTAACAGCTATATTTTCCAAAAACAGCGATCTCCAAAACGTGATACACTAACCCTTAATGAGGCGTTCCTGCCTACCTAATCATGATTGCTCCCTATATTGTAGATACACAGGCATTTTTCGTATAGTATAAAAAGTGAACAGTTGGGCCACTTTACTGCGTAATCAGTAACCAGCTGCGGTTCGCTAGCTCGATGTTCTGATTGGCTGAAAAATGCAATTGACCTTTTATTTTATTGTCTTTTGTGTACTTTCATAAAGGGTTCTGGCAAAAACGAGACAATTCGCGATTTTGCAAGGGTGTGTGGTCAGCCGTTTTACCCATTTACATGTGCAAAAACGATGGACCAAACATTCTTAACTGGAATATTTAAAGGATTAGTTATGACAGGTATACTATTTGGTGGTTTTGTAACTACCTCGTTTATTATGCATGTTGCACTGAGTGCAGCAACTTTATTCCAAAAAGACAATTTGAGATAATTGCGTAACTAAAACGCTCTTTTACCATACTTCTTCCTAGGAGCATGGATTTGTTTTGGAAAGATCAATGTTATTGAGAAGAGCATTCTATCAGTTGTTGTCCAGCTTATCCAAGGAGTAATGAACAGTCTTAAAGCACATAAAACTTCTGTGAATATAGAGAATGAGGATCTTACCCTGTTACCATCTGCCGCTTGTTTTGCTACAATGACCCCCACTGGATCACCAAACGATCCATTTAAACGATCCTTTGATTATTTTTCATCCGTGCCGTCTGCTTTATCGGAGTTGCCGAAGGAACTTGTGGAAAGGTTACGTCCCGTATCGTTCACACCACCCGACATCCGAAAAATATCTGAAGTTTTTCTTGCAGCCAATGGATTTTCCACAGCATCCGAACTTTCCGATGCGATGTTTCGACTTCAGGGTGTATGCGAGACGTTTATCCCATCCTTCGCTTGTGTTGAAAGGCAGATTAAAGGACTTCCTTCGGCGTTTATGGCGAAAGGTTCTGGTTGGAGTGTATTGTGTGTACAGAAGATCATTAATGATGCTGCAAATAATTTGTACGAGCACGGATTTTCTGAAACGGAACATTTAGATGGTGATGCAACAGTGCTCGTAATTCCTGATTCTACCGAGGAGGTGTCAACGTCTGAAGTTAACCAAGGTTTGTGTTAAAAGTATAGCTCTAGTATGGCTTTAGTTGCTAAATTAGTTAAAAATCGTCACAATTTATTTTACAAGTAAATTTAAAATTTCTCTAATAACCGTGGTAACTGCTAAAGCAATCCTATGCTGTATAAATAAAAATGTTCTTTACTTTTTCATCAGAGAATGAATCAGGTAAACAAACGCCGACCCTGGCCGAAGCTTCTAGGTTGCAGCAGCTTGAAGAGATTGCACTTGTTGAAGCTATTAGAGACACATTTCTTCCTGGATTGTCCGCGTCTGATGCTGTTATCTTTGCTACCCTCATCGATGACGTATTTCAATCTGTGGAGGCAGCGACCATTTTTCAGGGTAGTATGCGGGAACAAACGTCTGTTTCGCGTGATACCGATTCAAAGATTGGCCAGATATTCGATAAACCAGCTGAGTTATCCATTCCATCGAAAAGCGAAGAAGGTAATTTTCATTAAGGGTGATCTCTTAAGCAGTATACTCGGTCGTACAGGAGATTGTGATAATTTTTCAGTGTCTCTAAGGCGTTTTCTTCTGCTTTAGTGACTGAAGGAGAAACTTCGGCCATCAGTGTAGCTATGAAAAGACTGGGCCTGCAACCAGGGAACACATTTGAAGCTAGAGTGGCCCAGCTTGCTCAACTTATTGCCGTCCATAAAACAGTACGTCTTTTCTTGTTGCAAGTAATACAAGATGGACTTTTTATTTCAGCGAAAATATTTAATATCTACAAATTATTGACACTAATCACACGAATCTCTATATTTTAAGATTGCTGTGGTGGGTCCAACTGGTTGTGGTAAAACAGAATGCATTAAAACGGTCGCTGCGGTTCACAGAGAGATGGGACGGATTGTGCGTAGGGACATTATTTGCACCGGAGCACTTGAGTCCCTTGAACTCATGGGATATTACGATTCTACCACGAGGTATAGTGATTTCAAATTTATGCCACGTGATGATATTATATACTTTTAAGAGGGTATTGATGGCACTAGGATGTCTAGTTCCTTTGTTTTACAAGCTGTCAGCCTCCCATAATATAGCAGCAACCCTTCTGCTACTGTTACAATTCAAACCACACCATGCAACAGATTCTTCTCTCTAATCGTCTTTTCCCGCAATTGCACCGAACTAAGAATTTTCACACAAAAATGTTTGGCCTTCGATAAACTATAGCTTTTTTTTGTCGTTTCACATAAAGTCGTGTTTCCCATATATTTAGAAGTTGTTGGGTGATGCATTGGGTACTCACCACTCTTACTTATCAATATATTTCTTGCAGTGAATGGAAAGATGGCCTCGTACCTAGCATACTACGGAAACATGCTCAGCAGTTGAAGTCCAGTGAACAATCTTCAGGGGTTAAGCCAACACCATTTGCTAAGTGGATCCATCTTGATGGAATTGTGCGTCAGTCTCTGTATATTAATGTGCCCTTTATTTAGAAAAAAATTGACATGGAGTGTCATGATTCGATTTGCACTACGTTCTCTTTTAGATCAACTCAATTCAAGGGGAAGCATTCGACACGATGATTCAAAATAGTGGCACTGTGGTGTTTCAAAGTGGTGAAAGGATCAGAATTCCTGCCTCATTGGAGATCATCTGGGAGGTAATAAATCAATGAGTTTATTGTTTTCCATGCGAAACCCTCAATATACGCATCCATAAAACCTCTGACAATGGCGAAGAAAACACAAATTTACACACCCTCAAAATTCCTAACAAAAAATATTATCTAGATTGAAAACCTGGAGCACGTGAACCCAGCAACAGTGTGCCAAATTGGTTTGCTTTGCATGACCAAGGCGGATGTCGGGTGGCAGCTATTGATGAACAGATGGATAAACAAGAAACCAGATCGAGAAGCGGAACTACTTCGTACCTTGTGCGACCGCTATGTTTCACCAACCCTAGAGTTTCTACGTGCCAGTACATCCGTACCACCACGACCAGGTGCTGCACCTACCAAGACGAAGTACAAAGCTTTAGAAAATGTTGTGTTTACGCCAGAGATAAATATGATCGAGACGTTGATTTCGTTGGTCGAGGTAAGTGTGATATAACAAGAACCAGCTTCTCATCTAATGTGTTTGAGCAACTTTCTTAAATGGACAAGGAAACGTCTTGACCACGGGCCTGATAAATTCCCTTTTGTCGAAACGTTGAGAGGGTTTCTTATCGCAGATATACACAAGACGAAACTCGCATCCAAAATCGCAGCAAAATGTAAACGGGCCTTTATATACGTAGATAATCTTAAATTGTCATTATTTTAGGCCTCAGTTTCCCATCATTCAGACCTCATGCCAGTTGAATACGAAAATCATTTCAATTTCGCTGCCATCTGGGCTTTTGGAGGATCTTTGAAAGAAAGTCATCGCGTCCATTTCAGTCAATGGTGGAAAAATCAATGGAAAGATTTCTTAGTGCTTCCAGGAAATAAGGAGGTTTGTTTACACATCCGGGGTCCCCTCACATCCCGGGGGTTGGGAAGGGCGTATATAAAGCACGATACGATTGTATGTCGTAATCATTCCAGGCAAAAGGATTCCGATGATGAAGTTACGGATACCGAAAAAAGTGGAATCCACTAGAAATAGCAGTGGACCCGTTAATTTTGTTTCTTATTATTATTTACTAAGGTTTGGGATTACTTTGTCTCTCCCGATACTCACGAATTTTGCTGTTGGAACGAAGCAATACAACCGTACGCAATGCCGCCTGGAGAAGGCATACCACATAATGCCTACGTTCATACTGTTTATAATGAGGTATGTTTTCCTCCAACCTATATACAGTGTAAGTACTCTTTCCCGGTTTCGAAGTAATTGATAAACAAATAGACACAAATTTCAGATATATTTAAATAATGATTTTTATCAGAATTGGCGGAACAATTAACAACCAGAACTGCCTTATATATGCCCTAATTAGGTTTTCAAAAATATATTTAGATGCATTCAGTGCTAAACTCGAGTATTATAAACATTATCTTTTGTGGTTTTTATAGGCTTTCTCTCATTTAGTTGGTCTATTGAGTGAAGCAGGCAGGCCAGTAATGTTTATTGGTGAGCAAGGTTGTGGTAAAACATCAATTGTTCGAGATAAATTGTACAACCAGGATGATGACGTAGCTGAGTTTCACTCCCTAAGCGTATACTGTAATAGATTCACTTCATCGAGGACACTATGGCGCAACATCGATAATTGTTTGGAATGGAAGCATGGCAGAACATATATTCCCAAGGGGAATAAGAAGTTGATATGTTTGGTGGACGATCTTAACTTAAGCAAGGTGAGAGCATTGCATCGTGCGTGACAGTATTGCGTCGAGGTTAGTGCGTCGTGGGTAATACGTCGAGAAAGTTCCCCAGGGTGAAACTGTATATAAAAGTGTTGCTATTTAATATTTTAAATCTTTCCGATCTTGTAGCGTCTTTCACGTTGATTTTTTTAATGTCCAGGCAAATGACTTTGGTATTCAGTCCTCGACGGAACTTATCCGACAACTGATTGATCATGGCGGTGTGTTTGATCCAGATACGTACCAATGGCGTGAAGTACAAGATGTAACCTATATTACTACCTACAACCCACAAATATCAACTACAGTCCCCAAGATCGGAAATCGCTTACTCAGGCATTTTTCTTTGTTTCACGTTCCATATCCCAGGTATGGGAACAATCTGTGGTGCATTGTTGCATTATCTTTTATTACATCCCTTCCATGAATGCGTCGTCATTTATCCTGATACTCTCGCTCCTTCAAATCAGCCAATTGCCTTCCCTCTTTTATACTCTCGAAAGAGCTAGAGGCTCTCTAGCGAAAAAAGGTATTAATGACGTAATTATCTACGCTCCATATTATCATTGCTTACATGGTTATTGCTGTAATGTTTATTTTCAGTGTGAATGCCCTCGAGAGAATTTTTAGCTGCTTGTTGAAAACGCATTTTCTAGTATCCAGGCAAATGTCGTCAGTAGCTAGCGTCGCTCAGGTGTTAATCGACAATATATCTACAGGAAGTATAGACTACGTAACCGATGATGTGCCTATTAGTACCGATAATGCATTTAAAAACCTGTTGTCCAAGATTGTCCGAACTACGATAGAGTTACAAAACGAATTAAGGGTTATGTATCTACCGACTGCTCAACGATGTCATTATGTGTTTACTCTGAGTGACCTGACAATGGTGTTCAGGTATGTTCCACAATTACCTTTCGTACTGTTCTTAAACAAATTTAGCAATGTCACAACGAATAAAGAATTCTCTGCTCCCTCTCGTTACCGTATACTGGTTTACTTTATGACATGTATTTCTGCATGAGTCGACTCCCAGCTATACTGTATATTCGGTGGTGTGAAGGCATCACATTTATTTAGAGGGAGAGGGGGGAAGGGGTTCATTCCAGCATCATTTCTATATCACTTATATATGGATACCAATATAGTTGGTCATTTACGTATTGTATTGTGCAAATAAATTTTAGAGCTAGATGAACGTTTATGTTATATCTTCTATTTGTAGAAATTTGTGTCTTTCTCTTCGGCATGGCTGCACAATCAAAGATATGTTGTTGCTATGGAGACATGAATGTGACTGGGTTTATAACAGACGGTTGGTCGATTCTGTGGATCGTGAGCGATATCAACAAACGCTTATAAATACAGTCAAAAAAGAGTTTTCAACGTCTGATCAGGTATAAAAATGGCGTGTGAGAATCAAAACACATTCAAGTTTGGTAATGCCTAATTTTAAACGACCCAAACCTTTAGGTTAAAGTCATGCTGAGTGAAAATGTATTGTTTACTAACTTGGTGGAAGTAGAAGAGCGTGGTGTGGCTGGGCCTGGGGAGAGCACTACTGGTGTTAGTGATGAGAACGTTCAACTTGCTTATCGACCGCTGTACGATGTTAAAAAGGTTTGTTATTTGATATAAACTGAATCTTTCTGAGATTAGGCAATTTTTCCTGAGAATTCCAAAATATTTTGTTAAGTAGTAAATTTAACGTATGGACCAGCTCTTTATTTTAACAATGGAAACAAAAAGTAGAAAAGGAAGTTTGACTGTCTAGAAGACACGATCAATGATGGATTAATATTTACCTTGATTTTATTTCCTAAGGTCAAGACAGTCTTAAGTCATGGTATAACCGAATACAATAAAGATTTTCCAAAAATCAAGCTGGCTTTACATGATGTAAGTACTACAAGTACCTTATTTTATAGTTTTTTTTCTTGTATATTTTTTATACAAGAGTTGGGCTGTCGGCCATCCCCCCGGAAGGACAAATTTAAAGTGGAAATTTTACGATCCCGAAGAGCTCAAGTGAAGTCATATATTTCGCTGTAAAGCAAAGTAAATCTTGCTGTCATGTCCGAGGTTATCTTACACTGTCTGAACGAATTTCTCTTTGTTTAGGACACAATCGAAGCAATCTGTCGTCTTGTCCGGTTGTTACAATCTCCTCATGAATGTAGTCATGCTCTGATTGTCTCTGAAGGATCACCTGGTGCTACATCAAGTATCGTAAAATTGGCCGCGCACCTCTGCGGGTTTTCACTGTGTCAAATTAATGCATCCAATATCGGAGGAACAGCATATACCATGTCAAACTTCAGAAATTATCTCGTTACTGCATACAGAAGAGCTGGTGTCAAGGTAGAATTTTTTGCCCTGCATGCATCGTATTTTACTCTCAACAGAAAACCTCTCAGATTATGCGTCACGTAATTATCGAAATGATGTGCGTTCGTGGCAATGTCTTTCCATGTTTTATCGGTAAAGTTTGATAAATTATATTAATTCAACTCAAATTTCTATCGTGATATCTATTTTAGAGAGAAAAGCTTTTGTTGTTACTGGGCGAAAATGATTTGGTGAATGATGACATGATGGTTCATATAAGTGAATTTCTCGTTTCCTCTTCAATTGCACATTTATTCTCCGAAGAAGAGCGTATATCAGCAATAAATTCTGTCAGATCAGACGTCACCCAGGCTGGATTAACATACACGAAGGATGTTGCATGGAGCTTCTTTTTGAGGTAAGGCTTAGTTAGATCTCATCTAACACTGGATAATTCTTATATTTCCTTTATTTCACGAGGGTCTTATTGAACTTATAAAATGGATAAAATCAGCACCAAAAAAGAATGGCATTGTTTTATGTTCAACAGGTCATTTGGTACAAACGTAGGGATGTAATTGTATAATGTTAGCTCAGTTAAATCCATTTACTTCAAATGTTTTTTGAATTTCAGAACTGTTAAGGAAAACTTAAGAATGATTCTCTCTGTTTCATCACCTGGATCAAAGTTTCAACAGAGATGCAGAGATTTCCCTGGATTAATCAACAGTATTTCTATTATGTTTTTCCCTCATTGGTCAAGAGACAATTTGGTATCCAGGGCAAGTTATCTTTTACGAGGCAAGTATACTATACTACTACACGCCTCTGAGAGCATGTGCCAAAAGCAATGCGAAATCCGTGACCTGCAATTAAAGCAAGGTCAACGGGGCCGAGGTGTGCGAGACCGATCAGCTACGTCAAAGTATTTTAGAGCTTTGTTCGAGGTCTAACATGCAATGCATACAATGTTGTTCACTGTTCACACTGGCATTTCATTTTGAATAGCTTGAGTAGCTTCCATATTATCGCTACTTCCGTCACTTCTAAAAGTTTTAAAATTCCTTTAGATATGGAGTTATTTGACATTGCTGGCAAAGAAAATATGGCACACCTCTTCGCCTCTATTCATTTATCGTTGAGGGAGCAAGATCCTAGTGAAGACGCCAGCGGCTTCTATGGACATATTACAAATACAACTTTCGAGAAGTTCGTGGAGCGGTAAGGATATATTTTCACGAAATTGAACAATGATATGATAGATTGGTGGAACTTTTATATCTTGATGAAACAGTGCTTGCTTCTGCTGCCTTTTCTTCACGTGACCTCTTTTCGTGTAGATTTATGAATTTATTCAAGAAACAATACGCTTCTATTCGTGAGGAATACGAACGTATGGCGACCGCTTTCGAAAATATATCCAAGGCTGCTGAACTGGCTGGTCAGCGTCTAAGGCAACTGGAACATGAAAAAGTTGTTTTAGAACAGAAAAAAGAGGTATAGGGATTGGTTTTATCGTAAGACGCTTTTTAGGGACTTCCCAGTTTTTTATATTGGACAAGATTTAATGCATTGTATTTTTCCAACGGCTTTGTGATTGGAAAGATGGACTATAAACTTTATAGATTTTATTTAATTCAGTATTGTAATTTACACGAAAATATTATTGGACGAACAGGTACATATTCCCATCGAGCGAGATGGTTTTAAAATAAATCTTTCTGTTACATTTCTCCCTAATAAGACCTCTTTCTTTCAGAGTAATCTTCAGCTTTTATCCCAAATTGGTCAGGTATGTGCAATAATTGACAATTTTTTCATTCAAAAATTGTGAAGTAATAAAGGTATAAACTCTTCAAACTCTGTAAACCTTTTTCCATCTCCTCATGTAGGACAAGGCGATTGCAGAAGAGCAGATTAAGTTGATAACTAGGCAGCGTCAAAAGATATTTCATTTGCAAAAGGTGAGAAAGTAGTTTTACTCGTAACATAAAAATTCAACGTGCCGTGTCAGTGTCGTATGTTGTTCAACCAGATGATTGATTAGTGTGTTCCACTAATGATGATTGCATGATTCGATATGATCATTGATGATTGCATGATTTTATGATCATTGATGATTGCATGAAACCAATGATGATTGCATGATTCGATATGACATCTTCTTCTGTTGTGATGCATCTCCAAAACGTATATGGTGCTTTTGTTTTCAGGCTTTGCCTAAATTTAAGGAAGCTCATGAACGTTCAGTGTTCAAAGCAGCTGCTGTGGTATCTGACGTGAAGCGTATGCTCCGTGTGTTGGATATCAAGGCACTAGGAGAGCTGAGGGCGATACAAAAGCCTGATCCAGAAATTGAAGATATTCTAGCAACTATAATTATAATACGTAAGTTTTCAAATCAAAACGCTTCAGTGATTGAACACAGTTTACTGTATTAATGTACCATCACATTACTGTTAGTTATATCTCACTATATTGTTATTAATATTATGCTACACTATGTTATATTCTTCCGGTTTCAGTTAAATCTCCTACGTCAGACCTGACATGGAACAAAGGTGCAAAACGAATAATGGCAAATTTGGACCGGTTTGTTATCTTCATTTGTTAAAACGCTATGTTTGATTAGGGTCCGAGTAAGAATTTGTGTTGGCTATGGTAATGATTTATTATTAGTTATATAGATCAGGGGGCGATTGTACGAGGATTCTTGATTTGTACATTTTTAGTAAACCGTAACTAAAGCGTAGTTGACCTTAGAATTCACTATGTTCACGCACGAAAAATTTTTTGGATATTTTCAATTCGGCGAAGACTATTTTCTCCCTCGATAGAATGTTTTTTGCTCTTATCCTCAGCAAAAGATCTTCTCATAGTTGATCGCACTCGTTCTGATTGCGTGTTTAGATTTTGCGATGATCTCGCTACGTTTGACGACTTGGATATAACGGAGAGCTCGTTACAAATACTTGATCCATATTTGGCCAAGCCACACTTCGATCATGTTTACATGAACAACAGAGTTGAAAACCCAGCGCTGGTAATGCTGGTCAAGTGGGTCTCTGGTGTCGCAAAGTAAGCAAACATTTGAATACCTTGGTTGGTCCTTGAACCTTGAGAGAAAAATTGTCCCCTGAATCCTTCCCTCGTTAAATGCTTCATTTTAACCAAGCAGGAGTGAACAAATTTATCGTCTTTTCCCACTGTTCACGAGTCAGTGAATCATGCATGCATTTAAGTAGCGATTGAGAAGTCTGGGTGTCGCCAGCATGTTTTGTAGTATCTCTCCTAAGCATTTCTTTTAAGCAAGGTACCTGGAAGACAAACGCATGGTGGAATCGTGGTACTACAGTAACTGTATGTTCTTTATTCATTGCTAAGGTACCACCAGATGATGATATCGAAAGTGAAACCACTCCATACGAAGGTTGAAGAAACAACAAAAATCGTAAACGAAGCGTCTGGTAAACTAAGTATTTTACAAAGCAAGCTGGAAGATCTGGAAACACGGCTTAGTTCCCTGGCAAAAGCGTATGAGGAAGCTTCTATAGATAAGTGTCGTCAGTTTAAACTTACCAAGAAACTGAACTTTCAGTTGGAACGTGCTAGTTACTTCGAGAAGGTATGTACTAAAATACCTCAATATTCAATATCTAATACAAAGCAGAGATCTGTAGACGTCTTTTATTGCTTAATATGTTTAATGTTTACAATTCAATATTAGTTACTCTTTTCAACATATTTATAAGGAATTAGGTTAGCATTGAGTCATCGAATAGATTTCGGGTTAGGGTTAAGATTAGATTTAGGTTTAGAGTTTACATCTAGTAGATTGTTATGATATATATTCCACGGAGGAACGGAAACGAAAATTATTAATATTCTCAGGTACTATCAAATGCTCGGGAAAGATGGACTCAGTTTCTTCTAACGATCAGCAATCGTGAAGCAGCTATTGGCGGTGCAGTTTCCATGGCTTCAGCTTTCGCTACGTACCTTGGTCCATACAAACATGCTTTTAGACGAAAGATGTTGACGATTTATTGGCCTGAATGTTTACAAGAACGTGGCGTACCACTTTTGTTGGACGATGCTCCGCACACCGTGATTGACACGGATTCCATTGAGAATATGACAGTCCCAGACAGCGAGGTAAGCTCTGTTTTATACTAGTTCGTAGTGTGTAATGGCCATGATGATTATATTTCACAGTAGAAAGACCCACGAGGTGCAGTGTCGAGGCACTTTCGCGTGCAACAAACGGATAGCAGATTGACGTCCTATTTTAATTTCTATCATTCAAATTGTTTTCACCTTTAGTCAAGGATTTATGACACTGAGCAGCGGGTATAATTCGATAAAATTTTCTGCACATCTGTTTTACATTGTTGTAGATTGCAGGAGAAGTGGATCAAGCAGAGAATACGTCGAATGTGAGTGAAGAAATCCACTTGGGTGGTGTCGAAAATGTCGTAAGTCATGAAGAACGTCATGACGATGTGTCGCAGCCCCAGGAAAATGGAGAAGTCCACTCAGGTGATAAAGAAAAAGTCGAAGGTCACGAAGGACCCACATTGAAATCTACTGAAGAAACGTCACAGTCCCATGAACCCGAACCTGATCAAAGAAGTACTGGTGACGAACAACAAGTGGTGACAGACAACCAGGAAGAAGAAGGTGTCGTCGTAAAGGAAAAGGCAAGGCGTACATCAAGTGGACTTCAATCATTAAGTTCACCCAAATACGACGCCTATCTACTGTCATTGATAAAAACTCTTGTTGGGGGCCACCAAGTACGACAATGGTTGAATTTAGGCATGGGAATGCGTGTCATGGAGAATGCGAGCATCAGCATGAACTCATGGCAGCGCCCGCCATTTTTAATTGATCCAAATGGTAGAGGTCTGGAACTAGTACGGCGAATGGAAAAGCACGAAAAAGTCGTCGAGATAGATGTTGGTGATAGGTATGATAGAAATGCACTGTATAAATACTCGCTTAACTTCACTTCGCTTCTGGTAGCATTGTACAGCGAATATTCTCTCACCATCTTGTTGGTGTATGAGAGATGTAACAGTTTCGCCTAATATTTTTGTGTATTTTTTTGCTACTCTGTGCATCAACACGCCCTCATGGCTCATTGCGTTCTATACAACTTATATATTTTAGTGATTTGGCATCACTAATGAACATCGAAAAAGCCATTACATCAGGAAGTGTTTTGGTACTGCATAACGTGAATGAAAGTGTAGATTCAATATTCCTTCCTTTGATATATCGCATAAACACCAACACAAAAGATGGCGTATGTGATGGTGAGTATGAGGAAGAAATGAAAAATGAAAATACTATTTGCCCAGGCTGGTAACATTTTACCCTAGGTAGCTACTGTACCTCGTAGTCTGTAGACCTGGTGTATAGCGAAATAGGAAGTACTATCAATACTTTTATAATCAAATTAACTTCACATTATTTCTTTTCAGATCTTCAGTCTGTTAACTGTGGTGGACGACGACTCAGCTGCCATCCAAATTTTAGACTGTACATCTTAACTAGTTCCCATGTGATGCCATTCACGCCAGAAATAGCATCAATAACATCACTGGTTAATTTCACCTTGGAGGACGAGAGCTTTGCAGAGGAGATACTGTCTTTGTCATTGTCACGAGTTCAACCCGAGATATCAAAGGAAAGTAAGAAGACAATGAATGCTCTTATGGAAAATCTTGTCATCTTGGAAGACTTGGACAGCAAGATAATAACAAGGTTGGGTCATCATCAGGGCACAAACGTTTGGGATGAGACTGACCTTATTGCCGAAATGGTCCAGTGTAGGGCTCAGGTATGTTTCCATGCTTTTGATTCTGTCCGTGTTGGTTAAATTTAAAAGTTAGTTAAGTTTTGAAAATCTTTCTAGCGTGTTTGTATGAAGGTTGGAAAATACAACATGACCGTCGATTGGGATATTGTCACGATAACGATTATTTCGTAATATTCTTTCCATCTTGCATGCTTTTTTCGCTTAGATAACACGACGTATTGAGAACGCCGTACGGCACCTTGATAAAGTCGGCAAACTGAAACAGAAGTACGTGCCATTGTCGCAACTCGTCACTGTCTTATTTAATGCAATTAATTCATTGTCAGCCGTTCAACATGAATATCGCTTTTCCATCGACTACTTCTTGAAGCTGTTTGATATAGCTCTGTGTAAGGTAATTCCATCGGCAGAGGTCGAGGCTAATACAAGTGAATCTGTGGGCGAGAAAGAAAACGACACCTTGTCGAGAGATATTTTGATTCAGGTTGTTGATGATGAAGGAAATAGTACTCAGCAGAAATGGATAGGCGGTGAGTTTTCTGGTTGGATAAATTCAGGGGCGCTTTCGAATCCAAACCCCCTCAAACTATAACACTACATATATAAGCTATTATTATTTATTTCTTATTTCGAAAAGATGACAGCCAAAATCTAAAAGGTCAAAATACGTCAGTGATCTTACCGCCCGAAGTTGAGCTTCCCACACCTGGAATCACATACGAAACAATTTCAGATGACATCATTGGTCAGCTCATTGATCAACTCACTAAGGGGGTGTTTGAGAGTCTGTTCAGGTGACGAAATTGCTTTCCGTAACGCTTTCACAATTACGTTAGCAGAATTTATTTCAGTGGATCTGTAAATAAATTTATTTTCTTGTTATTTCAGTTTTCTAATATTTAAATTCCTAATATTCAATATTGTTTTTATTTTTTCCAGGAGTATATACAGCCATCATCGACTCACATTTGGTACGCTATTATCCTCTGTAATTTACCAACACACCACACATGATGATGATTTTGACAAACGAATGGAATTCCTGATCACTGGTGGTACGTATAATGGCTCGATTTACAAGGGACTTTAGTATCTTCCCGAAATTACGTTAGAGGATTAGCAGTAGGATTAATGATCCCAATTAGCACCTTTAGTTAAGTTTAAGATTATTTATATCATTTGATACGGGATCTCGTAAATACCGCAATGAACGCCCACAATTATTACCAAGCGCAAAACATTTGTCACTAGTCATGAAAAATTCTATCAGCTCCTGATGCACAACTGGAGTATTGTTACGAACTCCTCACGTTCATATGTAATGTATGAATAATATCTCAGCTGTTATAGTATTGCTTAAATGCATTAGCAATAATTTGTCCCATTCGAAAGCATTCTTAAGATTAGACATGGAACTCTCATTATTAACTATATCTCATTGTCTTTGTAACGTTGACACTTCCATCTTTCATTATAGAGTTAATTGGCACTGACAATCTTTCTTTGGCTGACTTTGATCCAACCCTATTGACCCCGTCGTGGGTACCATCTGACCGCTGGCAGAGCTTGCTAAGTTTGTCCACCTTATCTGGTCCGCTGGAAGGACTGTGCACAAAGGTCGCTAGCAATCCCAAATGGCAAGAATGGTATTACCACGATCGTCCTGAAACCTTACCTGTGCCTGGCGTCGAACAAGATGAAGAAAGAGAACAAGATCATCAAGAGAACAAGGTCAATGAAGACGAACCCACCGAAGATGCGCTGACCGATTTTCATGGTTTGTTGATTCTGCGTTGCCTACGTCCTGACAGACTTACTTCAGCCATGAAGGAATATGTTGGGGAAATTTTGGATAATCTACAGGCGCAGATTTATCTCACGCTTCCTGAGATATTGAAACAAATCGAGCACTCTATTCCCATTTTGGTCCTTCTTCCTGATAATTCATTCCGCGAGTCATCGACGGATTCCCCGGCGAAAGCCATACTTCAACTTGCAGAGGTACATGATTCTCTTAAATTGAAGAGCTATAAAGGCCGGATTTTGGGGAAGCAGGGCGTACATACATAGGCGTACATAGGGCGTATACATTCGTATACATAGAATATTAACATGTCTAATGTGACCATCCGAAATGCGTCATACAAATCTGATTAAATTCGACTATTCTAGAAAGAGAATATTTCCTGTCAGCACTTAATTGTTGCCAGTGGTCATGAAAATACAAGTGACATCGCTCTTGCAACAGCAGTACGTTCTGACAGTTGGGTTGTCATAGAAAATATTCATTGTGCAAGTTCTGCCTGGCTAAGACAACTCTATGTTCGTTTGGAGCGATTACGCTCTCAAGCAGGTACTGTAAAAATATTGGTTCGTTGAATACAACTGTATAACGTATTCAAAATGCTACTTACATCAATTTTAAGTAATATTATTTTTACACTCCCCGGCATGCATCGTATGTGACCGATTTGTGCTCTTGTTCTCTCTATAGAGGCGTCATCTTCACCTGGACAATGGCGTGTTTTCATGACAACTAAACCAAGTCTATTATTGCCAGAATCACTTCTTTACCTTGCCCATCCACTCGCTTGGGACTTTGTACAAATGGAAACAAGTGAAGTTGCGAAGGATACGAGTTCATTCGATGAACACTTGAAATATGATCTAGTTTCGGCTATAGTAACGTCACTAAATGTGAGTCAGTGAAATTCTGCAATTCCCCTTTCACAGTTTCTGTCATTCTTGTCACTCTTTAACATACCCATGGATTGTGTGATATTATGGTTATAGTATATAGATATAGATGTCTTTTTTAACCTTTTCTATAGAGAATCTCCACAGAAACATGGGACGAAGTGAAGCGTGGTTCGTTGTTTGTTCGTACAACAATCTTTCGTTTGTGTATCTTTCATAATATCTTATGTGCCAGACAAGAGTTTGGAACCCGAGCTATGATCAAGGAATATCCATTTGGTGTATACGATTTAGAGTATGCTATCAGGCTTTGCACTCAGCTGTGTGTTACTGAGGAGATGGCTGATCCAAAAACTATTACCAATCTTTGTTTTTCCGCCATTGAAGTGAGCATTAAACCAATTTTTATTTACAATTATCGATATAAAACGATACAAATAATAAACTGCCATTCTGATGGAGACTCTGCCAATATTTATAGATAACGTTTTATTTAAACTTCAGCGGTGCATAAATTTGCGCCATTTTCAAGATCTAAACAAAAAAATGATTTTTAGATGGCGTATGGAGGTAAGATGAGTAAACAACAGGATCACGAGTATCGGCGTTGCCTGATGAATCGAATACTTGAGGTAGAAGAGGAATCGTTATTAAAAATTGGGGAAATGACATTCCCACTTCCGCCAATGAACGTTGAGCCTTGTGACTATGGACAGTGGTTGAATGAAAAACTAAAGATCGATGGCGCAAAAGATCTCGCTTTGACCGCGGTTCAACCTGACGGTAGCGTGAAGATGGAAAGTGATGAGTATTGGTAAGTGATCTGAAGTACTTCATGATTGTGGAGGTAAAATGGTCTTTGGATTTCCAAGATCGACTATACCCTCACGTTCTCTTTAATTACTCGATACTGCACACAATCTTTTACGATTGATTTTTCAAAAACGCGATCTCAATTTTCCAGGAAGATCTTATGCGAGGTATAATATTTTATTTATCTTTGTTTCACTTTTAGCGCCCTTACAATCGTAAGAGATCTGGGTATTTTGAGAGCTGGCGCACGTGGTCCGCTTGTACACGAATTAAGCGACATGACGGCTTTACGTCGCAATTTAGATACGTGCTTAGAACGCTTGCCCACTCTTCTAAATCTCAATGCAACGAAATCGCCAGCGATAATCCTGTTGCCAACAGTTTTATCCCAGTTGCGTGCCTTGTCTTTGGCCTCAGAAGCAAGCAGCGTTGTGTCAAATCACGACGAAAATCCTCCAGAAAATCCTCCTCTGGAAACAATGATCTGTGCGTTACAACAGGCAAGTGATTGACTAAGAAACTATTAGAATTGTAAAAATCCTAGGCATGCAAGAGAAAATATTTTTCTTCTTGAAACCTTTCTTCAATAGTACAAAAATATTTTTTCGACTTATTTCTGTGGTGTGTATGATCTTTTCTAAGGAATGTGAATGGTTTAACACAATTCTATGTCATGTCCGTCAATCCTTGCATACATTGGAAGAATGTGTTTTACGTGGGTTGCATGCGGTGCCTTCGTCGATGAATGCTGTCACCATTCCATTGCAATATGGTTTGGTACCTTGTAGCTGGCTCCATGTGAACTGGCAGCCTGCATCACATTCACTTTATTCCTGGCTAGAAGGTATATATAAGAGTACAGATGTAATAATACATTATGTTTATGAGATGAATCGGGAAGTACATTGGATGAGTTTGCAGTTTTGAAAGATATCTCACCCAACTACACTGTAATTCTATTGTAGAATTTCAACAATGTCATAAGCAACTGGAAAGCTGGATTGGCAAACACTATGTACCCAATCCAGAACAAGAATTAACTTTTAGACGTGGTACACTTGATAAGATATGGCTTGGAGGGCTTGTGAATCCAGCAGCCCTGGTGAACGCGTTGAAACATGAAAAAGCAACGAGCTGTGAATGTTCTGTGGAAGATGTTAGTTAATTTGGGTTTAAATAATTGACAGAAGTAAAATTTATCTCATATATGCAGTATAAATGGACGATGAGATGCATGGCGTTCTGGATTCAACTTTAAACATGCTTTAGTGACGCATGATGCATTCAATGTTCAATCCAAATTGCCAATCATTTTAGTAAAATTGGTATCCGTAAAGGTTCAGCTAATCTGATTGGTGTTTTTGTGTGAAAGATTACAATCATCTGCAAACCCTATACAATTACATGCAATAGTATGCAAATACATCCATGCAAGAATAATGTAAGCACAAACATCTTTAGCTAGGGGAATAAGTATACCTATATTTACATGTAGACTTCAGTAACGTCTGTCCACAGACTAGGCTTTCTAATCACGAAACATATGATATCATGTATGGCCTTACTGTATTATCCATTGGTTGAAAATTATGGCTAGTGTCTCTGACCGTTTTGTAATTCCAAATTATCCAGGTTGCTCTTGTTTCTTGTGTTGGCAAAAATTCCTCTGACTGTGGTGAAGACTCTGGTGAAGGGATCACCTTAACTGGACTATACGTAGAAGGTGGACTGTGGGAAATCAATTCAGGTCTTATTCCATCAAGGTACGAACTAATTTTTTTGTTCTTTGTATTGATTAATCTATAATTATTTTGTTTTTACTTAGTGTATGTTTGATGATCAGAAATATACTTTCAGAAATATAATTTCTCACAATTTTAAACACTTTTCCATATATCTATCCTTTTATTCGAACTAAGATGTTCTGTCAAGTTTTTTGCTGTCTCAACATCTACTTATTTTCCTCCGTTCAGCACTATACTGTCAAGGATGCCTGACGTATTTGTTAAAGCCGTGTATATTGGAGACGGGAAAAAAGAGCCTGAAAATATTTATGATTGCCCAGTGTATCGAAATCGGGTAAGTAGTTTGCAGATGCCCCTGCGTGGCTCTATTTAATTCTGTTGATCTTGGGCAGATTCTTAGTTAACATTGGTCAGTCTCTTTTCTCATTAATCCAACAAATTAAGAAACTAAGTATGACACGATCAGATTGGAATATGTAATTCCTTTGCCAAATCAGGCTTCCCTAATCAATTGCTGGTTATTTTTAGCCGGCAATCAGGCGTCTCTTATTTATGGCACCTCCCCCATACAAAACATGCGTTTTCCCTTATTCCCTTTCATATGAACTCTCCTGAGGTGTTTGGGTCTTAGAAGTAGTGCGAATCTATAAGTATGAAAGCATAGTTCATATTTCTCTTCTCTAGTCTCGTCAGTATAGTCCTTTTAAATTGCCACTGAAATGCTCTGGTCTTCCTCAAGAGCTTCTCCTGAAAGGGGTTGCACTTATTATAGATCCGGGAGAAATTCAAAGCGTGTGGAAATTACAGCACGATCGTGTCACAAAATAATTCGTTGATATGTGTTTTAATTTGTTAAAGCCGCGTTCGTTATTATAAATATTTGCCAAAAGGTTCAATATCACATGTTCAGACATTTATGCATAAATCATTTGCCGAGTTCCTATTTTAGAGGCACACTATGTTTTTATTGTTTTTATTAGAACAATTGTTACATACGTTGTATATATTTAAATGAAAAGACTTTTTTACTGAGCGATTAGACTGTTCCTTAATATTAATTATTTGGTATATTGTTCGTATTAGCCATGTCTTTCGAAAAACATATTAAATAATTGCCCCATTGCCCATCGGGCATTACTAGTTTGGAACTATATTCCTACATCTGCTTGTTACACAAATACATATAATTTAGCCCTTTGTAGAAAAAAGGTGTACGCTAGCATTCTGTTATTATGCATATATTCAGTTTAAAACATCGTGCATGATAATTAATAATTATATAATATTACCATTAGATTTACATACTGAAGTCTAGTATAGGTCACGCAGTGGGTTGGTATGCATATTTCTCCACATGATACATAATAACTATATATAGTCCTGTAGTTGTGTTATGACCAAATGAACAATGCATCGGTACAGAGAACAGTTGAGCTGGTTTCTTCCTTGGCCCCATTGAAGGTGATTTCTAAAATAGCTCCAGCTTGTTGCACTTTATTGTAACTTTCATTTGTCAGGGTGAACTGTGTACCTGTTGAAGGAGTCGATATTGCTTGATCGAACGTCATTGTAAGTGAAACATCAAACAGAACCTGCATCTGCCAACCATTTTGTGTCGTGGCTGGTACCACCACTGTTATTTTTCCTGATATCCCTTGATTCCACTGATTTGTGATGGTTACATTACCATTAACAAAATTACTTCCACTGACAGATTCCAATTTTTGGCAAGGTTTTTCTATTGCCCACATGAGCACCGCCCTCATACAAGGCACATCGTCATTTTCATTCTCTTTTGTTGCCTGGAATTCGACCGTTACGTTCCTGCCTTTTTCCAATTGTTTAATGTAGTCTTTGTTTTTTAATGTGAATCTCGCCCCGTTGTTCGGTGTTGGTATAACATCATAAGTAGTCAACAATGATATGGTCTTATCCATTACTAGTTCAATGCTCCAACCATCACGAATTTCAGTTGTTGTTGTAAACTTTGCTGCTGCTTTAAAACCTTGTGGCCAATTATCGAGAAGATCAATTGTTGTTTCCATGTAGTTATAACCCGATGGAACAGTCACATCGCCGCAGGGATGTGGCAGAATGGTCTCACCAGTTTCTGTTGTGATGGTGGTGCTTGATGGTGTGACAAGGATTGTCGGCGAACTGTGTATAATTGTTGAGCTCTCTTCATATGCTTTTGAATATATCGTCTGAAAAGAAGTTGGTGTTGAAGGGAATGGTAATTTCGATGGTGTTGGCGCTGAACTCTCTTCATATGCTTTTGAATATATCGTCTGAATAGAAGTTGGTGTTGAGGGGAATGGTAATTTTGATGGTGCTGGCGTTGAACTCTCTTCATATGGTTTTGAATATATCGTCTGAATAGAAGTTGGTGTTGAGGGGAATGGTAATTTTGATGGTGTTGGCGTTGAACTCCCTAAATATGCTTTTGAATATATCGTCTGAAGAGAAGCTGGTGTTGAGGGGAATTGTAACTTCGATGGTGTTGGCGTTGAACTCTCTTCATATGCTTTTGAATATATCGTCTGAAGAGAAACTGGTGTTGAGGGGAATTGTAACTTCGATGGTGTTGGCATTGAACTCTCTTCATATGCTTTTGAATATATCGTCGTAAGAGAAGCTGGTGTTGAGGAGAATGGTAATTTCGATGGTGTTGGCGTTGAACTCTCTAAATATGCTTTTGAATATATCGTCTGAAGAGAAGCTGGTGTTGAGGAGAATGGTAATTTCGATGGTGTTGGCGCTGAACTCTCTTCATATGCTTTTGAATATATCGTCTGAAGAGAAGCTGGTGTTGAGGAGAATGGTAATTTCGATGGTGTTGGCGTTGAACTCTCTTCATATGCTTTTGAAGATATCGTCTGAAGTGAAGCTGCTGTTGAGGAGAATGGTAATTTTGATGGTGTTGGCATTGAACTCTCTTCATATGCTTTTGAATATATCGTCTGAATAGAAGTTGATGTTGAGGGGAATGGTAATTTCGATGGTGTTGGCGCTGAACTCTCTTCATATGCTTTTGAATATATCGTCTGAATAGAAGTTGGTGTTGAGGGGAATGGTAATTTCGATGGTGTTGGCGTTGAACTCTCTTCATATGCTTTTGAATATATCGTCTGAAGAGAAGCTGGTGTTGAGGGGAATGTTAACTTCGATGGTGTTGGCGTTGAACTCCTCTCATATGCTTTTGAATATATCGTCTGAAGAGAAGCTGGTGTTGAGGGGAATTGTAACTTCGATGGTGTTGGCGTTGAACTCTCTTCATATGCTTTTGAATATATCGTCTGAAGAGAAACTGGTGTTGAGGAGAATGGTAATTTCGATGGTGTTGGCGTTGAACTCTCTTCATATGCTTTTGAATATATCGTCTGAAGAGAAGCTGGTGTTGAGGAGAATGGTAATTTCGATGGTGTTGGCGTTGAACTCTCTCATATGCTTTTGAATATATCGTCTGAAGAGAAGCTGGTGTTGAGGAGAATGGTAATTTCGATGGTGTTGGCGTTGAACTCTCTTCATATGCTTTTGAATATATCGTCTGAAGAGAAGCTGGTGTTGAGGAATGGTAATTTCGATGGTGTTGGCGTTGAACTCTCTTCATATGCTTTTGAATATATCGTCTGAAGAGAAGCTGGTGTTGAGGAGAATGGTAATTTCGATGGTGTTGGCGTTGAACTCTCTTCATATGCTTTTGAATATATCGTCTGAATAGAAGTTGGTGTTGAGGGGAATGGTAACTTCGATGGTGTTGGCGTTGAACTCTCTTCATATGCTTTTGAATATATCGTCTGAAGAGAAACTGGTGTTGTGGGGAATTGTAACTTCGATGGTGTTGGCATTGAACTCTCTTCATATGCTTTTGAATATATCGTCGTAAGAGAAGCTGGTGTTGAGGAGAATGGTAATTTCGATGGTGTTGGCGTTGAACTCTCTAAATATGCTTTTGAATATATCGTCTGAAGAGAAGCTGGTGTTGAGGAGAATGGTAATTTCGATGGTGTTGGCGTTGAACTCTCTTCATATGCTTTTGAATATATCGTCTGAATAGAAGTTGGTGTTGAGGAGAATGGTAACTTCGATGGTGTTGGCGCTGAACTCTCTTCATATGCTTTTGAATATATCGTCTGAAGAGAAGCTGGTGTTGAGGAGGATGGTAATTTCGATGGTGTTGGCGTTGAACTCTCTAATGCTTTTGAATATATCGTCTGAAGAGAAACTGGTGTTGAGGAGAATGGTAATTTCGATGGTGTTGGCATTGAACTCTCTTCATATGCTTTTGAATATATCGTCTGAAGAGAAGCTGGTGTTGAGGAGAATGGTAATTTCGATGGTGTTGGCATTGAACTCTCTTCATATGCTTTTGAATATATCGTCTGAAGAGAAGTTGGTGTTGAGGAGAATGGTAATTTCGATGGTGTTGGCGTTGAACTCTCTAAATATGCTTTTGAATATATCGTCTGAAGAGAAGCTGGTGTTGAGGAGAATGGTAATTTCGATGGTGTTGGCATTGAACTCTCTTCATATGCTTTTGAATATATCGTCTGAAGAGAAGCTGGTGTTGAGGGGAATGGTAACTTCGATGGTGTAGGCGTTGAACTCTCTTCATATGCTTTTGAATGTATCGTCTGAAGAGAAGCTGGTGTTGAGGGGAATTGTAACTTCGATGGTGTTGGCGTTGAACTCTCTTCATATGCTTTTGAATATATCGTCTGAAGAGAAACTGGTGTTGAGGGGAATGGTAATTTTGATGGTGTTGGCGTTGAACTCTCTACATATGCTTTTGAATATATCGTCTGAAAAGAAGCTGGTGTTGAGCGGAATGGTAACTTCGATGGTGTTGGCATTGAAGTCTCGTCATATGCTTTTGAATATATCGTCTGAATAGAAGTTGGTGTTGAGGGGAATGGTAATTTCGATGGTGTTGGCGTTGAACTCTCTTCATATGCTTTTGAATATATCGTTTGAAGAGAAGCTGGTGTTGAGGGGAATGGTAATTTCGATGGTGTTGGCATTGAACTCTCTTCATATGCTTTTGAATATATCGTCTGAAGAGAAGCTGGTGTTGAGGGGAATGGTAATTTCGATGGTGTTGGCGTTGAACTCTCTTCATATGCTTTTGAAATATCGTTTGAAGAGAAGCTGGTGTTGAGGGGAATGGTAATTTCGATGGTGTTGGCATTGAACTCTCTTCATATGCTTTTGAATATATCGTCTGATGAAGAGAAGCTGGTGTTGAGGGGAATGGTAACTTGGATGGTGTTGGCATTGAACTCTCTTCATATGCTTTTGAATATATCGTCTGAAGAGAAGCTGGTGTTGAGGGGAATGGTAATTTCGATGGTGTTGGCATTGAACTCTCTTCATATGCTTTTGAATATATCGTCTGAAGAGAAGCTGGTGTTGAGGAGAATGGTAACTTCGATGGTGTTGGCATTGAACTCTCTTCATATGCATCAGTACAGAGAACATCACATATGTCATTGTAAATGAACAATGCATCGGTACAGAGAACAGTTGAACTGGTTTCTTCCTTCGCCCCATTGAAAGTGATTTCTAAAATGGCTCCAGCTTGTTGCACTTTATTGTAACTTTCATGTGTCAGGGTGAACTGTGTACCTGTTGAAGGACTCGATATTGCTTGATCGAACGTCATTGTAAGTGAAACATCAAACAAAACCTGCATCTGCCAACCATTTTTTGTCGTGGTTGGTACCACCACTGTTATTTTTCCTGATATCCCTTGATTCCACTGATTTGTGATGGTTACATTACCATTAACAAAATTTCTTCCACTGACAGATTCCAATTTTTGGCAAGGTTTCTCTATTGCCCACATCAGCACCGCCCTCATACAAGGCACATTGTCATTTTCATCCTCTTTTGTTGCCAGAAATTCGACCGTTACGCTCCTGCCTTTTTCCAATTGTTTAATGTAGTCTTTGTTTTTTAATGTAAATCTCGCCCCGTTGTTCGGTGTTGGTATCACATCATAAGTAGTCAACAATGATATGGCCTTATCCATTACTAGTTCAATGCTCCAACCATCACGAATTTCAGTTGTTGTTGTAAACTTTGCTGCTGCTTTGAAACCTTGTGGCCAATTATCGAGAAGGTCAATTGTTGTTTCCATGTAGTTATAACCCGATGGAACTGTCACATCGCCGCAGGGATGTGGCAGAATGGTTTCACCAGTTTCTGTTGTGATGGTGGTGCTTGATGGTGTAACAAGGATTGTCGGCGAACTGTGTATAATTGTCGAGCTCTTTTCATATGCTTTTGAATATATCGTTTGAATAGAAGTTGGTGTTGAGAGGAATGGTAATTTCGATGGTGCTGGCGTTGAACTCTCTTCATATGCTTTTGAATATATCGTCTGAATAGAAGTTGGTGTTGAGGGGAATGGTAACTTCGTTGGTGTTGGCATTGAACTTTCTTCATATGCTTTTGAATATATCGTCTGAATAGAAGCTGGTGTTGAGGGGAATGGTAATTTCGATAGTGTTGGCGTTTTCTGTGGGGTTACCTTCATTTGTTTTATAGTTGTTGAACCATCTTTATATGCTTTTGTGTATGTCATCGGAAGAGATGTTCGACTTTTAAGTTGTTCCACAGTCGTACTTCCTGGGGACGTACTCTGTATTTCCGATGATGATGTAGAGGAAACTGGTAGTTTTGATGATGTTGGTGAGCTTGTTTTTTGTAGAGTATGCAAAGTTGTCATCTCAGAAGAAAGTAAAAATTTTGTTGTTGAAGGTGGCACCTCCATGTGTTTTTCCCATGCAAACACGGCTGTAATACAGGGATTTTTAATTCCATAGGCGGTTTTAAAACCATCAATTTGCAGAATATGCGTCTCACCGGCCAGAAACGTATCTTGCCAGTGCTTATTTGTAAGAGTAAATATGTCGCCTTCTTTCGGTAATCTCGATATATTTGTGGCATAGAGGTCAGACAGTTGTGTTGATACTGCAAGGTATATCACCCAATTACCTTGCACTGTTACAGGGAGAACGATATTTAACGATGCTCGGAAAGACGTATCATTATCATGGACCAGGATAGTTCGAACATGAACAGATTCATGATTTTTAGGAGGAGTTATCTTTGGACATAATCTTTTGTTCCTTTGGAATTCAATCTCCATTTTAGGCACGGTGATGTTTTGACGTGTGCAACCTGAAAATTCTACTCGAATCGTTTCTCCCACCATGCATTGGCTGTTCGAAGCTACGTTTTCAAGAACAAATGACGAATTTTCGTGGCTGTGCACAACGACAGCATTCGTTGAATTCAATTTCGACAAAAGATGGGATGACTTTAAGTACATTTTCCAACCATAATTCACAACCTCGGCGCATTTAGTTGAAATAACGCCATCAAAACACAACTCGCTGTTTATCACCGAACTTCTTGTAATCTCTACATTCGTGATGTCGTTCACCATAGTAACCACCCAAAATGTCAGACCCAGCGACAATATTCCATCGAAATTAACCATCTTCAAAGTTGTATCTGCAAGAAAAATGCTATTATTTAGTTGTCATTTAATATGGACCCCGTTCAGTTTTTTGAAGAGGAAGTCCCGGCTTGCTGTAGTTTAATTAGTATAGATAGAATACGTATTGTGTAATCGTGGTAAGACCTGGGTGTTAAATGTTAATCGTGTTTTAGCGACTGTATCGCATGCAATGATGCAAAAAATGCTTTGTCATTCAATAACAGAGACATCTGTTTTTATCACAGACAATGCCAAATGCTAATAGTTCGAAGATTATCGCCCACGAACTACACTTTCATTTCCTGGATGATTGGCTTTGTAAATAATCGAAGCAACAGCTCAGCGGCAATGCGAGGAACAGCTTTTTAGAATAAACCAATCATCAGCATGGAAAATTACCGGCCCAAAAAATGACTGATATATTTTTGGTTATAAGAGAATTGGCGTCATTTTCATCGGTTTTTGTTATGAAATTGAAAAAATCAAAATGATATCAATTATATTATCGACTTCAGACAGTTATTTATATCGTATATTCAAAGTTAACTTTTGTTACTCAATCACATCCATATCAAAAGCAGAAAATCGCACTTTGAACTACCCTTTGAACTCCCGTGTGGAAACTTGGTCTTGACGAATTAGAACGGTCGGCGGGATCAGTTTATCGATGACCACATAGCTACATGCACACAAGTGTATTGACAGAAATTCCAAAATGCTTGCCTAAAGAACTTATTTGATTATCACAAAATTGAAAAAGTTCTTGATGCCTTGGTAAACGGTGTTCGCTTTTGGGCTTGGGTTTTACTTATTAAGTTACTTATTGGGTTATACATGCAGTTATAGGGGGGTTTGCAATTTGAGTCAAAGTCAAAGAACGGCGTCAACCATAGCGAACGCTCTTGATGCGCGGTCGATTAACTTCTGGGATTGAATTATCACCATGTTGAAGATTTTGAGGATATGACTTTCGGTTATAGAGGCCATTACTGTTACTGTTCTCCAGCAAAAAGAAGCATTTGGCACCGTAGTGACTGTACGTGTTAAAAAATTGATCAGGTGAAATTACAGTCTTTATAATAGTACAGTAATACTATTTTAGTATTACGACATACGTTTGGATTTATAATATTTTGTTGGGGAATGTAATATACTGAAGTCTAAACGTTTATATGGATAAACCGCTTCGTATTTACCCGAAGTCAAAATAAACAACCGATAAATTTTAGGTGAGTTTATGAACTGACTATAATCTATGTGTTCAGACATGTCACGGTTGACATTTGTCAATGCATGAATTAAGATCCATGCATTGCGCTAAAATTCTTTCACGAACAATGGATTTAAAGATACATCATTGAATTCATTTGTTCGTGTTTATATATTTAAAAACATTTCATGCCTGCTATGAAGTATGCTAGAAGTATATACAATGATTATTCCAGTGAATTGCTAGCCGGTTGACCTGTGTGGTTTCTTGATGGTCGATGAATATACTCATGCAGTACACCGTTTCTGGAGTATGTATAGGGAAATGTTTGACATTTGTCCTCTGTGCAATCACAGTTAATGGACCCATTTGTTCCCGCTTTACTAGTGGAGAAACGATTGACATTAATAATATGATTATAAGTAGATGTTTCAGTCAGTTTCTATTTATCATACCTATAATGACTTGATAAAATTTGAGATTGATTCAGACCTTTGATAAATCACTTCGTTTTTCCTGGGAATGTGTTGAGTTGCCGTATTTCAAATATTGACATATAAAGCAGCCAACTTTGTGCGTACTTCCGTCAAAGAAGGTTTACTTAAATTTCCCTGTTTAAACTTTGTGTAAGAAACATACTTTGTATTTATTAACACAGTGACATAGTGATAAGAAAATGCAAATTACTGTACTTCTTCGTACAGGGAATTCAGCCACACGCTGTTAATCGCTACAGAATCTCAGTAAGGGGTACCATGCCTAATCACCGTAGTTTCTAATTATGACGGAGACCGAATTCTACAGCTTGACCTCGCTAGTCTTTTTGGAATGTCGAAATATACCTAAATTGAAATGAAAATCTTTGGAATGTCGAAATGATACATTATTATAAAAACATACACTTGACCAACAAGTTATAACCATTTAAGTTTGTGCCCAACGCACTATTGTTCCCCCGACTCCCATTGCCCTGGCCAACGCACAAGCTGTTCAGGGCAACGGGGCACAATGCATTCACTTTCATTTCACCTGGCTATATATCACACGGAGAGGAATGTGAAGTTTGAACTTACCGATACACACAGATTTACAAATCCAAATAGGAACACATTTCCAATATGTTCATACGAGACAAATTTCCAGCAATATCATCAATGCATGAGGGTTAATGCAAGAAAGTACATCATAATCATAACATATAGCCTTAAAAGTTAGGATTCACTATGAACGTGTTTTTAGATAAAAGATATTCTATACATGGTGAAAAGGGGATAAGCTGATCCTGCTTATATCCACACACACGGTGCAAAAGAATATAGGGTAGCCGCCTCCGTCGTCCCCGCACCCCCTGTTCGTCACCTATTTGAATTATTTGTTCGTCAATTTGTTCGTCAGCTGCCTCATTGAATTATTGAAATTACTACATCAGCACGTAACACAAATACATATAATAAACGCTGGTTTACAATTTTGGTAGCACAGTTTGTAAAAATAAGATGCTAACCTGCATGGACATAATTTACTGTAATTATTAGCATGCATGATAACAATATAATAATTAACAGTTATTCTGCGGAGTGCGAACTCGAGTCGTATATGAGCTTATAGTGGGCTTTGTCGCCCTTTTGGTGCATTTTGTTGTGCTATTATCAACTAGGCTTGGATTTCTATTTCAATCGGCAACTCCCCAAATCTTTCCGCCATTTTGTTTACTTTCTCTACTAGACAGATATGAGCTAATATCTGTCTACACGCCTAAAAACGCTCAGGTTGATGCAAGTTGATATAAACAGGATGGAGCAATGTTGTGATGCCCACATTGTTCAGAGTTGTTATCAATATTGAACAATATTGTTGAAACTGAATCGGGTGTAACAATATTGTTCAATATTGATGACAACGCTGAACAATGTGGGCAGCACAACATTGCTCCATCCTGTTTATATCAACTTGCATCAACCTGAGCGTTTTTACGCATGTAGTAGCCAACCAATGAAATTGCAGCATACCTCATATCTGGCGCTTGTGTATATAGTAAAATCGGTTATTAGGTTTAAGAAGCATGCGTAATAATAATAATAGTTTAGACAGTTGTGTTACCAGTTAACAATGCATCAGTACAGAGAACAGTTGTGCTTGTTTCTTCCTTAATTAATTGGTACCAGTGAAGGAGATATCTAATATTTTCCAATTTGTATTACTTTATTGTCTAAGGTGCATTCCAGGGTAAACTGTGTATCTGGTAAACGACTTGATATAGCTTTATCAATGTAAGTGACCGTCATTTTTTGTCGTGGCTGGTACCGCGCCAATGTTATTTTCCTGATATCCCTTGATTCCATGCATTAACTTGTGATTGTTACATTCGCACTAAAAGGATTACTTCCACTAAAAGATTCTATTTCCCATGCAGGTTTCTCTATCGCCACACGAGCACTCCTCTCATACAAGGCACATTGTCATCTTCTTGCTCTTTGTTTGCTACGAAAGCGATCGTTATTTTTCTCCCTTTTTTCAATTTTTTATTGTTATCTTTGTTATGGAATGTAAATCTCGTGCCGCCGTTCGCTGTTGATGTCACATCAGAAGTAGTCAACGTAGATATGGCCTTATCCATCACCAACTCAACGCGCCAACCATCACGAATTTCAGTTGTTGTTGTAAATTTTATTGCTGCTGTAAAACCTTTTGACCAATCCGCAAGAACGACAACCGTTGTTTCCATGTAGTTATAACCCGATGGAACAGTCACATTACCACAGGCATGTGGTAGAATGGTCGCACCAGTTTCTGTTGTGGTGGTGCTTGATGGTGATACATGGACTGCCGGCGAACTGTGTATAATTGTTAAACTCTCTTCATATCCTTTTAAATATGTCATCTGAAGAGAAGTTCGACTTTGAAGTGGTTCAGCAATCGTACTTTCTGAGGACGTGCTTTGTATTTCTGATGATGATGATGATGATGATGATGATGGTGAGGAAACAGGTAATTGTGGTGATGTTGGTGATATAGTTTTCTGTAGAGTATGCAAAGTTGCTCTCGCCGAAGAAAGGAAAAATTTCGTTGTTGAAGGTGGCACCTCCATGTGTTTTTCCCATGCAAACACGGCAGTAATACAGGGATTTTTAATTCCATGGGTGGCCTTAAAACCATCAATTTGTAGAATATGCGTCTCACCGGCCAGAAACGTATCTTGCCAGTGTTTATTTGTAAGAGTAAATATGTCGCCTTGCTTCGGTAATCTCGACACATTAGATGCATAGAGGTCAGAGAGTTGTGTTGATACTGCAAGATAGATCACCCAATTACCCTGCACTGTTATAGGGAGAACGATATTTAACGATGCTCGGAAGGACGTGTCATTATCATGGATCAGGATAGTTCGAACATGAACAGATTCATGATTTCTAGGAGGAGTTATCTTTGGACATAATCTTTTGTTCCTTTGGAAGTCAATCTCCATTTGAGGCACGGTGATGTTTTGACGTGTGCAACCTGAAAATTCTACTCGAATCGTTTCCCCCACCATGCATTGGCTGTTCGAAGCTACGTTTTCAAGAACAAATGAGGAATTTTCGTGGCTGTGCACAACAATAGCACTCGTTGAATTCAATTTCGACAAAAGATGGGATGACTTTAAGTACATTTTCCAACCATAATTCACAACCTCGGCGCATTTGGTTGAAATAACGCCATCAAAACACAACTCGCTGTTTATCACCGAACTTCTTGTAATCTCTACATTCGTGATGTCGTTCACCATAGTAACTACCCAAAATGTCAGACCCAGCGACAACATTCCATCGAAATGAACCATCCTCGACGTTTTTATAACTACAAGAAAAATGCTATTATTTTTTGTTTCATTGAAATATGGAACTCATTAAACAGTGGTGGATTCAGTGTAAGTTAGAATAAATTACACGACCTAATTTCAATTTCAAAATTCATTTATGTGCTGTAGAATCTTTTTACATAAGAGTACTACTTACCAGGTATCCACCACTGCCGTTAAAGACTTGGAGAGTTTGTCAGCAGAAGATGAAAGAGGCTTCAAATTTTTACCCCGGAAGATATAATCATTCAGAAGTTAGAAATTGCGATTACTTGCGCCTTGTTTGGTCCAGGCTAGATAGATTCCTATTGGACACAAGAATGTCTTTGTTTTTCGTATCATTGGCCCGACATGATTCTGTATATATTGTGACGGTAATCTACGAGCAGAACGAAAAGGGCAGGTGTTTGGAGGCCAAACTCAGTCAGACTCCGCTATATTTATTCTTGGTAGAAATGTGCATCGTGGATAGCGAAAAGCGTACAACATCATTCTCAAGTTAACAAAATCAATGCATAATTTCTTAGTTTGATAGATGTCGTATTGATCGTTGCGCGATACAATTTTATTAGGCGTATGAAGTATATATTATATATTCGTCCGGTTGCCTGCTTCACAGTTAGTGTAATCGATCACTATAAGACGTTCAGTTATCATAGTCGCGGGTATGATTTATAATGTTGGTTGTATATTGTGGGAAGGCCTGGTGTGATTTGTCGACCATGTCGTTCAATGATGCAAAAGATGCTTTGTCCGTACCACAACTAACTTGAAATGTTTGAGTGTGTCTTATGATAGCACCCTGTAAATTATCTAATTGTTCCATCTGTTCAATTATTGGCCTTCAGCTAAAGTTTTATCTCTTCTCCACACACAAGCAAAAGGCTGTAGGGCAGCTGCCTCTCTGGCTCCGGTACACTACTGTCACTGGTCGTTAGCCATTTCTATAGCAAGCCGATTACATAATATTGTTCACATTGTTCATATTATAGCCATATCCAAGAAATCTTTAATGGCTGCCTGAATGAATTATTGCAATTACTACATCCGCACGCAAGATACGTATATATAGATAAACCCTGGTTTACAATATTGTCAGACCCAGCGACAACGTTCCATCTAAATTAACAATCCTCGACTTTTTTATCGACGACTACAAAAAAATGCTATTATTTTTTTCTTTCATTTAAATATGGAATCTACATGTGAAAGACTGTATACTGTACACTATATATTTAGCCTCCCCTCCCCAAATTAAGCTGATAAAATGTTTTGAAATTCAACTTTGTAATTTCAATTGCATATACTTTGTAGTAACGCATGTCACACATGCAGGTCGCATTCAGAAATTAGAAATTGTGCCCTTGTCGGTAAAAATGTGCATTGTGGATAGCAAAATAACATCATTCTCAAATTAACAATAATACATGTTTAGTACACGTTTATTAGACGTTAAGACGTATTGCATTTAAATGCCTCGCAGACCTTGCACCTTCGAAAAGCTTTCGGGAAATTTTTTACATCATATATTCTACATCACATTACCATGGTTTAAAATCATGATTTATTCGAAAAAATTTAAAAAATATGGCTCAGTATGAATTACAGAAACGAACCAGTAGTTTCATGTCACCGCCTTATACAACACTTCGAACTTGCTTCTTCGGATCCGCTGTCACCTCTCTCACACACACAACTCCTTTGTTGACTAACGCTTTAGCTTCTTTAAAAGATACTGGTTGGCTATCTGCGAGGTCGCATATTGGGCCACCTATGTCATCGTCGTCGGCAATTGAGGGTGGTTTGATAGACAATGGTGGATACTTTTCTGCCGCCACAGGAAATATTGCATCAGCTATCATAAGATGCTTGTTTGCGTCTTCTAAACCGTGTTTCAATTTTTGAATGCAGTGCACTTGAAGCAGCTCGTTGGTACGTTGTTCGATGATGCCAAGAAAAGACATCACGTTTTCCTCGGTTAAGCCATTGGTATTGCCAAGAAGATCAGTCACGGCAGAACGATTGCATTTCACACTTCTAAATAGATGATCAATCCTCGGTTTAACTTGCTCCAACATTTTTTTAGCTTGCTTGTATTGTTCTTGTATCTTCTGCTTCTTCGAGCAAACATCCGAGAATCTTACTTCGAGTTTACTCAGGATCTCTCTGCGTCGTTTGTCGACCTGCGTGCTCGTCTTTTCCATATCTGCCATGTCTGCCTTTCTTTCTCTTATCTCTTCCTGGAGAGCCTCGATCTCGGTACTCACTTCATTCACGTAGTTAAATTGAGCAAAATTTTCGTCCTCAATTTTGATAAACCGCGAAACCAACTGATCAATATCGTAAATGCCAGTTACCTGCGAATGCAAAACAAATGGTTAAGGAATTTTGAAGGAAAGACATAGAAGTGATCATTATCCGGACAGAGAGAAAAAATTCAAAATTTTGATCTAATTTAAGGTGGGGTGGTTTAAAATTGAGAAACTTTCCGGTTATGGTAACAATTTACACGTTTACCTCTCTTATTTTGCTAAATATCTCTTCGTACTTGGTGGCTTCTACTTTAAGATTTCCAAGTAAGTTCGTCATACGCTTGTTTTGACGCTTGAAGATAGCCTGTTCTAAGATACCTGAGCGATCTTCGGTTTTCGTGCTCATGAAAATTCGAAGCTTTCGATCATGATCAATAATCCTCATAACGTCCTGAGGAGGAAAAGAATAAAAACTAAATATTGCAGCTGATTAAACAAAAACTACGGTATGATTTATATCGTTACATGACGGCATAAGCAGGAACAGATGATCGATCTTTAAAAACAACGAATTGTTACTATCATAATATCTGGATATACCATAGCATATATAGTTTTCATTTCTTTTCAAACCAAATTGGGAGAATTGCAAAGCGATTAGACTAAATGTCTGAGTATTTATACCTTTTGTTTCAAATTACAAAGCGATTAGCCTAAAATTTTGTCTGTTTTTACAATTTTACCTTTAATTCCATGTTATAGAGAGCAAGGTCACGTTCCGCTTTTTCTCTCAAGAACGCCATACGATGTTGAGCTTCATCGCGAGCATGAAAATATCCAAGACTAGATTCAACCACATTGTCTATTTCTGTTTTTCCATGCTTGAATTCTCTTCGTAGCCTTCTGAATAACTCGCGGAATCGCATCTTTTGAACTGAGATGTAATCGATGGTCCCTTTTAGTTTTGAATTTTTCGTCAAAATCTTGTTAAATCTAAATGTATCAAGAAAAAAAGCATTAAATATTTCGGTCGCCTGGCAGTTACAGTTATATCTACTATATATAAACTGACAAATTAGCCAGCAAGGAAGGCAGCACTCTTCTTTCCAATACTTCAATCGGTGTAATCTTGCTTTCATATTACGATTGACTAACCTCATATTTGCAGTGTAAACGCGATTTTCCATAATACGAATGTGCCTCTGAATAGAAAATTGATCCAAAGTCTGTGCCTTCTTACACAAAATCTGCTTCTTAAACACTCTCTCTTTTGTTGCGTCTATACGTTTATCGAGTGCAACTAAAGCATGATTGCCCTCGGAAAACGCCTCTTGCACAATGATATCTTTTTCTAACAATTTGTTCAATTTTTTCACGTTTCCTTTGTCAAAATCTCTGTTGTATCGACTAAGTGAAACATTTAATAACGCCTCCATATCTTCATGTTCTCTCACGAGTTTTTCAATCTCGCATTCTTGGCGCCGGAGAATGTTATCGGTCTCCACTTTGTAGCTTTTTTTCTCATTTTTCATCTTACGATAATGTCTTTCCAGTGCTTCCAACTCTTGTTGGTACTCCAACTGTGCGTCAGCCACATCGTTTCTGCTCTCTGATCTGGATATCGGCATGATTTACACTCTAAGGAAACTGAAACAATTGACAGGTTCGCAGAAACGCATATGAATACACTTACTGGTTGCCAGGTGACAACATGCATGCGAGCGCGGTTTGATCTAATGACGTACTTAATTAACATAAAGGGCGCGTGCCACTGAACCAATCACAGCTAAACAAAGCCACATTTGGCATTTTCGGTCCAATTTTAAAGCCGCATTTGACAAGACGTCGAAGTTAACAGGTCTTTCCTTCCCAATTAGCCTCAATGCACGAGCTATATGTCATTTCCGTAACATAATTTTTCATCGTGGGGATGAGGGGACATGTGCCGAAGACTGGGCGAAGAGTGTGAAATATATAGCAAGTCACTCTTTTCCCTAGACACGTAATCAAAGTATGGGATAAACCATAGGCAGCCCAGAATGAGTGGAATATTTTAAAACGGTAATCTTTTATCAGCGAAGCTTTAAAAGTCTTACACTTTCCCGCGATTTGCTCTCTTGGCGCTCGCGTGTGTATGCACGAATGCTCCTAACCTGCGATCAGGCTTTCTTTTTTTTGGAGAGGGGATCGCGGGTTAGAATGCACCAATCTAATCCTGTTCACTGGTCTAATCAGTCTAATATTATGACAAGGTTGGCAATTTCAAAATCTGATTTGGGAAGACCTTGAATAATCTGCGTCATTTAAACTTTTTTGGAAAGCGTCCATCCCGTTAATTACTGTTAAGTATTTTCGGATTATATTATAGGATGTGAGTGAACGTTCGTGGCACTGAAAAAAGTGACTAATTATATTGACCTATGTAAGGCAATATAATTAAGACCAATCCCGATGTTTGAGTGTATTTATTATATATGAAATGGGTAGCGTGGTGACCGATCATTCTAGAGAATGACCTTCAATGAAACATCCCCCCCCCCTTCTCTAGAATTGACCGGTGGCGGTTGCTGCATAAGGTATGTTAAAATGATGATGTTAAGAATTCGATGATGCCGATTAAGTGTAAAATAGTTATAACCGCATAATTCGAAAATCTAACAGGCTAAAACCTTCCCTTTTTTTCCAAGACGTCTGGGCAGTTGTTCAGTCAAAGCGGGTTATCTTAAACTCTCCTTGGGTTAGTGAATTCAAATGTTTAAAATTTTTAAACAGCTTATCATGAATCGAGGTGAATATTTTTACAGGAATCTTGTGTGGTTTGATGGAAACTCTTTTAAACTCGCATATTTTATGATGGAACGATCATGAATAAAAACATAATCGAAAATGGTTTGTTCAACAACCACCCCCTACAGGACTGACGTGATCTCTGCCGGCTTTCAATATCCGGTGTACAGCTGGATATTAAAGTTATACCTCAACCATTTCCAGTATGAGAAAATACATGCCAAGGTCATATCAAAAGTAAACACATTTTAAAAATTAAAGACCTGCAACTACTCCTATATATAAAACATATGAGTTGCATTTGCGGGGGAGTTAAACTCAGGGTTAAAATTTTGCATTTGCATTGAATGAATGACAGCGCTCTGTGTCAAGCACAATACTGAATCAGATTCCAATTGCCTAATTTTGTTGTGTTTAAAAATTGGCGGGTAGACTCATATGCCGGGAGAACTAAGTTATACTAAAAAAATTTTTGCATGTAGCCTACTTACCAGCTTAGAGACACCAGGACGATACAGATACCTATTCCTATACGCTATACTCTAAAATCTATATCTCTATCAATTCTACCTATTGTGCCTATACCTACATGACAACATTTCATTTTGTGTAGAATACTATATATTTTCGACAATCTTTTTTGACTATCAGGTTTCATAACCAGACATAGTTCCTTTAGAAAACTTAAGAATATATCTTCTAGCAGGTCAATTGTAAAGTGTGTGTTTGTTCCCATATTTACAATTGAATAATTTATACAGCCATTCAGGATGTATCGAAGCACACAAATGAGACGATATTACAACTTTCATTTTTATTAAACTGTTATTTACAGTTTTGTGTGCCCTTTCAATTGAAAGGACTAATAATATATTCTAGCAATCCTCATCCTGACTCATGTGTGTGAAAATGCCTGCGAACCGTTTATTTTAGTCATCTGTAAGTGTTGAACTACTCTGAGTTAGGGTCACTAAGATTAGATTTAAGTAAACAAAGCAAATATATATCAGAGAAGATTTGAAACCAATCATGTATGATTAGAAATAAATTCCACAAACGGCAAATGAATATATACTGACAACGGTGCACCGATTAACATTCGAGCATGGAGGGCAACCTCCTCTTCACCACAGCCCGCTGTGGGATATAATTTTCTTATCTTGCGAAGAAGTTCTTTAGTGAATTCATTCGACCATTCTTTTTCGAGATAACTCTCATTTGTTTAACAAGGTCATGAAATATGACTGGGACATTGATATTGTTCATAGCTGACGTTTCGTAAAAAGTACATTCATACTCAACAGCAAAGTTTCTACCTTCATTACGTGGAACAACTCGATCATATTTCAGGTCAACCTTGTTGCCAACCAAAACAATCGAAGAACCTTTCGCTTTCTTCACTTCTCGTATCAGTTTTACCAACTGTTTTGCGGTTTCAAAACTTAAGCGGTCGTTGATAGAATATATCACAATAAAGCCTTGGCCTTCGTTCAAATATACAGGCTCAGTCTAAAAAAAAATGGACAGTGAGCCGCCTTATCATTCATTGGTATCAATGAGATTAGTAAACCTTTGCTCTACTTCTAATTCTGTGTTTTCACAAAGAAGTCATGTTCGTGGTTGTCAGAAACGTTTACACCGGCGACTTTGGTGAATGATAATAATCAGAAAACTTCATTTCAATCAGGACCATCGTCGTTCGTCAGGGAAACATGATGGCTTTCTCAGTCATAAATTATATTCAACAAATTCAATTACTTTTTATAAGTACCCTGATAAACCCAACCCTTTTAACTAACGTCCTGCGCAGGCTTATTGTAATCTCTTTTGTTCAGAATTTGCAGCCAATGAGGTTTATGAGGAATATCTCAAACAAGAATACACGCATGTATATATCTGTTTCCATGAAGATGGCAACAAACTGATGATGTGCCTATAACTGTCGTATATAACTGTTATTTCATAAATACGGGGGATATAATTTTCCATATAGAGTGGCTTTGTCAATCTTCGACAAGGGAGGCTGTCTTGGTAAAGTTCTCCCAGTACATAAAAGGTAATGTTTTACCACCTCCTAGCTCAGGCCACCATTCAAGTCATTATGTTACTATATCTAGTCATTGGGTTTATTTTTAGATACTTAACAGTTATCAAAATAGATCTTTAAACAAATAGGCGGCGGACCAAATACAAAGTGGTCAATTTATCAACGCGAAACCAAATTTACTTTGGGAGGAAATCTTGTAAGCGTGTCGCAGGATTAGCCAAATCAAGAGGCTTAATGGGTGACGTTTTTCTCGAATAAATCGGATGACATGCTTGTTGTTTTAATAATTTAAGGATGATGTTTCTCGAGGTATTCAATTTCACGGAGGTTTGCGCCGTATTAATTTCTAGATGGAATTTTATCGATCATTGCGCGTTTCATCGCTCAAGAATGTTTTTATATTGCTTTACAATATGTTTATATATGTCGTTTGATCTTCCCGGCCATACCGAAAACCATTTGTTAAATTTCCAATTGGGTTTTTTCGCCGCAGATTACAACACATATAAATATATAAATATATGTTGACTGGAATGTTCTCCATCACAATATCGCAATCCGACCTGATCAAAACACTTGCAGCAGGTGGCCTGAGTATTTAAAAATAGTTCAAAGCTATATTTTAGGATCTCACCGAGGCGCCAGCCTGTGCTGTATATTCGTATTGTCCGTACCCTGAAGCCTCCCTTGCTCAGAGCATGTGGCGTGCCATAGATACAGATGTTTGCGGGGGAGGCTGAATGACTAACGCGGCATTGTAGGTTTGAGAAAGTGTAAATGAGTTAAAACAACTTAAAGGCTCTGCAGCAATTTGTCTTTCTATTTGTAAAAGATAGTGTGATAATTAATTTATTGAAAGCGGTAATTTTTTTCTATAACAAAAAAGTTGTGGTGGTGTAGCGTAGCGTGCGAAGTATTTCCGGACTATTTTTAACAATTAATTAAGGCGCACGGTCATGAAGTTAGCTTTTTTAATTACGGCGTTTTGTGCCTGGAATTCATACATACCGGTTCAAAAAGGCAAACAGCATAAATTAATTCTAAGAACAAACATGCGTGATGTCGGTTTCTCAACGCCTAATCTTATTAAAATTCTCTACTTCCTTTTCGTTGCATGCACATGCATCCTAGTCCAACTGTGCATGGGTATGCCACTTGTATCCATTCATTTGTCATAAAAATACGACAGTGCAAAGTTAGTTTGGTTAAAGCTAGTTTTCTATCGTTCTCTTTTTAAATAGAAAGGCAGAGGAAACTATTTACAAGGGCTCTGGGAAAGTATTCACATCGAACGAATATTAGGTTATGCTCACCGTATTAGCTGTATCCAAGATATGTAGGTCTCCAATCTCATCGTCAATCTCTGCTAGCATTTCATAATTCATTTCTATATCCAAAAAACAAAATTATTTGTCCGTGTTTACTTTATGGGCAATTTGTCTCTTTGCTAAAATAAAGGCACGATATATATACCGTGAGAGATTTAATTTAGCGACAGAAAGTCAAGAACTTGTATATTCAGAAACAACTTTCAGACTTGTCAGGCCTTTTAAAGATATGGTTTTAAAAAGTCTCGAATCAGACCAAATTATCTCCGAGTGAATATTTTAGCTAACATTTAGTGCCTCACGGGGTTCAGCTATCATGCAGTATACATTGAAATTGCAAATACAGCACGCCACGGGAGGGGCCAAATTATTTAAATACGATTATCAATATTCACTGAACAAAAGTCAAAACGTTTGTTGAAATACAAATATTAAGAGCCTCGAAATAAAATTTAAAGTTTTTCATGCAACGTTTTATTACACGATAACCTGGCAGGTTTCACACTTCGGCTATATCTTAGTTAATATATAGTATATATATACTATACATATTTCTTTCACCAGGTTTCAATTTCGCAACTGATCAATCGTGCATTGCAATCATGTTTATACAATTGTAAAACAACTGTGAACGAGAACTAAGACAACTTCAATTAGATTTTATCGGTGTTAAAATTCCTATCGTTTTGTCGTTATTAGCCGTGCATGCAAGAACCTATAGCTATATACGTCGGTAATTTTACTTGTCTCTCATATAACAAAGATATATCTTTGTAATTTTGAATTCAAAATTGACAGTTTATATATTCAGATGATTATCACAGTTATTTGACGATTATTACATCCTTACCTAATGTCGGATGGTATTCGTAAATAAATCTGCCGGTCGAGAACCTTACGAGCAGAGCTGTAAACAAGAAAAAGAAGGAAAGACTTATTAAGTAATTGTGAGCTAATTGTTTCGTGCTGTCGCCTGAATTCATGAATTAGTTATATAATACTGTTTTTCGCATCGATAAAGTGACAAAAAGCTACAAGGCATTCGTCCAATTTAGAATAAGTTAGACCTCTGTGTTGACCGCGTAACGTTTTCTGGTATTTTTTGTGAATTGTATTGTGAATAACGCCTGCCGCAATCCTGCAGTTACAACCACATGTTGCTCGATTAATTGTATGACTTTCAGGTGGCCATTATAACAAATGGTATTCGGTTATACTAAAAGGTATAGTTGGTCGATGATGACAAATTTGAAAATGTGACAAATTTATCAGTTTAATTGGCTTAAGACGACAAACAAAACCTTTTTCAATGCGGACTAAAAAAGTATAAATCCTCGTATATGAACTTAAAACATTTTCCACATGCAACATTGCAATATTCAAACCCTCCAGCTAATTTATGAACGGATTGATTGTGTGGGCGCGTCCTCAATTAAATTAATTAACTAATACTCATTAGGAATTGGGATGAATAATGACATAAATTGTGATAACGAGAAATGGAATGTGTTGGACGCGATGATTAGGATCCGAGCTTTCAGTCAACATCCTATGGCTAGCACAAGATATTAAATTTTTTTTCATGAAATTATTCTTTAATTCAAGTGAGACGACAATTTTTACATTGCAGGAAGTGCACGTTTGTTAATTACAAAAATGACTAAAAGAAGATTTTTTTATTTAATGCGATTTAGTTATCCGTTTATTGAGCAGTTTGAAGGAATTAAGGTTGTTGTTTTCCAAAAGGAAAAAAGCGCACACAATACATCTGTCTGAAATCCAATTAACTATGCATCATCTGCAGGAAATAAGGCACCAACAGTGTCAGAACAGGCAGTGGAATTAAAGAGCTATTTATTCTCAAAACTTGTACCTTTCGTGAGAGTGTCAATTGTATGTCAAAAATCACAAAATAGCTTCACTTTTGGCACCTTTTCTTGACTTAGAACACATGAATCATGTACATTAACTATATATTAATCCTGTAATATTGAACTAGAACAGGCCGACGGTATGAAAGTTGAACTTGTGCGTTTCCGAAGAAAAGACAGCAGAGCTTGATAGTATCGTTTCACGACTCATCACCAGTCTGGGATAATCACTACAATGTCGGTAAATGTCGGCACATTGTAAAGAGACCTTGAAATTTTGTATTTGCAAGTTTTCGTTGATATGCAAGCATTAAGAGTGTTTGAAAGCGGCGGGCGGTCTAAATAGCGTGTTGTGAATGGTTGTAGCAGCTGTTTAAAGGAACTCTGCAAATATTAAATTACGATCCCTTGAACTGATAAAGAATTTTTCTCGTTCCATAACACAGTCTGTTTGTTTCTTTGCAAAACAGCGAGTTAAAACTATGCGTGATCCACCAGGCTTGTGAATGTGTCCTCAGATTGTCTCCCCAGGTAACGACTGCGTTCCTACTTGGAGCCCTACAGTGCCAGGTAATAGCAACCGACGTAAATTCGCAAAGTGAGCATTGACATATATTCCGGTTAAAACACGTCTGACTTACAAAATAATAAATGTTTACCATTTTTTTTCACCAAGCACGTGTGAGCGGACGTGAAAGGCTACACGCACTTCTTCATGATTACTTGACGGGTTCAAGATGTGTTCAGGTCATGATAGCGATGTCATGGTATTAATGAATACAGTTAACAAAGATAAACTAACTAGTCGGGAGCAAAGTCAAAACATCGCATTGCATGTGCTCGCTCTTCAAATAGAACCGCAAAAATGATGTTTATTTAAAAGGACTATCACTATCCGTGTAGAAACAAATTGTAGCGACTTACCGGATTTACCAACGCCACCCTGTCCTAGTAAGACGATATGATAATCCTTAATAGAGCCAGCTTTCTTCAGGTTTTGTCGAGTTGTGTTTGTAATTTCGGTTGAGCACCAGTCCTGACCGCGTATGGTTAAACGTTTACCCGAACACTTATCGTTTTTCCGTTCGCTCGTTATAAGCGTCGGACTAGAAGGCCTTTTTGAAATAAAGTGATGATTGTTATTCCCGTTCCCGCATACAAGATTATTAATCGATGGGTCACTCGATGTTTGTTGCTTACTTCTGCCCTCCTCTGATAATTTTCCCATTTGATGAAACATAGGGCTGGAGCTTCGCGATAAATCGCACTTCGCTGATTTCTTTACCTTTAATTTCTCTTTGTCCTTCTTCCCATCCTCTGAATGAAATCCATTCTTTTCCCAATTATTATATTTAGATAAATGTTGTTGCAAAATAACAGCCGGAGCTGAACCGCGTCGTCGATGCATCTCAAGCGAAAATTTTTATACGAATATTCGTAAAATAACGATCCTTATATATTAATACTGTACGGCGCGAAACTTGGTTTTCAACCAATAAATAGCTGCTACCCAATGGCAATGCTGACGACCTATTCCGAATATTATATACGAGTTAACTGTGTAATTATCCACATTAGAGAGTAAATACCACTTAACTGGTATATTTCTGAGGAAATTCTTATGACAAACGACGTTGTAAAATATCTCGTCAGCTCCCAATGCAGCACGACAAAATGGCTTCTTGTCTACTCCTTTTTCTGCTCCTTGGTCAACACGCGTGATTCATTTACTTTGCTAGCTAAGTGATCGGCCTTTAATATTTATATGACGATGGATTTTGTTTGTTATTTAACATTCCTTCTCTCACACTGCGTTCTGAGTTTCAATTCCTGAAATAACGGAAAATACAGGATAGCTGTCAAACGCTAAGCAATGGGACTACTCTTGGTCAATCTCTTAACTTCTCGATACCTCGGCTACAATATTTCTGTTGGTTTATATTATCATCGGAGCCGCTGCTATGCGAGTCGCGTAATACGTCAGACCATGCCCTGGAGGTACAGGCACCCCCGTCTCACAGTGCCGTTCAATCAACAATGACTGTCGAATCTTTGTACCATATCACTATATCTCAACCCTGAGAAACAAATGCATAATCATTCAAAACCGAAACTCTTATATATGTTCTTACGGAGGTGTAATTCATACCTCTAAACCACAAACGAAACATGAGCATCTATTGGCGGAAAATTTTAACCACTTTTTGGCCTAACTAATTTCCTGTTATATCAGAACTGGTAAATGGACTGCTGTGTTTGGATGCTCCAACCTGCTAACTCATAAACGTTTCCTGCTAGAACTACTGTTCCAATAAGCTTAATTTTAACCACACGTTCAGCAGATGTTTCAGGCGCCGTGAACCGGAACGTTTCGACAGCCTGAACAGCGGCGGGCGTGTGAACAGTGTTTGGATATGATAAAATTTTGAGTTATACCAACTATTTTGCACCTTTTCAATCGATTATCGTGACAGCGAACTAGAAACAATTATTTGTACAAAACAAGGTATTTAGCAGACACGACAACTTTATTCTCTGTAGTCTGCACTGTGAACAGCTAGGTAATGCCTTTCAGTTGTTAGATAAGTTCACGATGCTAAGACGCTGTCTGCTCGCCATGGAGCAATTAAGTGCTCAGAGAGTTTTATTAATTTCAACCCACTTTTCTCGCTTCTTCTCTCTGTTTTTAGTGAATGGCTCACAGTAGTGTCATAATCAGGTAAAATGCAATCAATCATTGATGCAATAGCAAACGTTGTTTTCTAAACAAGAGGAGTTATTGAACATATAACGGGTACTCGAAACACTATAAACAGGCACATCATAGCATGTGATAGAGAGATCTTTCCAGAATTTTCTGGCAGCAAAGTCAATGAGCAAATAAAATAACTTGTCACTGATACTGTACATCTAATATTATGTACAACTATAAATATATATCTATATATGAGAGCGTCACGTCACCTTTGCCAGTTTTGAAAGTGAACGATATCTTTAGTCTATAAAATGCATGACCTCGTGCATTGTTACTGACTTGACCCTGGCTTTTATCCTGAATTGTTTGTTGTCTTCGTTCTCAGTTGATCAAGATCGATTGCAACAAAGAAATTCTTCTGTGCAAAAGTAAATAAAATTACTATAAACATAAAAGTTGACGTAACGGCAAATTATATAACTACTGACAAATGAATACATACGTTTATACTATTTTATGACACTAATTCATATTCATATAATCTAGAGTTTAAAACTGTATTTATATATAAAACAGTTTAGAATATTTGATTTTGGAAATAAATATCATTGTTTAACGTATAGCAAGTGGTAAGATATACTGAGTACTATACTGAGTACTGAGTCATTTTAACTTCGATTATTATTAATGCATGATATATGATATATATACCACATTTCCATTGGAAATTTTGATTGCTCATAAAGATCATTTTTCGTATTCATATGAATATATCATTTTTCCGTTGATAGTTATAGTAAGAGTGATGTCTTTAATGTATGGCATAAAGTCTTCACTTAATAAAAACGCAAAGTGACATGTGCTCGGGTATATTGTAGCTAATTAATTTGGTTTCTTCACCTTTCACCCTTTATGAAGTCTGATAAAAATTGCTGACGCACTTCAGACGTGAAACTTGTGAAACTTGTTTTCGCATTTTTCGACGTTTGCGACTTCTTAAAGACATTACTAATTTAATGCCAAAAATTCCTTCCTTTATACGATTTTTGCTGCTTTCCTTCCCCCGGAAAATAAATTATATCCGTTACCCGTTAGAATCTATGTAAACCGTTAGGTAACGATACGCACATTTTTCGTGTATATCGTGTATCGAATTGGTGATGTTAAAATAACTCGGAAGTATGCATTTTCATGCCATATTTCAATACAATTGGGCTGTTTACGACTTCAAGCAAATGTGGGCATGCAGATATCACGCATCTTCATGTCATGTAATTTCTGATATTATTGGGGTAAGCTGTGACGTTTAAGCTGACAGTGTGACGCACGGAGATTTGCTCGTCTTGACCGATGAAAGAAAATGTCTGCCGTGTTGAAACTGCCTCCTCCGCAGCATCTTCGCACAGCGTAAACATTTAGCATAGGAGTATAGTTGCTGATGATCGGAAAATTTTGATTCTCGGAAATAACCATTTCAGGGCACAGGTCCGTGTGTAACCAAAACCTATATGCAGGGCCGGATTAACCATATGGCAGAAGCGGCATATGCCACGGGCCCCGCGGTTTTGGGGGCCCCGCGCTTTACTCAGTTCAATTTTTTTTCAGTGCGTGGGAGACGGAAAAAGGGTCACAAAGCCTCATGGCCACAAAATAAAATAAAGTGACTCAAAAAAGCGAGGCCCATAAATGAATAAAAATGCCTTTAAAGCTTATATTAAGCTATCGGAGCGAAATAAATAACGCGAAGCTTTAGAAATCAAAAGCCGAGGCAATTAGGCACCCTTGCAACCAGATTCTCCCAAAAAAAATTTTAGGGTAATGGGAAAATTTAGAAATTTAAAACTTCAAGTAAAGGCAGAGCCACCCAGAGGGGTGGTCAAAGGGGGAAATTAGCCCTAAGCCCAGGGTTGTAAGGGTCCCCCAAAACCTACGGGAATAAAATTAAACTGCATGTTGTTGGAATATATAGTCCTCTTTCAGAAAACGTCTTAGGTTGTTTATAGTTTAGGTAATGCAATATTATACTCGATTTTGCGGAAATCTCACCCCCAAAACGCAGGAAATCGCATTTGCTGCACTCTAAAACTCAAAATTTTCTTGGGGGAGGATGCCCCCAACCCCCCCTAACACTGCTATGGCCCCCAAAATTCAATTTTCTACACCAATGTTCTGGTCATGCATTATCTCGCTACAGTAGCATAAACTGCTATTTTACTCCCCTATATAACGAGAATTTTACCCGAGCCCCAAAAATTCTGTGGCCGGCGAGTAAAGGCTTTGATGTTTTACGGGATTGAGGGGCCTCGCACTGAAAAAATGCCACGGGCCCCGCGAAAGGTTAATCCGGCCCTGCCTATATGCAATTTAAATATTCAGTCTGTCAGTTTGTGAATGCGCATTTGGTGCAAACGTTGCCCAGCTGCAGATAATACTCTGTGCATGCGCAATTGCGCATTGCCATCAATCACTGTAAACAATGGCGACTCGCTTCGCTCAGGTGAGTGAAGCTGAGTTATCCTATTTACTAAACTGAAAAGATACTGAACACACAAAAAAGAAATAAAAACTGCTGTCAACGTATCGTATTTCAGCAGTCTTTACAAGAGAAAGGAATAAATGACGATGAATTGTCGTGTTCGAAATGCATTGAATTGTCGCGTTCGAAAACCGTTCAGAAGTACTCCAAAAGTTTTACAGCCGAAGCTCGAAAAACGACGTAGAACTAGAAATAACGCAAAGCTTTTAAGGTGGTTCCCTAGAGACTAGAGTTTTGAGAAAATTGTTGAATGCAGGTTTGATGTTGTAGATTTAAGCACCCGAACCGCATTGTGAACTATAAATTTAAATTATCTTTAACGTATTGAATACTATGTTCGAAATATGCCAATATTGATTGCTCAATTATAGAAGCCGCCCTACTATCTAGAATTTTTACAAAACTCTAGGGGGCCACCTAAATAAATGATAAAACACTTATTGAACTCTGATCTCGCAAAATATCGGTGGCTCGCAGATAAATTATTTGCCTCCGCTTTTGACGTCGGCAAAAAATTGATCTGCTCGTCCGTCGACGATATTAGGTAGGGTGCCATACCTATATTTTTTGAAATTTTTCAAAATTTTTGAGAAATCTTGCAATATGAGAATATATAGACTATAGTATAGTGAAGATTGTTCATTGGAGTCATCTACAAGTTATATGAGATTTGCAACCCGAACTGCACGCGCTTACCCCTTTGCTTCGGAATTTAAAAATAATACAAAATAAGAAAGAATTTTGGTCACAAGAAAAAAAATTTGTACACAGGAAAAAAAATTTGGACACAAGTGAAAAAATTTTTGACAGGAAAAAAATGGGCGGAAGAAAACTTTTGACGGGAAGAAAAACTTGGGCACACGTGAAAGATATTTTAGCTGGAAAAAAAATTTACACAAGAAAAATTATTTTGATAAAAAAAAAATTGACAAAAGAAAAAAATTGCGCGAGAAAAAAATTTGGACAGAAGAAAAAATTCTCACCGGAAAAAAATTTTGACCGGAAAAAAAATTTAACAGGAAAAAAAATTTTGACAGCGAAAAAAATTTGACAGGAAAAAAAAATTGACGAAAGAAAAAAATTTTGAAACGAAAAGAAATATGAACACAAGAAGAAAAATTTGACACGGCTCTTCCGAGATGAATTTTGGTGTATTTTCGATTGACAAAGAAAGGCAGTATGGTGTTTGATCATTGATTATGGAGCACGTCCGACTGGAATTTTGGAGTATTTTTAATTGTGTGTTAAAGGCAAGATACAAACATTTTTTAGGAGCAAGCAATTTAAACTTCCTTGGAAAGATGCAGGCGGTATTCTTTATGGGTTATGGAGCTCTTCCGACATGAATTTTGGTGTATTTTCCATTGACAAAGAAAGGCAGTATAGTGTTTGATCATTGATTATGGAGCACTTCCGACTGGAATTTTGGAGTATTTTCAATTGTGAGTTACAGGCGAGATGCAAACATTTTTTACAAGCAAGCAATTTAAACTTCTTTGGAACGATGCAGGCGGTATTCATCATGGGTTATGGAGCTCTTCCGACATGAATTTAGGTGTATTTTCGATTGACAAAGAAAGGCAGTATGGTGTTTGATCATTTATTATGGAGCACTTCCGACTGGAATTTTGGAGTATTTTTAATTGTGAGTTAAAGGAAAGATGCAAACATTTTGTCAGAGCAAGCAATTTGAACTTCTTTAGAACGATGCAGGCGGTATTCATCATAGGTTATGGAGCTCTTCCGACATGAATTTTGGTGTATTTTCGATTGACAAAGAAAGGCAGTATGGTGTTTGATCATTAATTATGGAGCACTTCCGACTGGAATTTTGGAGTATTTTCAATTGTGAGTTGAAGGCAAGATGCAAACATTTTTCCAGAGCAACCAATTTGAACTTCTTTGGAACGGTGCAGGCGGTATTCATCATGGGTTATGGAGCTCTTCCGACATGAATTTTGGTGTATTTTCGATTGACAAAGAAAGGTAGTATGGTGTTTGATCATTAATTTTGGAGAACTTCCGACAGGAATTTTGGAGTATTTTCAATTGTGAGTTGAAGGCAAGATGCAAA